CGTCCAACTCAACAACGAGTCAACGTCCATGTAGTTTCTCCTCCAAGATCAACTTTTGACACTTCCACCATGGGATCAACCTCGCCCGATGGTTCTTACGGTCTTCCATATCAAAATCCTCGTGACGGTCGATACGTCTCCACTCCACCTCCACGAGATCAACCCCCGACACAATTTAATACGACGCCTCAAAATATCGACAACAACTACTATCCATCCCCTCCAATGAGTGAAGGTAGCTGGAACGTTCCAACTCCAGAGAGTACCGGAACCACAAAAACAACTGTTGAGGGCTACTACTACGGCAAGGGATACCAAACTTCAATGCATTCCAGAAATGTTTCGCCAGAGTCCATTGCCTCGAATGAAAGACCCATTACTCGTCCCGCTGTTGCTGTGACCAGGAGATACAATGGGATTCCTGCCTTTCCCAATACTCAACAGAAGTACCGCCCAATTGCGGACATTCGTCAAGAATCCAAGAATCGTGAAAAGAAGGAGCATTTGATGCTGCGACCAGGAATCAGGCGATTGCCTCACATGAGCCTCGAGAAGATGGCGACAAGCACACGGGTAAAAAAGTCGAAGTCTCCAGTTCCAAATCATCAAACCGTCAACACCTTCAAGTACAAGCTTCACCACGATCGCGAAGCCATCGCGCGGAACAAGGCATTGTCCATGATGACTATGTTAAATCCCGAAATGTAAGGATTGACAATGATCGCAGTATCTACTATAGCAGTACTCGGGATATTTTGTGACCGCCCTAAGCGTGTTGGACCGTACACAATGATACATCCCACATTGTATATTTTGATACAAAAGTTTGATACAGAAGAAACTTCATGTAGCGCACAGCGAGTGCTTTCTGTATTATATAATTTACACTAGTAGTATCAAATTATTGTTTTACCTACTGCTGTTCAGCTGTGCCAAGATTTCAAACCACTGTTTCAAGGCGTCTCCGAGCACTTCCGGTAACGTCGTCATGTCGTCGAGTACGATGTAGTACGGAAGGGGGTATTCCTCAATGAAGCGCTTTACGACAGGCTTTCCCTTTTCGAATGTGACTTCCTTCATGTTGACGATGCTGTCTTTTTTCTTGATGTCGCCCTCGACAATGATCATAGCCAATAGAATGGTTCGTTCTGCCATTTCTCGGATGAGCCGTTGAAGCGCCGCCCGGCTATCTCTTTCAATGCGTCCATCACTGATCAAGAAGACTAATTGCATCGATGAATTATCACCATACTCTTCGAACGAAGCTAATGCACTCTCAACGCATAAAGCTGTTCTTGTTCGTTTCTGATCGAAACCAAAATTGACAACCATATCCGACCCTGATTCGGATGTGAATGGAAGGTGATACGGGTGCAATAGCTTCATATCATCTCCAAAGCTTGCGATGCCGAGCTCTCCAATTTCAAGTTGATTAATACCAACAGCCAATGTTGCCATGGCGCGAAGAGCCAATTCGCCTGCCCCACTCTTCTTCATACTTTCGGAGTCATCAACAGCAAGCAAAACGCGGTAGTTTCGCTTAGCTGGTTTTGTCCGTCGAAGCCAAATCTTATCCTTTCGATACCCACTGGCAATGTATCCAATAACTCGCTTCATATTGATCCGTTTTCCGGTCCTATAGTCACCTCTTAGCTTCGAAGCAACCAATGGTTCCATGACCAATCGCAGTTTTTCGCACAATCTTCTTGCCAAATTGTGCGTTTCGCCCTGGATCTGTAACCACTTCGATTTCGCTTCTGCTGCCCTTTCACGATCGATACTTGTCACTTGTTCATCCTGGAGAAGTTTCTGTGGATCAAGACGTTCCGCATCATCATCTCCCACGGTTAACTTTGAGAAATCAGTAGACACAAGGTTTCGGCGAATGTCATCTTCGATCTCTTCATTGCCCCCCTTCTCACTTGTTTCGGATTCCTCACCATCAATTTCCTGGTCGACTTCTGACATGGCATCATCCTCATCAGAGCCATCATCAATATCTTGATTATCAGGGCTTGTCCGCTTTGATTGTTTCGATGCCTTCTTCTTTTCATCTCGGGTACCACTTGGCTCATCTTGCTTTGATTGCTGCTGCTCTTGTTCCTGATCTGGGTCATCTTCCTTCTCATTGTTATTCATGTCATCTAGCTTGGTAGCCTCCTCCTCAGTTGCCTCTCCAAGTACTTGAGTAGAACTCTTTTCTTCTTTGGAGGCGTATTCGAAATCTCCAGTATTCTTGTCTGCTTCCTGGTCTTCTTCGGCCATGTCATCGTCCTCCACATTGTCTGCGTCGCCCCTGTCATCAGAACTTGAATCCACCATGTTCAGCTTCTTATGCCAGAACTTTGAAGCATCTCCAGGATCTTTGAAAGGATTTGGAATCTCATCAGAGTTTTGTTCAGCTTGTGCTTCAGTTTGGTTTTCAGTTGCACCGTCTTGTTCGCTATATCCACCGCCTTGACCTGAATCGTTGTTCTGTGAGTCCTGAGCTTGAGCTGACCCTGGTCCACCAGCGACATCTTCTTCGTCATTGGCCTCTTCTTCTTTTTCATCCTCTTCCATTCCATCATCCTTTACAGCATCTGTCCCTTGGTTTGATCTCACGCCATGAGCTGCTTCCTCTGTAGAAGCTTCTTGTTTCATGCTCTCTAGGGCATTTTCCTCCGGCTCGTCCTCGGGCTCGTCGTTTCCATCTTCATCATTTTCGACGGTTCCTTGACCTTGTGGTTTGGCAGCCGCGCTTTGATCTACCTGATCGTCGCCTTCTTCCTGGTCTTCCGGGGCATTTTGGTCCAATGGATTATCAATAGGAATTTCCGTAGAATCAGCATCATCTGGGTTCTCATCCTGATCAGGTTCCTCTTCGGTATCGTTTGACTCGGCATTATCATCCTCACCATCAAGGCAAACGTTGTCATCCAGTTGCATTTCTCCTTCGTCGTTGTTCTCATCCTGCTGCTCGTGCTCTTCGCCACGCACATCAACACCATGTTGTTCTTCTTCATTGTCAAAATCTTCATTTATCATGTCTTCTTCGTTGCTTTGTTGGTTGTTCATGTCATCTCCTGCGTTGTCTTCATTTGGTTTGTGCTCGTCGACATTTGATTCGTTATCTTTCTTTTCTTCTTTTGATGGATCTTCTCCCTCATCATCATCCTTTGTTCTGGTTTCTCCTTCAATTGCTTCTCCTTCGACACCACTATCCTTCTCAAATTTCTCGTCTTCTTTGTTGATGTCATCTTCGTCGTCGCTCTCGTTCCACATTTTTTCGTCAACGACTTGATCATCTGGGCTAGCATCGTCGCCCATCTCCCGATCAAGCTCTTCGCCTTCCTCCTCTTCCATTCCATCATCTGGTTCTTTGTCCGGTAAATCACACATTTCCCCATCAAAATCGTTCTCCATTTCCATCCCTTGATCCGCCTCGTCTTCGTCCAACTGGCGTGATTCCTGTTTCTCGGCTTTGTCGTCTTCGTTGTCCTGATCCGGCTTGAGACCAGCAAGCTGATCTTCGCTCTCTAACTGATCGGAGACATCCTTCTTTCCTTCACCCTCGCCCATTCCTGTTCCGTCTTGATCGTCTTCGAACGTCATACCATTGATATCACCCTCCGCATCGCCATCTTCCTCTTCCGCAGTTTCATCCGAGCAGTATCCTTTCGAAACCAATACTCGAAAGACTCGCAAGACCACATAAAGAAGCTTCGAGTTTGCGCTGTAGAATTGCAATGAGTCCTGGAGGTAAACTTGTGACAATGAGAGTATGTGGTCCGCTAGAAACCCAATATCGGAAGCCAGTTGAACTATTACTTCGCGGTCTTTTCTGCCCGTCCCCGCATCGTTATGGATTTCCTGTACCATTGCAATCGTTTGCACTAGCTTTTGGTTCAGTTCCTTCAGGTTTATACCACTCCAATTCGCAACCATGTCTTTGTGACACTCCATGATCAAGGCATCGTCATCCATTTGATTAGAGCCCTTTACATTGTTCGACGATTGAGTGTCTGTGCAGAAATTCTGGAAAGTAATGAGCAGTCGCTCGGTTACACTCGCAAGACAGGAAATCAGATCAGTTTTTGGCAAACCAGCCTCCGCATCATCCTGCGTCTGTTCCGACGCAGAGTTACAATCCTCAATTATTTCAATCGTGCGTGAAAGAGAGTGCAAGGGTACATCAAAGATATCCAAGGGATACAAGCCTAAGACCTTGCACTCGTTCCGGCACTCCTCGATGAGGAATCTTGCTTCTTGCAGCTTCACTCCTTGTTCTTCAATCTGCTTCACCTGGTCCCACGAAACAAATTGAGTTCCTTTCTTTGCCATGAAATCTTTGGGTAGTAGGAGCATAGTTTCAAGTTTTGTGATTGCATCTCTCATCACCGTGACTTTCTCATCAGAATCCAACAAATCTTTTGATGATCGGAAGAAAAGTGACAATTCCTTTATACTCTCGGATGATGCATTGATTCCTACTTCAATTTCGCGCATCATACGTATGTATTCGCTCTGAGGAGTTGGGAGATTATATTGGTGGAATGCAATCTCACTGACGGACTTTTGCAGAGATGAAGTGTCATCAAGGATGATTGCAACAAGCGATCGCTGCTGAGTGACCATGAGTAACATACTGTCACTCAAAGAAGTCATCAGATTCATTTCTCTTGTTGTCATATACTTGCTTCCAAGAATTAGAGTCTCCGATCTTAGGGCGGCAGCTTCAGTGAGACACCTCATGAAGTACTTCTCGCCTCGTTTGAGTTCTGAGGCATTATTCGCGTCTAGTCGCTCACTTTTAGGCGCCGGTAGCTGAAAGATATGCTCCATTTGCCGCAGCTCTTTGGGAGTACTCCATTTTGCAGTTGTAAAGCCGTTCCTTTTGAGCTCTCGGAACAAATCCACTACAGCCCTTTCCTTCATCGGTCTTGTTGACTTTTCTCGCAAGGATCCAATACGGTCAAACAATGCTTCGCAAAGGTCAACGGCGCAGACACTTCCTTCAAAGGCTACTGATTGCGCTCGAAGCATTCCCTTTTTCGACATTGAACTCATTCTCATGGCATATTTTCCAATTTTCGAGAGGTGGCTGTTGCTGGAAACTCCAATTAAGCTTGCGTCTATCCACTGGCGCTCGTGGATATCAATAACAACCTCCCCGTGTTTCTTCTCCTTTTGATCCTCTCCGAATCCCAGTGGGAACATCACACTATTCGACGGTACCTGCGCACAGAATTCATCTTGACTATCTGGGCGCGAACGAATCCCACGATATGAGTCTTCTTGGATGATTAATCCAACATTGAGACCTAAACACTCATCCATTTCCGAGAGTACTTTCATCAACTGTCTATGGTTTTTCTCCGACGATTCTGCCAAAGCATAATAGGATTGCTCGTCCCATTTTGCGAGCTTTACAGTATCTTTCAATTTTTTTTCGATTGGCGACTTCATTGTCTCAACCTTGTTTTGAAGCAAAGGTTGGAATTGACAGTAATAGCGCCATATCGATTCAACAATTCTTGATTGCTGCATCTTCGATTTTTCTCCAGTGCTGGATGCCCTGTACTCGTTATACAATTGAACTGATAATGGCTGGAGCAACCTAAGCCTTTCCCCGAATTCCCCAAGTGGCGAAGTCAGAATGAAAGTGTCCAAAGCCTTCACTAGTTCAGTCAAGTCTTCTGCGTGGCCATTGTCCAAATCTCCGCATAACGTTTTCCTAGAAGAAGCGAAACCTTTCCAAATCCATATTGGGCTGCTACACTCTCTTTGACTGAACACGGAAGAGCAAGATGATGCACCTTCGTTGTTAAAATCAGGGATGACATCGCCAGTGTGGAGAACTCCATGCAGGCGAAGCAAGTACTTCCTCGCTTTCGAGATTTGACGATCTTGCCTCGCTTGCAGCAACTGAGACCAGCTCTGTAATTCAAGCTTTCTCCATTTTGCAACAATTCCACCAACATCATGTAGAGCTTCACCTAATCGAACTCTATCACTAGCATGCTGTTCCCAATCTTGCGCCTGTCGTAGGATTACCTCAAGACCAGTCATCACTTTTCCAATAGGAGTCGTCATCAGATCAAGTTTTCGGACCTTCTCGCATACTCTGCCAAGCCCAAGCAAAATAGAGTGACCCGGAAAGGCTGTTAGCAACTGTGTTGTCCTTGCGACCAGACGTTCCAGAGGACCAGCTGCCATCATGACTTCGCTGGGACAGGGCTCATTTTGAAAGTCAATCACTCCGCTCTCTGCGGAATAGTGCTTTTCGCAACGAATGATACCTTTCTTTGGCATGTTTGTGAGTGCCATTGCATATACATGTGCACCCATGGGTTCAGAGACATTTGCTGCCATTTTGGTGCAACCAAATTGCTTCTCCAGCTCACATGTAGCATTGTAGCTAGAATGGAACAGTAGCGTCCGGTCTTGGTCTGTTGGAATGCAAGAAGCTCCTGAAAACAATTGGTTATGCAGTCTACAAAGAAGTTCCATTTGCGCATCTGAAAACTCCGCACTGGCTAGGACAGCATCATCATCTCCATCTACTTCTTGAGTTTCCGAAGCATCGTCATCGTCCTCTTCTTCTTCAACGCGTAGAAGAGCATTAAACTCGTCTCGATGTGATGGGAATTGCTCTCTGAACTCTCTTTCCTGAGCATCTTCAAGTGTCTCATCCAGACTCTCTTTATCAGCTCTTCCAGTGTGATGAGAGCTTCCAAGAGCTTCAAATATCTTGTAGCCCCAAACCATCTCCCTTGATGTTAAGCCTTCGATGTACTGCTTCATTAGGAGGCGTGCGAGAATGGCAACAGAGAGCGAGAACAAAAGATCCGACTTTTCCTGAGCATTGCCAACTTCATCGGAAGTCAAGTACGAAGTCAAAGTTGTGACGAGCGATTGAATGGTATTTGCGTGATCTATTGCTGGAAATGTGAGAAGGTTCTTCAAGAGCTCAGCATTACCGATGGCGTGCTTTGAAACCTCCCGTTGCGAAATTACAAGGATTCCATCTTGGACCAATTGCATCGATGAAATCAATCCTGAAACAACTTCTTCGTATGCGTTGTAGAAATCGCCAAATCTTTGGCAAAATGCGGCTGTTGTACGAAGCCAATTTTGAGCTCTCTGCATAACTTCTGCTGTCGGATTCTCGAGCAAGGCACGAGTGAGTTCCAATACAGTTGGTTTTCCTGCGACGTTGTCCAAGAAATCCTTGGTTTCGCGATAGAACTCAAAATATGGCGGAGCTGATGATACACGTTCGACAACCTTTTTTGCTTGCAACATTCGTTTCTTTACCAAAGCGCTTCCAGTTTCTAAAATCTCAAGAGCATTGTCGCTCGATGGAGCGAAGTCTCCTCTCATAAACCCACTATCCAGTCGCAATGCAATCAACTCTGTCTCCAGTTCGATGAGCTTTCGATCAATCAGTGCCATCTTTGCGACAGGAGCTCTACCAGGATCTAATGGAGAATCTGGTGCCAAAATGTGTAATCGGAGAATGCCAAGGTATATTGAAACTAAGCCAAACTGCAGGTCATACGCTTTGGACCCATCTTCTTGTTTCCAAGCTTCTTGCATTGCCTGAAGAAGGGGGGTGAGAACATCCGACAAGTGACAATGGAGGAAACCATCCTCCACATCTTTGCTCATGCTCTGAATGTCATCAAAACTAAATTCCATTAGCCGCTCCGGCTGTCTTGCGATAGCAAGCAATTTCTCGATGTGGACGTTAGTCTCATTGGTGTTCACGGCGTCAAGAACATCATGTAGAAGCAAGTGGGCAATGAAGAGTCTTGGCTTGGATCCAGAAAAGGACAACGACGAGAGCATCCTCATGGTATCTTGGTTTTGCTGTTTTCGTTGAGTGTGGTTTTCAATTGTGTGTATCTTGATACGGCCGCTTGATTGTGACCAAGCCAGATTTTTGTGGAAGAAGTGGATAAAGAACTCACTTCTGAACCAATGACCAAGTCTTTTTGATCCATAACACCTGTCAAGCTCTTGAGACGAGACCTGAATCTGCTGACTTTCGTCGTCGTACCACATATTCGGCAAATCCAAAGACATCGACGTTGCACCTAAACCGGAGAAAGAATTACGCCACATATGTTTCATCATTGAACTCAGCATTTGGGGCAAAAGACATCGCAAGAGTTGGCGATGGTCCCTTTTGTTTTCGAATCCACCTTCAATTGCCCAAATCAATGTTTGCTGCGCTCTTATGTCCGTAGTTGACCAAATCGTCTGCGATAGCACAACTTCAACGAGCCTTTTCAAAGCTGGCAGCAAAGAAAGTAACTCTCTCTTCAACTGACTTTCGTCTTGGCACTCGAGGGTGAACTTACTGGCTTCACCGTATAGCCTTGCTTCTTCGTGGGCGCACCAGAATTCTGCAAGTGCTGATGTTTGCACCTTCGAGAAAGCTGAAAGAATGGTGGTCGACCAGCCCGAGTACGCTTCGTGGCTGGACAGTGTTGCATCAGAAGACGCTTTTAATAGTTCAAGCATCTCGACATCAAATTGATTCTCAACAGTTGCAATCTTTGCATCCACTTTTGCCGCTGTCATGTCAGATATGAATTTCTTCCTTTTTGTCTCGAACGATTCGCGCAATTTCTGGCTGAAACCTTCATTTGCCAGTGAAAGGTTTTTATTCTCAATATTGACCTCATCGGTCCATAGAAATTGCATGGTGCATAATGCAGCTAAGATCTGAAATCTCTCGTCTCTATGAATGAAGAACACCGGGTGCTGAGTGTCCACTAAACTCTGCAACTCAATAGCATCACAGGTGGATTCGAACGGATTGAAAATTGAGTCTTCAACAATTGCGCATTCATTTGCCAATGCTCTTGTCAGAAGAACTTCTTCGAATTGTTCTGCTTTGTGAGGGACTGCTTGTTTCATCATGCTTTTGCTCACTTTGTGCGGTAGCCAAGTTTGAAGCTCGACACCAAACACAACGCGATCGATGGCCATTATCAAGGCATTCACAGCGTGAAGGGAGTCCCTTGATGGTAGCCTGATTGTCTGTGGACTTGATGACAGTCTGGAAAAGCTTTTCTTAATCCATTTCCATTGGACAATGAACTCCGTTTCATCAAACCCAAGAAATGACTCCGAATTGACGTCAAGTGGGTAGAGTGAGAGACTGATCCATAAACGATCTCTTTTGCCAAGGAAGTCTCTAATTTCCATAATCCATCTTTCAGCATCATCACTGTCTCCGATGTCGCTGCAGTACTTGAATAACTCACTCATCATTGCATCTACAGCTAAGAAAAAAGGGCGAAAGAATGGAGTGACAGAACATTTCACTGCAGAACGATCAATGAGAGTTTCGTGTATGAGATAGGACGCATCAAGCACTTTGAGCGTCATAGATGGATCGACTGGAGGCTCAATAGAAGATACAGTTAGGTACCACTTTCTTTCACGAAATTGGTGTGCCAATCGCTGATCCTGCAAATGAGTCATCGCCTCCAGACTTGACGTCACTCCGTTGTTGTGTGTTTCAGGTTTCAAACAACTTTGGATAGTTAAACTCTTCTTCCAGCTCATCCAAAGAAGACTATTAGAACATTCGTTATTCAAACCTTTCAAATAAGCGATGTTTCTGCCAACATTGACTGCAGTCGCTTTTGCGAGAAGCCCTTGCACCATAGCGTCCCGAAGATATGAATCGTCCAGAACTTGTGGTAAGTTGAACTGCTTGTACATGTCCTGAAACCTTTCGTCAATGCCGTACAGGCCCATAAGACCAAGCTCAGAGCTGGTAATGGAAGATCTCACAGCCAAAGAATTATGCGTAAACAAACGGAGCAATTTTGCTTCAATGTTTAGTTGAGCAGTGTCCTGGCTTGACGCCCATGAGTCGATGACAGACGTGACAACTGGAAGAGGTGTGTATGTTTTTGCTGAAATTTTTTCGTAGTAGTCGTTCTTGATGTGCTCGAGGGTGTCAGTGGCTTCTTTTTCAAAAGAAAGGTGGATGCAGTGAGCTAAAGCTTCATTCGCGTTCACGCCACGAGAAACTTGGCCAGCAAGCATTGAAGTTGCACCTGATACGCTTCGTAGACAAGGTGGCTCTTCTCCACTCTTGATTGCATCATAATGTTCGACAAGATGGCTGGACATGATAGATGTAGCAAGTTCTAGTGTCTTTGCCCCAGAACCGTTCAAAATTTCCAGAATATCGACTTTAGCAGCGTTTGTGGCCGTTCCAGCTGGAATATTATCATCGTTTCCATCCCATTGAGGAGTCGAATGCAGGAGTTGCAGAAGAGAAATTTCCACACATCGGTTTCTCATCGCCCTTGATATCTCTCCGCAAGTTGGATTCATCGTTAGGAAGATCCGAAAATTTGGATGGGGTCGAATCAGTCGGTGAGTTGAAGCGCCTTCTCCATCACCCTCGTTTGTTCCACATTCAGACAGAAGCAAGAAGCCATCTTTCTCGGTGACAGAGTTCAACCTATCAAGGACTGATGATGGACAGAGGTTGACATTTTCCAGCACCAACCAATATCCGTTAACCATGGCTTCCACAAGGATTCCATCACGCCACACAAAGTGACCCGAATCATCACTTTTGTTTTCTGGAAGCCCTGCTAAATTCCACTCGTTACATTTTCCTGCAATTTTCTGCACATCATCCGAATACATGCGACAAAAGGAATCGCAAGTACTCAAACCTTCGAGTAGAATACACGCTAAAGTCTTCGCTCTTGATTGCTTCGTCTTATCACCTTTCACGAAGCCATCAAACAAATGGGAAATGTCTTCGAGGCATTCTTCCAACAAAAGAATCAAACTCCAAACTGACCAAGAATTGTCAGAATCAGCCTTTTGAAGTCGCAAGTACTCTTTAGCCAACTCGAGAAGCGCAGCTAAAACTTTCCGCTCCTCCGACATATCCTCGATCTGTTCGAAGCATCCAACGAGCTCAGTGACATCCGAAGATGGCGAAAGACATTGTTCAACAAGCTTCGCATTGCAAAGTTCAGCTAGGCTTGAAACGACGGAGGACTTTCCGCTAGCTGCTTTTCCCACAAGTAGGCAAGGTAACCTCAATTTGATACAACGAGCGACAGCTTCCATAGGTAGCATGGAAGAGAGAAGTATGCTTGGATCGGTGTTCAGCGTGTTCTCACGATGCGAGTTATAAAACGTCCCATTTCTTTGCAGTGTGGTGTCTCCAACTCGAAAACGAGTCTCTTCGATTTCAAGTGTAGGTAAAGCAGTAGAGCTCAAGGATTTGCCAAAGAAACGCTGATACACCAAATCTACTTTGGCTCTATCAGAAAGACTTCGAAATCTTTGGAAGTAAAGATCCCTCGCAGCCCCTTCATTGGTTGCAGATGTTGACGAAATCAGGTCACACCATCGAAATACATCCCGCAAGTTGAATTCCCAAGGACTTCCTTCCGAACCATATTCCCGTTTATCAACAACATCTTGATGAATCGTTTCGTTGAAGCCAATCATCTTTTGTACCAGCTTATGTTCGAGAGTTGGGTATCTTGAGACCAAGATTGAGCTTAGATCAGAGTCCTTCAAAGCTTCCACATAAACCTTTGTGAAACGATTCAGAAATGACTTTGGCAGTCCTTTTCTCCCTCCACCTTGGGCCAATGGATTTTGCGCTGCGAAAACACGGAAAGAGCTAGGACAGTCAAAGTTCTTCCCCAGCTCTGGTATGTAGACAGATGCTCGGTGATCAAGACAACTATTCAAGCCCTCGAGAACTGTCTGGGAAGCAAGATTCAACTCATCGAGTAAGACCCAACTACCTTCCTTTATTGCAGTCAAGAGGATGCCATCACACCATTCGAAGGTAGCACCACCTGATGCCGAGGAAACTGGAAGGTCGCTCCCCATCAAATCGGCGATATCTGTCTGCTCGGATAGGTTGATTCGTACGAGCTTGTGACCAGAAGCTGCAGCCAGAGCTGTAATAAGACTAATGGGCAAGGTCAGAACAGGAAACAAAACTTTAGAAATAATGGAGGATGGACATACCTTGTTTTCCCAACACCTGGAGAACCCTCAAGAAGAACTGGCTTATTCAGCTGCATGGCTCGCAGAACTCGAAATACATTCAACCCAGTCGTTGGAGCAGTGAAGTTGAAAGTCGATTCAGTTGTTGGTATCGGTCCAGTACTGATAAAGAACGGACTGGAGCCAAACTGGCTTGAATGACTAACATTGAAGCCTTCGGTCGTCCCGGAGAGATTGGATATCTTGGTTTTCGATGGCAGCTGCCCTAGTAGATAAGCCTCTCCTTTCTTCTTGACTTGTGCAGCATCTTCAACTGCAAGCCCCGACCCCAGTCCAAAACCGTCGATATGCATCAATGATGCCCCGTGGCAGTATGCATCCCACATACTCAATTCGCTATTTACATTCCGAGCTGCAACTATGAAGCGTGCCCAAGACAGGACATCTCGAAGTGTGAGCTTGAAATCAACAAACGGGCTCGCCCTATCCCCACATATTCTACCATTGAACCACTCAACATATGTCAACATGCGATCAAGGAGCGGGCCTAGGTTTGTGGATTCAATAGCAACATCACGTGGAATCAAAGTTCGACTCAGTACAAGCTCAAAGTCGCTTCTTGCAGTAACTGCTGGTACCCAGATTTCCGTAAAACGACTACGAAGCGCAGGGCTAAGTTCTCGTTTCCCAAAATCACCTCCCGGGTTCATTGTTGCAAAGATCCGAAAATCATCGGCCGCAACCACAATTCGACTCTCAACCTTCGAACCATCATCGCCCTTTTCAGCAAGAACGATCGTCCGGGAAGGTTCCAAGACCGAGTTCAAGCGTTCGAGAACAGCGTCTTCTGCAAGACTCATTTCGTCGAGGAGAAGCATCTGGCCGGATTTCATTGCTTCTACAAGTGGTCCATCAGACCATTCAAAAAGAGTGCCATATCTGCGACCAATCTCCGTTATCTCGTCCAATAGCCCAGCGCAGGCATCTGATGATTCTTCATCCATTTCCGCTTCAGAGCAGTCCGACGAAGGGCCTGATTCGTTCAACTTTCTGCGTTTTCTTTGCCTTTTCCCTGGCTCAGTTGAATCTGGAAAGCTTTTCGCTATCGATGAAGCAATAGACATCATTTCCTTCACGGAACAAACTTCGAAGTCTTTCTCACGTAGTGAGCTCTCATTATTCGATAGCCGCTGGAACAACGCAGATAACTTCTCGGGAACGACAATGTCCTTGAGGTAGTCAGGATGACACAGGTCAAATACACGTTTCAGTTTTAACACAATCTGCTGCACCATTCCATCACGGCCGCGAACAGGTCGAAGCCCTCCGATCAAATCAGATGTCTCTGTTGTCGCGTGGCAATTCACAGCATAAAGCTGCCTATTGAATACAAAGCTCAGAAACTGCACAACTGTTGTTTTCCCGCACCCAGTATCTACATATACCATTTGAGAAATGAGTTAGCACAGAGCGATATTCAACCAACACTAGGTATAATGCACTTACCCCCAACAAGCAAGACTGGCTCTTTTTGTTTTATGCAGCGTAAAACCAGTGAGATTAGACGAAGCAGTGTCTTTGTTGCAGCTATTGACTCCATAAGAGGATTCGATGTTTGTTGTAGCTGCTGTGTAGCTTCTGCAAGCAGCTTCCTCGCCTCTGAGTCAGGTCCGTAGTACTTCTCGTCCAGATTCAACTTCACTTTCAAATTTGTTTCGATAATGTCTTGAACAAGCTCTTTTTCATCCTCTGATCTCAATCGTTCTGCCAATAACATGTAACCGTGCTCTCCAAGATCTTGCTTCGAAGTCGAATCTCGTTCTGCCCACCTGAGCAAATCACGGGGTGTTATGAAACTGTTCTTTCCGAGAAATACGTTGCTTTTACTTCTTTGAGTCCTCAGAGCTACCATGATGTCAACTAGGCGTTTCGCATGAGACGGCGGACAAGCGCATCTTTTCTCAAGAATGGTCATCATTTCGTCAGATGGAATGTCGCCCATATGAATCTCCACGAACCGATTACGAAATGCTCTTGATAAAGGTTTTCTTCCTCCATAGATACCCGCTGGGTTCTGGGTTGCAAAGAGACGAAAGTCAGGATGTGGGGTAACAACTTCATTTGTCTCTGCGAGATAGAGCTCTCGATTATCATCAAGCAAGCGATTGAGTGCTTCAAGAACCTCACTTGGAGCCAAGTTCAGCTCGTCCAATATAACCCAGTGTCCCTGTCGAAGTGCTCGAACAAGGAGCCCATCGCGAAATGATAATGATCCATTCTGGTCGGCAACAAAAGATCCCGTATACTCCTGGACATCTTTGAATTCATTGTTAGTGCGGATGTAGTGGTTCCACAAAGAATCGAAAGTAACTTACCAGTATGCTCATGATTGTTTATTCGAACAACTTTGTGGCCACAGCGGGCAGCAATGTACTCCACCAGTGTTGTTTTTCCGGCGCTAGTTGGACCTTCCAAAAGTACTGGCCATGGTCCTGCAGTGATCGCTCGCGACAATCGACGCAAGCTTGTAGAAACTGATTGAGTGAGAATAAATCTCGCTTTCCCAGTTGACGAAGAGACTTCTGACCAATCAGCGCTTTCCCCTGGTCCAACTTTTACCCAGAATGGTTTCAACAAGACATAATCTTCTTCTTTGCCTTTTCCTCCAGGCCGCCTACCCGGGTGTTCTAATACCGACTTCGACGTACCCTGAGGAAGTAGCGGTTTTAGTGCTTTTCGGACGACCCTTGTCGAAGAATCATCCAAGGCACCCTCAAACGACAGCTGAAACCCTTCGTAAATAGCCCTTTGTAAAGACAGATTTTGCTGGACAGCCAGAGTCTTTGCAGCACTTAAAGCGCGAGATAGAGTTCTCAATGTATATCTTGGCTTATGACCAGCTCCATCAGAAAGACTCGCTTCCGCAAGCTGTCGACATTTCAAGTATACGTCAACAACATCAATCACAACCTGGGAGTGTTCAGGTGGCTTGCCATCAGAAGCTAGAACGCCATCGAGATATCGGCAAGCAATAACACGTAGTTCGACCGGATCAAGCAACTCGTCGACATAGATCTCAGAGAAGCGAGACCGAATACTTGCAGGGAGATCTTTCTTTCCAGCATCAGTTGCCGGATTCATGGCGGCAAACAATCGAAAATTTGGATGCCGCGTAATCGCTGACGCATCACCCCGTTCCGTGAGTGTTACACTGCCGTCTTTGTCATCGAGCAAACCGCAGAGTCTCTGCAGTGTGTCAGCTGAAGCAAGATTCATTTCATCCAGTAGAACCCTGATAAGAAACGTATCATCGTCAGAATAACGCAAACAAAACTGCCTTTCGATACATGCCTTACCATTTGCCATTCTGGATGGCATCTACAAGAACACCCTCTGAAAAAACAAATGCAAGACCTGCGTCACAAGTCAATCTCTGCTTCTCAAAGCGATCGGCACTATCAACAAACTTTTGCCACGCAAGCTTCAGAGCAACTTGCTTTTTTGACAGCACCTGGTCTGCATTCACACTCTGTTCTTTCATTTTTGCAAGTCCAAGTTGTGATGCCCTTTGGAAACACTGCGATAGCTTTTTCCAGTTCGATTTCTCTTGCATTGAAGCCGCATACTGAAGGAATTTGGCGTTTTGTTTCCTTGAGAAGGTAGAAACAAAGATATGGACGAAATCGTTGTAAACCCTTCTTGCCACATTCTTGATCTCAAGAGGCTTGTATCCTCCAAGAAGATCGGTAGAGTCTGTCTGAAGCGAAAGATTCTGGACGATTAGCTCCCTTTCACAGTTCGCCGCGAGTTGTTGAATCAAACTAGTTTTTCCACATCCAGTTTCGCCAACCAGAAGTACAGCTTCATTCTCTCTGATACAGACTCCAACTGACTCCATCAGTCGCAATGCATAATTGGTCTGTGCGAAAGTTTTGGATTTCTTCATGGAATGATCAAAGTGATCGTGCAACTGAATCCGTGCTCTACCAATCTCAAAAGCATCTTCCCCTATTACTGTCGGAGGTTGCCTGCTCTCAATGTAGCTCACCGCCAAGTCTCGAGACACGCCCCAAATAGGAGCAGCCAGCATATTTACAAAGTCGAGTCTCCAAGCTTTTTCTGGGCATGCTCCGACAAAGATGTCGACGCATTCTGCAAGGCAGAGCATCCGCTGCGCTTCAGTTGCATATGCCTGATTGTTTTCGAACGTGACGCCATTTGATAACCGTGACAGTAATTTGAAGAAGTCTCGAACTGATGGATTCCGTCCTCCAGTCCACAACCTTGTCTCGGGGGTGTCAGGAACGTCAATGTCCTTATCCCTGATGTCCTCCTCTTCTTCCTTTTTTTTCTCAGTTGACAGCGAGCCCTTGCGACCACTTCTGTCAAGTTTTTGCAATATTGTAAGGGCAGCCTCAATGACAAACCCTGGGAGATTTCTGAATAGTGACGACGCCACTTGTTTCAATTCGTCTGAAGGCATTGGTTTGACATAAACTTTTCTCCACAGTGATGGGCTGAGAATACGCTTTCCTCCGCCCCTGTTGGAACTCATTCGTAGATTTCGTTGAGCTTCATGCGCTGTTGTTGTGCAAGTACCGAAAATTCGAAAGTTTGGATGACATCTTTCATATTTTCCATTTCCAAGTGGTAACATCCGGCTTTCCAGCAGTTTGACAAGCGTTGCCTGAATCTCTATTGGTACAACATCAACATCTTCGATGAGGACCCAGTGCCCTTCACGAGTGGCGTGAGTCAATGCACCAGCTCGCCATGCAAACTCTCCAGGAATATCTGTCGTCGTGTATGAACCAATCAACGTTTTGGAGTCTGTCTCTTCATCGATGTGAAATTCCATCAGACTGTCTTCATCTGGTCGGCACATGTGCAGCAGTTCTCGCACAAGGCTAGACTTTCCAGAGCCATGTGGTCCACATACCAGAATCGGCGGCGGGTAGGGTTCTTGACATAGAACTGAGCCGAGGAGAGAGATATTTCGGCCCGCTGTCGGAGTGAGAATGAGTCTCTGTTTCGAGTCGTCAGCATTGTCGACAGATTTTGATGGTGCTTGAGTTGTTGCACCTATTATTTTTTTCAATGAAGCATACTTGTAAAATACCAGTCCAGGTCCCACATCAGCCAGTAGACTCGAGGTAGGAAGTATATGTGATATTTGTTCGGAAGATGGTAGAGCAAGCTCCTCTGAACCCCAAAGGCTTGCACATGATCGAAAAATCGACGATTGGAAGTCGGCTTCCTCTATATTCAGGTCCCATGGATGGATATGCCACTGAACTCGACTTTCCTCCACTTCAAGACGCTTCAGCATTGATATAACCACTGCTGGTTTCCATTTGAGTAAACTCCCGATGGCTCTTGCGGAATACCACCGAATTGCCTTCATCCGAACAATATCGTCTTGCCCTCCATCATCATCGGTGCTCATTGCCACGTCTCTTGGTTGCAGCATGTCGAACAGAAACTTCCAGCTCCATAGTTTTCGCAGTGAAGTTATTTGTTTCCGTTTTGAATAGAATGATAGCAGATAATACATCGCTTCAGCAACGAGGAATGCTGAATCTGTTCTTTCCAATTCGACGTGTTGGAATGGTTCTTTCAAATGTTGGAAAAATTCGGTTACCATGGGAGTCAAGTGAGGAGCTACTGGTAGCCAGTGCGAGAACAAAACAACTGCTTGATATTGCAACGTCGGCGAGTCTGTTCTGTAGGATGCGACAAGAGTACATGTGTGGGCCGCGACTTGCATCGACATTGGGGCCATGATTCGGAGGAGTTGTCGCAAATAGTCCGACCTTCTGTATTGGTAAGGTTCCACAAGTGGTTCTACGTCCTCAGCTTCTTCGTTTTCAATTCCAGGGAGCATGGGCTCTATTGTAGATAACTTTGGTAGATTGGAAGTTTCTGCAGCGAGAATGTTGATTGCACACGACGACAGCAAATTTCGGGCAATAGTATCCACCAAATGGCCCAGATCCTCTTCATTTGATTCCACGGTCATCGAATCCTCCGTCTGTGTCTGGGACAGGGCAAGTGATGCCGAAAACATGCGCTGCATATAATCATGGACAGCCTGCTTTGGAGACTCGGATTTTTGTTCTTTTTGATCGTCCATGATGTATGGTTGCTACTTCTTCACTTTTGTAGACACGTATCTTTTCTTCGCCGATGTCACTGATTACCGAGTATCCCTTGCTCTTAATATTGCCTCTCTTCTATACAAATTTCCTCTGATGGTGATGGAATTGTAAGAGTAGGCCTTAGATCCCTTCAATGATACGAAGAAAAATGTGAGTGTTTGATTCCTTTTTTTTCGTTGGCTATTCCCAAAGCAAGGCAAACGCGCGACATCGTGCGCATGACCATTAACGCTAAGTCAGTACTTTATGCATCTTTTTGTTCTGCAATGTCATAAAAAAAATTGTAGCAAAAAAAGAGCTTGTTGTTTCCGTTTCAAGAACTTCTTGAAGCGCACGACAACCAAAGATATCCCTTGGTATTCATATTTACGCATGGAGTTTGAATTGCGTGGCAAACGACTCTTGAAGTTGTCGTCGTCAGAGATGACTGACACAAGACCATCAAAACGTGTTCAGAATTCTTCTGAGAAAGGTTCCGCCGATTTGAGTGCAATGCCTACTGACGTGATTTACAATGTCGCTTCGTTTCTCGATGCCAAATCGCTATTAAATATGAGAACTCTCAATCGTTCGTTCCGCGTGATTGCAAGTCACAACAGCGCTGGATGGGATTCATTATGCGAAACATTTTGGAAGACAAAAATTCATATTCGACCGGAGGCTCGAGACTGCACGGACCGAATGGCGGCATATCGTTTGGCAGTCGAAGATGCTCGGACACGAGATCATCTACTACCAGAAGAGCTAATCTATGATGTTGAAACAAAAACTGGGACCATTTGGAGTTTTCGGTTTAAGCAATCCGCAGGAGAGGTTGGTATCCGCGACTGCCTGATGTGTCACCTTAAGTCAAAACTATTATTTCTCACATGTAGCATAAATTCTTTCAACGCATCACAGGACTGGACAGAGTCAGATCCCTGGTTCAATGGCCTTCCCTGTCGCAAGATGGTGTTTCTTGCCAATGGCAGAGTGAAGATGCTTGTTCAAGATGACGATGGGGAACCATCAATTGAACACCCACGCTTTAGTCAACTGGAGCCTACGCTAGCCGACCCGCCACTGGACATGGCCTGGCGCTTTCTTTCACGCCCCCTAGACATGCCAACAAGACCAGAGGGTTCTTACATTCGCTTTTCTGTTGGCGGGAGAGATGTACCAACTTACTGTGTTCACCGAAGTCCGACTAAGAATTGGGGTTTTGTCATGGAATCGTGCTGGGGTGTCTATGCCAGTTTCGAATTACCCAAGAAACCCATCTCTCCAACAAGTAGAATACTCCGAAGGGCACAGGATGGTGCAGGGAACTGGTTCAATGTGGAAGTGGAAGTCGAGGATGGTGAATTATCAGAATGTGAACACGATGACGATGATGGTGATAATGAAGAAGAAGGTCAGAATCGAAACCGATTGTTGATTGACGACGACTCGTTTGCGGTAACAAGTGGTCTTCAATGGAAGGAAGCTTTCCTGTATAATTTTGGAGCAAGAACCTTGCCTGAGGGCGATGACGCTGTTGCTCAATTTGAGCGAACCTACGGAGCAGTCCTCAACAGGATGAACGTTACTGCTGATATCGAGGCGTAGCTAGGGGCAAAGCTATATTCATTCAGTCATTCATTGTTGAGAACTACGTCTTTCTCAATATTTTTTTTCAAAACAAATGTGCTACATCTTGGGGTCAATGGCAGCCTCCCTTGTGGCAACTTCAGTGGTAAAACTTGTGATGGTGACTACCATACTACGTGGTTGGGAAGAAATGAATGATTCCCAGCTGACTATTGAGAAACCAAATATGGTCTTTCTCTACTCGTACAGTAGGGACAGTACTGTGGTCTACCTTTACTCATGGCGCGTCATCGGTAGCAATAGTCCGTCTGGTGTTGACAATAATATTCTTGGGGAAGGGAAAGATAGATAATATATGTACTGTATACAAAAATTTCTGTCGATAACTCCAATGTATTCATGTTGATTTCATGAATGAATCAAAACTTAGTCTTGTTTTCCTTTCCATATAATGGAAGATGACAGAATCACCTACCGGTATTCTCCCTGTTTCTAATAATACAGCACTGCTATTTTAAAACTGTTTTGCCGACAAGCTTCATTCATTCACTGCAAACTGATTTTCAATATTCTGTGTGATTCCTTGCGTGCGTGCACAGAAAAGACCGATGTTTGTCCTGGTCCACCATTCACATTGCACTATTACTTCCCCAGTTGTTTCCCTCGAGCGACTGACTGCATCTCCCTTTTTTTAAAAGTCAGCGTCAAGATCGAAGCAGTGATTGTTCTCAACTCCTACCCCAGACTTGGCGTACTCCCCAACACGTTTTTCGAAAAAGTTGGTCTTGCCTTGAAGTGAGATGCTTTCCATCCACTCGAAAGGATTCTTGGTATTGTAGTGGCGAGCGCATCCAAGAGAACCAAGAAGACGATCTGCGCAAAACTTGATGTACTCGGTCATGAGAGTCGAGTTCATTCCAATCAACTCGACGGGAAGAGCATCACTGACGAATTCCATTTCAATATCGACCGCAGACTTGATAATTTCGACAATACGTTCTTCTGGAAGTTGGTGGATTAGCTTCTTGTACAGCATGCAAGCAAAATCGCAATGAAGTCCCTCATCACGGCTGATAAGTTCGTTGGAAAAGGAAAGGCCAGGCATGAGACCACGCTTCTTCAACCAAAAGATGGCGCAAAAGGAACCCGAAAAGAAGATTCCTTCAACGGCGCAAAAGGCAACGCAACGTTCCGCAAAACTAGCGTAATCCTGGTTGCACCATTGCAGCGCCCAAGCAGCCTTCTTTTGGACACATGGAACTGTATCAATGGCGTGCAAGAGATGCATCTTCTCCTTTTGGTCCTTGATGTAAGTATCAATCAAAAGAGAGTAGGTTTCCGAGTGGATATTCTCGACCGCAATCTGGAATCCATAAAAGCAACGGGCTTCTGCAGATTGAATCTCCGTCATGAAATTCTGTGCCAAGTTTTCATTGACAATTCCATCGCTGGCAGCAAAAAAGGCCAAGACGTGCGAGATGAAATGACGTTCATTGTCGGAAAGTTTGACCCAGTCTACCATGTCGGAACCCAAGTCAATCTCTTCCGAAGTCCAAAAGGATGCTTCTGCCTTCTTGTACATTTCCCACAACTAGAAAGAAATCAAGAAAGGAAGGAAGAAAAAGAATGGAAAGGTGAAGGTTAGAATGGGAACTCGAATACTAAAACAATTCGCATTGCATTGTTCCATCCCTGCACAGCACAGCACAGCATTGTTTTCTATCTTACATCATTGTCTTGAATGGGAAAGATGACAAAGCGATGAGGATTCTCCTTCAAGAGTGGTTCGTCCGCAAAGAGTCCTTGTTCCTCCTTGAGTTTGTGGTCTGTCTTTTTGAATCTTGGTGTGACCATGGCACCATGGGTGGAAGAATCTTGCGAGGATTCGTCAAAGGAATCATCAATGACTGAGACTTCAGCTAGCGGTTGCTTTTCTTCGACCTCCTCAGAGGTCGAGAGGTTGGACAGTTGGTGGTCAAGAGTGGAGGGAAGAACTGGCATGGTGGAAGACTTGGAAGTTTTTGTTTTTGTGATGGGATCGTCCTTGGGGTTGCTTGGACCTCTGGTACAGATTTCTACCTGCCGGTTGTACGGCACGCGTGCGCCAGACAATGCGCCAGTAGTGAGTTGACGTAAACTTTTTCCGTGTGTGGATAATGTAACAAGATCTACAGCCTTGTGAGAATGGCGCACAGAAACCCGGAATGAAGAATGGGCCAAAAAGAAGAAGGATGAATCAGCATCATCCATCACCCGCCAATATTATTGAATTGAATATGTTCTTTGAAATTCAAATTCAAACCAACAACAAACCCGCGGGAACTGCACTGCAGACGCGAAGAGTACAGTACCAGGTACCAGTACCTGTACGGTATGATCGACAACCTACAGTAACTTGATCAACGAATGAATGCTGACTCATAACTTCTTTCCTTACCATCGTGATCTTGCGTGCTCATTGCATCGTCCTACAGTACCGGTACTCTAACCCTTCGTTCAACAGGTGACAAATAAACACACGACAATCAATCAATGATTTATTGCTGGGGCACGCAGCTCTTAAATAAAAGAAAGATCGAACGTATCAGTGATGACATGCGATGTGCGAATAGTAGCAACGAAACCAGTATCAAATCATTCGGTCCTTTCAGCACGTCCAGCAGTTGCAGGTAGGCATCACATTGGCTTTGAACACCTTCAAATGCTACAGTACTATAAAATAGATTCCACTACGGGTTCTGTAGATCCAATCAATCGACGTGCTCGAGGTTATCTACCGATAGAGTACACGAAGGAATGTATGGATCGTTGTAAAGGGGCTTTGCAAAAATCCGTATTATGTTATTGATGCATGCATGAGGACAGGGAAAGAGAGGTAATAATGATGAATATGTAGTATATTTAGTAGCTTTTATTATCGAGAACTTCATATGAATGTCATTAGTCTTGTGCTCCTTCCCAGGCTTCCACCATAAAGTCAGCATCACCACCTCCAAACTGAAGGGCAGCCGTTGTCACTCCTCGAATCTTGTCATCGAGCTCATGGCAGATGTCACAAGTCCAGCTGTTGGGAGTCATGGAGCTGTAGCTTATTGTCACATTTCCAGGAAGGCCGAGATGATGAACACCATCTTCAATGTAGCTTTGTTCCCGTGGGGTATCTTCCGCAAAGGATTTTTGTTTCGAAAGCTCGGGTCCCAACAAACCCGACACGGTTCGACCATCCAATCCACCACCATCGGCACGGGTCCCACCAGTAGACTCGTCACTGGTTCGTCGCTCGTAATGCAAATGGACGGGGGACTTGACAGTGAACAATTTCTCCTTGCACGAAATTAGATCCAATACCACCCTCATTCGATACCCCTCGTCCATTCCAAAAATGGACTCTAACCGGTACGACTTATTATCATGATCACCAGAGGAAGATTCGTACTGTACACCAATCACGTCGCCATTAACGTCTTTTTCATTCATATCCAAAGTTTCACTCTTTTTCATGGTCTCCAAGTTGTCCACTCCGCAACCGGTGGCCGGCAACACGACGATGCTAGTTCGCTCCATTTTCATGTCATCCATGAGGTCTTCGCTGACCAAGGTTTCCAAACACTTTGGTTCTTGACCCCATTCGAGCAAAGAGGCATCCATAAGATGGACGGGAATGGGAATGAAACTACCATCAATGGGATCAAAGGTGGCATCCAAACCAGCAAAATCACCACCCAGTGGGGAGGATGCCAATCGTTGAGTCGTAAAGGTGCGCTGAAATGTAGTACGAAGCTGACGTCGTTTGATTGGCACCATCAGTGAAGATGTCACCTCAATCAAGGCCAAGCTTTTCAGTATTAATGCTCCTTTTCGAATGTGCATGGTCATCGTGGGTATTATTTGGATCGATCGATCGATCGGTTGGTGGGTGATGTGTGATGGATGCGATGATGTTTATGTCGACTACATGACTAGTCCGACCAAAACCAATGGTGAGGGTGGAAAGAAAGCCGCAAAGCATGATGATGACGCCAAACAAAAAGTCAATGATAATAATGCTTTTCGTTATTTCTATTAGCGTGATGACATCGTCGTCGAAAAGATACTGCAATGCGTCTTGTGCGGATGAATTCTAAGCAGGAATCAATCAATCAATCAATGAATCCAATTCTCTATGGTGGTTGTAGTCTTGTTGTGTGTATGGATGGAGCACCTCTTTCTCTTACTGTAGGAACGAATTCAGTAAATGTTCTTCACGGTAGATTGGGTTGGTCTTGGCCAGTTTTCGGCAGTGGCCGTGGACAATATGTGAAAAGGGGAGGTTGCATCCCCATGGCCGTCTCGTTTCCTCTTCTTGTTTTGCCAGTCGTTCTGCTTCAAGCCTTGCTGCTTCCAGGCGAGCTTCTTCGGCGGCCTTGCGTTGTTTTTCTGCCTCCTTTCGTAGGCGCGCTTCTTCTTCTTCCCGGAGACGTTTTTCTCTTGCTGCTTTTTCTGCTTTTTCTTTGGCAGCCTTTTCTTCGGCCGCAGCCTTTTTCTCGGCAGCAGCTACAATACGTTTCTTTTCAGCCTCTTCGGCTGCTTTTTGGGCTGCTTTGCGCTTGCGTTCGGCTTCTTCCTGTGCCTTCTTTTGTTCCAACCGAAGTCTTTCAGCTTCTGCCGCCTTGGCTGCCTCAGCTGCTTTACGCTTCCGTTCGAGTTCTTCTGCCTCTCTTGCCTTTCGAACTTTCTCCATTCTAGCAATGTTGGCGGCTTCTTGCTCTTCGGCCGTACGATTTGTAAGTGTATATTCGTAGATATCCTTGAGATCGAAATAGGTTGCCTTCATGGCATCTGGATACGATTTTCCTGCATGATTCGTTTTCCAGTGAATTGCACTTAGCATCAGACTACCAAGAATGACAAAAATGACAGCAGCTCGTTGCATTCGTCGCTTTTGGAGTTTCTTTTTGTAGATTTCACTCCTTGACAATTTCTTTTCAATGACCAACTTGGTTGTTCTCTTTGGCATTTCTTTTGGTGTAAAATCTGGATTATCTGTGAATCCTAGCTTCATGACGGGTGCCTCCCATTGTGTCTTGTTGCTGTTCTTCTCGTAGTAGTATTCACGTTCGAACTTTTCATCCCAATACACCATCCATTCTTCATTTGGATTCGGCGACTTGTACTTTCGCGGATACAAACTTTGATTAATGGAAGTGGAAGATGTCGCATTCTTGTTTTCGTCCCCATCAGGTGATTCGGGTGATCCAACGGAAGACTTTTCGTCGTTTGCAAACTGCTCCAACATCTTTTGCATTTCTTCCGCCATTTGTTCTGCCTTGAGCGATGCCACAACCGACTTGTCACAGGTAACACTAGCGTCACTCGAGATACGAGATCCTCCAAAGCTCATGTTGAGACCTCCTTCCTCTTCTTCGTCCAGCAACTTTTGAATGGCTTGTGTTTCATTCTTGATAAAGAATTCCATTTCACTTTCAAGTTTGTCCATGACTTGACGGGTAAGAGCCGAATTGACAGTCGTAAGTCCAGAAATAACCGATTTATCGTCATCGTCCGAGTCTTCGTCCGATGCAGCCCCAGGTGGGAAATCACCAGCAGTGACCTCAGCTGTAGGACGGTTGACACTAAAGGATTCGGAGGAAACACTGTTCAATATGGGTGTAGCCGCTGTTTCTTCCTCCTCGTCTTCCGGCGCTTCCATAACCGGAGCAGGTGATGTTTCCACAGGGTCGGTTGCAGGTTCGTCGGTACCCTCTACCATGGAGGTTTCATTAACAGGTGCACTAGATTCTGGAGGCTCTTGTTGTTGCGGTTTTGGTTCGTCCTTAACCTCGACTGGTTCTTGTTCTACAGACATGTCTTCTGGGACAGTGGAAGGCATCGATTTTGATTTCATATCTGGCAGGTCAGGCATTTTCTTTTCCTCTACCGTTGATTTCAAAACTTCTTCTTCTTCATGTGTTGGAGATGCACTGCGTAGAGACACACCAGGTGGATCTTGTACAGGTGCAGCGGGAGGCGGGGAAGGCGGTGGAGCTGCAGCTTCAGGGGTTGACGATTCATCAATAGAAACATTAACGCCTTCTCGTGGATTTTTTTGTGGCGTTTCGTGGACCAGTTCAAGTTCGTCATCCAGGTCAAGTTCGTCATCCGTAAAGTCTCCATCCACTTCTTCTTGCACGGCCGGAGGAGTAGCCTTCCTGTCTATAGTCTTGGAATTAGCAGCTGCATTCTTATTCTTCTGGAATTTGTGAACGTAGCGTTGATATAGCAGCATAGTTTCTCGTTCTTTTCTCCGGCAATCTGATCTCTTTTGTTGCAACTCAACATACAAGCTGTCAAACGGATTCAGTTCCCCACCATTGGAAGGCACAAACTCGGAAGTCTGGGCTCTACGACGCTCCAAATCTGCCAAGGCAGCATCAGCTTCAGCTTTTTCTTGAGCCAGTTTCTTGGAGGTTTCTGTGAAATGCCGATTCATAAACTTGGCGACTCCTCGGTTCCTTAATTCGTCCAACTCATCTTGCACTTGGTACTCACGGTGCGTCGTGTAATCCTTTGCCTTGGATGTTGGATTCGCGGGCGAGGCTGTTGGTGGTGGTGGTCTCCTTCGTACCATGATAGATGATGTTTCAAAACGAATGCGTTTTCTAGGTTTTGAAGTAAATTACTCTCTTGTTCCTATGGAAAACTCGATTTGGAATTCAAAAGACTGACTGACTGAATGAATGAATCCAATCGAATCCCTGTGACCCCAAACGCGAACAACCCAAAGCCTCTTTTCAGCTAGCTGCAACAATGGACAATGCTATTGCTGCAAAGGTAAATTACTTCTTGAAATAGACAATACACCTTGGCAACAAAGTTATTGTGTTGAAGAATCCAAACCAAAAAGTAGATGGGAGGATGTTTTTATTTGATCTTGAAGAAGCATCTCACCCGAGTTGGGCCAAGCAAGATGGCAAGAACGCCAAGACATTTACTTCTCGGGTTTGTATGGCGAAAAACATCGCACTGACAACCTGAACAGAGTTCGAAAAACTCAGGCCAATCAATTTTCCCCTCACATGTTCAAAATTTTGTTGAAAGCCCGCCATCCCTCAGAAAGGAAGACCCGGATGACCACGTCACGGTTCCGTCTGCCCTCTTTCCACACTCACAAAACACAATCCCAAAAATCCGAAGAAAAACGAGATCCACAATATTGACGACGTCGATTGCCAGCTGTCAACAAATAATTCTACAGTCTTCCACCTTTGTTTACACTCAAAGGAACCAAATAAACAAGCAACCAAGCAACAGGATCAACTGGAAGATACATTCACAATGAAGATTGATATTGGAGCCATTGCGCTCCTCGCGTCAATGGTAGTGCCATTCACTGGCACCACAGCCTTCCTCCTTCCGACCATGCAACATACCAACCAAATGAGTACTTTGAGCAAAGCTTCCTACAATAGCTTTTCTCTTGCTCCATTGTGCGCTGCTGCAGATGAGGACGAGGAAGAAAAGAAGGAAAATCCTTATGCTGATCCCAACTATCCTGATTTGGAATTTGTCAACTACGACGATCCCGAATACCAAGTGGATCAAGGAGTGGGCAACGAATTCTTTGATGCAGATTCCACCGAGGCTCAAGTTGAGGCCATGCGGGAAGAGAGAAGAATGCGGAATGATGAGTTTCAGTTTGAAACATATTACCAGGATGTCCTACGAAATGGCGCAGAATTCAAGGGCGAGTGGACCGTTTTTCAAACTTCCACCTTTTTGCCGGAAACCAATGGAAAAGCGGAATTTCCAAAGTTGAAGAAACTTGGAGAACCTTTCAAGGTTTACAGCAAGGGAGAACGAATTGAAGTGAAGGGGGACGGGGATGCTGAATTTCGACTAGAAAATGCACGACTTTTGCACACTGAGCGCTTGTTTGTAGACTCATCCTCTGATTCTGGATCAGTCAGTGACGACATCAAGGCAGTACAAGAAGAAATTGTTAATGCTCAGTATGCACCCCACGAAATGAAGTCGGGAGATTTCCGAGGACAACAAGGAAACATGTGCGTCGGCAACGGATTCACTATTGCGACTGCAACTAGTTTGAAGGATGGACAACCAGCTGGCGAAGGCCCTTATGGAGAATATCGTACCGAATTGGGAGTTCAAAATGAGGAACTAAGGTTCCGCGTCAAGTTGGAGTATGCTGTACGAAAGGTAGAAAAGGATTCCATGGAAATGCCACCACTGCATTTAAAGACCATGACACTCTGCCGAGAAGCCGAAGGAATGTGGCCACGAGCGGAAAACTACAAGTCGGCAATTGAATCACTAACTGACCGTGTTTTCTTTGGACCTGCTGGTGCTAATGGAGGCTTGTACGACCCTCCTCCAGTTGGATCAGAAGAGCAAGCAGGACAATATATGTTGTTGGATTTGGAAGGTGGTGCGTCACTGCTGGTACCCTACAAGATGGATCAAGATCCAATGGTTCATGAAGATATGGGTTGGGTCACCAGTTTTGATTGGTCACCAGGTCCCATTCGGTTTCAAGTGGATCGAAAGATTAATGGGGGTAGTGGAATCCTTGGACTGCGAACCTTGGAGTTGAGTGAGGTGCAAGCGGCAGATGCGGACACTTACCGTCCAAAAGATGGAGGTGCCAACATGCGACAATAAAGTTAATAGATGCAAGTACTAAATAATGGTTGTGTTTGTATTCGTATATTGATGTCCACCTACATTGTGGCGACACAAAGGGTACCAGGTACCGGTACACTTGATGTGCCTCAATTTGAAATTTTGTGGCGATGATGTACGGACAGACCTTCAGAATTACGTCAGTCATGCGATTGACGATTCTTCAAGATCCCTCCGACGACGATGTGGTGCAATCACAAACAATCACAAAACAAAAAGTCTGCGGGGCAATAGTGACATTTGGGAAATTGTCATCTGGTTCAACAATTGCGATAGTTTTGGAATGATTTGCATAAGAAGGGTTACTATCACAATGATGTTGGTCCAGCATTGCGTTCATTCCTTCCATCTTCGGTCGATCCGACCAACCACTGCTGTATCGGCGGGTCGAATGCTCCAAGAGCGATCATCCAAGACAGCTCTTTCGCGACTATTTTCTGCAGTTTCTGATGGGGCTGAGAAGAAGAGAGTTGTCTTTTTGGGCACTCCTGAAGTTGCAGCTACCTCGCTCAAAAAGCTATATGAGGTTTCCCAAGAAGATGGAAGCACATTTGAAATTGTCAGCGTCATTACACAGCCCCCAAAGCGAAGACGAAGAAAAGGAAAGCTGGAACCAAGTCCTGTTGGAAAGGTTGCAGAAGAGCTAGAATTAGAAGTGATATCCCCCGAAAAAGTAAGAAATCTACAATGCCACTGAAATCTTGTGATGATCTGCTGTGTCGTCGGATTTCTGACCTTTTGTGATGCCAGGCTAAAGACGTGGAGTTTTTAGACCATTTGGAAAATATTATCAAACCTGATTTATGTATAACAGCTGCATATGGACAATATCTTCCAAAAAGATTCTTGGCAGCCCCAACCCATGGAACAGTGAATATCCATCCCAGTTTGTTGCCCAGATGGCGTGGTGCGAGTCCCGTTCAGCGATCATTGGAGGCAGGCGACAATCCCGTTGGTGTGACGGTTCTCTTCACTATATCCAAGATGGATGCTGGACCAGTCATTAGTCAAAAAGAGGAAATGATTGATGAAAATGATACGGCAACCAATGTTTTGCCCCACCTGTTTGATATTGGTACTGAATTGTTGGTCGATGCCATGCCGGGTTTGCTTTCGGGAAAGATCACAATGGATTCGGCAACGACACAAGACGAAGATTCAGTGGTTCAAGCGGCAATGATTCGTCCTGAAGAAGCAGAATGCAAACCATGGGAAGAATCGGCAGCCACCATACACAACAAATTACGAGGTTTCAGCATGTGGCCTGGGGCGTTTGTTTACCTAGAAGTTGGGGAAGGAATGGAGGCCGCCAAGTTCAAGTTGTTGGAAACTCGAGTTCTTGATGAAACAGCCGATGCAACAGATGCCGTCTTGCCTGGATCAAGCAAAAAGGATGGATTGCGTTTGGTCTGTTCTGATGGATCCGTTTTGGAGATCAATAGATTGCAACCAGCAACACGTAAGCCTATGGATGCTCTTTCTTTTGTGAATGGGTTGAATGGAAAGACAGTTCGTTGGGTCAAGACTCCTTCCGAATAGATAGACTAGAAGCTTGAAGTTGATCCTAGAAGTTGTATAAAGTTGAGTTTGTTGCTTACTGGATTAGGAGACACTGCATCACCCCCTTTTTGAAACTAAGAATCGGTTGCAGTTTCTTCGATTGGCATCTTTTCGACATCATCGCAGAATTCCTTCAAAGCTGGCAACATAGTTTCGGACCAATACTCTCTATCCCGCGGTATCCTCAGAATGCAATGATTTCTACTCTTGCCTTTGGGAGGAATATAGATCATCAAATCACACCACTCTCTGTCACAGATAGCTAGTTGGCCTTGGATTTGATCAAAGAAGCGATTTGGACAATGTTCAAAGATTGAAAGCTCTTTCTGGTTGCGCCTTCCCCACAGACATTTGATTTCTAGTAATCCCTCCGATTGATCGTTCGCATCGACCACCAGACCATCGGGAGATGCGCCAAAGAAGCGAGACGATTCTGGTTCTTGCATGATGTGAAGTCCTGTTTCATTGACTGTATTGCCGGTGACTCGTACATATTGTTGAAAGGCAAGAGGCTCCATCTTCAATCCCCACTTACAAGCTGCAGAGTTCCCTGAAAAAGGTTTGACATTGCCCTGCTTGATATCCAGGAGCTTTTCGCGTGAGGTGAAGAATGAGTTATTCAGAACTGGGCTGAATTCAGATGCTGTCACATCAAGCGTTTTCCTCATTGCCAGCCACATGGATTGATCCGTCCGTTGATGAAATTCCCTTGGATCTAAAATCAGTTGTGTGCCATTGATTAGAGTAACATTTGCCATGGTAGGAGCGCCTTCTGATGCTGGTGGCAAAATAGATACCGATTCGATCTCGTTTGCGGCAACTGATTCCTTGATCGACCTGTGTCTACCCTTTGCGGGTTTCCAACCAGATTTAGCAACTGGTTGAGAAAGTGCTGGCGACTTGCGACCTCGTTTCTTTTTTCGTTGGCTGGATCGCCCAGCCATGTCGTACAGCAACTCTATTGATGGCTCTTCTGTTTTGGCGTTGGCATTGATTTTTTGTGGATTCGCAGAAAAGCCATTTGCAAAGCTTGCTGAGTAATATAAAACCAGAAGGCAACTGAAAACATGAATGCTGCGTGCATTTAGTGAATATTTTCTCATTTTCTATGATGGACAGTCGATGTAAACTTTACTGTGGTTCGGTGCTTGCCGCGGGCAACAAGTTATTGTGGAAGGAAAAATGATGGGACGTCACGTCACGTCAAATCCAACGCACATCAGACCGCGTTTGGAACGAATTTTTTTGAAGACCATGCACGACCACGACGAAAACTGAATCATCGTCATCACGCGATGGTGCGATGGTGCTTTTCCGTTCCTGCAACAGGATCTCATGCACTATCCTTCTAGTGATCATGGTGTTAACGCGATCACGAGCCCTTCTTTCCACTGGTCTCCAGTCAGCGACGACTGCTGCTTCTAAGCGGACAGCTGGATCCAAACGACGAGATCAAACGAAACGATTAGCGACGACTAAAACGACAGTGGCAAAGTCGGCAACGGGGAACAAGAAACCGAAATTAGATAATCCTTTAATTGCTCTCCCAGATGACTGTATCATAGGAACATTGCAATGCAGACCTTCGAAAAGAAATCGTTCACCCTACGTTGCGGATGTTTTGTTGGAAAAAGAAGGGAGAGAGGTCATCTGTCATGTCCCAAATCTGGATTGTGGAGGAAAATGTGTCCCAGGTACCAAGATTTTAATGAAACCTGCTCGCGATAGAAAAGGAAAATTGGTTGGACCTGACGCCAAGAGTCCGAAATATGGGACTCCCAAATGTGAATTCATCGCTCAGCTAATTTATGTGGATGAGTCAGATCTGGGTTACGAGCCAACTTGGGTGGGGGCACATCCATCCTTGGGGGAAAAGATTGCAGAACAACTGGTGGAGGGCAACCTGCTTGGCCCATCTTTTCCAGCCGTAGAATCCTTCAAACGAGAGGTGAAGGATATTGGTGGCGCCAGCATGAGAGCCGACTTTCTCATTCAGCACAAGGATCAAACGCTACCGCCTCGCATTTTGGAAGTGAAAACTGTTGTCGATACTGACTACAAGCTAGGCGCCACTCCAGAACGCGCAAAGTGTGTCTTTACGAGCAAAAAAGACCCGTATATCAGGACAGGAATATTTCCCTGGGGAAACTCGAACCAAAAGGGTCCTGATGGCGAAAATGTTGTTTCTGCTCGAGCCATCAAGCACGTTCGGGAACTAACAAAGCTAGCAAACGACAAGAAGCAGAGTTTCCTTGCAACTGTTCTGTTCATCGTCATTCGAGAAGATGCAAAGGTCTTTCGCCCAAATCACGAGGCGTGTCCATCCTTTGCACGGTATCTAAAGGAAGCCGAGGAACAGGGAGTACAGCTGTTGGCCAAACGAGTTTGTTGGAAAGTGGAAGGCACTACTGCAAAGTGTTTCGAAAGCGACCTTTTGGACATCGAATGGCCCGCAATAGAGTAGATTACATCTATCGTAGTCGATAACACTGCTGAACATAAATCACAACTACGTAGATGATATCCTGGCCATGGATCGCTGAGTGAGTCGAGCTCATCCATTGTAGCATTTTTTAGTGTTCGTTTCTGCAAGAACGTATAATAACGAAAACTTATTCGGACAAGTTGTTCGGACATATTGAGCGAAATCGCGCGAAACTGCTTTTGAACCAAGACATCAAAATCAAACGAAGAACACACAAAACTCTTCCCCATCACAATGAAAACCGTTCTTGTTGTTGCAGCCGTTGTGCTGAACCAATCGGTATGCTTTGGATTATCAACAACATCATTAATATCAAGGATTAGCAACACTGGACTTTACGGCTGGGTTCAAGGTGGAGACGGAGAGTGGGAATGGGAAGAAGATGATCCAGGCTTCGTCGCAGCAACAACCGCTGTTGCGATCGACACTGCCTCTACAGCTACTCCTCAACTACCCGCCGGAAAGCTGAAGCCCAAACAATCGTTGGGTCAAAATTATTTGAAGGACCCAAACACTGTGGCGAAAATGATCCGAGCTTTCCATTCAGATGCCACTGCTCGCGATGCTGGAAAACCACTCGACAAGATCATTGAACTTGGGCCAGGTGCTGGAGCTTTGACTGATCGTTTGGTGGAAAATTATGGAACCGATGTTTTAGAATGCATCGAAATTGACCAGCGCGCAGTCGAGATTCTTGGTGAAAGATATCCCAATCTTGTAGTTCATCATGAAGATGTGCTCCAAGTCAATTATCCTGCGATGGCTGAGAAGGCTGGTCAACCATTGGTGGTGATTGGCAATTTGCCATACTACATTACCAGTCAAATTTTGTTTGCTTTAGCAGATGCGAGTCATTATGGTGCCGTGGATTGTGCGACCGTCACGATGCAATGGGAAGTGGCACAACGAATGGTTGCCCCAACATCTTGCAAGGTACGTTTACAGACGCTCCTGATAGGACGTGCTTCTCTCTTCTCACTTAAATCTCTTTTGATCTATTGTCGTTTCGAATGCAGGACTATGGAATTCTAAGTGTTGTATTTCAAACCTATGCAGAGGTTAAGAACCATTTCAAAATCCCACCTACAGTCTTCTATCCTCAACCAAAGGTGGACAGTGCGTTGGTGGGCTTACATTTTTTGGGTCCTACCAAGCTGAAAGAACGTCTGGCGGGTGTCGATCCAAGAGATTTCCGTAGGGTTATTACTACATCCTTTCGCCAACGGCGAAAAACAATCCGCAATTCGTTGAAGAAGCTGGACGGTATCGATGTCGAGCTTTTGAGTGCTCCGCCTCTCCCCCTTCCAGACTCTGTCGTTGCAGCACGCGAGGCAGGTGACGCGTTTGCCAGTACGCAGGAGTTACCAGATAATTGGTTTACCAAACGGCCAGAGGAGCTCACTCCTGGGCAGTTCGTAGAAGTCACTCGCCTAATCTACGGATCAGAACAGAAGGAAGATCTCGGAAATAAGGTTTGGCGCAAGCTGAAGCATGGCGTCTGAACGTTTCATTGTCTTACTACCTATGGGGGGTGGAACTAGTGTGGTGTGAAATCCTGGTCTAAAATTGGTAGCATGCATGAACGAGCATTCATTGGGAAAACTTCAATAGCTATTGATCTAATTGGTCAAATTCAGAAGGCCTTTTGATTTGGTGAGATACAACTGTTCTGGACGGCACCACTTTGACGACCGACGAGGTTACATACCGCTGAAACCTTCTCGCACATTTTAAAAAAAGTACGTTAGTTACCTCCAAATCAACATGGCCGCTGCTTCAGTACTTTGGCGCCAGTTTTGGTTTGTCATCGTCCCAATCTCCACTCACCCCTTCGGCGCCACCTGGCTTCGTTTTTTTGAAATGAAAAATGGGAATGGCAGAATTGGTGTTAGTACACATGACTGACAATGTCTTCGAGTCATTTTGTGGACTTTGTTCGCTGTCGACTTTAACTTTTGTAATGCGACCTCCAGATGCTTCTGACCATTTGCTGCACGTGTACTATCAAGTTGAAGTGCTGACAGATGATACCGTATTCTTGATCAGATAGGATCAGATCAATTTTTTGGAGCTTTCTACTTTTTCGATACTCCGCATTTCCGTTCCATTCGTGATCCGGTCTTTCGATTCGTTCGACTAATCGAAGAATCGAAGAGCTCCAACTTGAAACTACTCGTACAAGTATGCATGTTGCGTCAATCCATACCATGGCTATTTTTACCACAGGAAGAGGAAGATGGGAACTTCAAATGGCAGTAATGGCAACTCCACTGCATATTGCAATAAAGTTACTGAAACGAGATTTCTTAGTGCAAACAACGGAAGAAAATGAATGACTGTATGTCCGGCAGCGGGTGTGGGTTACCCGTGTCCGAAAAGGTTGCGTGTCGGTGTCGGTGAGGAAATTGAGCCTGAAAGATGCGTCTTATCAGCAAGAGCAAGAGTGATCAAAAATCTTCTCTTTCGTTCTACCTCGCACATTCCACATCCTCAATCGTTTGCAACATGGAAGCAATCATCGGAGACAAGCTACAAGATCTCGCCTCGGCTGCGTCCTTTCGGCAGGACGCTGGACAGAGTTCAGCAACCGAACCTTCCACTGAAGTCTTTGCTGGAACTGTGAAAGTCCGGCCTGATGACAGCTCTATACTTTTCGGTAGAGGTAAAGCGTACAACAGCCACCCAGGCAACCTGAAGATGCGATCTGTCCTGGACAAGTACAGAGATGAATATCGACAATCGTTGAAAGGAGAGAAGTGTAAGCTCGTAAGGAAAGTTCACGATGAATTGGTAGGGCAAGGCATGAAGTTCATGAAGCAAGCAGAGGGAGGGCATGGATGGGTAGAAGTTGACCTGACTGCCGCAGTACAGAAGGTGGGCCTCTCACTCCGAAACCCAAAGATTCTTCGGCATAAGCCAACAGCCAACAAAAGTGTCAAGGCTCCCGTGCCTGATAAGTCATCGTCTTCGGCATTTGCCAATGTCGGAAAGGGGCAACCATCTGGGATCACTTCGAAGGAGGCTTCTGTTGCCACAGCAATGCAAAAGCAGACTGGCAATTCGCTAGGTCTCGAGGAATTAGGTGATCTTCTAAACCACAGGTCTGCACTGGCAGAAATGGAAACAGTGGCTGGTGGTTTCCAACAGCTACAGAATCTTGGTGATCTAATGCAGCCGGATAATGCTGGGTTCGCTGAGCATGCCATAGCTCTTCTGCAGAATCATTTTGCAGAATTGGAACTGGAACGACTACGATCTACTCTGTCAGCTTGCATGGGTCCGTTGGCACATTCTAGTCAACAGTCCTTTCAATCAGCAAATCAAGTCTATACAAGTGCTGAACGCGATTTATTGGCTTCTGTGGCCAACTCCAGTTCACAATTCAATTATTCTTTTCCCGACGAAGACCCCATGTTCTGGATACGCCTTGCTGCGGCTTCACTTTTGAACACAGGTGGTACGTAACAGGTACTACTCTAGGGACCAGCAGGTGCTACACTAGGTACCAACAACTATCGATTCGCTTAGAAAACAAAGAACGCATACCTATTATATATTAAAAAACAACTTTGATTTTTGATCGTGTCAAAGTGAGGTAAATCCTGGATAGTAATACCGGTACCAGGTACCAGAACCTGGTACACCGCTCATGTAACTTCAAAAGTCTGAATGAAGCATCCACACACTTATACGCCAACTCAATGGGTTTCAAATATAAAATGGTACAGCACCGGTATTCTATGCTCCGGTACTACCTACAGTATGCTGTACCTTAGTGTACTGTACAGTAGGAATTTTCAATGATTATCTGCCATCTGTTTGGAGAATTCATTGAAATCGGGAACGATTTCGACTCAACTAGTCGCATTTGCATTTCTCCTAATTGTCATCAATAATCGCATTCTTATGATGAGAACCGATAAGAATCTGATCAGGATTCAAGACTTCGTACCACCTTTTGTCTCTTGTTACAGTACTACAGCTGGCACGAGCGTTTGACAAATGATGTAGAAGACCTCATCTGGGTTTTAAAGTTTCACTGTCGTAGCTTTCAGCTATTGTTAGACAGCATTCAGATTCAATTCCATTCAAAGGCAACACTAGAACCAAGAACCTATTCATACATGGCTGCAGAATCCGTACCTGATGGCAACACTATCCTCTTTGGGAGAGGCAAGGCATGTAACTATCACCCAGGCAATCAGCGGATGCGATCGATCATTAGCAACTACAAAACTCAATATCGAAGCGCTTCCAAAGGAGAAAAGGCGAAGCTAGTGCGCAAAGTCTACGATGAGTTGGTGGGAGGAGGCATGAAATTCATGAAGCAAACAGAGGGAGGAGATGGTTGGGAAGATGTTGACGAGAGTGCTGCAATCCAGAAGGTGGGCCACGTTCTTCGACACAAACTGAAGCCTACCAGTATTGAGAAGAAGTCTCTTGCGCAGGATGCCAGTGGTAATGCCTCTCATGGAGAACGGTTGAAATGTACATCGAATAGTTCTTCGATACGAAACTTGGCTCAGGAAGTTGCTGGACTACACAAGGTGGCTGATGTGCCACTGAGTCTGAGGACATGGTTGCCACTGACTGGTAGTGCATTACATAATGATGGTGGTTTGGGTCAATCACTTACACGCATGCCTACGAGGATACAGTGTTCTGTGGGTTCCAATCCGAGAAATGAAGATCTCTCGCAACATCTGTCGATGCTTTCTTCCATCGGAGCTCTCCAACAGCAGATTGGCCGTACATCTCTGCCTCAAGGACCAGGATTGCCATCAACTGATGATTTGCTACAGAATAAGAACCATCGTCGTGGTCTAGTACAGCACAGGGCTGATGGATTCAATGGCCATGGCGTAGCAAATCGTTTGCAGAATCAACTGGCACAAATGGAACTGGAACGGCAGCGATCCACTTTGTCAGCGCTCATGGGTCCGTTGACGCCATCTGGTCTGCCGCCCTTGCTTTCATCAAGAAACCAACTCAGTATTAGTGGTCAGGGCAATCTATTGGGTCTTCTGGCCGACGCCAATTCACAATTCAATCCAGTTCCCAGCGACGACCCTATGTTCTGGATACGGCTTGCCGCGGCTTCACTCCTGAACAAAGGTAGTTAAGACTCTATCTTCGACAATACTAGATTCGACAATACTAGATTATAGCTATATTGTTCATACAATTAGATATACGGTGCGCTTTCCTAGGTTATAAATGTATTCTCCTTGTTGTTCAAACAATTACTAGATGTACGGTGCACTTTCCAAATTGAAACTACTTCTCATCATCGATAATTGAGGCGTACTTGGCTCTTGTGGCTGAATAAATCTTGTGAATATTGGGCTCTACAGTACAGTATGTTGTCAGACACTGAATGCAGCATTTATGGTACCGCCGGTACATTTTTCCTGTGCATAAAATATACACTCGTGACTACAAGGTCGTGACTGCTGATACCTTTTGAATCATGACCGAACTGAAACATCTTGGCTTGTGGTGACTGCCATGGGTTTCAAAATGATAAGTCTACTGCAAATTTCTATCTGCATATATCTAATAAATATTCCGTTGATGCGTGCTTTCCCATACTATCGTAGTGTTCGTGGCCGATTCATGTTGAAAGCAACTGAGCGAAGAATGACAGCGAAACCCCCGTCACCAAGGATCTGCCTCAACCATGCAGGAGCTTCGCCTTCCTCCAAATCTGTCGTCGATCGCGCAGTGGCACATTTAAAACTAGAGCAAACAGTTGGTGGATATGCAGCTGCTAGGGATGTGGCTGACGAACTGGAAAGTGTGTATGAAAGTGTCGCAAATTTGATACAAGCAAGATCCAAATCCGAGGTGGCCCTGGTAGAGAGTGCGACTGTTGCATGGACGCGAGCATTTTATTCCATGATGGAGCAACAACTTAAGAAGAATAGAAACTACCAAGGCGTCATTCTGATCAGTGAAGCAGAGTATGCAGCAAATGTTGTCGCTGCGTCAGAATGGGCCCGAAATCATGGTTGGTCTGTTCTCGCAATTCCATCAACCAAGACCAAAGATGGTGCAAGCACTGGTGTAGTAGACTTAGAAGCGTTGCACTCAATGTTATCTGGTACTTATGAGTACCATATAGGCGGTGAAAATGTCCTTCTGGACCCGGAAAGGATAGCTATTGCTTGCATTACCCATGTGCCCACGAACTCAGGAATCGTCAATCCGGCTCAAGAGATTGGTCAACTCCTACACGAATACAATTTGAAGCATGGCACGGACTCTGAACCACAAATATTCTACTTGGTCGATGCATGTCAGGTACGATAGTTTTCATACTGCCACTTTGAATTCAAAACTGTGGTCTAGTCTAAATGTGCTGTATTGTGTCCAAAACCAAGTCTGTGGGACATCTTTGTGTCGATGTAAAGCAAATGCGATGCCATTCCTTGGTAGCGACGGGTAGAAAATATATCAGAGGGCCTCGGGGGACGGGTTTTCTATATATCTCGTCTTCGATACATCCCGAGTTGTGGCCGAGTCATATTGATCATTATGGTGTCCCGATTTCACAGGTGCCACTATATCAGGACGGGGATGCTGTAGAGACCATTCTTGAATACAGACCAAGAGACGGAGCATCGAGGTTTGAGTTCTGGGAGTCCAATGTATCGAATCGGCTTGGGCTTGGAGTCGCAATTCGTCAGTGTATAGATGCTGGGATCAAAAGCATCGAGGAATCATGCGCAAGTCTTTCTCTCGAAATGAGAAAGAAATTGCAACAAATCCCTACTGTCGTTGTTCATCATTCTTCAAGCACGTACTGCGGCATTGTCACCTTCTACTCCCCCGCAATCGATTCCGAGACGATAGTGGGAATGCTGCAGCAAAAAGGTTTCGAACTCAGCGTTGTACCCAAGACGTCTACACCAATTGATTCAGCAAAAACTAAGGTTCCCGACCTCGTGCGTGCCTCGGTTTCGTATCTTACGACTGGGGAAGAGGTGAATCAATTTATTGAATCATTGAAATCTATTCTTGATGATTAGTCGGTTTCCAAATCAAGATCAAGAATCCGCGTCATGTACGTGCATACTGAGAACAGGTAAAATGACAATCGTTGGAAGTGCATCGTCAGAGACTGTTTGCCCTGTTCTCTGTAGATTCGATGTACATTCATCTCTGTTAACTGATTTAGTTTCTCGGTGAGCACTTCCAATGCACCCTGATGAGACTCGAGCTCCGTCAGTTTAGTTTGGTTGCCTCTCAATCCAAAAGTTGCCATGTAGCTGTGCTTGAGAAAGATTCTCGCCTCCATGACGACCTCAAGTCCGGTTTGTAGAGTTTCAAAGTACTCTTCTTCAATTTGATTCAATGGCCTATTTTCGAGGTTCTGTTTTTGGTCTTTGGTGAACAATTGTGCATCTTCGTGAGCTTCATACCGCTTGGCGAGGAACAAACCTCTTTGTAGGTCGTCGTTGGAATCACCGCTCTCGATGTATTGGTTACACACATGATCTTCAGAGTGGAACCGTAGTTTTGTCAGACATAGCCAGCAGAATTGGGCTTCACATTGCTTGCAAGCCATGTGGTTGCAGCCACCGTTTTTTTCGATAGGAGTGTTACATCCGGGGCACGGTTTGGCATTACTTCTGATCCAAAATGTAGAGTTGCCAACAAGTCTTTGCCATTCAGTCACGTGCCTACACGTAGCTGGAAGATGCGGCGACTCCCCGCAATGGAAACAGAATGAAGTAGAACATGTTTGGCACACTACATTCTTTCTCTTCTGGTCCGATTCTGCTGCCCGATGCAGGACACACTTACAATCAGGGCCTGGGCAGAATCGATGCGTCGGCTTGGACTGTACAAATGCGTGTACAGTCGAGGTTTCGAATGTATTGCAATACGAAGCATCGATAACTTCAAGATCTCTGGATGTGACCCTAGCAGTGCACTCGTGCTGGGGGCATGTCAGACTAAGTAGGCCAGAAGGGCTATTATCTCCCGCTTCATCAACGAAGAAACACCAGCAAGATTTGCAAAAAGCGTGGCAACACTTCAAGGAATAAGATTCATCTGACGGTACTTCATCGTAACAAATCCCACACAAAGTGACATCGTCTTGAGCATAAGAAATGTTTTCGTCCATTCCCGAGGTCTTAAATGGCTCAAGAAGCGTCTTGAGGTCCGACTGACAGCTGGCTTTCGCTTCGACAAGAGAAAAACTGTGATCAGAAAGAATGCACTGTGCAGCATGGTATGGCATCTGGTATTTTGATATTAAATCCATGACGTCTGAATGGATCGTGGATTGAATAGGCTTCATTCCTCTGTTATCATTCAAGTTTGTGTACCCAATTTCTGATGGTAGAACAAAGCCATGCAGTTGGTTCAACACTTCAGTGACACTCGGAGCACTCGCTCCGCTTTCGATGTAGGTTACGCACAATGACAGAAACGATGCAGCCTCGGAATCTAGGATCTGAAGGATCATCTCAACCCATTCTTTTGCATTGCGTCTTGCATTCAATGAGTCTGCACATATTGCATCAAGAAGTATCGGAAGAAGTGGGGTGGCTAATTGCTTCGAATCTTTGATAGTCTTTGCACCCAGAAGCTGTCTCCAGTCAGAAGAGAGTGCCTTGATATAGGCTGACAGAAGATGAACAAGCGCATCTGTGACTGATTGTTGAAGGATCTCTTCTTCATGGATTGCACAGCCCAACAGTAGCGACGGTAATTGGAAGAAGTTCTCGCTCCACTCTACTGCATGACCTGATAGCAACGATATGAGCTCGTACGCTGCTTCTCGTGACGCTACTGCGTCGTCTGAAGAAAGTTGCCGACGCTTTTGCCCTTCCCGATGATCATTCAGTAGATCATTTAAGTCAGCTCGACGACCAAAAGGGGCTGGCGCTCCAGGCACAGGACGAGTACGTTTCCTCAACTTCTCAACATTGGATTGGCCAGCTTCCAATACCAATGAAAGCACTCCAAAACACATCTTCAGGGACTTTTGAATAAGATCACTGGCCCATGCGTCTGGGTTTTTCTCGCTGATAAGATCTGCCGCAACAAGTTTCTGGTATATTGATTTTACCAAGCGAATAGAATAGATCCATTTTTGCTTCATTTGAATAGGCGAGAGGCTGGTACCTTGACCTTCCTCGTTTGTACTTGTCCACGCTAAACACATGTCAATCGTCAACGTGATACTCTCTCTTCGATCCGAAGATACATCTTCTTCCTGTAACTCGTTTTCAGTCAGGAATTGCATTACACCCTCTCCGACGTGCATGGGTAGTGGTGGTCGTTGCATCAATGCGCTGTCTGGAGTGTGCCCCAGAATACGTTCCCAAGATGCACTTGAGGAGTCGCCAATATCCTTCTGCAACTGAAGAGCATTCTCATCTCCCACAAGTAAAACTAGTAGCGACAGCATCGTATCCAATGAATATTTGCCCCCTAACTTTCCAAGAAAATCCAAAGCAACCCGCCCGTGCATGGTTTCCTTTGATGCGGCAAGTACATTCAAGACGACCGCGCATTCTCTGTTGGTCGCCTCAAACAAACCCTCATTCAGCGGCCAGCTTGCGCAGCGAAGAGCTATCAACTTTACATGGCAAAGATATGACACAGCCACATTGCTCCATATTGGTCGTTTTGCCTCCTGGTACCAGGTCTTACTGCTACGAGAACGAGTTGGCTTGTGTCGATGCTCCATTCTCATGCAACTAATTTGCGACATATATAGCCTTATTTGCATCGGTGTGGATAATGGGAGCAGCAATAGATCCAGCAATAAATGGAACAATCCATTCCCATTTGTACTAGCGGCAGTAATCGCATCTTTGTGGTCCCGTGAAACATCACACTGGGATATGTGCCTTTCATAGCGGATGTACCAATCGTGATCTTCCATATGCCAAGAGACGAGCGGCCTGACAGTTGCTGAAAGAACAAGACAATCCAGTAGCATCCAACTTGCAGTAAAATACCTGTTCGGATACACAGGAGACAAACGATCTGTCGCTTCAGTATGCATAGCGTCAACCGTATATATCAGATGTGCCATTGTTTGAGATGGAATAGATTCTGAAGGATTCTTCCTCTGCATACCGACCGACAGAATTGAAAGCGCCCAAGTACCCGCCAATGGACTCTTCGTGTGGACAAAATTAAGAATAGATTTAATCACATCTTTCACTTCCACCTCAGAATCCTTTTTCATACGTTGAGTTGCCTCTGTCAAAATTTCACTAGTTTTTTCCATCGCCTGAGTTTTCAATTTCAATATCTCTGAATCTCGATGACTAGGAGTTTGAATGGAGTATTCCTCGAGCCGCCCAAGAAGTCGTGGAAGAAGTGCAGATAATATCGAAGGAAGCTTTGTTGCGTCCGAGACCTTCTTCAGACGATCTTGCACACGAACAAGGGATGCAATGTCAGTCTTCAGCTTTTCAGCATCTTCTTCGCTGGCATGTGAAATCGACATCGCGAGCTAAACTTCATTGAATGAATGAATCCTTTGACGTGTGGTGTCAGGAAATGAAGAAGACTCAAGACGCTAGACTAACTAGTAGATAGCTCTAGAGACGTACCGTAGACTAGACAGAACTTAATCAGTTAATCGATCCACTCGACCACTGACTCCCAGATCCATCAATTCGGAGTTGTCGAACTAACCGTTAATTGTAGGTACGGTAGTTGGATTTATTTAACAAAAGCGCTGACACGCTCGGCAGTTCATTCAAACCGCTGGCAAAAACCGTTTTTTTTTTCTCACATTTTTTGAAACAACTTTCGAAATCTCAATTTGTTTCTTCCTCCGTGGGCATCCAACCCAAACGAGAAAATACGATGAGATTCCTCCTAGTATCAGCGCTCTTGACTGTGGTATCAATCGAAGCCTTCTACCCTGATGGGATTGATGGACCTGACCCTCCAAACAACAGGGATGGAGACAGCAAATACGATATTCCCCATATCTTCTTCGAGCCGAATACAGATGTTTCGATGATTGACATTGACATTGGATCCAGTGTACCCTCTGATGCTCCTTCCCTCGTACCATCTGCAAGTATTACTGATGCTCCTTCACTGGTTCCATCTGCAATTGCGGTGTCCGTCCTATTTTCTGAGGTGCCTTCAGATTTGCCATCCCTTGTGCCTTCGGCTTTGGCATCTGATGCTCCCTCGAATGTTCCCACAGTCTTGGTCGTCCCCACATCTAGCCCAACAGCTGAACCAACAGCAGTACCTACCGATACACCATCGGTTAAAGTCACCGAAAGAATCGATGCTGCTCCTTTGATCACCGAAACTCCTACCGTGAGCCCAACATCACTTCCAACCAATGGACCTACCCTTGATCCAACCAGTGGACCTACCCTTGATCCAACCAGCGGACCTACCCCTGATCCAACTGGAACGCCATCTATGATCCCAACTGGGAGCCCAACTGTGACCCCGACTGCACCTCCCACTCTTGATCCAACTGGGGGTCCAACAGGAGTTCCATCTGTATCCCCCACCATGTCCGAAAGATTCGCCAATGAGATTTCAGATACCATTCTTCCTTCGCTTTTGTCCGCCACCCGGTCTTCTAAGCACAGATTCCAATGGGGAGGCACCGCCGAAGGATGCACGCATGAACATCCACCAGTCTTTATCAGTTGTGGGGCTGGTGGTTTTCTAAATCAAGTCGTTGGAAGCGACGCTGTTTGCGAAAATCTCTCGAACGATCGAGCTCGATGCGACTCCACTCTTGCGGCATCTGATGAGGATGGTGCCTATGTGGACTTCCAATGTTCGGGTGTAACAAAGAGTCACCTCACTGCAACTGCTGAAATTTTCCCCAGCACTGCAGAAAGTTGTGACATGAAGGTTAGTGATTCGACCAATGCGGAAGGACAAGTCGTTACCACTAGGGGTGGAAACGCTGCCGTTTTTGGCGTTCTCGGCCGAGTTTGCAAACAGAACAATGGTGAAACTCGTCTTGAAAATGTCTACGATTGCAACACAGGAACACGTGGGGTGCAAGGAGACGTCAGTTATTGTGCTTCTGGCAGTATGTGTGCAGTCAATCAAGCTTGTACCAAGAGGGGTTGCAACGGAGCTACAAGTTGTCCAGTCGAAGTTGGTGTAGTGTCGATGTCCAATTCCGATGACCGAGAAGCTTGTTCTTTCCCTGAGAATGGCTTCAACTTGGTGAGCGCTACCTTCCAGGAGACTAAGTTCGCAACTTTTCACGAGGTTGATTGGACATTCAGCGGACAAGACCTTGGCTGCAGGACTTTTACTCCTGACTTGACACTTTCTTGCAAGAGCGGAGGAGAAGTGCAGCTTGGAGATACGTATCCATACTGCCTTGAGGCTGGATCAACCATTACATGCACAAATCCTTTTGGATCCCATGACAATGTTCGCGAGACATTGACCGTCAAGGTGACTTGTCTTGGAGATTCTTATGATCAGTTGGAACTGGAGGCTAATCTTCCCGAGCTCAATGATGAGGGTTCACTCTGTACGGATGGCGCGTTGGCCATTCAGGGGGTAAGCATCAAGAAGAGCTGCTCAGATGATCAATTTGTGTCGTCGCCTTCGTTTTGTGTCGACTTTGAAGCCATCTTCGACGATGAAAATCTGTGCTATTCGAAATTTGAATGTTTCCAAGACACTTGTGAAGGGACGGAGGTTATCATCCCGTCCGTGTCTGCCCTTTCATTTAGTCCCGAAACCAGATACTGTGTTCGTGCTGCGTAAACAAGCTGTTGAATGCGCACGAAATATAATTAAATGCTACAGTACTTGCTGGCATTATCAATAGTAATCATTGTGTACTCGTACTGTAAAAGAATAAGATCAACTTACTGTATTTCTCCATTTCAAGCAAAGTGAAAAGTCACGGACAGTGGTCTTTAGATGACCATCCGCCGTCCGTCAGTTAACGTGACAACAAGATCACACAAGAGATGCTACAGCACTCTTAGAGGATGTTTAAAAAGCCACGGAACAACGATAACACTGCAGAAGATGCAGAGCAGGAAGCAGCTGAACGCAACTTAATTCGAAAATGTATTGACTTTCATACGCCTGCCGTAGTGGATATGAACAATCGCTTGTACTTCAATGCATCCAGGTCTCATCATGTCCGGAATGCGCCTTATTTGCAACCACATTCTGCTTATTTGCGGTTAATGGGATTGCCTATTTCATCAGTATCTGCACCAGATCCATCAACTGTATTCTGTACCCATTTGGCTCATGTCACCCGAGCCAAGAACTCGACCCCAGTCATGTCGCTCAGTTGGACACCAGGTGGTCGGCGGTTACTGACAGGAAATCAAGAGGGAGAATTCACTTTATGGGATGGAATCACATTTGGATTTGAACTGATTATGAGTGCTCATGACAATTCCTTCCGCAGTATGGCTTGGTCACACAATAAGAACTACCTACTGACTTGCGATGCTGGAGGCAACATCAAATATTGGTCTCCCTCGATTGCTCCAGTGAAATCGATTGATTCCCACAATGGGCAAGCGATTCACGCTCTCAGTTTCTCACCGAGTGACACCAAGTTCGTATCTTGTGGAGACGATGCTACGGTTCGTGTATGGGATTGGGCGACGCATTCCGAAGAACGAGTCTTGGAGGGACATGGGTGGGATGTAAAATGTGCTCAATGGCACCCCCGATCGTCAGTAATTTGCAGTGGAAGTAAGGATAATTTGGTCAAGCTGTGGGACCCTCGGCAAGGATCGTGTCTGGCAACACTTTATGGGCACAAGAATACCGTCACAAAGGTTCAATGGAACAACAATGGTAATTGGCTGATCACAGCATCCAGAGACCAGTTGATCAAGCTTTATGATATCCGAACCATGAGGGAGCTTGTAAGTCTAAAGGGACACAACAAGGAAGTCACGAGTCTCGCCTTCCACCCATTGTATGAGTCTGTTCTGGCCTCGGGTGGTATGGACGGAACTCTGCTCTTTTGGAATCTGGGACCCAAAGGATCCGAAGAGCCCTCAGCAAGAATACCCTATGCTCACGGTAAGTCAACGTTTTGTCTATTTTCAGCATTGGACTGGAAAAATTACTCACCACCCTGCGTATTTTTATATTTTAGACATGGCCATTTGGGATATGCAGTGGCATCCTGCGGGACATATGCTAGCCACTGGATCCAATGATCGGCAAACAAAATTCTGGGCTAGAAATCGACTGGGAAGTTCAAGTGGTCTACAAGAGGCCGCTGAAGATAAAGAAGATGAGATCTTGACGGCCGAAATCGAGCTAGGCAACCATGTGGGTATTGTAATTGGTCGAAGGGGAGCAACAATCATTGCAATGCAACGGGCGACGGGTACCAAGATGCATGTTGATCAGGTGCGACGTGTGCTGTTGATTCAAGGGACAGAAAAGCAAATAGAAACGGTCAAGAAACGTGTTGGTGCACTGCTAGAACGCGTCTCGAACGATAGTGACAATATGATGTAAATTGGATAGCAAAAAGCTGGATACATGCGGACTATTAGTGAGAGAGAAAATTGAAGAGGTTACGTTCCTAGATATAAGACTAATCCCATCTACACCGAAAAACAAATTTCTGGATCATAACCCAGGGGGTTTTGCTGCTCGTGCACACTTGGTGGAACAGAATTTGAGCCCAAACTTCTCAAATCCTGCATCTAGCATTCCTTCCCCACAGGCAGCACAGCGACTGGCACTGGCAACCTTTCTGGCAATCAATGCATCGTCCTTTTGTTTCGCTTCAATGGCAGCTCTTGCTGCGGCTTTCTGCGCTTGCTTTCGAGCCTTTGCTCGTTTGCGTTTTGCAGCGGCCGTTGCTTTCTTGTTGTTTGTTGCTTCCTCATCGGTACTGCTCTGATCTTGCAAAGGGCTAATTGACCGTTCCAAGACATTATCTCCTGTAACCTCACTTCCGTCTTTAGACTCAGAAGAGCAGTCTTTCTGAGCTTGGCCTTTCGCACTTTTGCTTCTTGCCACTTGCCCTTCGGCGGTTTGTTTCAATTTTTCCCACTGCTCTTCTCTCCAAGCATCAATTTCTTGCCTTGCTCGCACCATATCTTCCTTTTCCCTATTTTCTTGTTCCCATTGAAAATGACCTTGCTCCCACTCTTTCATCTGCTGTTGTTTTCGTTCTTGCTGCTGTTGTAACGTCATCGCTCGAAGTCTCTGTTGGGCCAGAGCGATTGCTTCAGCGTGCCTTAGACGCCGCTGTTCTTCTTGCAGGGCCACGGATCGTGCAGTTCGAACTATGGATTCGTCGTAATTGTGGACAGCAGTACCTTCAACATGGCTATCTGTAAGTCGAGGAAACTGTCCCTGTACAAACTCATATGCATCTCGTTGCGCGGCTGTAACTATCTCTTCTTCATCATCAACAATGGTATATCCATGGTCACTCTGACCTGGCGCTGCTTCTATGGTACGAGACAGATCAAGACCCCACTCTGCGAGACGGGGATCTTCATTGCCTGAAGAAGCTCTTCCGAATATCCGATTGTTAGCAGCCTGCCGCTCTTGATGCCGACGATGCTGGTGTGGACGGCTGTAGTCGAAGAGTCCTGCTAAAGCTGCGGTGGCTGTCCGTCGTAAGACTTGAGCCCGTGCTTCTTCCTGCCCTTGTGGAGTCGAACTGGACGGAGTTGTCCCAACTTGAATGGATTGTTGCAATAAAAAGGCTTCTGCAACGGACACAGCTCTCGAATCTTGTTCTATTGAGGAGGACATGTGTTGTTGACGGTGTACGTTCAAGTATTCGTCCAAACGTCGACAGTCTACAATGGTCAACTCTTGCCTTGTAAGTGGATTCTCGAAGATACCACGAGCAACCAAATAAGAAGCCAATGCGAATCCATCAAAGTAGTAATGCCTGTCGGTGGATATATTTGATGGAACATGACTATAGATTCCATGGTGCTCATTACTATCAGACAAGCAAAATGGAGGATAAGGCGACGTCGCAAATGGTTCCAAGGTAATTGGACATTCCTCGTCTTTCAACGATGATTGCCACCACGGATCCTGCTTTGCTTCTGATACATGCTGTGGTAGTCTCTTTTTCGAGATATTTCCCGCTTGGTGGCTTTCATTGATTTTATTCCTGTTGTTCTTCTTGCTGCTCCGCTTGTTCTTTTGCTGTTGATTGGCCATACCGCCTTGAAGGATGCTGCTTCGATCACAAAAATGTTTTGGTTGCCGTTTCGGACATCGGACAATTTTGACCGTGAAACTCTTCCATCCTCGTGTCCGATTCATGTCCGACAGATATCACGGACGTTCCACTTGGAGGGGAGTACGTCATACGCTGATTGGAAACTGATAAGACGATGCGAAGCTGCAATCTTCGGTTCAACTTCACATTATATCACGAACCATATCATCAACAATAGTAGACCATGATCAGTTTCCGTCGTGCATTCCTTGCTACCAGTCTCGTCTCCCAAGTGGCTGCTTTCGCAACTCCCACTTTCACCAGGGCCGTTTCGTCGTCAGCAATTTCAATGGCCGATTTTGATGAAACCCGAGGAGGAACTTACTCCATTGCTGATCAAGTCGCTCGCTTCGATAAGGCCAAGGCAGATAACAACGAACGCTTCTTGGACATCACCACAGTCTATGATGGAGGTGACTTGTCTGGGAAGAGAGTTCTCGTCACTGGTGGAAACAGAGGATTGGGATTTGAGATCACCAAGGAACTTGTCTCTCTTGGGGCTACCGCTCTTGTCTTGTGCCGTTCTTCGTCTAAGGAACTCAGTCGACTTATTGGAAAGTACAACGTCTACGATGGCGTTGATGTCACTGATACTGAAGCCGTCAACAAGGCCATGAAGAAAGTCAAAAGTGATGGAGGTGATATTGATATGATCATTAACAATGCCGGATACTTCTACGAACCATGCGAAAAGATCTTGGACGATAGTCTCAACTTTGAAGAAGAGCTGAAGCAAATCAATATCTGCGGATTGGGACCTCTGCGTGTCAATGCCGCCGCTGTCAACTCTGGTGCCTTGGCCGAAAGTGCCAAGCTTGTTATTATCACCAGTCAGGCTGGATCCTGCGAATGGAGAAGTACCCAAAACAAGGACGAGGGTGGCGACTACGGACACCACATGTCTCGCGCAGCCTGTAACATGGCCGGTGTTTTGCAAGCCGAAGAACTTCGTAGCAAGGGATATTCCGTCATCCTTTTGCACCCTGGTTTCAACCGTACTGATATGACTGCCAAATACAAGGAAATCTGGGACAAAGAAGGAGCTGTCGAACCTGCAACGGGAGCTAAGCGTGTCTTGTACGAAGCCATCAAGAGCAATATGGAGACCACTGGCCAATTCATCAACTGTGAAGATGGCAAGAAAATCCCATGGTAAAGACATAATACAGCTAGAAAAAAATGATTAATAATCCAGTCTCTGATACTTCAATTTATTAGGTATTAATAGTAACACTGCGTCGTCTAATGGGTTGTGAAGCGGCAAAGTACTTCATGTCGATCGCTGGACTTTCATTCTACCTGGTACAAGCAACTTCGCCTAAGCTCTTGCACGACACTTTGTTGCTACCTAAAGCGACGTTGAAGCTCTTTCTGATCTCGGAAACTTACGACTAAATTTGAGTCTTGCCACATCACCGGCGGATGGAGCTTACAGCTTACACATCATCAAGTTTCGAAAACAAACATCACGCAAGGTTGACATAAATTGCAACAAGCAACTTGTAACACAAGCCAAGCATTCAAACAACAGAAACATAAATCAATAACTAACATGTCCAACAACGTCGAATACTCAATACCAGATCAAGTCGCCAGATTTTCAAAAGCGAAGGCCGATGGCAATCAAAGATACTTGGACATTACCACTGTCTACGATGGATCTTCCTTGAAGGACAAGAATGTCGTAGTAACAGGAGGAAATCGAGGCCTTGGATGGGAAATTGTACAAGAATTGGTTCGGCAGGAGGCCAAGGTTGTGGTACTGTGTCGTAGTACTAACGACGAACTCGAAGCATTGATAGGAAAATCTTATGTTATTTCCGGTGTTGACGTGACGGATACTAAGGCCGTCCAAGATGCCTGTAGTGAACGCATGCCTAATATCAAGTTCGATATTGTAATCAATAATGCCGGGTACTTCTACGAACCATGCGAAAAGATCTTGGACAACAGTCTCAACTTTGCAGAACAGCTGAAGCAGATCAATATCTGTGGATTGGGACCTCTGCGAGTGAACAGTGCTATGGTTCAAAACGACAAACTTAATGACAATGCCAAGCTTGTCATTATCACCAGTCAAGCTGGATCCTGCGAATGGAGAAGTACCCAAAACAAAGACGCGGGTGGCGACTACGGACACCACATGTCCCGGGCTGCCTGTAACATGGCCGGAGTTTTGCAGGCCGAAGAACTTCGTAGCAAGGGATACTCTGTCATCCTTTTGCACCCTGGTTTCAACCGTACTGAGATGACTGCTAAGTACAAGGAAAGCTGGGACAAAGAAGGAGCTGTCGAACCTGCAATGGGAGCCAAGCGTGTCTTGTTCGAAGCTATGAAAAGCAACATCGAGACGACTGGCCATTATGTCAACTGCGAAGACGGTAAGCAGATCCCTTGGTAAATAGAGAATGGACATGAGGGTTCTCGTAAATGCCAATCCTAGAAAAAAAGAAGAAAATATAAGTTATTCTCGTAATACTTTTGGCAGTATCAATAAATACAACTTTTTCAAGGGCCTTCAAGAGAATTTTGTGTGGTTTGATGATTCCAAACTTGAACCCTATTCGTGTTCTTATTTTAGAATACTGTAGGATTGGGGAAGGGATAGGATTTTAGAAATCAGATGACTGCGTCTGTCCGCGGATGGACATTAACCTTCACATCATAAAAACTGCACATAGCAAATATCATCATGCTGGGACATGTTGCTGAGGAAACAATGTCGTCCCCAACAACTTAGCTTGATATGCCTGAAGCACTGGCGACGGCGACGTATTTACCTTTTGGCTTTCGTCCTCCTGGCTTTGGCAGCGAAGTTTCAGAGACTCTTTGCGACACCCAGATGGATGCGAAAACCACGTAGGAAGTATGATCACAAATTGAAATTCAAGACAACAAAAGGCGATCGAAGAGACAAGAAAAGTCGGGTTTTGTATATTCCTACATCACTATCTGAATATGACAACGGAAGGCGAAATACACTTGAAGGGTTTGACAGATTTCAGGAAACCTTGGTTCCTGTGGTATCTGAGAGTGTCAACTCGATGCTTCACGCTGGGTTCAAAGTTGACGTTTACCTGATTGCCCATTACAATGTGACACGATCCCATCTACTTCGTCAAGCACTACCGGATAGTGTGGGTCTACAACTCTGGGAAGATGCCTCTCCACTTGGATATCGACTGGAAGAAAAGCAAGAAAGATCCAAAATGGGAAAGCTACTGGCCATCGGTGACATTACCAGGGCTTTGGCACGACAACATCGATTCGTCATCAAGGATAAGCTCCCTTACTACGACATGTTTGTCTCCTTTGAAGATGACATGCTCATCAAGGCGGATGCTATCATTCACTGGATGAACATGACAGATGAACTGTACCGGTTACGGGATCTGGCACCTGACATAAAAAAGGACAACAACTACAATCAAGAGTGGGACGAATTCTATGGGATATTGAGCAAACGACAATTGAGCCAACTGATTCCTGGGTTTATTCGCGTAGAATCGCTATTGGACCCATCTCTACTGCGACGCAAGAACTGGTTGCCAGAAGGATTGATCCCTGTCTCTTCCGATCGTCCCGACTTGGACCCCGAGCCGTGTTGCTGGCTTAATGCCTCCCAGTTGGCTAGTCCTAGTCGCCCCATGTACCCTGACTCGGACGAACTTTATATTTGGGAAACCAACGTTCGTGCCTTGGGAATACGCAAGATGCCATTAGCGTCCATCTTTGATTGGGTTGTATTGCAAAGAGGACGTCGCACCTTGATTCCCGACAAGGCGCAACAGCAGTGGGTTCAAATTGATGTGGAGATTGGAGACTACTGGGCGGGTCGGAATGGAAATTTTGAGGTAGGATATGGTCGACCAGATACCAAGCAGTTTGTGTATTTGAACAATCAGGGTGGTTGGATGGCCACCCGCCAGCAACTCTGGGAATGGCACACGGACTTTTGCCAAGGTGGCTTTTTGCCTCCCTTTGAATCACCTCATTATAATTTGGATGGATTGGATATGCGCAATGTCGAATACTGGAGTGGAGGCTTGAATATTTTCACCCTTGAACATGGATGCAACCTGCAGCGGATCATTAGTTTGGATCCCGATCGTTTTGCCGCCCAGTTGCTGTATCACACTTCCAACAACAAGCAACGGCACTTGACAGGAGCCAAGCAAATCAAATTTACAAATGTCAATGACTTTTTGGGGCAACTACACACTGTTCGCAATAATGCCAAAGCCGAAATGGCTCGTCGGTTGGAAGCTTTGCGAAAAAAACAAGACGAGCGGCTACAGACCTAGTACCTGCTGCTCGAATAATCAGAAAGGCATGAAGTGCATATGGAAATGATTGGTGAAACAATACAAATTCTATAGTACACATTGGGATTTATGTATGTATGTATGTATGTATATACAGGATCACGCACTTTTGTGTGATTCGAGAATGCGATATAGTATCCCCCGAAATGTTGGCGTCGCGTTCGGAGTACGACTATCAAATGGCAAAGCCAATGCCAATCGCAATAGACACGCCAATCAAAATCCAAATAGTGTACTTTGCAGAGGTAGCATCGCTACGGACGGCCACATAGTTTGGCAAATCGAGCACCAAAGTCGAGCCTCGGACGGTTGGTGCCGAAGTGGGACCAGGAGGATCCTTGGAGCAGCAGTCTCCCCGCAAAATCTCCACACGGTCCTGACAAAAGATATCGTCAAAGACGTAATGCGAGAGTTCTTCCATTTTTCCGCACGTGAGACCTCCCGTATCTGGAATGACACGGTTTTCGTTTTTTAGGTAAAATTCGCCGCACATGGAGCATGTGTTGGGTGGTGGAAGCTGGTCCATGTTGGGACAGCCACAATATGCCTCCAAATCAATGGGACTGGATTCGTAAAATATCTTGCAGTCGGACGGCGTAAAGAGTTCCATAATGTTGAGTATGGTCTGACAAGAAGTCTTTCGAAGCTGATTCCCAAAATTGACTTCTCGGGTGGGATTCAAGACGGGAGAACCATCTGGACAAATGGAGCATTGGCAGCCACAGTAGGAGGCTACATTGAGCTTGCTGTTGGATCGCATGCGGCCATTGGCGGTGAAATCGCAACCGTCATTGGAAACCTCAGCGCGAAGATCATCTTGATATTGCAAACAAGTGAGGGTGGTGCCAGGAATAGTGTTATAGGGAAAAGCCATGTAGCTTCCGTTGGGACAGAGTGAACAGTTGGGCTGGAAGAGAGCGGAACGTTTCAACGCAACAAGGAGAGGAGTCAGTTGGAGATGAATGAATGGAATGAAATTACGCAATAGTTTCGAACAAATGGCAACAACGAACCTCAAAAGCGACAATGCTTGTCAAAAGGAGTTGAAAGACGAGAAAGAGAAATTGGATCATGGTTGTTGTTGTTGTTGTTGTTGTGAGCTGTTTGCGACAATGGTGGGTTGCAAAGCAAGAATGACAGAGTAGGATCGTTGTTCGGGTCGAAAACCGAAAAAGTGAAAACAACGGATTTTGTGTTCGGCGTTGGACAACTTTCAAAATCATGTGACACATTTTTTACGCGCGTAGAAATTCTACGTGGCTTCAAAAACGAGCCAGGTCTCCAATACAAGTGCCACACAAAGTATCTAGTGGCACGACACAATGGGCAATGTTGTCGCGTTCTGCTGGAGTGGGTTTGCCAGTGAGGGTGTCAATCGAGTCACCTCCCGCCAGACTTTCGGTTGGGTAGGCTCCCAATAAAGTAAATCCATTACGATCATCAAGTTGCTTGTGTGCAAATCCTGGAGGAACATAGACCACGTCTCCTTTTTCTACCAGCACTGTTGGTCCCGTCGAACCTCCCATTTGGACATTGGCTTCGCCTTGAATGCACACCAAAATCTCCCAAGCCTTGCTATGATAATGATGGTATGGAAATACCCCCCAAGCCCAAGGAGACGTCCAATGATTTCCTTTCGTAATCGCTCGTCTCGCTTCTTGTTCGTTCCCCTTCCACGCATTTTTGTACAATAGCAACGGCTGATACAGATTGTTTGGAAACGTGCCATCGTCGTCCATGAACAATCGAAATATGTCAAAATTAGTGCTCGCACCACTCGGGAGCTTTTGTACCTTGCCAAATACTCTATCAAGGCTCTTTGACGACATGGCTTGCACTTCTGGAACAGAAAGGAACGAAAGAAGAATAGGCGATATGATAATCGAAATGAGGCGATATTGGACCATGCAGCTCATATATGAACATGAGAAGGGGATGTGATGCGATGTGATGATGGTGATGACGTTTCGATCATTCGCTCTTTGATTTGTAACGCGTACGTCCGCCGTCGTGTGTTGACTCGTGATGTGAGTCGAATGAATCCATCGAATCAATCAATCCTTCGAATGAATGAGTCGAATCACACAAAAAATAAAGCGAACAATAAAATTGTTATTTTACAGAACTTGAACGACTTCCAACAAACGTAAAACATGTTTCACATCAAGCACTACAAAGAGTATCTTTACCAGGATGAACCCCTGGCTCAAAACTACGCCGTAGACAAACATGTCTATGGTGCTTCAATCGTACAACAAGATTGCTGTATCATGAACAATTTATCATTTTATAATACTTGTGCGACGATGGAAAGTGTTTGGAAGGCTCAGTCGGGAAAGCTGGGGCTGAAAGTGGAGTGTCTCCTGCCAAACGATTTAGTGAATATCGCGAAGCAAGAATGCGAAAGTTTATACCCACTGCTGCGACTCTACTGTCCTGAAAAAGACAACGATCGCAAGTATAATGTCGATGAAAATGTCATCGCCCAGGCATACTGCGATGCTCTGGGTCTCGAAGAATTGGGCGGCATAGTCAATCTCAAAGAATGGAGGGACCTTGCCAAAATGCTCCATAATTTTACAGACGCCGAAATTTGTTCATCCGATGTAGTTGGGGACTTGTCATTGGTGGTAGAACATGTCATGGATGAGCGGACAAATTATACTCAATCAAAACTGCGATTGGGAGACATCAATGGGTTGCTTGATGAATTTGCCGCTCTCAATCCTAAGGAACGTCATCACCAATACAAAAGCAGAGGCAACAAGGAGAACATCACACCGAATGCGAAACCCAACCTTGCTGAGTGGTTCCGAAAAGTGATTTACCAAGAAAAACTATCGCCCATGGAACACAAGTGGCTGGTCCGCATCATCATTAAAAAGCCCGACTTTGGAATACAAAGTACTAGCATCCTAAGGGCTGTAAGCCCATATGCCAATGGACTCTTGGCAGCCGACGGTAATCTCAAGCGCATGTGTGATAAATTGGCCGGTCCTTACTTTGAATAGAATATCACTCTGCCTGCTGCATGGTGGCCGTCCCATAAGAGTCCATAATTTTGTTTAGCATACTCTCATGTACAGTATCCGTATCCTACTACCACCCTTTCATTGCCAATTTATGGAGCTTGTTCATTGCACTCAAGCCATGACCAGTGACATCGAGGCGTTGTTCCAAGACTTGGATGCCTCCGTACCCCAACCCTCCGTGACCCACGAGGCTGTCTTCCGGTACCTGGTCTTGAACCCATTCCACAAATCGAGCAGCATTAGTTACATGAATACGGAATTTAGTGACTGCATGGTCGTCTTGAAGCGCTTGGGCGACGGTCAATCCTTCCACAAGTGCATCCAAGCCGCAAACAATCTCGACAGTCTCCAAGTTGACGTAAAACGAAGACCCTCGAGCAAGCTGATACTTCCAAGATCGAGATTCGCAAACCTCATGACACAAGTCCAAAACATACGTTGCAACAGCGTCTTTGTGAGCACTAGAGTCCGACAATGCATTGTAATACCTAGCAAAGGCTTGGGCTTGCCAAATGTTATAGTTGACATCCAGTTCATTTTCTTCGTGGTGCCGTGAGTAAAACTTGAATGCTTGTTCCATGGCCGACAGGATCGAATCTTGCACCATTGCATCAAGACTATGTCGCGTTTTGGTATCTCTGGAAAGCTCGTAGACATCCATGAGTGCTAGCATTGCTTCGCCGGGAAAGAAAGCAATGCCTCTCAAATATTCAGTAGGATTCTTGAAAGTGCAGCCAAAGGCACCAGTTTCCAATTGCATTGCAAGAATTCCCTTTGTTAACGAATCAATTGGCATTGGCGGTTCATTGGGAAGGAATATTCCAAGACGACAGGCACCCGACCATGCCAGCAGCACTAATGCAGAGTGTCCAATCGTGGCATCTTCTCTGAGCACATCCTCGTTCAGGCATGTCACTCCATCTTGTTTTGACACCACAACTGGAGTTGGCGATTCACTGTAGAAGTCCACGGTAGTGCGGATGGCATCTGCAAGTCGGAATTGCAATGCGGGGAGATTGTGAAACCCACAGTCGGTTTGTGCCGAAAATGAGAAGTCTAGCACTTTTGTGGCATCCCAGGCGGCAGCCAGATCTCGAACTGGAAAGTGAACATGTTCACATTCCCCGCAAGGAGGGTAAGAATAGTAGAAGAAGCGATGGGAGCTGGAATCCACCATATCCTGACCAAAATATCTTGTCATCTTCCATGAAACATCTTCACAAAGCTCCAAGATTGTTGATTGAACCGACGGAAGTACATGCTGCGATTGTCGGCGTTGAAATCTACCATCAGCAATAAAATTCCAATATAGACATGCTTGAAAAGCTACAACGAAGGAGGGCAGTCCGCAAAGAGAAAGCACCCATATCCACATGGGAACCTAAGCTCATCGTTTTGACACGATCAATATAAGCTTCTGGTTTTCAGTTTTTGGAGTACGAGTACGTCGCGGTTTGGGGTAGTCATTTCAGTCGTATGTCGCGCAGAATGCTCGCGATGACGCCGACTTGCCCACTTGAATTTTGGCAATGATCATGAAACCGAAACCTGGTCCTCCAACGTTCGATGGGATCTGGAACCATGTCATCGTCAATACCGGTACAGGCCAATGGCAATGAATATGACAATGTCGAATCCGAAGTGTCGGAACGAATGAGACTAATACCGGTAAAGGCGCCTTCGCACGAAGCTGATGGCAACAAGAAAACGAAAGCTCGATCCGATCAGAAGGGGACGACTGTTGCCCTCTCGGTAGCGATGCTTGTGCAGTCATATCTTTTGGTCAGTGTCTTTCCCTATTCGGGTTTCTTGGCTATGTTTTTGATTCCAGGTTTGAATGAGGAAACAGCCGGAAGGTATGCAGGACTGGTGGCATCGTCATTCATGTTTGGAAGAACGTTCAGTTCATTTCAGTGGGGGAAGGCAGCGGATGAATATGGTCGAGTCTTTGTTATTCGCGCTTCACTACTCTTATCTGCAGCCTTCTCTATCTGCTTTGGTTTAGCGCCGAGTTTTCGATCAGCTCTGGTATGGAGATTCATTCTAGGCTTGAGCAATGGTTTGATGGGGCCCATCAAGACAATTGTGAGTGAAGTGACTCATGGCGATCAGAAAAAAGAGACTAGAACGATGGGGATTGTCATTGGAATGTGGGGTTATGGATTTCTGATAAATCCTGCAATAGGTGGATACTTGAGCGACCCTGTAAAGCAGTACCCAAACACGCTATTTGTTGAATGGTTCGAGCCAATCTTGAGCCGATACCCGTTCTTGCTCCCGAATGTGGTTGGCTGTTTGTTGTGCCTGGTGGCCTTTTTCATGGTAGGTCGCTTTGTACAAGAAACATTACCAGAGGAGAAGCTGCGGCCATTCAGCCTATGGGCTTCAATCAAATCCAAATGCAGCTTGTGTTTCCCTCGCCAACAACCAGCTTTTATCCGTCGGGTATCCTCGTGGGGGCTTTTCAAACATATGCATCCAACTGAGGGTGAAATGTCGGACGAATTTATATCGGCTGACGAACGAAAGGATGCCTTGCCAAAATGGATCTCGCCATCACCATCCACATCATCACTAGTATATATGTCCAGACTACCATCACCACAAAAGCCTAGTCGTGATGACGAGCAATTGTTGACAGAGACAACATCTGCTAGAGAAGACGAGGAGCCAGCTACCATTCGCTCACTTTGGAACCGGATACCAACTCGTCGGCATTTGTTGGTATACTGGATGTACTCATTCTTGGTGATTTCTGTCGACGAAACCTTTCCTCTGTATTGTATATCAAAAGAATCTGGTTTGGCGGTCCAAGAAAAAAACATTGGAGACATATTATCAAGTACTGGGATCTTCTACGTCACGCTTCAATACTTCCTCTTGACGACCTTGGTGAACCGTCTGGGACTGTATCCAGCAATGCGGATAGGAGCTATCATGAGCATTCCGGTTTGCTGTTTGATGCCAATAACCCTCATTACAATCAAAGGAGCACCAGAAGGACAAGTGAACTGGCCGACTCTTGCCCACATCAGTATTACGTACGCTGTGATAAGGGCTTTTTCAACAGTGACATTTTCAACTTTGACAATGTCAACAAACAAGACAGTCCCATCTCACCATCGAGCTACAATGAACGGGTTGTCAATGCTAGGAGGTTCGTTGGCAAAGGCTGCTGGGCCAACTTTTGCAGGGTTTCTCTTTTCTACCAGCGTGACCAATATTGTTCCGCCATATGGATCGGTTGTAGCCTATTTCGTAATTTCCTTGTTGGGTGTCGGATTGTTCATTCAAACTTTACTATTGACACCTTCAGCTGGAATGAGTAAGTAGCTCATTGCAAATTGGGCGTCAACCAACTTAGCTAGCTAAGCTTGGGATTTAGACTCCTGGTAAGAAACTTGCTTTTAAAGAAGACCGTTGTAGATAGATGCAAAGAGAAGCACAAGGTAGATAATACTACAGTAGAGTAAGTATTTTCTGATAAAAAGTATTATTACACTCGTAAACGGGATTTCCGAGACCTGCTTCTTGTCGGCGATGGTGCCCAACAGGCTGGGTGATGGTGGGAAAGAAAAATTAATTGGTCTGCTAATAGACGTATCAATTCGACCAATTGAAATAAACTGAACTGTCACTGCCCATCTATCGCATCAGGTATTATTGGTAGGTATGGTAGGTACGTGTACCGGTGCATATCCGCTCATTTTGTAGGCTCCCCTTCAAGTACCTCACCCCCTCTCACTCCCCGATGAGCTGCGCAAATTCAAACTCTAAGCTGAAACGAACAAGGAACATTGCCAGGACTCTCTATCTGTGCCCGATACCCAAACTAAACTATCTAGGAGGCCCGAGGGGACGCAGCCGTTGGTAGCCAGCTAATAGATAGTGCAGAGGTGTTGATTGGTAGTGGGATGCTAAAATATCACAGGACCCAAATTTACCGACAAGAATGAAGTCACATCCCTGTCTGTCCAACTGCTTCGCCTGGTTCATAATTTCAGCCATAGTCACTGCTCTGATTGGCTTCAACTCAGATGAAGGTTTCCTTTCGATCGACTATGATAATCACAGGATCCTATCGGAACAAAGCCCTGAGCGAAAACTTAGAATTCTGTACACTGTGACAACTCTAGCAGAATATGACGGAGGCAGTCGTTCGACGACAAAGGGGTCGGATCGGATGCAGAATGTACTCATTCCTGTAGTCAAAGAGAGCGTTGATTCTATGCTGAGCCATGGATTCGAGGTTGACGTCTTCATCGTTGCATTCTACAAAATGACACGGTTCGAACTGATACGCAATGCATTGCCACCCTCTGTCAAAATTTCTATTTGGGACGAAGCAGCTCCATTGTCATACAAGGGGGATGAACATATGAAACCAAACGCCAAGCTTCATCATAACACAATCGGACTTGCACGTCAGCATAGGTTTGTGGTCAAAGATCATCTTTTTGAGTATGATTTCTTTTGCAATTGGGAAGATGATATGGTTATTCATGGTGATCATATCGAGAATTATCTTGACATGACAAAAGAGCTATACCGGCTTCGCGAATTGGCGCCAGATGATAAATTGGACAATCGGCAAGGAAGCAATAACTTCTTTGGTCCATTGAACAAAGAACAGCTGAAACGAACGCTGCCAGGATTCATTAGAGTGGAAGCGTTACTAGATGAAGAGACGTACGGAACCCAACCTGAACTAGATCCAGTTCCAGTCAAAGAAAGACCAGAAATCGACCCGAAACCATGTTGCCACTTGAGAAATGAATCGTTTGCGAGTCCAACCAGACCAGCTGCACCGCTATCGAACAAGCTGTTCATGTGGGAGGTCGGAATCAAGGCAGTAGGAATTCGTCATATGCCAGATGAGTCAAACCTGGGATGGGTACTGCTACAACGAGGCCCAAGTCGCGGAAAGGATGTAGTGGATGACCATACAATGTCAGACTATTGGTCAAACCAGTGAGTGTGTCCTCTAATCCTATGTAGTCGTCAACGCGCAACTTTTCTCAACACCTGTTTGTGCTGCTCAGACTTAACAAGTATTTCAAGGAACGACGACCCTCGAGCATTTCTTTCCATGGTATCAACAACCAAGGGGGCTGGATGGGAACACAAAGGCAGATATGGGAGTGGCACACGGAGGTGTGTCCAGGAGGTTTCCTGCCACCGTACGAAGCCCCACACTATCGGTTTGATGGTTTAGATATGCGAAATGTGGAATGGTGGAGTGGAGGCATTAGTTTGGTGACCGCAAGACACGCCTGTAACATGCAACGCCTGATCAGTCTAGAGCCCTCGCGATTTGCCAGACATTTGTTGTACCACTCGGCCAATAACAAACAGCGCCAGCTGCAATTTAAGAAGAAGACATTTGTCAAGGTGAATGACTTCTATGCACAATTGCTGACGGTCCAAAACGATGCTACAAAGGACATGAACAAGTTAAAACGGATGAAATCATTTTAGGAAGATACTTCTCATAGCAGTATTCCTAAGACTTGAGCTTTTTCGCTTTCTTGCCATCGTCTGAACTATCTCGATCATGCTTCTTCCACGCAACACTCAAGACATTGACCACCTTTTGTCGGCCTTCAGATTCGAATTTGTCCACATAATCAGAGATCTTCTCAAGCCACTCTGCACCAAACTTTTGACTCTTCATGTCGCCAAGAGATACCAAGGTTCGTGCTGTCCCGATAATCACATCACCTAGAATATGCCCAGGATGCAGCTTCAACCTTAAGGATTCGACATAACGATGGAGCCGTTGTAAGTTGTCAATAGTTTCGGCGACATCTTCCATTTCTGGTATTTGTTGGGTGGTCAACATGGTCGACGACATCTGAGAAAGACGACGATGCAAAAGAAGCAAAAGGAGAAGATTGGTGGTCCAATGTTTGTCTCCCATGACAGCTCTTGCCAGACTCAAATGCTCTTCCAAAATTTCCTCATCATCGGAATCGTCATTAGGTTTCTTGTCTTTGGCCGACTCTTGTTCTTCCAGGAGAGCTAACACTCTTGACGTAACTACCGACATGGATTTTTTCAATTTCTCAAATTTTTCCAGAGCCGAACTTTCACTGGAAGCACAGATATACTTCACAGTCTGATCATCGTCGTACTGTTCATCCTCATTCAGTGATTGTTGAGCTTGTCGTGGATGTTCCGAAGGACAAGGGACTCTGGCAGCGACATCCTCTCCCACGCAACGTGTGCACTCGCAGTGAAAGAATTTTGTTCGTTTCAACTTTTCTCTCCTTACTCCAGTTTCCGTATACAGCATGGACCCCAAATATGAGATAGTTATCTCGTCCCCCACGGCAATGTCTGTTGCTGCCAGCATCTTTTGACCTTCTCCTTTAGCTTGAATGATAGAGTTTGGATCACACGAATGATTCGCCCTTGATATCTTGAGATAAATCCGACCACCCTGGAATGAATTGCAAGCCCAAACAAGCATGGCCTTTTCAACTTTGTCCCAATCCACCGTGCTGTCTGTGCTCTTCTGTAGAAATTGGAGAGCTTCTTTAGCGACAGTTCGTATTCTATCCTCGATTTTGGATGACGATTCTGCAGTAGGAGAGTACAAGTCAAGAATCGCTGTCTTTTCATTTTTCGAATTTTCAATCCAACTCGTCCCGGCGGTAATCATGGAACGAAATGTTCCGTGAAGGTCAACATCGATGGATTCCAAAGACTTCTTGATGGATGCCTCGGTTTTCTGTTGTTTTCCTGCCGCTGTTGAGGCCAAAACGACTGCAGGCGACTCTGCGAGTATTTCATCTCCAGCTTTGAATGCTTTGGTAGCGAAGAGCCCCAATTGTCCATAGGCTGATTGCTTTACTTCCGACATGGTTGCAATGTTGGATGGTTCTTTTGAAATTTTGATTTTGAGTGATTGATGAGGAAACGCTCATAACCTCAGCAGAAGTCGAAAGGGTCAATAAGGACTACACAATTCCTTCACATCTCCGTTTTATTGGCTTCGCTTTGTTTTCTCGAAGTGGGTTGATGCTCTTCTCATAAAACGTAACTTCCTATCCACAAAAGTAAGATGCCCAATGACAAGAACCATACCTTTAATGCAACTTCTGCTCGTGTCCTTTGCTTTGGCGCGAGGATTTCCGGTCCTCCCACGTAGTACATCGAGCCCACCACCCTCAACCGTTGCGTTCTTGTCCCAAATCAAGGATGGTGATTCGAATACTGAATCCAATCTCAGCACACTGAGTCGTTGCCTTGTGGAGGAATATGAGGGATATTCGAATTCGCTATCACAGGGACAAGAAAAGAATCGTGTTCTTGCAGAGCTCGAGCCACAAGAATCAATCTGGAGACGAATGTTTCGAGAAATTTCCATCAAAAGGAAAACAAGACCAGGATCCTTGGTGCTGCTTCGATGCTGTGAGTCAACTTTTAACTTGAATGAAACTTTTACGGGGTGGTTAGATCCACCTTTGTCGGATGAGGGTGTCAAACAAAGCCAACATGCAGGGCGCTTGCTTCTTTCGGAAGGTTTCGACGTCGATGTTGTCTACACATCTCGACTGAAGCGGTCAATTACAACCGCCTGGCATGCGCTGGAAACAATGGACTCCCTCTTCATCCCAGTATATAAAACTTATCGGCTAAATCAAAGAATGTATGGTGCCCTAGAAGGTTTGCCCAGGGAGGAAACAGTGTCCAAATTTGGTATTGACGTTGTCAAAGCCTGGCGCCAATCAATGAAAGCCCAACCACCCAAACTGTCTCGTGACGACCCATCTCATCCGATTCACGACAGAAGATACAGCGATGTCCCTCCCGAAATGATTCCAGATTCAGAGTCTCTCATCGAGTGCCACAGACGCGCTGCCCCACTTTGGGAACATCAGATCAAGGGAGATATCAAGAACGGAAAAACTGTGCTCGTTGTGGCTCATAAGGATACGCTACGTGGTCTCTTGAAAACAATTGATAATATTGATGACAAGGACATTAGTGATATCAAAATGCCTAGAGGCGTTCCAATGGTCTATCGATTTGATGAACAAATGGAGCCCGTCGAACCGAGCGACATGAGCCGGAAGCTGCTTCATACAAATGGTCAATTTCTTCAAAAACCTGGGAAGACACTAGAAATATTGGGGCATGAATCTGGCCCCATTTCGATACAAAATAACTGTCAAATGCAGCGTAGAGAACTTACATTGCAGGATTCCATGAACAGTCTTCGCTACGGAGCAACATCAGAGACCGAGGAACGGGTGGGATTGGTATCGGGCGAAGACAGTGGCAGAGCAGAGAGGTGGTCAGACGACCCTTGTGAGTTTGAGGAGTACGACGTCTTTGCCGAAGAGATCGAGGGTGATGGCGAAGAAATAGTTCCCACCATTCTGTCGAGCAACAAACTTTTGTCAAATCAGACATTGGAGGGTCCATTCATTGTTCTAATTCGGCACGGACGCACACCACACAATCAAATGGAGCTCTTCACAGGATGGGAAGACCCACCACTAGCCGAGGAAGGCGTCGAGGATGCAAGAAATGCTGGAAGACTTTTAAAACGCCACGGCTTTGAATTTGATGTTGTGTACACGTCATGGCTCACCAGAGCAATTCAAACGGCGTACTACACCTTGGAAGAGTTGGATCAATTGTGGCTACCAATGGTGAAGTCCTGGCGTCTAAACGAACGGTTTTACGGCGACCTAACAGGGAAAAGTAAAAAGATGATTGCTAACAAGTATGGAGAAGAACAGCTGAAGAAGTGGAGGAGAGGGTACACTATACGTCCACCTCCTGTGTCATCGTACTCGTTGAACTATCCTGGCAATGACGAACGCAGAGCCAAACACTTCAAAGACCTGCGTTTCTCCTTTCGAGAGTCAATGGCTAGAAGTCTAGAAATGAAGAGACTGTCCTTTCACCGAAAGTTTCCAAAAACAGAGAGTTTGAAGGATTGCATGGATCGATCCATTCCGTTCTACACGAAACGAATCAAGGGTGAGGCGATTCGGAAGGGAAAGAGGGTTTTGATAACTAGCCATGAAAACGCGCTGCGAGGAATTTTAATGCATTTGTGTGAGATACCCGAGGAAGCGATGAATCAGTTACATCTGCCAAATGGTTTGCCATTAGTCTATGATGTAAAAAGGAAATGTCTTTACCTCCTTGATAATGGAAGCGGTAAAAATCCCGCTGAATCTCATGATTTTGGACCGGCGGCAAAGTACCTATTTTCACCATGTGAGACAAAAAAATTGTAAGAACAAGCCAGTAGTAGAAATATATCACTTAAATTGCCGCACTGATTCCTGAAGATCTTCCCTGTCGATACAACAAGTTGCCATGGGCTATGCACTTCACAAACGTGATTGATTCATTCCCGCAACGATCTTCCGCTTCACAAACGTGATGAATCATCTTCAACTGAAACCGTATCTTTGATGTGTGACAACAAGTGTGCTGACGATAGCAAATAATATCAGCATTCAGAAAGCAACAAAACAGAACGTACACACCAACTAAAACGCCATGGCCCTCGTTAAGAGTACTATCCTGCTATGCTTGGTATCAGCAAGTCATTCATTGTTACCGAGAGTAGCAACTACGGGAAGATTTCAGAGCCAAGCCTGTTCGGCAGCTTCAACTCCTGTTGAACTTGAAGATGCTAGCTCAAACAAGTCGATTCTTCCACCTGGACGCCCTACGAATCGCTTTGTAAGATGGCTATTTGATGATACGATTGCTCTTCTTAGTCCGAAGGATATGAAGCTACTGAACCGCAAGGAAAAGTTTGGTCCAATATTCAAGACCAATTTCTTGTTGCGCCCCACGGTTTTCCTCACCGACGTCGATTACATTGAAACATTCTCGAAGTACGAGAGGAAAAATAAGCACTCCTTCGAAGCATTCTTTCCCCCTCATCATCACAAACTTTTTGGAGAAAACTCCCTCCTTGTGTTGTCTGGAGAGAAACATACACGTCTTCGTGGTCTCATCATGGCCAGCCTGACTCCAATCATGACCAAGTCCTATGAGCCACTCATAATGGAGAGTGTCCAGTCTTTCCTAAAAGTTCTGCGTACTGACACAAAGGATTCCTACGCTGAACTGGTTCCAAGAATTCGTTCTTTGTTCACTGGCATCATGCTGCAAGTCATTCTGGGCACCAGAGACGTTTCGGCAGACCTTGTAAACGATATTTCGATATGGGCCCTCGGACTAGTGGCTCCGCCATTGACAGCATTACCATTCACAACGGCAGGAAAAGCCATGAAAGCCCGGGCCCGTATTGTCGAGCAGCTAAAGAAGCTCATGGATGATAGATCGATTCTCGACGAATCTGGACTCTTGGCTCGACTCTTGGACGCAAGCGACGAAGACAATGGTCGGCTATCAAAAGGCGAGATTATCGACAACTTGTTTGCACTAGTGTTTGCCGGGTCAGATACGACAGCTGCAGCTGCCACCTCAATCTGCCTCACACTTTCCAAAAATCCAGGGCTTCGAAAAACGATGAGCGAGAATCCAGATAACATTGAACCATTTGTCACACAAGTACTCGAAGCCTTTCCGTCAGCTCCATTTCAGATGCGTGAGACGACACGAGAAATCCGAGTCGGAGATTATTGTATCCCTTCGAACTGGTTGGTTGCTTTTGGGTTCGCTGCTGCCTTGTCTGACAATGTGCCTCCAACTCCAGAAAGGTTAAAGCCAAGTGACGACAAGGCTCCAAACTCGGTTGCTTTCGGGAGAGGACCACGAAGATGCCCAGGCAGATTTCTGGCGTGTTCTGAGCTTGAAGTGATGACGCAGGCTCTGCTTGATGTCGAGTTGGAACTCGAACCAAACCAGAATCTGGAGCAGCAGTATACTCCCGGCTTCTTTCCTGTGGATGGGCTGAAGGCCAAAGTGGTCTAGCACCGAATCTTTTTTGTCAGCAAGGCAAGTTGGTTGATACTACAATACCGGTGTAGTGGATGGAGGAGTAAAGTGTAATGGGGGAAACATTGGGGGCGTAGAATTAGTGTTCCGCCTGCAGGTGCTTTAGTAGGAACAAGAGTATACACTCTTGCTAGGAAAGACAGTTGTCCAGCAGATTTGACATGCTGCTTATAAATTAATTTTTTGCAGCTGTTCACAAGATATGGTTTTTGCCTATCTGTTCGTGACAGCATTATCAATAGATATACTTCTCTTCCCATCCCAATTTCGTGCAAAACAACCAACAACAGTCCAGACGCGTTATTGATTGAGTAAAACTATGACTGCGGCTAGGGTTGCGGTAGCTTTAGTCGTACCAGTCGGAGTTGTTCCATCACAACAATATCATTGGTCCACTTCGAATCAAAGCCTCGAAAGGTGCTCTGTTCCAACGCTAAACTATAATGGACATGTCTACGCTGGTGACTTATTCTCCAGAAACTGCTCTTCCTGTGGTCTCAGGATGCGTTGCATTCGGGACGACATTGTGTCTCTCGACTCTTGCACAAAAGATCATTGGCATTTCGACAGCAAACAAAATGGTTCCTTCCCTGTTTGGAATGGCAACTGTTTGTCTAGCTTCAATGGCCAGTCAACGAGCTGCTATCTGTACATATGATTGGGTGAATGACAAGCGGCCGATTCAAGAATTCATCATGGATCCAAAGACCCGAAACACACTGTTCTCGCCGTCCACAGCATCCTCTGCTGACTGCATTCGAATAGGTGACCACATCAAGATACCAAAACACGACATTCGGGTATGCGCTGTTGGGTTGGCTGCCTTCAAACTATTAGGGGGTCGATTTTGGGCCATTGCCCCGTCAAGTTTCACTAATCTTGGTTCGTTTTCACGGTGGTCGATCCCATGTGGTGAAAGATATGCAACTACAAACCAGCGCACTTTGATTGAAAAAATGGGAAGGCGATGGGGTTGTCACACTTGTGGATCACGAATGTTCTTTTCTAGGCTAGGGAAAAACAAGTTTGTCGGTGATCACATGCCACCAAAATCTGTAGCCGATCAGATGAACAAGAGCTGGCTCCGAAGAATGAACATCTTACCGAAAGTTCCATTTCGATTTTATCCGCAGTGCGTGAAGTGCTCGAATACGCAAGGTTCAATCCTATCCAAAGCGTCTAATGAGTTATCCAAAAAAACACTTTTGCCATCCTGGATAAAAGCAGCAAATCTAGAGAAAGCAGGAGGTGGACGAGCAGCTCATTTTCACGGTTTGAGATTTCGAGCGAACCACTTAACTGGCGGAATATTAGCCGGTGCTACTGTTGTTGGTGCAACCAAGTCGGAAGTCTCCAAAGGAAATAAGAAACGTTTTCAGGGTGCCACTAATCAGGCGGAGGATATTGTCAAATCTGCAAATGTTCAGGTGAAGGAGTTGATAAAGTCTGCAACTAGATAGAGTAAATTCCACAGCCTAGTCAAATCGAATATTGTTCGCAATCTAGTCAAACTGCATCAGTTTTCTGCGAATGTCATTCATCTTGCTTGTGGCCAAAGATTGTCGCAATCGTTGTCGAGCATCTTGCAGCAGTTCGATTAGCTCGGAATATTCTTGTCCCTTGCTTGCCAATTGTTCATACTCCATTCCCGCCTTGATATCTGGGTTCTGTCTCTGAATTGTAATCCTATCCGCCTCATCCTTTTCTTGTTTCTTAAGACGCCGGCCTTCCGCACGCTTTCTTCGTGCCATGATGGTTTGAATGCACTTATGACACATGAAATCTTCGTCTGGCTCGGGAGCCTTGATGGTGAACTTATCGGCCATGCAATGCATGTGCACAGCATTCCGGCAGAAATCACAACACAACAAGCTACCTACGTCCTTGCAAATGGCACAATAATCAGTGTGATCGTCTCCCTTGTATCGCTTCTTACTCGGATACCGACCGGAATCAATCTCATCCGCGAGCGCAGAAATATCAATAATGGGAGGAGTCGGCTTGACAACTTTCGCTCGTTTGCGACGTAAACTAGATCCAATATCTTTCCGATTCTTTGGTTTTGTGTATCGAAGAGCCTTGTACACTTCCTTATACATGGACCCATACTTCTGGTCGTCGGAAACACGTTGGCGCTCTTCTAGCTTCTTTGCTAGGTCTTCCATAATCTTTTCGGGTGCATCCTTAGTTAGGGATAGGGTGGGTGGGGGTGCGTTGGAGCCCATCATTTCCATTTCAGTACTCGCATGAAATAGCATGTCGTCTGTAAACTTAATATCCTCTTTGATTACCTTGTATCCCAGGGAAATGACTACCTCAGGGTACATCCCGAATACCTTCTTTCTCTTCCCCTTCCTCTTTCGAGGAGCAAAGTCCTGTTGGGGTTCATATTCAGGCGGGAAGCATTTGTTTGCAAGAATGCGCGATGCTCCCGCTTCCAAGGTATGTTGTGTCTCTTTTCTAGCTGCTGATAGTTTCGCATTTTTGGAAATGCACACACGATTTCGGACGTGATATGTGTAGCCTGGAGTCGAAGTAAACTTTCTGCCACAGTCTTCGCAAGCATTAATGTTCCCACTACCAACATATGGATCAGTCAGAATGCGCCGTTGGAGGAACAAGCGTTGCGTAGAATTTTGATTCTCCGGAATCGAGCCATCTAGCTGCACCCACACACACTCCACCATACGATCTGGACAAGCTTCCGGAGGGACATGGATATCGTCAGGCAGTAGGGGCATTGGCGCGAGTTTTTTGTTTTCGTTCAGGTCTGTCGGATTGCCACCGTGATAGGCAAAAAAAACCGACGTCTTGTTGATACTTTTTCCTTCTTCCAAAAGCATGTTGATCTGACGCTTACGTGCTCGCAATCGAATGTACTTGGAAACCATGCATTTATGCCGTTGCTTTTCGGTCTTGATTTTCTTGGAATTGTATGTCCGCAGCTCGGTTGGCGGGATCTTGCACACTGGTGCTGTAGATTCACCCCGACCATCCGAAACGACTTGGACCACACCAAAGGTAGTCATGAATCGTTCGCCAGGTGCCAAATTGTTGAGAATCATCTGTTTCGAGTCTGACTTGTTGTTCTGTTGACAAACCTTGCGACCTGATATTGCATGAATTTTTAAAATTAGCATGTGTGTTTCATCAACATGTCCATCAGATTCACTCCACAACCATCGTTACTTACTAATATGATAGTTTAATCCCAGAGTACTGGTGAATACCCGATCACAATCTGGACAACGTCGATCTTCCAATTTGCCCCGAAATCGTTTGCTGTAGCTTTTTGGTGTGTCGGTCCCTCTGGTCTTGGTTTTGCCCCTCGTTCGTTTCTTCTTGTTGGCCTTGGCTAGAATTTTCGGATCGGTACACTGATCTATGCGACAAACGTAGTTTGCTTAAAGTGACACGAGAAACGGATAATTATTGTGAGGAAAAGACTCGAGTGTGCCTAGTTGTGTCACTTTTGATCCATGCGCATATCAAGCTTGTCCAACACAAGATTGACACTAGCAGCAACTCACCAATATGATACTTGAGGCCTCCTTCGGAAGAAAATTCTTTTTCACAATGCGGACATTTATGCTTTCCCTTGCCGGTTTTGCGCTTCTTTTTGGGCTGTGCCACGTCTCCCTCCTCCTCATCGTCGTCATCCCTTTTGCCATCGCCTTTGCCGTCTTGATTGCTGTAAGCTTCGTCATCTTCAGTTTCATCCGCATCAATATTGGAAGCATGTTCATCCTTTACATCCTCCTCATCCTCCGTGTCTTCTTCCTTCAATTTGGCCATAGCCCTCCTCGAAGCCCTCCTTGGCGACCGAGTCTTTCGCTGGATGCGTCCTTTCTTTTTGCTTGCGCCCTTTGCATGTGGAGACGACGACGCTGGACTTTCTTCGTCCTCCGTGTCCTCGTCGTCGTTGGACGGAATCAGCTCTTCGGCGTCTTCCTCCTTTTTAATTTCTTGTTTCTTTCGTTTGACCATGTTGGTAGGTCGTCTTCGTTTGTGATGTATTCATTACTCTTGAGATCGTGTCGATCGATCGATATTCAATTTTTTTATGCTGCGTCTGACCGTCGTCCAAAACAAAAAGTTTCTTTCCAATCGGATGGGTCAACGTTTGATGGGTCAAAGTGGTCCAACGTGAACCTGCTGAAAAGAAATAATTGAAGGCAAACACGGTGAAATCGAACGCTTTTTTTCCAGCGAGTGACCATCAGGTTGGCATGGTGACCAGGAAAGTGACATGGGACATGGACGAAAAGGTACCACAAACTATCTTGGTAGTTTGTTTCTTGGCCTAGAGGTCTTAGTAGTATAGTTAGAAGTAGTATTTGTATAATTGGGTTAATGGAATAATACAACTAGTAGTTTATGATGAATGAATGGATTATAGTTTCAATCAATCAATCAATCAATGAGGTATAGATCTAAAGATGATCCGCCAAATCCATGGCTACAGTATCGCTCGTTGGATACAAGGATTCATGCAATCCTCCACCAATCGAATCGAGTGTCCAAAACAAACATGCTGTTTTGGCAAAATTGGAACCGCTCCCTCGTGGGCGCGAAAGTTATGTTTTCTTCTCTATATGAATCGATTCTCCTCGACACCGATTAGTTCCAATTGTTCCATCGTAATGAGATGACAAGATTGACAGGCTGGAGCGCAGTTGACTCGCATCCAGTCTCGGTTCGTCTCGCATTCTCCTTGTAGGACCCATCGGGTACAGTCGCGGTGTCGATTCCAACAATTCAAAAAGAGTTCCGGGGACAAATCCAAAACCGCATCACTGTCGATATACTTGCGGGTTTTCTTGACAATTAATGAAAGTTCATACGCATCTCTGCCCACTATATCTTGGAGCACACCAAATTCGGTGGTTCGTTCCTGGCTTTTGCAGAGTTTGCAAGATTCGGGACACAGTCGGTACATTAGATCCGGCTGTTTTCGGCACATTCCGTCCTTCGCAGACTTCAGACAGGCATTTCGTTTGTCTTTGCATGTCATGTTTTCGTCTATTCGGTCTTCAGATGATGATGTCGGAGCGTTCATGCTGAATTTGGCCTCTGCTACTTGTGATGAAGATAGCATCAGAAGAACCAGCATCGATAACAGCGTTATCCATGATCTGGATCTATATTGGTACTGTATACTCCTTCTCATTGTATTTTATGCCCTGATTGCTTTGTACTGTATTGCTCAGCGTGTTGGATTACACGGTACAGAAACGAGAGAGGAAGAATAGAACTTGACGTTTTTCGTTGACCGTGGCGCTGCCTGCCTTCCTACTGGCGAATGAATCAAAGGTATTTTTGTTGCGTGCACGGTGATTGTTCTGGACCTAGCCCTTTCTTGATGCCGCTGCTACTGCTCTCCCAAACAAATCACTATGAGAATACACCTTTGCTCTTTGTTGCTTGGCAGCCGGTGAAACCTTTTTTGTTTCCAGTTGCGTGATACGTGAACCTAGTTTCAGGGTTGTCGGTCCGTCCTCTGGCACATTACGTGACAAGTAAAACTGCATTGACTCCTTCGATTTCGATTTTCGACTCTGCGTATGTACAAAATGGTACATTGGCCGGCTTGGAGGTTCAAAAACAACCAGTTCGAGGCGCATTTCGTTCGCAATATGGCATAGATCCTGGCTTTGTGGCCCTTATTTGTCTGAATCACGGATTCTCCAATAGTGGTATGTCGTTAAATCGATCATCAGTTGATTCACGGAACGCTTTAAGTATAGTTTTGAACATTAATTCGATTTGTATCGTTTCGCAGAATGGCATAAGTCGGAATGAATCACAGAACTTTTTCAACCCGAATGACCATCATTTGTTGTTCCGAAAATTCGGAATCATGGATGTAGCAAGGTTTCCCACATAATCTAAGACAGCAGACCATAAGAATTAAATGAAGAAAAGGACTATCGACGCAGTTAACGAGGACGCTGCCCAATCGTTAGTCCGATTCAACAATAAGCGACAAAAAAGTGCTTACTGTCCTCTCTGTAGCGATGTTTTCTACATCGGCACAGCTTCGTACGACTTCTGCGTTCCCATTTCCTCCGCCAACGTCGAAAACAGGAAACTCGTCCGGGCTGGGCGACAACACTGTAAAAAGAAGCACCCGACCTCCTTTTTATGGAACCTTCTTCCGAGGAGGGACAAGTTACTCGCGAATATTCCTTCTCGCGAACTCACTTTGGATGTCGGTCTTGGTTCCGACAATGATATTTTTGAGGTTGATGCACTTTTTGTAGTAGCGATGAGCAAGGCTGCTAAGTTGCACCCAGTTGGAGGTGACAGTTCCATTCATTTGATAAGGATCGGAATGTTGTGTCGCCTGTCCATGGCCAAAGCTTGGTTGAAGTGGATGACATCGCGGCGATGTAGCCTGTCTTCTAAACTTGGCAAGGATAAGGCTAGGGAAGTTATTAAGAAGACAAGTGACCGCTTAGAAGAACTTATACTCGCGCTGTCCGACATTCGACCAGTCTCCCATTTGCCCCAGGGTGCAACCGAAGTCTTCAACGAATTCAACCTTTTTGCTCTAATTCCAGGGCGCCACAGACAAACCTGGCTCGTGGACGGCCTCACTGGCCAGTTGTAGAGCTCAACCATCACCATTCCTGGCGCTAAAATTATTTTAAGAAGACGTCTTTTTAAGCATGGCAAACATTATAATTTTATTATGGTAATATCGCAAAGTTGCCAACACTTAGTAGAAGTTAGGTCTATGACAACACCTCATTCTTGCACTGTAAACTAGGATATGCCTAAAGTGAATGGTAGAGTTGCAGACATAGTAATAGGAAGCGGTTATGGTGATGGTGCTTGCAGACATAGTAATAGGAAGCAGTTATGGTGCTGGTGCTGGTGCTGGTGCTGGTGCTGGTGCTGGTGCTGGTGCTGGTGCTGGTGCTGGTGCTGGTGCTGGTGCTGGTGCTGGTGCTGGTGCTGGTGCTGCTGGTGAGAATGCAGCAGCATTCTTTTTCAACCTTGCATCCATCTTTGATTCCGAATCGTTACTTAGCACAGTAGCAAGTTCGTAGAGTTTCTGGTCGAGACAACGCTCAACCATGCCCCTTGCCGTGGGGAAGTATCCATCCTCTTGCCACATTTCTCCATATAGTGTGAACTGCCTCAAAAATGTGTTCGCAATCCGGTTCTTTGTCGATCCCACGGTTTGTATTCCCGTCGACATCAGCTCCTGGAACATACTATTGATGATTGTTACAATGTATGGTTTTGCCGCGGAAATATAGACTGTGGTGAACCCATGTTCACTTTCCACAGTCTTTGTTGGACCTTTCTTATGTTCTATGCGAGCTGGATGGATCTTTTGATGGAAAACATCATCACACATCAGAAGCGTGAAGTTACACTCATTTTTGTTAGTCAACCTTTTAAGAATCTCAATCTTGGCCTGTTCGATCCAGTTTTTGACGGCCCGTGGGTCAGTAATCGTCTCCACTAGATTCGGTAACTGACTTCCTTTGGAAAATGTGTACGCGAAAAATTGCTCGCTTACAAATTGAGGAATAGTAACCGTTCGGTTCTTCCACACTAATGGTGGGCCGTTGCGCCACCACATACCACATCTCGAATGACCATCTACTCTTTTGTGGTTGGGTGGTTTGCAGGCGACTCCACCTTTTGAAGTGCAGATATTGGCATGCTCACTCAGGTCGCAGAATGCCCCAATCGGGACAAGAGGTACTTCGGCTTCCGTTGGTGCTTCGGCTTCCGTTGGTGGTGCCCCTGCTTCTTCCAGTTCATCCTGGCCATTGGGTTCATCCTCGTCGGTTTCCTGGGTATTAGATTCATCGTCGGTCCCTGCTGCTTCGTGTTCATCCTGGCCATTAGATCCAACGTCTGACCGGTCTGACCCATTGTGGGAATCGGCTACATGCAGGTCTTGATCGCGTAGTCTTGCGATTTCATTTTCCATTTGGGAGAGTTGGGTCGCATTCTCGTTCTCTGCTTCTTGGATGTTTCTAATGAATTGCTCGCGTCGTTGTGCTTGCCTCAGAAGCTGATCCCTTTCCTCTGTCACCGTTGCAATATCCGCCTGTCGCAGTACCCTCAACTCCTCTCTGGATCTATTTATTTTCCGCCGGTGTTGTTGATTAGTGTCTTTTGTCGACGTGTTGTACGGACTCAAGATGCATTCTACCTACCTTTGTAGCTCCAACTGGCAAGCAACCAAATCGTTTCGTTCGCGTTGGTGAACGACAAGAAAAGCATTATGCTGGGTTTCCAACTGGTGACGCTGGGTCTGCACCCTGGCGAGTTCCGACGCGGCCTCCCTGGATTGCCGTTCTAATTCCTGCTCCGACTGCTCCACTCTCCTCCTTTTATTGGTGAGTTCTTCCTCCGTTTGCTGGCGTCGACGTTTCTTGTCTTCTAATTCGTTTGTCTTCTCCCTTAGCGCCCTTGTCATTCCGCACCACGGCCCAAATCCGACAGACCCACAAGTAAGTGTGACACGCTCTAGCTTTTCTATGGCATTTTCTGGAAGCCCTGGATGATAGGCAAACCAGTTCTGGCAACAATCATATTGAATCATTTTTTCCACTTTCTGCTCCCCGAAGCTGGTGTAGCAAAGGTCGAAGAATAATTTGATGTTCGAGAGAGACTCTGGTTCCAGAAATCTGGTGCTCACTGTTACATTCAAAGATAATTGTAACATCACCGATAAGCATACCACATCAAGGTTGATTTCGTGACCATTGCTTGACTGAGATTCAAGGAAGTACTCTCCTGTAGATACAGTTGCCCAAATGGGTAGTTTCCCAAAGGCCTCCACCATTTTGTTTTCCGTTAGAAAATTACCGGCGGGTCCTTCTTTGAAGATACTTCTTCCCGTTATCTCCATGACTACTTCGCCCTGTTGGCTGACCGTGGCGCATTGTGTGAAAAGATGGACGTTTCTGCACGTCTTGACAACAAAGCCCCAATCTTGTGTATGTTTCACTGTTGGATCAAGCAAGTCAAAGTCGTTGATTAAATGCTCTTCATTTTGGCACTGGTGAGAAATGCCGACCTTGGGACAATGTAGAAACCACTGTTCAACAACAGTGAAGTAGTTTTCATCTATTGGCAAGTCCGGTTTTGATGCAACGTGAAGTGATTGCTCGCAAGATACAATGTTCTCCAACAGTTGTTCCGGTGTTAATTCACCTGCCCTTGTTTGAGGGGGTTCCAGGGAGCGACCAAATTGGCATGCAAGGTGGAACATGGACGAAGATCTAACCCCACACGGATTCATTGGTGCGGTTTTGTGATTTTGTGATGTTGCCTTTTTTGATTATGTGTACGTCTTCGTACATAACCGTCGTGGCAAAACACGGGCCATTTTTCAGCGCCTCCAAACTCGTCTTCACGACGTACCAATACTTCCTGTCATTGTTGTATCTACTATCGCTGCATCATGCCGAGGCAAGTCTCACAGAGCGCAATGGAGGAAGCGTGGAAGACGCAGACGCCCATCCTGGAGAAGCTAACTTGCGATGCAATGCTTGTCATACTTGAAATGAATGGCATCACTCTAAAGAAACAGGGAAGGATCAGGAGAAAGTTCAAAAGACTTGTCCATCCAGACGTAGTCCAGGCATTCGACCTACAGTCGAATGAATTACTTGCTTTATCTAAGGACGATATTTCGAAACAGTTGCTGGAAAAGCAAATGATGCGCCAAAAGCAAATGATGCGCCAAATGACGGTGGAAGACCGTCGTAATTTGGAAAAACTAGACTACCACAAGGCACGTTGGCGATGGATCAAGGATGACTTTCTGTCTCGTGGGTTGGTAACTACTTTTTCGCAGCCTGAGTGCTTCCAACAGCCGGTACCCGGTGCTAAAATGATAGTGAAGTTGAACGTACCCGGTGCTAAAATAAAGGTGGTGAAGTTGAACGTTCCAGAGCAGAATAGGCAACAAAGTAATAGTATGCTACCGTCGGTTACCAAACCGGCAAACTTGGTAACTCCTGAAACGCCGGAATTTGCGGTCGGTCTTGTTGCAGAGTTGGTAACACCTCGACCTCCGAGTACTGACCGGGGAACGTTGACAACACATCCACTTCCACTTGTGGATGCAGACGATAATCATTTGCTGCCTACGGATTACATGGAGGATCGAGGATACTTCAATACCGACTGGGGAACCTTGGCAACAATTGAACGATCGGCACCAGTGTCAACCTCTTACTCCTACTGCACAATTGAACGACGAGATAAATCAGTCGAGACATCAGTTCTGAGCTCTTACTCCTACTCCACGAGTGAACGACCAGACGATCCAGTCGAGACACCACCGGAAGAAACCATTGAGTCTTTTTTCACACCGGAACAATTTGACAACGCAATGCAAGAAGAAGGTTCGGTTTATCATTCACCCCAAATGGGAGGTAGACTTATCTTCGGTGCGGACGAAGAAACAAGTTCACTGGGAGATACACTGGGAGATACGGTTCTGTCGGAAGGGGAAGAAACTGAAGAAGAAAGGAAATTGGAGCTGTTGGATCAGTTTGCAATTCCAGTCAAGCGTCTCCTTTTGCAAACTTTGTGTGCCGAGGGGGGAACTATAGATTCCAATACGGTACTGGCAGCCGACTGCAACGACGGGGAGGTTCATTCCTGCTTTCAGAAGCAGTTTCATGCACTCGGTGTGCACGATCTGGAAAAACTTTTGGAAGATCCCTGTCACGTTCCAACTGGGATGGTACTGGCTCGAAACGCCGTTGGTAAGTTGAGACTGTACTGATTTCTACAACATATTATCTTGTCTAATGTCAGCGAAACAAAAAGAGCGAGAACACCAAAGGGAGAAACAACAATTGAAGGAACAACGACAAAAGGAGAGGGCACTGCACACACAAAAGACAAAACTTACGAATATGAGGAAACGTCTGGAGAGAGAGGGAAGTCCTTATCGACAGATTGTGGATACTATTCACACCGTGTTCGGTAAGCAGGGAACAGAACTGGCACATAATGGAAGTTCGACCTATGCCGAAGTGACCAAAGAAACGATCACAGGAATTGTGGACATGCTCAAGGATCACCACAAGTATAAAGAAGACGACTGCCTCTTTGATGCTGGTAGTGGCATCGGTACTATGGTGTTTCGAATGTCGGTTGAGTTGCAGTGTCGTGCCTTGGGTATTGAGTACTGCAACCACCGTACATTCCTTGCTGCCCATGCCGCTATTAATTTGTTTGCAGAGTACAGGCTCGACGAACGGTTCAACCAAGGAACGATGCTTGCTCTGGGAGATCTGTATAACCTCCAACAGATACCTAAGCAAGTCACAACATTGATAATGTACGACGAGGCGTTTCCTCCCGGATTGATGCTCCACATGGCAGATCTCATCCAGGCAGCCCCGCCCAATCTCCAATTTGTTGTATCCGCAAAGGTCAACAGAGAGAGTTGCTACTCCCAGCTCTTAATCGACGCAGGATTAACAGAGCTGGGCAATGTCAAAGGAAGCAAAACGAACAATGGTGGAGCGACCACATTTACTCTGTTCAAACGCCTGGAACCCCAAACGAACAAAGATGGAGGGTCCGCAGCTCCGGCAACCGCGTCAGTGTCGCCTGTGCCTGAGAAGGAGACACTCCATCTGCAGATCGAAGGAGAGCTCGAAAGATTCACGGTGGGGGGTTCCTACGAATCAAGATTGAAGTACTATGAGGCACTGAAAGCCTCAACTCAGAAAACTATGCAGCGGGAAAAGAAGCTACGCAAACTGCATAGCAAGAAACGAGAGAAGAAGCATTGCCTATGTGCTGCTCAAGCGATGTGCGAGGCAAAATGCATCGGATGTGAGGAATACTTCGCTCATATCTCCGAAGATGAGCTCACATCCAAAAAAGTTACTTGGCTACCAAACCAACAGGGCCTTTTCTGTAAGACGAAGTTGAACAAGGACCAATTCGTCGTCGAGTACGCTGGGAGAATCAGGAAGACAACAAGCACCGACTGCGATCGGTACGTACTGTGTTTCGATGGGAAGCGCATCAACGCCAGGGGATATGGAATCCAGCAGTTCGTGAACCATAGCTGCAATCCGAACTGTACCCTTACTAAGTGGACAGATGAGTACGGAAAGTCCAGAGTCTCCATCAGGACCAAGAGCAACATTCCATCCGAAACAGAACTGACGGTCGACTACGGTAGCGAAAGGGAGCCCTTCGACTGTATCTGCGCCCGTTGTCGCCCCATCACAAAAACGGTGATGTGGTTCGGGATGACGGGAACCACCTTTGAAAGTATGAAAGTAGACAGGCCCAGTATCACGCTGGGGAGGTCTGGGAAAAAAAAATGGTTGGCCGACTTCTGTAGTCGGAACGGCAATAAATTGGGTAAACAGGATGCCCGCGATTTCCTCCGCATATCGGCTGCGAGGTGGAAGAAAACAGAGGTCTACTCGGTATCGATTCAAACAATCGACGAAATCGAGATGCTGAATCGAGACCCAGTCTTCCACAACAACTGTGACTGGAATTCCCCAGATTGTCTGGCCAAGATCGTAGGGAAAGTGGACGTGGTTGAGTGCGACTGGGTTTGGATGCCGGCATCCTACCTATCGGATTGCTTGAAGAATGGGTTTTTTACTAAGGTGATTCCGGAGCTGATCAAATGTCATCTTGCGCCTGGTGGTTACATTTTGTTACCACTCCAAATCCCCATCCTCGACCGAGTATTGGCCCACCAGAATGAGGGCAAATATTCAGTAACTTTGCTGACAGAACAAGAAGCGACGAAACTTAGCCCTTTGTTACAGGCCACGCACGAGCTACAGGCCATCATGACCGACAAAGAAACTAGGAGGGTTATGGGCAAAGCAAAACAGCAGCTGGATCAGTACGCTGGTATTGAAAGCCTATCGGTGGTAGATCAGACGGTCTCCTCTGCTATCGACGTCAAGGATTTCCTAAATAACTACGCTGAAGAGAATGGCGACATTGGGAAGCTAAGATTCATTTGCATCAAAAGCAAACAGCCCAGTAAAAGCAGTCAGGCCGCTGGTATCGAAATAAAGCAGAGGAGCAAAAGAAAGCAGACGACAAAACCAACCGCTGCTGGCAAAAGGAAGGGTGTTCCGACAACGGAACCGGTGAAGGCGACAACTTCTGGTGCCAAACGAAACAAAAGGGCTGCAGGCAAAAGAAAGCAGACAACAAAACCAACCGCTGCTGGCAAAAGGAAGAGTGTTCCGACAACGGAACCGGTGAAGAAAACAACTTCTGGTGCCAAACGAAACAAAAGGGTGGTCGCTGCGGTCGTGGAGCAATCAACCAAAGCCAAAACCAAGATTTCCGTTGCCGCAACAGCTAGAAGCCGGAAGGCTCCAGGTTGTACCCCAAGAGAAATGCGGTTGAAAGCCAAAGTGCTAGGGTAGGATACTAATTAGTATATGAATATGAATTACAAATGTGTAATCTGATGATATCCGGGTACTCCTTCGAATGCCCCATCTTCAATAACAACACCGCGACAGAGGTTAAGTATTCGAGAAAGACTAGTACAATCCTTGAATGCAGAGACTTCAACAAGCCTTAGGCGGGGAGGAAAGTGTACCATTGTCACACTAATGCACCCCCGAAAGGTTCCACTCCTGATGATTCGAACCTTCGTGCAACTCAGATTCACCTCGAGCATACTTGAGCAGTTCATGAATGCCTGTCGTCCAATATCATTCAAAAGGGAAGAGAATGGAAATCCGCGGAGGTTTGAAGCGTTCATGAAAGCCTCCTCTCCAATACGTTCCAGACGCTGTCTTCTAGCAGCCTTCGCTTTGTTTTTCGTTTTCTTGCTCATTTTAGAAAAGAAGTTTGCTTTGGATTGCCATGCCCACCGTGTCATACTCCACGCTACTCCCTACTCTTCGGGGTGTGCACGGAGGTTATAACACGATGACTCCGCCATGGTCAACGCTCAGTAGTTACTAGATAAAACAATGACTAATTAACATTACACATCATGTGCTAACCGCAGTCACGGGCCTATCGAGCTGACCGGACGTTAAGATTGGATTTTTTCAGAACAACGAGCAGTCGACTATCACCAAAAATATCTCCAAACGCTACGTAGACAAACTCGGTTGTGGTGCCAATGATATAGCCAACTTCGCCGTCCATTTGGGGTTCCCAAAGGACGGTAACTCGCTCTCCAAACTTATGATTGCTGCTGTTTTTCTTTTGGGGAAAGGGAGACTTCCGTTTGTTGATCTCAGCTAGATCCCTTGCCACCATTTTCAGTTTGTGATGAACGTTTTTATTTGGACTGGGCCTGTTAGTATTTGGGCCAAAAGAAAGCTCTGCAAGCCTTTTTTGCAGCTCTTCCAGTCTCGCCTTTTCATCCTCTATGCGACTTTCCGCATCCGTGATTAATGCGCAGATCTCCTGCTTTGTTTCCATGTCCCCTGACCTTGCCATCCTGTTGGGATGTTGCTTTTTGCATTGCAGACTCACGACTGTCACAGTACCTGATGGCCCCAGAATGCCCAGAATGTGGCCCCAGGATCCATTCACACTTGGAGATTTGCCCCCAGAATCCGTAACACACTTGGAGATTTGCCCCCAGAATCCGTATTACGGATTCTGGGGGCAAATCGCAATCACGAAAAGTTCATTCACGCTTGGAGATTTGCCCCCAGAATCCCTAATACGGATTCTGGGGGCAATCCAAAAGGCCGTAATATGGACTCTGGGGCCACATCTGTATCACGAATAATCGCAGCGTTGGGAAACGACATCACGAAGGCGAGAAGGTTGCATAGATATTGGATTCATTCGACCGAAACGAGAGATTTGGTCGGACGAGAACAGACGTCGTTACGAAAACCTCAAACCAACTCATTCATTCATTGCCCAAGAAGATTGATTGGTCTCTTTCACTTTTAACTTGGCATCTCTCTCGCCTCCTAACAAGATTCAACACATACTGTAGAATCTCTAACCTCACCACTATGGGATGGTTTTCCAAAAATAATCCCGATCTTACCACCACTGCGAAAGAATCATCGAACAAAGTAGTCTGTGTCGATTGCGACGCCAAGACCAATCAAGTTCCATTGCCCTCCCAAGATAAAATTTCCTCCGAGGGCAAGGAATGTTCAGTAACCTATACTTTGGTGGCAGAATGCATGAAACAAAACAAGGGACAAGTGACAGCTTGTACCAAGGAATGGGATGCTTTCAAGAATTGTCATTCCAAGGTGTCTGCTTGATGTTATCGCGTTGCGTTGCTTTGGTTTGGTTTGGTTTGGTTTGGTTTGGTGGGTTGTCATGTGATGAATGGGGGCTGGCTGCAAGTAAGGAATTGACAGTCACCGGAGCAGTAGTGACAGACCGCCAGTTCTGAATACCCAGCTGGTACATTGACATGCGCGATACATACTACATGCTGCACACACAGTCCAAGAATCCAACAGAATGTTTGTTGTCGACGACTATATGTACCTTATTGTGGCGAAATGTTGTCCAGCTGCACCATTTTCCATGGAATCATCATCTTGGTACAGAATGACAAGAATGCAAGACGGGCCGTGGCTGCCTTTCGGTGATACGGCTAATTAGTAAACCCTCTAGTAGTATAATTTCAGCTCTCTTTTTCGTTATTTTCAAATACACTACAGTTATACTTGCTTTGCTGGCTAGCTTCAAACTACACTGTATCTAAATTCGATTGACTTGGATATGCTTTCGACCATGCTCGTTTGCTGAGCTGTGGCGCAGTCCTTTTGTAAGGACCAGTTTCCCCGACTGATATTATGATTGTGATGATGATCATGATATGGGAGCAACAAATCCAAGTGAAAATGAAAACCACACAGTGTTTGATAGAATGATATCGTAGACGGACGCAAATACATATACATGTATATGGTATTTCCAACCCAATAGTGCAATGGACTGGTAGTCTCATTTTTCTTCTGGGTCTATTTGGCACCGGACAAGGAAGGAAGAAACAAATGTTAGAAAACATGGAAAAAACAATGACGATAGTATGAAAAACTCGCGAATCAATCAAATCATCAATGCGTGAACGCAACTAACAACGTACAATCAAAGTTGGCAGTAATGCCCAAAATTTTCTGTTTCCAGGAGAAGGGGATACAACATATTTGTGTGAGAACGAAAATCGATTGGCTCGAAAATACATGAACGGAGAGACTATTTTCATTAAAAAACAAAGAACTTACATTCACTTCCTTCTTGTCCATGCCTTTCTTCTTGACAAGGTAGCTCTTGCACTCGAAGATGTTATCGGTCCAGCGGTTTGCGGCGTCTCGCACCAATTGGTACTCCTTTTCCAAATTGGCCAAGGCGGCGGGATCGTTCTCCTTCAAGGCTTGCAGTTGTTGTTCCAATGCTGCCTTTGTCTGGGCCAAAGTGGAAAGTTTGGCCAATTTGGCAGCTCGAGTATCTTCTTCCGTTCCTCCATCTTCTCCTACTTCGACTTCTTCGCGACCACGCTTGGCATCGGCCAATCTGGCCTTGGCTTCTTCGACTTTGGGTTGCAGAGCTTCAATTTGTTCCAAGGTTGCCTTGTGTTGCTTTTGGGCCATTCGATCCTTCTTGGACTTGAAACTCCAGCAGTAGTTGGTACCGCCAATCTTTTGCTTCTCCACCAAGGCATCGTCGACCAATGACTGATGAATATCAGGAATAGTTTGAGCATTGATGCCAGCCTTGGAGGCAAGTGTGATCATTTCCTTTTCGGTGTAGACTTGTTGCGTCTTGTGATACAAACTAGAGTAGATCGATGGAGCGAGACGAATTGATTGATTGATTGATTGATTGATTGATTGATTGATTGATTGATTAATTGATTGAATGGACCGAAAAGTGGGACAAGCACAACAATAGTAAGAGGATGATCGAGACAAATGCGAATGACAATGGTCTTTTCAAACAGTTTTTGGAATTTTAAGGTTCGAATCCTTTTTTCATTTTTCCCAAAGAGAAGAATGCAAGACTTACCCGAGGATCACATTTCGCTTTTCGTCTTTGGTCATGCGCTTTGTTCCTCCCATCTTTTACGTGACTAAATGAATGAAGGAATGAAGGAATGAATTCTTTGAACTGTTGTAATGAATTGAATGCCTTTTTGCCACTCCGTGCGTTGACGATTGATTGATGATTCCTTCGAAGTGGATGATGACAACTGTTGGTTGAAAAATAGTTTGGCGCAGACTTGCCAACGACTGACTCATTCGACTATGGATCCAATGGTTAGTCGAAGAGGTCGAGGTATCCATCCATATCTTTTCCGACGCGACACATTCGAACATGGTGATAGTTAGTCGAGTCATTTCAGTGAGACCCACAGACCCACCAACAAGCAGGTTTCGGATGACAGCTTACTATTGATTGTCTACGCCACACACTCACAATATTTCAGTGCAGTCAAAATGAGCGGAAAAAATGACGACACGGAAAACAAATCTGCCGATGAAAAGGCTGAAGAAGCCTTGATGAAAGCTTGCACATTGAGCCGCGACGTGTCCATGGAAGAGTGCCATCAGCTTGTCAAGACCATTCTCGAGTCTGCCAAATATGCCCCAGTCCTTCCCGTCCTTATTTGTCACCTTCGAAATCACGAAAAGAGTTTGGTAGAAGGACAGGGCTCCGGCGAGCGAAATGTTGCCGAACGATTGGCAGTCGCGCTCTACCTATGCGACGATGTGATGGGACGTGTCCTCTTCAAGTTTTTGGTCCTGTTTGGATCTTGGAAGAGTCTCTTGAACATCCTATGCTTATGCGATGCTCTAAACAACCCAGAAGCCATGAAAGAAAAAGCTGAAAGGAAAGGAAAAGCCAAAACAAAGAAACGAAAAAAGGGCGCAAATGACGAGGATGATGTCGAAAAGGACAAGGGTGATGAAATCAAACTGACGAGCGCTGCAGAATCTGGACCCTACATGGACCTTTGTCATGACATTCACGATTATTTTGTGGAACAGCTGAGACGTGACAAAGCTGCCATTGATGCAGGAGAAAAAAAGGTATCCAATGCTAGCAAGTATGCTCCACATGAACGGCGTGGACGAGACTTGACGTCCTTGCATGCTGACGAAATAGCTAAGAAGATCTTTCCGAATGAGGGAGATAGCGGTGGTGATAATAAGCACTATCTTCGAAAGCTGTATCGCAAACTACGCTCTCAATTGAATCAAACCAATGAATATCTACCGGATCGCAAATTGGCATTGGGAAAAGCGGATCAGCTTCAAATGCATCAAATTACAGCAGGATACTTTGCCAAGTCTAGAAAGGCGCTGTTGAATCGCAACAAAGATGGACAAGAGCGTTACGATTCAGAGCCGAGGAGAAACTTGAGAAGACTAGTCTTGGAGGCAGCTGCAACTCCTCAGAAAGTTCCAACACCTTCGGACCTACAGCAGCTGGCAACGGATATCAGTTTTATTGTGGACGACGATGACGAAGAGTTGATCTTGCTTCAAGCCAGCTTTGAAAAGGCTGTAATGGTAGTTACGGATAGGATTCACGAGTTGCAAAACACTCTCAAGAGTATGATGACGTCTCTCTCCATGAGTAGACCAGAAGAGTTGAGCGTTTTGAACCTTGATGATGTTTTGATGGCTATTGATGTTAGTCCATCCCAAGCTTATACATTTCCACTGGTCGCACTACTGGTTATTCTGTTCCACACCGTCATCAACAAGTTAAAGGAGGAAGAAGGAAAGGCCGAAGCAATGGATGAAGATGGAGACCAAAAGAAGATGACCGCTCATGAGTGTGTCCTGTTCCATCAGACAACTCAAACCATACCCGTACCCGTGACGGGTACCATCCGCCAAAGATTGTCAACGCTCGTCAAGTCGTTCCGAGAAGCTCGTTTGACAGTCGATGGGCAAGAGAGCGGGGAGAATGAGTATACCAGTCTCTTGCAAACTTTGAAGTCGAAAGTGACAGGTCGCCCAGAAGCACCTGTTCTGGTTTGCTCGGACTTTGCTTCCTCTCCTGAGTTTGCCATCGCGGTGGAAGAACAGTTCGCCGATGTGGGAAACGAATTGTGTTGTTGGAAATTGTCCAAGCCCACAAGGATCCGCAATCGCAAAATTGTATCTTGGGACTCGGCGAAACCTCAAATCGATCTTTGCATTTGCCTTGATACAACTGGGTCCATGGGGAGTCATATTGAGAGTTGCAAGAGTGAGATTCTAAATCTTCTCAATGACTTGATGGCGGGGGGAGGAATGGCAGTGTCCTGTTCCTTTGTCTCATACAAAGACTTTACAAACGCAGGACACTTGGAAACTCATGACTGGGTTAGTGCGTCGGATGCCGCTGGAACTGCGTCATTACGCCGATTCATTACTGGCTTGAGACCGACGGGTGGAGACGACTGGGAAGAAGATGTCGCCGGTGGTTTCGAGAAGTGCATTGATCTGATGAAAAAGAAGAAGGATCAATCAAGTCTCAAGCTGGTATTGTTGATTGCCGACGCCCCTGCCCATGGATATCCAGACGGTAGACCAAATTACAATGGAGTCGATCAAAAAGAAAGGTTGCGAAAAGCAACTCGCCGGTTGGCAGCAGCACCTCACAACGGTGGATTTGGTTGTGAGCTCATGTTTGCGGAAATCAATCCTAATACAACCGGAATGTGTGACGCCATTGACAAAGTCCTCGAACCTGAAGGGACCTATATTGATCAGTTCGAAATGGGGCAAGCGAAAAGTAGCGTTTTCCGAGAAAAGATTGTGGCGAGCGTTCAACAAGTGGTGTCCCATGCTGTTGCGCCACCAGCCGCTGTAGGCTTGGATGTCATTTCTGGCACAGACATTGGTATCTGTGAACGTCTCCTTGCAAGTCGACTAAGCAACCGGTTGCAACAGCTTCTTGAGAAGAAAGCAGAGGAGGAGAAGGAGGAGGAGGAGGAGGACACGGAGATGAATGAGGATTCTGGTGAGGCAAAACCCAAGAAAGCTTTGCCAACAGCGTTGGGGAACTTGTTGGGAAAACTGGATGGAGAAGCATACAACATGGTCCGACATGCCATGGGAACCGTCAAAACAGGATTATATGCTTCATATCAAGTTCCCACAAATTCGGGACTTTCTGAGGCAAGCGTTTTGAGCCTGATCAAGGCAGGCATCACAATGGAAGATTTGATAGCAAACGGTTACCCAAAACATATTCAAGATATGTTTGAGGAAGTCTTGCGCGGTATGATGACGCAAGGGGCCGGAAAAATAAATGGATAGACTGTAGATTAGAATAGCATGAAAATTATTCAGTACTCTGGTTGGCGGTTGTCATTCTTGCACTAGTTTTGACAAGTCTAATCGCTCCACTAAACTATTAATGGTAGTACCACTTATACAATGCTGAACCTCAGTGTGTCATCACGGAAGTTTTTTCTCGTGATTCTTTCCTTCCTCTCCCTTTGAAAACAACATGATAAAGTTATGTTGCCAACAGCAACGCCTTCAACGATAGTGATGATTTGCAAGTTGCAATGATGATAAGCATGTAGACTATTTGCTCTCCACTGATACTACTATTAGCTTCAAACGAGCTTTCTCTGAGACGAGGAGTGTCCTGAACCGAACAATTGTGAATAGCTTCTTAGATGGCACTGTTTCACCATGCTCGAATAGTTGGCGCACTAACGAAATCACATGCTCATCGCTTCATTTTCATCAATTCTCTTCATGAAAATTTTGTAATCATAGACCGCGACAGCTTTGGTATCCTGATAGGAAGAATCTGCTCCATCCAATTGTTGAATATAATGTGGCAAAAAGGCAGCCACTCGAATCCTGCCTGAAATTACATCTTGCCCATCGCTACCCTTGAGTCGTTCCAGCAACAAGTGGTCTTGATAGAAGGTTTGCAATTCCTGTGAAGGATTGAACTGCGAATAAGTCTGAACAGTAACAAATCTCGAGTTGCTGTTGCCCTCTGCAAATGACGGGGAAGTAAAATTTAACAATGTGACGTCCGACGATTGCACTTGGCGGCCACTCTTCCTTGTTGGGGCCTCAAAGTCGACTACTGCTCGAGATGCAACCCAGTGCAATTTAGGATTATCTTGGACTGCACATCCATCTCCAGTGACAAAGCATTTTGGAGTCATCCGACTGTCGCTGCTACCATTCGTTTGGACCGACAACACTTTCGATTCAGGCCAAAAGCTCTCAAGTCTTCTGGGGAGATTATATGCCAAATCGCCATGTACAAATCCATCATTCTCATCACTGTTCTCATTGGATAGGAATCGTAAGGCATGGGCTGCTGGTGGATTGTATCCAACATTTGGAAGTACAAGACAGGTTCCCAGACCAGCACCTGCTGTTCGTAGAGACAGGATTTTTTTGCCTTGCGGAAAATCGGCACCTGCAAACTTGTATTTCACAGACCAGTAACCTTTCATCCAACCAGGGTAAGTGATTTTGGCCGAGTCGAATGGAACAGGAGCATTTTTGTTTTGGTCGTACCCAGACAAGGTCGACGCGCGATATCGACTTTCGTTCCAAGTTGGACCTGACCAGAATAATACCTGTAGGTCATCACTGCTCGAAGGACCACTGCTGTTGGGATCCAGAGCCGACACAGACGAGGGGAGACCCAAGACGCAAGAGAGCTGAAGCGCCTGGATAGGACTCTCGAATAGGCTTCTTCGATGTTGATCTATTGGCTGAGGCACCAAGGAAGAAACATATCGAACAATCAAGCCACAAAATATCACAGGACGAAACATTTCATCTGGTTGTTAGGAATTTAGTTCGAATTGGAACCTGCGACATTGCACATGAAGAAAGAAGGGAGGTGCAAAACGAAGTGATGATGGATGTGATGTTGAGACGGGTTGCGATTTGGCGACGAGATGTATTTGTGCCGTCTGTACTAGTAGGTGCACGCACCAGGTACACGTGTACGGTACTGTACGTACATCGTGGAGAGTCCCCATCGACTACTTCGAGCTGTCGCAGTATCCAAATCCTCAGTCATCCCGACCAACTCACTCTCACACTGTGCCAGGTTGAAGGTCTCACCCATCCTCTGTACCTGGTACCGCTACCTAAGCTTCATCAGGTCTGCTCCTGTGCAGCCAAAAAGTCACAAGTATGGCCGAACGAGGCACCTTGTTCCGCTACAATGGGCAACCCAAGGAGGAGATTCCTACAGAGGCAACTCAGATTGTTGTAGACTCGTCGGTGTGTGAAATCCCTGACGATACGTTTAATGACCGTCGGTTCCTCATCGAAATCCTTTTTGAAGTGAAGCTAGTCAAAGGCCTGGTTTCCATTGGTTCCGGAGCCTTTGCTGGATGTTCTGCCTTGGCAGAGATATCCATCCCTGCTACAGTCACCAACATTGGTGACAATGCCTTTGAAAACTGTACCGCCTTGCGAAACTTAAAACTTCAAAATGGATTGAATGAAATCTGCGAGGAAGCCTTTGCAAACTGTTCTTCCTTGCTCCAACTTTTTGTACCAGAAACGGTTGAAACGATTGGTCAATCTGCCTTTCAAGATTGTCGATCTCTGGTGCTTGTAGAGTTTTGTGAGGGACTCCTGGAAATTGGACCCATGGCCTTTGCTGACTGCGCCTCGATTGAAAGTCTGAAGATTCCGGGAACTGTAGAAATCGTCGAAGACGCCTCCTTTACTTCCTGCGCGTCTGTGACACAGCTCGAACTGATGGAAGGGGTCAAAATTTTGGGCGTAGCCTGCTTTGCGAACTGCTTCAACCTGACAATGGTATCGTTTCCAGAGAGTATAGAGACAATTGGGGAAGAGGCATTTTTAAGCTGCCAATTGCTTTCAGAGGTTACTTTTAATGAAGGGTTGACGGAAATTGGAGGTGAAGCATTTGGATATTGTGCAATAACTTTCGTTTCTACTCCATCGACTCTGACGAGGATTGGTGTTAGCGCCTTTCGATGCTGCAAGCACTTGGCGACGGTGCACTTGAAGGATGCTATCAACGAAATAGATAGCAACGCCTTCGAGTACTGCGAAAAACTATCGGAAATGTCGATTCCTCCACTCATTCATGTATTGAGATCTGGCATTTTCAATGGCTGCCGTTCGATTGTCCAAGTGCAATTGATGGAAGGTCTGAGGGAAATACTTTATGCTGCTTTTCAGTCTTGTCGTGCGCTTCGAGCAGTTTCGCTCCCATCTAGCGTGGAATTCATAGGGAAAGGTGCCTTTCGGAATTGTACAAGTCTGGTATCAGTTGAATTGCCAGAGCAATTAGAAGAGATTGAATCACAAGCATTCGGAAACTGCTTTTCCTTGACGAATATTGCTCTGGATAAGAACTCCCATTGTATCGTGGACAAGGATGCCTTCATGGGATGCACACTTTTAGAAGAATTTTTTCCGCTTTTTAGTGGATCGTCCATGCTAATGCGACGATTTCAAGGATTCTCGGTTCATGGTTTGTGCCACCAAGCGACAAAAACAACTACTCAGCAGCTGATGGGTGCGAATCAAACCTGTCGAGGTGTCATCCCCATCAGGGATGCTTTCGGGATGACACCTTTTCACATCCTTTCGTCGTCTGGAAGTCTTCGTCTCGATTTATTTAGGGCGTTATTTGACATCTTCCCGTCCCATGTAGCATGTCAGCGAAATGAACAGAACAAATCGCCGATGGATTATTTGCGAACCAATTCATCGCACGAGGTGATTTCTGTGATGCAACTTGTTCTTCGTGAATCTATGCTGAAGCGATTGGATCAGTGGGGCTTGAGACAATGGAAATTGGATCTATGCAGTCTCGTGAACTCGATTGGGACGGAAGGCGACAAAAACAGGAACTGTTGCATCGACGAAATTTACTCGAAAATGGCTTCCTACGAGTTATTGGAGTCTACTTCACTGCTGGAACAAAGACTATGGTTGGACAGAATACTGCAGAAATCGACGAATGAGAGTACCGGTGAATCACTATCCTCGGAAGCTAGAGAGGCTTGCCGCATTGGTTCTGGAGCTAGCGTTGTAATCCCGAATATTCTACAGTTCATGGTATCTGCATCATGACAAATCTCAACCAAGACGGCAGATTGTCGAGATGGCGGATTTTCTCTCACATTTTCTGTGATCACTTTGACGAACAGATTTGAGCAGGCAGTGAACTCTTGGTCATCTTCTCCCACTATAAACGAAGGAATGATCAGTGACATGTCAATTCGGTTCATCACCTGCCATACTAGTCGATGCGACTAGATCCTAATGCAATGCAAATGTAGATGAATGAGAAATAGCGAGCTAGTTTATCCTACATATTGTACCGGTATGAATGGAAGGATATGGCCGAAAGCAGTCGTGCGGATCAAATCGCGTCTCCGAACCCAAATTCAGACGCAAACGTATACGTTTGCGTCTGAACCCTGTCTTTTTCTCATAATTTTCAATTTGAAACCAAACAAAAGAAAACTTAGAACCAACTTGAAACATGAAGATCTGCTTTCCTCTTGCTCTCTCTGTCGCCATCTTTGCTCATGCAGCAAATGCCTAATCCTTTGATTATGCTGCTCCTGCCACCGGGTCTGCCAAGTGGTAAGCTTGGAATTTCGTGCTTGATTGATATTAATTTGCACATGTCCACCAACCAACATCTCTGTTTTCGCACACGATATGTAGTGCACGATATGTAGTGCCTTGGTCAATGTGATCATGGACGAATCCGGATCAATGAGTGGTGATCAATTTTTCTCAAGAATGTGGCCCTCCCAAAGATGGCCACTGAGCTTTACAGTTCCAACCATAACTACTCCGATGTCTTTGTCTGCAGCAGTGGATTTGGCTATTTCGCTAGCAACAGCGTCCAGGCCTACCGTCATCTTGGTTCCACGACTTACAACTCGGCTGGCGTCATTGCGGAACCTTCTGTAGTGGCTTGGTATGCCAGCGGGGGACTCGAGGATGGCTGGTACGCCATGAAGCACGGCATGGGAGATATCCCTGCTTCCATTGATGGAAAAGACTTGCTTTCACACTGTGCCAGTGTTGACAAGAACCTCATTCTTGTGACCGATGAAGACCGCGACGATGCTTACAGCAACGTCGATGCAGCTAGCATTGCCAACTTGATTGATACCAATGGGTACATCTTGAATGTGATTGCAAACTATGGCATCAATGGCACTACCAGCGACTTTGGCATGAAGATTGGAGGCGGTGGCTCCAACAGCACCATTTTCCGTTTTGATTCTTCCGCTACTGACAACTGACCTCCGTCAGTACAACACCTAAGTCACTTCCTTCGGAGGAACCCATCCCCACTACACCGAGCTCATTGTCGACAAGCCAGGAGCTGCCTGGAACATTAACAGTCTTCGTGCTGGTGGTCTGCTGGCTCAAATCTTTGCTGATATTTTTGTGGACATTAAAGTCAAAGAAATCTCTAATGGAAGTGGCGGTCCTTCAGGTGGTGGAGGTACTGTCCGTGTTGGTGGACCCGAAGCCGGTGGAGATCCCCACATTACTACCTGGAACAATAAGGAACACTACGAGTACCATGGACAGTGCGACCTTGTCATGGTAAAGGATCCCAGCTTCGCCGATGGTCTTGGGCTTTATCTTCATATTCGTACCAAGATTGTCCGATACTGGTCATACATTCAAAGTGTGGCCATCCGCATTGGTGATGGCGTTCTTGAAATTGAAGGATCCGCAGATGCCAAGGACGCTCAGGCTCACTATTGGAAGAACTTTAAATACCAAGCCGACCTTGACACTTTTGCTGGCTTTCCAGTCACCCAAAAGCTTCCTTCCGTTTACAAGCGTTCCTACACCATTGACTTGAGCTCCAAGTTTCCTGGACAAGATATTACAATTCAATTGTACAAGGAATTTGTCCGTATCAAGATCAATGGCAAAGAACAAGTTTTTGGCAACTCTGTTGGTCTACTCAGAGACTACAAGACTGGAAAGACTCTTGCTCGTGACGGTGTCACAGTCTTGGACGACTTTACTGATTTGGGTGACGAGTGGCAAGTTTTGCCCAGTGAACCAAGACCATTTCACGAGATTGCCCATCCCCAATTCCCCGAGCTCTGTTTGAAGCCTGAAGATCCTCGTGGGGAGCGCAAGCGTCGTTTGGAAGAGTCCAGCATCTCCGTAGAAGATGCCGAGAAGGCATGTGTTTCATTGAAGGATCCCCTTTCCATCAAGGATTGTGTCTACGACGTGTTGGCAACCCAAGACGTTGACATGGTTGGTGCCTTTTAAGAGATCGATAAAGCTCAAATCGGGAGCCGAGACTTGAACAACGGTAGAGAAGATTGTTGCACACACACTACATTCACTGGTCTAAGTTTCAGATGAATGAAATCCTAATTGAGTCATTCGTATGGAAATTTTGTCTATTCATTCACCTTTCTTATCATCATCCTGCAGTATTTTCGTTTCTAGGGTACGTCTCTATCGTCTTCAAAATGATTGGAAAATGGACTCCTTAGAATGAATCAACTCTCTTTACGATACAATTGATTGCCACATTCAGACCTACAAGACGTTCCAGCATAGCAAGAATCAACCCTTTTAGGATTGTGATGATGTACAGCACGTCATCTGTTAGAGTTACAATACAGTACTTTTCGAACTCGGAAAAACGCTTTCCAGCAAGGGTTTCCAGCGCCAATTTTATTGCATTTTGGCGCAAACTGTCAGAAAAACGCGTTCCGGCGCCAATTCCATTTTCCTCGTTTTATATATTTTATATAAAATACGTGAATCGAATTATGGGACAAGCGATATTTTCCCTTGTGTTTCCGGGTCGATAGTGAAAAAGCCCCACCGCAAGTTGGCCGACAACACACAACTCAGGGGTATAACAGCTCATCAATCAATTCCACCCTTGCCTTCCAATTCCTTTCACAATCCAACAATGAATCTATCATTTGGATGCAACAATCTCTCTAACTCGCCTCCTCGAAAAAAGAAAGGAGTCAAGTTTGCGGACGAAGAAGAAGTCCACGACGTTCTACGACGCCGAAGTCAGATATCCCGAGAGTCAATGCATGGTATTTGGTTTGACGGCGAGGACTTTGAATCCTTTATCGAGGACATGGAAAAGAGCATCAAGAGACTGGAAAAAGGAAAAGTACTGAAGGATAAGAAATACTCATCTCTGGGTTTGGAATGCCAAACCCAAGAAGGCAGTGCTCTCCGTCAATGCCAAAAAGAATATGCCTGGGACATGGTTTTGTGGGAACAAGAGCAGCAACAAAAAGAAGGCAGGAGATCCTCCATGCAACTCGCCGAAGCGTACCGCGAGGCTTCGCGAGATGCTGAAGTTCGTGCTGTCAAATCGGCTAGACAGGTATCGGATGAAGCCCTAGAGGATTACACGAAAAGCGGTTTGTTGAATCGATTGGAAGAGGAAGGATCCAGTTCCACGTTCATGTCCCTGTCCGATGTCGACGGGCCTGAAGTACATACGGAGTTGCCCCGGACCAAGCCAGTCCGCGTTCGTTTTGCGGAAGAGCCAGTGGTCCATACAGTTATCCGACGTCGTAGTCAGATATCTCGTCAGTCTTTGGAAGGCATTTGGTTTGGCTGCGAGGACTTTGAAGCCTTCATGGACGAGGTGGAAGAGTCCGTCGACAAGATGGAACATGGGGAGCAATTACAGGAAAAGGAAGAGACGTCACTAGGGTTGGAAGCGCTAACAGAAGAGGCAAATGACCAGCGCCACAAAAATCAAGAAGACGCCTGGGATACGGTATTGGGTGAACAAGACGATCAACAGAGAGAAGGTGTAACATCTCCCTTTCAAATCGCCAGAGCCTACCGAAAGGTTTCGAGTGATGCTATTATGAATGCAATTGCACAAGCCAGAAAAGTATCAGAGGAAGTACAAGAAGACAAGTGCGCGGATGACGAAAAGGATCTCCTGTTGAAATAGTACTGTCAAACAGTTTTCCTGACTTCGCTCATGCATGAAAATATGGTGCACATGTTCAATGTACCAGCATAATACATACTTGTACTGTATGAACGTTCTTTTTTAATAAAAAAAGCGGTATAATGATCAATCAATTTTTTTCCAGAATACGACTTGGTCGACTACTGTAGACTGCATATCTTTCTGTTCAACGTCGAAACATGAGAACACCAGACGACTTATTGTTGCTGAAGCCATCCAACTCTATCCAATAATACTCTACTCTGCCTGCAGCAACTTCACTACGTACTAAAACATTTTTCCTCTACAATGAGAAATTTTCACCTACTTTACTCCTTCGCACTTTTGATCACATGTTCTCGAGGATTCACAACCGCTTGGGCTCCGGCGACGACAACAAGGAGGACGACGACAACAAATTCCATCCACCAGCAACCTTTTGGGAACCAAATACAATCTACAAGTGCATCGAAATCCGCATTATTTTTTGCGCCACAACGATCTAATCGTCACCGCCCTTCGATTGTTATTGACATCGCTTCGAGTAAAATCTCAGTCATTGACAAATCTTCATCTTCCACAAGAACCCAAACGACCAAACTCGACGCAGCACCCACTTCGATCGCCAACAGCCTTCCCTTTGCCAATTCTCCAAAAGCTCTTATTGCCATCAGTATTATTGGCCACGTTCTTGGAGGATTGATTGGTACCCCCTTTGTCATTCGCGCCACCCGAGGTCCGGTCTCGTGGTATCGCAAGATTTCGTTGCCGTCGTGGACCCCACCCGATGCCATTTTTGGCCCCGTCTGGTCGACCCTGTACGCTCTCATGGGACTAGCCATAGGCCGACTATGGAATGCGACAGCCTCGAATCCACAGCCAATGAATATCCTTGCCTTGGGATTGTGGACGGTTCATTATATCATCAATGTTTTGTGGGCACCAACTTTTTTTGGCATGAAAAAGCTCCGATTGGCTTCCATTATGAATGGACTATTGCTGTCGACTTTGATTCCAGTTATTGTTCTTTTGGGATTCCATATCCAACCAGTTCCACAGCCAGCAACGGCCGCTCTCTTGTTGCCATATTTAGGATGGTTGACCTTTGCAACCTTTCTGAATGAAAATATTTGCAAACGAAATCCTACCGACACCAAGTTTGGCGGATACAATGAAGCCCGATTGCAAGCAGATTTGGCAAAGTTGCAACAACAAGCAGCTCGATTTGCAAATGGAAAGTAGAGCATTATGCTTTCGGGGATTGGCTGCTGGGCTGTCAAAAGTGGAATAAATTCGTCAGAATGGATCGATCGCATAGGCATGGTAGAAAAGAAAAATAATTCAAAATACAAATAAACTATGTATAGACGTTGACGAATTTCTACGATAGATCATCAAAGTATCATACCTCATCATAGAGCGATCTGCCCTCTTATTTTGTTTTCGTTCCTTCAGTCAGTAAAGCGAATAGTCTGACAAATCATCGAGGGAACACCACCATTCGTTTGTTGGTCTATCTTGAGTATCTTTGGTCATGGTGTTGCAAACCCCAACAACGAAGGTACATCACCTCATCCTTGATGAGTGGTGTTCAGGGTGCTCCTGGCTGCTGATGGTGGTGTATTGTTGAAGTATCTTGGGCTTGGAGGAGAAAGGGAACCAACCCGAACTCTGATTGCTTTCTAATCTTCAGCTTGGATGAGTGATGAGGCAGATTGTTGAAGTATCCTTGACTTGGATGGACAAAGGTCACAAATCCGAACTTCGAATCCAAATTTCTTGCATTCTGGACCCTCAATTTGTGGGCTTAGATTTCAACCCGAACCGATGGGAACCTTGCCGCACAGAAGAGCAGACCAAAGATACAGATACACGTGGAGTGCGAATTCGGTTTCACCGTACAAACCTACTGGATCCATCGAGTCGACGCCAGGTTGAAGTGAGAACCTACCACAGCCTGGCTTCATTTTCGACCGACGAAGGTTGTCAAACACAATAAAAATCTGTGAGGAAGTTGTTTGCCATCCCTTTGAACAGACTTGCGATTCGGTTTTTGTAATCCGTACCCAAGTTTCTAGAGAACCTCTCATAACTTTCAAAGCTTTCGACATTCACGGATACAAGATGAGAGTCATCAGTACCTGCTTGACAATTCTATCGGCTGCCTCTTTGGCGCAAGCATTCTCTCCCGTCCGACCATCTTCTTTGGGTCGCGGAGGAAGGTGAGGACTTCCATTGATGGTGGATACTGTGGATGGATTTATGATTATGCATATGCAATCCTTGGATAATCACTTTGCCATCCATTTTGCTTTGTCTGAACTGGTTTTCTCACTTTACCTGAATTTTCTGTCATGACTTCTTCTGTACTATGACCACAGCCAATTGCACTCCACCGCCGAGAAGACTGAAGGAAAGAAGGCCGGAGAGGATGCCCCCCCAGTAAGCATTGGATGGGATTCTCACCAAGCTGTCGTAAGTGTGGTCCAATCACCTGAATTTAGTTGGAATCTGAGAATTTTTAGTTTAGGAACAGGTACTGACGTTTTCTCATTTGTAATAATATTGTTTATTGACAACAGGAAAAGATTCCCGATTCTCTTGTGCGAGAGGGAGATGGCCCAGAAGGAAACTACCCAATGCGCTCCAAGTTCGAAAAGATGTGTCGTGAAGCCCAAATTTCCATCACCAAGGCTATTGAAGATATTGACGGAGATGCCAATTTCCGAGAAGATTGCTGGACCCGTGCCAACGGCGGCGGTGGTATGTCTCGAGTTCTTTCCGGCGGAAAGGTCTTTGAAAAGGCTGGAGTCAACCTAAGTGTTGTTTACGGATCCATGCCCCAAGAAGCACTTCAAGCCGCCACCGAACGTGGTATCGACCGAAGCAAGGGAATGGCGCCCGGTGAACGTGTTCCATTCTTCGCCTGTGGATTGTCCAGTGTCATGCACCCCAAAAACCCCCACTGTCCAACTATGCACTTCAACTACCGTTATTTCGAGACTGATGGTGGCGTGTGGTGGTTCGGAGGAGGTACCGATATCACTCCATCCTACGTCAATGAGGAGGACATGAAGCACTTCCACGGAACATACAAGGAAGTGTGCGACAAACACGACCCCGAGTACTACAAGGAGTTCAAGGCCTGGGCTGACCGATACTTTGTCATTCAACACCGTAACGAAACCCGTGGACTTGGAGGAATCTTCTTTGACGACCAAAATGACAAGGACCCCGAAGAGCACTTTGCGTTCAGTGAGGAATGTCTGAACTCTGTTGTCAAGGCCTACGGACCCATCATTGAAAAGCACAAGAATGACGAATTCACAGAACAGGAGAAGGAATGGCAATTGATGCGTCGGGGACGTTACGTCGAATTCAACTTGGTCTATGATCGCGGAACAGTTTTCGGATTGAAGACCGGTGGACGTATTGAAAGTATTCTTATGAGTTTGCCCGAAACTGCCCGTTGGGAATACAACCACATCCCTGAACCAGGCACACCCGAGTACGACTTTATCGATGCCTGCAAAACGCCACGAGAATGGGTTTAATCTAAAACGCCTTGTAAATTAAAAAATGCACTCAATCCTCTTTCATTTCAACATTAAAATAACATAAGGAGCTCATGAATGATTGGTAAGTTGGATGCCAATAGACTAGACCTTATTAGATATGCTTGGCATAGGATCAGACCAGTGTCGCTACTCACTGTGACATCGTTCGGGCCTGTTATTAGCTACAGTATGGTGCTGTACTCGTGGTGTAGGTACTACCTAGTATGTACTGCAGCTTCCGACGATCTGCGATCCAAATATGAACCCGGCAGCAGATCACAGTTCAATTTGCGGTGGTACTGTATTGACACGAGAGTCCTAGACTGACTGACTGACTCAGGCATACCGGTACTTCACCTAGCCCAGATATTCTGACAAGAAAGCGGCAGATGTGACCCACCACCACACCATGGGACTGATACGCTACTGTATGGAACCGTGAATACCGTACCTCGTGGTACTCGACATAGCTATACCGATAGAGGTTAGGAAGCAAGACATTTTGAGAGGAAAGATTCAATAGCTGGATGATGGCCCAAGATTTAGGTGCGGTCCCCGAATGAGTAGCTCTAGTAGTCTTTTGAACGAGAGTCCCAGTTTGGTGATAGAAAATAGACCCGTAAGTTATGTCTTTCACGGACTGTGGCTCAAGTAGATTTTTACATCATTCTTCGTAGGCCTTATATCACCACTCCTTTTCCACGAGTGTGCCGTTCCCGCGTATGCGGTATCACATTGTCAAATCCCTTAAATCGTTGGAAAATACTTTAAATGTGTGATGTCATGGAAATCATCATGAAGCACTGAGAATTCCACAATGGTCGCGTCTAAAACATATGTAATTTTGAGCTTTCCAGACTTTTTCAATTTCCACTTATGGCAAACGATTGGAAACAAAAACCACGACGAAATTGTTTTTGTTTGTTGTCTTCCCACTAAGATTTTGCAAAATCTCGCTCTCATAATTTCTAAAAGCACCAAAAGATGAACGCTCCAACTAACTTTCAACGCTCTTCCTCTTGGACTCTGCAGTCCTACCTCAAGAGCAAGGACACCCCACAAGATGACGAAAAGGATAACGATATGGCTGTGCCAAAGACTGACCTTCTTCGTGGTTTCAGCAGCATTTTGGACACTTCCGCTGCCTATGATGTTCTCCCTCACCAGGTTGAGAACCAACATGATTCCTCCAAGACTTCCAAGCGTGTCTCCATCATTTCTTCTGCTTCTGAGGCCGACACTCGCTGCAGTGAGAGTGACGATGACGACAGCTGGATGGATGCCCTCTGCGATGTCCCAGTTGAGATGATCGATGCCATCGATCCACTTCCTATTTTTCAGGATGATGTGCTGGCAACTCCCACCAACAGCCAGACTCACAAGCGAAGCGCTGATGACTTGATCAGTCCTACCATTGTGACTCCTTATACTAGTGGAAAACACATTGCTCTCAGAAGAGTCTCCGTGGATGGATTCCTTCCCGCTGCAGCGACTCCTCCTGCTCCACGAGCACCAAAGAATGCTCCTCCAACAAGACCAAGCCGTTTGGACAATGTTGCTTCACCTGAAGCCAATGTCGATGCTGTCTGGTCTAAAGGTAACTTTAGACCTTCTCAGCTTTTCCAAAAGGAGCTAAGATTAGTCAAGCGGAAAGCAACTACCAGCGAACCATCAAGCATGAAGGCACCTCCAGCAACCAAGGATGTACCGTTTCCCAACATTTCATCCTCTGGCCGAGTTCGCAAGAGTGTCAAGCTCTTTGATCCTCTGGACTACGAAAACCCTCGGAAGCCAAGAAAGTCCAAGTCTGTCATCAAGAAACAGGGAAATACCAGCGAGCAGGTTCTTGCCAAGGCCTCCTTCTCTTCTAATGACGTTCCATACCACATTGTCATGGAGCCAATCAAGAAGAAGCGCAAGATGGAGACTCCCGTCAAGGTCGAGACTGGTGCCAAGAAGTCCGATACTTCCAGGAAGCTCAAGTCTTTGAAGAAGGCTACCCCTTCGACTCCCAACAAGATCAATTGTTCCACAAAGGTTGGAATCTCCAAGAGTGCTGATTCCCAGTCGAAAGAGAACAAGACCAGAAGAATCAAGGCTTCCAAGGCTCGCCGTGCCGCTGTCCTTCGCCCCAAGGATGCCCTTCGTCCTCGGGTTCTTACTCCCACCAAGGTCAAGGGTGATCCTACTCCACTCGATCTGTCCAAGATTCCAGTGGTGGTCGGCAACAAGACCTTCTCCGACATCCAAGCGGCAAGCTGGACCAAAAAGTACAAGGAATTCTTGGCCTTCAAGGAATTCTACGGCCACACAGCAGTCCCTCACTTTTACACTCCCAACCTCAAGCTGTCCCGTTGGGTTAAGCGCCAACGCTACCAGTACAAGTTGCGATTGAACAAGCTCGCAAGCACCATGACCGACGATCGCATTACCCTCTTGAACGAGGCTGGTTTCATTTGGGATTCTCACACCAACGTGTGGATGGAACGCTACCGCGAGCTCTCCAACTTTGTGAAAAAGCATGGCCACTCCGGCGTCACCTCCACCCGCAAGTCCAAGAAGCACTGCTGCTTGGCCGCCTGGGTGAAGCACCAGCGCAGACAGTACAAATTGATGAAGATGGGCTGCCCAAGCCACATGTCTCCCGATCGTATTGACCTCCTCAACAAAATTGGCTTCCAGTGGTTCATTCGCCCAAGCTACCAAAACGAAATCATCCACAAGCTCCAAACCGAGGAGGACCAAACCACGCGTGTTCCTAGACCCACCACCACGGAAGCATTCCAAGTCGATGATGTCAAGCCTGACCAAGTCAAATCCACCTTTGCTGACTTGTAAGCAGTTTTGAAAAGAAATAATGTTACAATGAATAGCTTGCAGCTGGGGGCTGCTGGGGCTCGAAAAAGTTGGGAACCGTAACATTAGTTTTGGGAATTTTTATATGTGACACAATTGTAGTTCTTTAAAAAAGTGTGTTTGTGTATGTGCTTACGTTTTTAAAAGTTTGAAAGCTGAACATCCGTCCTATAGACAGTAAGTATACTGTATGTAGCTGCCATAACTTCAATTCCATGATCTACTGTCTGTAGTACAGTTTTACTGTAGTCCATTATAAAATTAGACATCGACATGACGTCCATTATCTCGAAAGGATCTTCCATTGGGAGAGTAATTGTCGGCATATCGACTCTTATCTACTGTCACATTTCCATTCCGTCTTTCTCTCCAAGCCTGTGTCGCATTACTGACTTGTCCATTGGGTTCGTCAATACCCGATCCACACGCAAAGGATCCAACTAGAGTCCGAGCGTGTTTTCCAAGGCCACTGCCCATGGAAACTACTGATTCAACAGCCGGGTGCTTGGTAAAACTGCTGTGGTTGAAACCTGAACCTGTAGAACGTGTATCGTCTTGCATTGACTTCGAATGAAGACTTTGGGCAATGCTACGTGAATCGTCCATGATTGACGAGTCGGTGCCCACTCCACCAGCCCGTCGTCTGAGGAGTTCTGCTTGCTCTTGCGCATGAGTCAATTTCTCTTCCCATTCCTATGAGTTAAAATAAGTGTGAGAAAACATTGCACTACAGTATTGCAAATGCAATAGCATCTTTCAAAGCAAGCCAATACAAATAAATACATACCGCACGAGCCAACAAGAAATCACCCTTGAGTTTTCCAAGATTCTGTTCCAGTTTTTGTTCTTGTCGTTTTTGTTGCTTTTGCGAATCACTCAATGCCTCAAAGAATCGTGTCGAAACGCCTTGCAATGGGGTGTCCTTGTAAATGGGAGCACTCATCATATCCTTCATTTCCTCCACCATACTATTGAGTGCCTCTTCATTCGATTGGATCACTTGACCAGAGGTTCCAGTCATGGTTGGATGACCAGAAGGTTTGCTGAGAACCACATCCGCTCTCTTACTAGGATCTGGCAAGGGAACCTTATGGGCTCGCATTCCTGATCTGAGAACATCGTCCATGGCATATCTCAAAATGGCACAAGCCCGGTCCGGATCCATACTTTGGGCTCTGGACAGAGAGAGTTGCAATCGACCACGGTGATCGGAATCCACGGGCAATAAAGCGGAAGCAGAGTCACAAGCACTTTCGTACAATTCAAAGCACTCTGAAAACTTTTGCTGTTCCTTCAAAACAGTGCCCTTCCGAATGGCCTCCGTCAAACAATCCTTAACATCTTGATCGACAAATTCATCGTGACGACCAGGTCCATTGGGAGAAAGTGGTCCACCATTTTGACCATCCTCGTTATATTGTTCCTCGCCTCCTCTGGCTCTCACTTCTTCCTCACGTCTAGAAGCTTCAAAGGCAGCTCCTTCCATGTGGGCTGCTTCGACTACATGTTGAAAGAGCTTCTGAACATCGGCAAAAGCATCAATGATGGCTTCTCCCATGGCATCGTAACCATGATCGTAATGTTCCATCAATCGTTCGGCAATGGCCAGTAAACCATCTTCATGTCCCGACAAGGCATCCACAAGCAATTCCGGAGAAACAACAGGATTCTCACCAGATTGATGGGTTCGTTCACCTCTGGAACGGAGTGAGCGTGCTGGAGAACCTCCTCCTTCTTGCATTTTTACACTAGTGCTATCCTGTTGACGAGATTGTTCTTGTTCGAGACTGGCGTAGGCTCGTGCGTGTGTGGATGGACGATTGCCAGAAGGTCGGCTGTGTTGGGACCTAGAATGCGGCGATTGACTTCTTCGTTCAGTTTCTTCCTCGATTTTGCGACTGTACGCACGGGCTCGTTCCAAGACGGAGGATCTTGCGGAAGATGATTTGGGAGAAGTGCTGCTGGATTGATTGGCGGGGCTTTCCAAGTCGGCTGTTGTCATACGTGGAAGTGTTTGCAACGAAAGTGTCTTGGCAAGGATTATTTTCGAAAACCAAAGTCCATCCACATTGTTTCGACGACCTTTCAAAAAAGCGCAAGCCGGGAATGCACAGTCGTACGACACGAGGAGTTTCGCGTACCATTGGCCAAGCATGCGTTGATTCAAAAAGTATCATCCACGTAGCTGAATATAAATATATATATTTTTAGTCAGAGTAGGTCCTGCTGAGCCACTTCCAGCAGTTGAAGCTAGCATTGGACGCTAGCTTCAACATGAACCAATGGTAGGAAAATACTGTATTTGAGTGGGATGAAGTCCTATGATACAATACCAGTACCGCTATCGGGCACCAAAATCAACAGAGTTTTATGCTTTGCTTGCTGGCATTGTAATCTATAAGTTTAACTCACCTTCCTTCCTGATGCAACAGCAGAAGTACGTTATGTGTAATTTTTATGTTTTCTCTATTTTTCTTTAGTTCCTAATTTCTGGTGGTGGTAGTACTTGTGCCGTAGTAGTAGTAGTAGTAGTAGTAGTAGTAGTAGTAGTAGTAGTAGTAGTAGTAGTAGTAGTAGTAGTAGTATGATACTAGTGCGGTAGTCTAGTGTACAGTTCCTTCAATACCCTCCTTTTTTAATATCGTGGAGGTTTATCCAAGGGTGGATAATTTGGGCCTGGACTCGCAAGGACTGGAACTTCCGCCAATTGGCCTTGCCGGGATTGCGGTCCATCCAAAATACGCATTCCACTGCTGCAACACATTTTCTTGAATCCAAAATCGCAGCAAACCTCGGGACGTTGGCAATCCCAGTTGCTCTGACAAGTATCTTGCAAGGCATCTCCAAAGATTTTTTGGAAGAAACTACCTTGCTCTTCCTTTTTCTTCTTGGCGGCCATTTCGGCGGACGCTGTAGCCGAGCGTTGTTGTTGTTGGGATTCCAATTGACGCACTTCCTCTTGCAATTCGGTATACTCTTCGACACTCAGTGGTTTCAGTCCAAACTTTTTGCGGGCCGCATTCTTTTCTTCCAAGGCGTTTGCAACGGAGGAATCCAAAGTACTAGTACTAGTAGTAGTGGTACTACTATCGGATGCTATTGAATCCGGAGAGGCAGCCTCCATATGGGAGGGTGGTGGTGGTGGTGGTGCCAAGACATCTTCGGACCGATGAAAGAGAACCGAGGTAGACTCAGGAGCAAAGGTTCGAAAGGGGACCATTGCTTCCTTGCCATAATTGACAACTTCCAAAGATGAGGTTGATAATGATGATGATTCACTGTTCCAGACGGGGATTCCTTCCGTGTCCGACTTTTTGTTGTAATATCCTCGAAGAGCTGCAAACACACCCTGTTCGGGAACTATGGGAGTATCGTTAATGATCAATCGCTCGATGCGATGTTGAGTAATGTTTCCGGATACTCGAGAAATTTCGTACACCGAAATTCCGTCCACATGAAGCGTGCTCTTGTGACCTCCGAAAATGGCCTTGGGGATGACTTCCGCGTTCCAATGGATTCGAATGTTTTGCCGAGCCTTATCAAAGCACATGCGATTCTTCAGTATGGATTGATCGGGACTGTAAAAGATGCCCACCACCGCATGAAGCAATCGAAAGGCAGCCTTGTAATTTTTGACTCCGTGCAATTTCACTCCCGAAGGATCAATGAGTTCCAAATCCTGGTCGTAAATGGAAAAGTCTAGAGGATTTTGACAAAAGATATAACAAAAGAGTGAGAAAAACCAAATATGACGGTATGCATCCAACGCCTCGCGTTCTTTGATTGCTATCGTACCTGGCTTGGTGTGTAACAGCAGTGGGTAATCCTTTCGCAAGACATCCATGGCGTGTCCAACTTCCAGTTCAAACTCTTGCTGATCCAAACAAAGCATGGCCAGTGGTGATCCAGGAGGAATATTGCTACCACTGCTGCTGGGAGTGGTTGGGCCTTTTGTTTTTAATGAAGAACTGCTGCTGCTGGTTTCCACCATTTTCATGTTCATGGTCCCACCACGATTGGGTGCGGAAAAGGAGAGGACTCCATTGTTGGTGGAAAGGCAAATTAGGGACACCAGCAGTATTTGGAACCAGCGTGATTGTTGTGGTAATGATCGGTGTTGGCTGTGTGACTTGATCATCTTGGTATTGGTATTGGTATTGGTATTGGTAGTAATAAATAATAATAAGAACAATAAAAATATATTTGTGGAATGGGAAAGGTGTATGTTCAATGGCAAGCACTCTTTTTTGTGTTGTGTGTGCTGTTGCAGTCGTGGGCAAGAAAGTATTGATATATTATGGTATTGATGCAACAAAGTCAATCGTATGAGAATGAATGCAGTTCCAAAGAAGAAGTAGAACTGGTTGATCAGAAATAGGTGGGTGTGCCGAGACCTACTGTACCGTGTATGGTACTGCCGTCGGGGAAACGGACCTCTGACTTGCACGTAAAAGAATATCCATGTCTCCCAATTGGACCAATCAACATGATGAAGAAAGATGCTGACGTGTTCGAAGCGCACGACAGACGTCATCCGAATTTTGGGCTTCGTGTGACTCACTCATGACTGATGTCATCATTTTTCACGACACATCTCCAGAATCACAATAGCCACAACTACAGTACAGTATGAGAATGATAGGATCGTCAAGGCTTCCGCTTCTCTCCATTCTTCTGCTATCAATATTTCAACCATCAGTTCACAGTTTGTTGTCCACGAAAAGTTGTCAGAATGGAAATGGACATAGGATACGGCTTCTTACCACATCAGGAGCATACAGCAGTCATCCAAGAAAAAATCCCAGTGAGGAGGATCAAGGTTTGCTTTTGGCCAAACGACCTTCAACTGCTGGTGCTGGTGTTGATGCTAATTCTTCAGAAGATCCATTCAGCGCATCCGGTGGTCGATCCCTCGTCACGACTGTCAAGGGAGGATTGGCAAATATATTTGAATTTGCTGAGGAACAAAAAGCGAGGAACAAACGACGACAAGAACTCCGACGAGCCCAGCGACAAAAAGCCAATTTAAAGCAAGGGGGTGGTAAAGAACAGCCCCGATGGCATCCTTACTCTGGAATCAACTCTTCCAATCCCAATTTTCGAACAGCCGCCCCGGTCATGACCAATGCTGGCTTTGCCAAGAGCATTTGGCGGAACGCCCGCAAACGCAACAAACCGGTATTGTGGGAAAATTCTCTCCGGACCTATGATCGCATGGCCATTCTAGAACAAAAGACGGAACTGAAAATCAAACGCACCAATCTACATCACGAGGGCGCCATGTTGGCCTGTGCCAAATTGGGATGGTGGCAAAAATGTTTGGAGATTTATCATTTTGTCAACGAACAGGACTCTTCCACCATTCTTCCGCCGACGGCATCATCTAGACTGGCTCCTTCCAATTTAGAATCATCTGCTGCCAGCTCCAAGATTGTCCGTCGGGTATACGTCACGGACAATATGATACAATCGCTCGTTCGAGCCTGCTCGAGGGCCTCCAGTCAACGCGGCAAGGGTGGTAGTAGTAGCAGCAAGCAACAACAGCAACAGCAGCAGCAGCAGGCCAATTCACAAACAACAACGACGAGCAACGCTGATGAACAGGAGTCATTGGAAGAACAGGAAGTTGCTCTTCGTCGAATTCCTCTGGATACTGCCCTGGAAATTGTTCGTACCATGGATGAAAACCATGGAGTCAAACCGGGTGCCATTCATGTGAATCCCTTAGCGGCTGCCTATCAATCCTTGGGGTATACGGAAGAAGCGAGGGACATTTTGCAAACTATGCTCTCGAACCGAACGGCGGGAGAAGAACCGGAGGAAGGTGTGGATATTCTTAATGTGCACGATTTGTGTGCCAAGGACAAGGGCAGTTACAGTCTGTTGGTCCAAGGAGCGGTTGGATCCGGAGATTGGGGGGCGGCAGTGGAAGCACTCTGTGACATGACCAAGTCGGGACTCTATCCAAACCCTCGGCACTGTAACTCTTGGAATGAGATCGCCGAACGACATCGAGGACGAAGTTCGAAAAAGAAGATACGAGAGGAATTTTGGACAAACAGTGTCATATAACTACTATTATAGTCACAACACAATCAATTTTGGAAACCAAAAAGCTCCACATTAACTTATATATACATCCCATGATGAACCCTGTTCGATTATGATTGCCTTAGTTGGCGTCTCACTTGCTTGCTACAAAATCAACTGGACAACTTGAGAACTCAACAGTCTAGGTTTGAGATGCTGTTTGTGCAGACCAGCTGATTCCCACCTGTTCAAGGGAATTTATTATCATGAAGTTAGATACCGCAAAACAACAAACAACTCTCCACAATTCCTTTTGAATACTTACCAAGTAAGATTGATGTACCACTAGAGACTGCAAGGTTCTCTACTGCGGCAGGTACTCTTCCTTCTAATCGGTTATTGCCTGAAAGATGTAAATGCAAAATAAGTGTTAGCACGTGGCAAAAGTGATATCCAACTCAAGCGCTCGGTTGTACGTACGTAAATCCAGCGATGCCAACTTTGTCAGTCTTCCGATTTCAGTAGGTATGTTTCCTTGTAATCGATTTGTTTCTGTCAAAAGCAAAAGAAAAGCAAGTTACATGTACAATGTGAGGTAGGTGATGATATCGACCACCCAGGGGCCATGTTTTACTTACGTAATCCAAGGCGTGTGAGTTCACCCAGCAAACCAATTTCAGATGGCAACGAATTTGACAGGCCGTTGAATTGCGACAAGAGACTGACAACCCGGTTGGAGGAATCGCAACTGACACCAAACCAGTTACAAGAACTAAGGTTGCGATTTCTCCACCCACTGCTCAAATTCCACCCGCTGCCTCCGCATGATTCATAAAACACCGACAAGACAAACCGTTCCATCCAAAGGCGACTGTCCGAAGTGTCATTTGGTGCCCAGTTGTCCGTTTGAGCAAGTTGATTCAATACGGTTCTTTGCAGTTGAGTTGAGGGGAAGCTATCTCCGAAAAAGGGTAACAGATTGTTGATCCAAACTTGTTCCGTCGAGGTGGTGGGGGCTCGCGTTAAATCTCCAGTGGGATTGGCGCTGGGAGCAACTGTTGGTGTCCCAGATGGACTGGCGCTGGGAGCAATTGTTGGTGTCCTAGTGGGGCGTTCAGATGCCGCTATACTTGGAGTACTACTGGAAGCAGATGTTGGTGGCACGGTTGGAACAGGACTTGGAACCAATGTAGGTGGTATGGTGAAAGTAGCGCTGGGAGCTGATGATGGTAGCGCAGTGGGACCAACTGACCGAACTATAGTTGGAGTAACACTGGGAACCGACGTTGATGGAAAGAAGGTTGGACTCGACGATGGATTGGCACTGGGGTCAAGCATTGATGGAGTGAAGCTTGGACTCGAAGATGGGTTGGTACTGGGGTCAAGCGTTGATGGAAAAGAACTTGGACTCGAAGATGGGTTGAAAGTAGGAACAGGTGTTGCTGTTGGGCTTGCAGATAGAGTCGGGAGCAAAGTTGGCCGTGTAGATGGCACTGATGATGGTGAAGTTGACGGTGACGTAGATAGTGAAGCAGTCGGTGAAAAAGATGGCAAATTGGTAACGGCTGCTGTGGGTCCGTCGTCGTTAGGTGACTTTGCGATACTTGAACTCTCTCCGTCATCAGAATCGCCACCAGAAGCTACTACACCAACCACAATGGCGACAATCAAAACCAACAGGAGGACGATACAGATCAGCAGTCGTTTTCGTTTCTTTGATGGCTCACTAGCAACTTCACCCACGGCATCTCCTTTGTCATTCGTTGCGTTTGTTGACTCGATATCTTCCGTCGCACCCAGAGAAGCCAAGCCAGCAGGGGTCAAACCAGCGTCGGTGGCAACTTCATAACCGTCGTCCGCTGAACGAGATTTTGGTTGTTTTGACGGCACAGTTATAGCTTCTAACGGTGCACGAGGCGCAGACTCGATCCCAGGACTCCCACGGCTGCCTAGCGTCGGCAATCCAGCAAGAACTTGGTGGTCGTTTCCACTATTTGATTGATTTTTCGGTAGAGGTGGAGGAGATGATTGGGATTTTGCGTACTCTTCCCTCTTGTCATTAGACGACTGAAGTGCATCAGAGGAAGCTGTTATCACAGGTGCTGGAGCATCATCACTTTTTCCAATTGGTTCGTCGGGATCCACTACCTCTTCATTTTTGTCACTCAAGTACACGGATTCGTCATCACTGTACATTTCAGCCGCTTTCTCATTCAACAGTTGCCGAGTGGAATGCCCTAGCGTTCCTTTCACCGGTCTTTGTGGCGGAAATATTGGTCTTGGTTTGGGTGCTCGTTTCTTTTTCCGTGTGACTGTCACAGCCTGAACCGGCGGAATATGCTCATCGAGTCGTATCTCGACCGATTGGTCGTCGGCTCCACCAGTTTCATTCGGCATTCCTTGCGTTCCAGTATAAGGTTACCAGTCGAATAGGGTCGATTGTTATTTGCCAAATTGAGGTGGAGTGGGCTTGCGAGGTGTACCGTGGAGGTGAAAGCAAAGGGACAGAGAAACAAGAAGCGAAGATATATTTTTCATGCGAGTCGTCGTTGAATCAAATCTGACCAACCTAATTTTTTCTCACGGACAATTCGTGCTCTACGTTAGACTATTTCAAAACGCCAGCCGACTAGATTCGTTAATTAGGATCTCACAGATTCACCGTTGTGATTGATTTCTGGCAGGTTTTAGAAGCCAGTCGATACCCAAAATATCGGAAAAAATGAGACACGCAATGAAAAGCAACTGTTGAAGCAAGCTTTGTCTTTGCCCATTGCTCCTCTTTTTTCAGCTTTCCATCTGCTAAACATGGTGTAATCGTATCGCACCATGGCTTGGAATATTTCTGAAGTGGTTTCCAGAGCCACTCGGCAAAGTTTTCGGAACAGCAGAATTTGAAATAGCTATGCAGCCAGGGAGGCATAGATTATCATCCTGCTGCCCAGGGTTTAGTTGAATCATTCTGCCCTTGAATATAGAAACGTATGGCGTGCATGATTGCGTATATCGATAACTTGTGCGTTGCAATGATCCGAATGGTTTCTGAACTGACTGCTTATTAATAGTCGATGTCAAAACAAGGCAACCGCAGTACCAAACTGGATATTCGATGAAGATTATTGGCAAAGCTCTGAAAGGCAATAGAACTTCGCTGTTGTAGTAGTGGATTGGAATTTCGATAGAGTCCTGGAATCGTGTAGTTTTGAAAGTCGTTCATATTTTTGTAATGATGTGTGATTTTTTAAAAATGCTGCATTATTTATCTAATGATACAATCAAAATTCCTCATGGTGCTCCAGCGGTACCGACCACAGAATCCACTGGGGCTGTGATGTTTCCAACAGTCAAACTGCATTCCGCAATCTTTCCTTCCAGCTTGCTGCATGCAGAATCCCACAGATATTTCACGATGAAATCACCAAATCCTTCGTATTCTCGGATGGGACAGGAGCAAGCAGAAAGATCGAAACCACAGCATCGACCATACAGACCTTGGCTCTCTTCACAACTCTTCAAATGACGGTGACCAGCAGTTAGCCGAGCATTGGTTGGTTCCGCAAGGAGGGCGAAAAGCAAAGATAAGCCCAAAATCAATTGTGAACAGAACTTGAACATGACAACGCTGCTTTCTTCAATTTCGTAGGAGGGTTCTTCAAGTCAATAAAAGAAAGATAATCAGTCTTATGCACAGATAAACACCACGGCAACAGTCTTGACCAATCGTACCAAAAGTTCAATGCACAATCAGTCGAGAAGTAGGAACATTCGGGAACATCCAGTATTCATTCAATCTGACGTTGCAACTTGAAACTATTGCTCATACAATTTGCGGGAACTTATAGTGGTCGATCGATTCGAACGGGCAAAAACGAGGAAAAAGATAAATCCTCAACCCGAAAACCCGTCAAACAAATATGGGAGCCAAACCTGAGCAAAGGGCAAGGAATAGATTGCAGAAAACGATAAAAGCTTTCTAGAGAGATAGTAATACCAGAGTGGCACAGCAGTGGCGGTTGAAAATGTGACTGGATATTGTGGGGTTGGGAGCCAAGGCCATGCATCAGGGCTGCCTTTCGATTTTTCCAGTTTGTTCTTCCAATAATTTGCAGGCGTAATAATGTCATGGCAATTCAACCCTACATTCTTGTGAAGTTCTAGATGTGTGTTTCCTGGGATGCAAAAGTGGTGGAGAATGTTCATTTGAGCAGTCAGATTAGATATTCAATCAATTTCCATTCTTGCTTTCTACGTTACACTTTTACTAGAGTACTTTTCTTACGCCCAATTTTTAAGTCGCATACTGGATGTGCTATGAGAATTTCTCTAGCTCTTCTTCAACATGAATGCTTTTGCCTTGTCGTTCTTTCATTTTACTTGTTGCAGCGTTCCAATAGCAAAATCATATCCTCTCAAGCACCACCACCATGTGTTTCATTTTCTCAGGAACCCAATCGATAGTATTGTTGCCGCCATTCCGACAGAATACGAGTCGTTCATTGAGATATGTATCAACTTGTCAATATGTGTGTCGGTATCTTCGAGATGGCGGAAGGCTACCCAATCGGAGAGTCCATCGATGGCATCGACTTCTTGGTAGCAAAAGGGATCGTTCGTGGGACCTTTGTTGCAAAACGTGGGCACATGCCAATAAGAGGGATGTTGCCAAGCAACGAGCTCGCGCTCGCGAATCCAGTGAAAGCAAGGGCATCTTGTTTATTTCTGGGATGCTTCTAGTGCCGCCAAATGACGAAAATGACTCGAAGATTTACTTTTGTATTCAAGCCAGACCAACCGAACCAACCAGACCTCTTCAAACTGGCCGAATGTATACTCCTTGTGACTCTCTTCCAAGCTGACGGGGACAAGAGTGAGATTTTCTTGTTGTTGGTTGGGTCCAACGCACGGTGTGAGAATACCTTGCTCAACAAGAAAGTATCTAAAATGACAACATCTGTTCTGTTCGGATCATCTGTTGCGAACTCAAACTGCTGGCTTGCTGGCGCGCCAGAAAATAGCGGACTGATTGACTGACTCTTTCGAATCAATCATCAAATCGAACCAGTCAGTCGCGCGTCGATCAACAACAAAACAACCAACGACAACAAAACAAAACGAAGGAAACGGAAACTTGTGATGGCAGAGACAAGACCTCCCATTCCAAACTCCTCTGCCCTTTTCTTGGCTGGATGTGGTATTCTATCACTAGGGTATACAATCTGGAAACAGATAAATGAAGGCAATAATTTTGGACGACAGCGAAAGAATGCGACATCCTCCGCATCACTTACTGCACACGAATACTTGATTGAAATGGGAACCCCGCTCGTTCCCCTGCGGCAAATTTCCAAATTGGTCGGAAGAAATATCTACGTGAAAATGGAGTCATTGAACCCTGGAGGAACTGGAAAAGACAGGGCAGCAATCAACATGATTCGATCTGCAGAAAGGAACAATCTATTACCACAACCCAACGATGCTGGAGATTTGTTCCTGCTAACCACTCCCGCGGAAGCACCAGAGACACAATCCGAAGTGGATGGTACAGCCAGCATGACTGGTGATGACAAAAACGATTCACAGAAGAGCAACCACCAATCCCAGAGTAGTCAAAGTGCACCATCACTCGAGTCCATGATTGTCCAGGCAATGGCAAAATCACGAACGGGTGGTCTGGTGGTGGAAGGAACTTCTGGATCCACAGGAATTGCCTTGGCCACCATATGCGCAGCTCGAGGTCACGCCTGCTTGGTGGTATTACCCGACGATCAAGCCCAAGAAAAGAAAGCCATTCTTCAATCTCTGGGTGCCATAGTTTATGAGGTACCTACTGCTTCTATTTCCAATCCAAACCACTACGTCAATATTGCTCGCCAGGCTGCCAAATTGGCTCGAAGAAAGTTTGGGATTCGAGCCTTTTTTGTCGATCAATTCGAAAATCCAGCCAACTATCAGATGCATTATGATAATACAGGTCCCGAAATCTGGCAGCAATTGCCAACGATAGATGCCTTTTGCATGTCGTCAGGAACTGGTGGCACCATTGCAGGAGTCGGAACATATTTGAAAGAGAAACAATCAAAAGTCAAAATCATGTTGGTAGATCCTCCTGGATCGTCACTCTACAACAAGGTGGAACACGGAATTGCCTATGCAGTACAGCAAAGTGAAAGGTCGGTTCGCAAACATCGGTACGACACCTTGGCGGAAGGAATTGGGTTGGACCGTGTGACACAAAACTTTGATTGGGGACTAGATGCTATGGATGGGGCCATTCGGGTTTCCGATCAAGAGGCTGTCGACATGGCGCACTATTTGCTGAAACTAGAAGGCCTGTGGGTTGGATCGTCATCCGCCATGAATGTTGTGGGTGCTATTCGGACGGCCATTGACATGCCAGAGGGATCCAACGTGGTAACAATGATTTGCGATGGCGGTCAACGGCATGCTACTCGATTCTGGAATCCAGCATTCATTGAGAAGAATAGAGGATTGATCTGGCCATGGGAGGAGCGAATACCGGAATGCTTACAACAAATGGCTGTTTCCTAATAACAACATCACGTCATACAGTAGTGATGCTAACGCAAACTCTTCCACGTGCGAATATACTGTATGTATTGTTTTACATGAGACGATAACTGCACTCATTCTTTTGTTGTTACATCATTACATTGATGATCCATCATAAAGCGGTTAACGAAAAACCGCTCATTGATGATCATGGGTGTTGTTTTGCTCTACCAATATGTATGTACTACCTTGTTTCATGTATGTTCCAGGCCAGCACAGCACAACTCCACTGCTGCCTGCACGACAGCAAAAGTGGCGCTGTCTTTTTGTTCCTTTTGTATTTACCACTAGTATCCAACGAACTACCCAACTAAGTTGCTTAGAAGAATGCATCTTCGTAATCGTCTCCGATAGCATCGTAATCATCGTACATATCGTTGTCACCAAAGACTTCATCGTGCAACTTCTTGGCCTTTTGTTTTTCTACCTTATCTTGCTTCTTGGACTTTTGAGCCTGTCCCTTGACCTTCTTCTTTGCCTGTTGGACCTTTTCGTTTTTGATCACATTGCATGCCTTGATAATATCACTAATCGTATTGTCATCCAAGACATCCTTACTTTGTTGAATGACTTCCTTCAAGAAAATACCTGCCAGATGCACCTTTCCGTGATCCTGTTGAGTTGGTGTTGTGAGCCAAAAGAGAAAGAGTGTTGGAATGAGAACGGGGAATTGCAAACAGAACAAACTGGAACTACTCGATTCAAGACTCCTCCAAGACTTCATCCAACGTACCTTCATGCATGTTGCAACCTTGCGAGCGTGCTTCATGTGGTCCTTCATGTCCTTAAGAACAAGCTTATCCCCTCCACTTTTGTCTCCCGCCTTGTTATCCAATGTCATCTTTTCCACAGCACCAAACAAATCATCAGTCAAAGCATGGTCAGCCTCTTCGACCCGTCTTCGTTCCATTGCACGAAGTTCATCTGGTGTCATTTTCGCCTCCATTTCTGCTTGATATTCCAACTCTTTGCGCGCCACTTCAATTTCCAATTTTCGTTCTTCTTCTTCCTTTTTTCGGGCGGCCAAGGCGGATCCCTTCTTTTTGAGAACATCCTTGCTGGCATTTTCTTCTGCTTGCTTTTCTTTCAATGCGAGATCTTCTTCGTCATCAAAGTTGTTCTCGGCTGGCTTGGCAATTCCCAACTTGGCGTCCAGAGCGTCGTCATCGACGTCCCATTCGTCATCACTGTCGTCCCAATTGTCTGTCATCTTGCTTTAAAATTTGTGTGCTTTGTGTGTAGTGTAATTGCTTGTTGAGTAAATCAATGCAATTAACGATCCAAATCAATCGATGGGTGTAGTGTGTATAATAACAAAAGACGCTATTCTCAAGTGGTACACTCAAATCACAAGTTGTAAAGAAAGTTATTGTCTTTGGTGTGCGTTTGCCCACACACGTTTCGTTCGTCGATGGTTGACCATCCGTACGACGTACGCCACATTTGCTTGCAATGATTTGAAGTTTCGGGTTTTGCGATTCCAGATTCCATCCTTGTCACACATCACCCATCATCAACCAACTCCCGAAACTTCATCTTCCATCGTGTGTAAGATAGAACAGCAACCGTTCTAGCTAGACACAATTAGAGTGACGTTGTGAAGCTTGATTGATGCTATCAAGAGGCTCCATTATCTGCTTGCTTCTGTGTTTCTTATTCCTATTATCAGCATCTGAAGCCATGCGATTGGTGGTGCAACGAGTCAAGTCCGCATCCGTGACGGTAGAGGGAACCGTCATTTCTTCGATCGGACCGGGCGTCATGGCCCTGGTGGGTCTTCACGAACACGACACCAAGGCAGATTTGGAGTTTTGTTGCAAAAAATTATTGGCCTGCAAGCTATGGGAAAATGACAATGGAGCCATGTGGCGGCATGGTGTCAAGCAGAGGGATCTGGAAGTTTTATGTGTCTCACAATTCACCCTCTACGGTACGCTGTCGAAAAAGAATCAACCAGATTACAAAAAGGCCATGAAATCAGAACCAGCGAGAGCAATGTACAGTGAGTTTCTTGAAATGCTAAAAGCGGCATATCAAGAAGACAAAATTAAGGATGGCGAGTTTGGAGCCATGATGGACGTTGCACTGGTGAATGATGGCCCAGTTACAATGGTCATTGAGAGTGAAGTGAAAGCACCGCCAGAAGAAGAAGCCAGCTAGCTAGTAAAACAACGAACTAGCTGCGAGCTGATGCTACACGCATGTACCTGGTACTGCAAATAATTTTGAATAAGAAAAGTTTTTCGATTGGCAGTTTTCAATCGTATTCTCAATCATCTCTGATTCATTCATATATTATATATTTTTATCGTGCCCAAACATTCCATGATGACATGGTCGCGTTCAGGGTACGTTTTCACTACATATTTCCAATCGACAAACACAGAAATTCGAAGAAAACTAAAAGAAATACGTAGTCAATCGTGAACCCATCGGAACATCCTTTCTTTCTTGTCTCACAATTTCTAATTTCGACCTGAAAAACAACACACACTAAGAAACCATGAAGACCATCGCACCAACAATCCTTGCTCTAGCTTCTGCTCCTGCTGTTACAAGCGCATGGAGCAGTCTCTATTTTCCAGTTGTTCCATCTGCCAACACCATGATGCGGAGAAACCGAGCCTTCGCCAACCAGTTCTTCCAAGAGACACAGCTCGCTTCTCCTCGCTACGAGCTCATCGACAATGAAGACAAGTTTCAACTATCTGTGGATGTTCCAGGAGTCAAGATGGAAGACATTGATGTGAGCTTAGAAGATGGACATTTGACCGTTAGCGGGCAGCGTTTGTCGTCGAGTGATAACTCTCGCTTCGCTTCCAAGTTTTCCCAAACCTTTTCTTTGGATCCAGCGGTGGATGTGGACCAATTTAGTGCCAGCTTGGACAACGGGGTCCTAGTCGTGGCGGCACCAAAGGACATGAAGAGAATCGAGGAGAACATTAAGAAGATTCCCGTAATGCAAGGAAAAAGCGAGGCGGCGATCGGAGGTACATCGGAGGTTGAGGAGACATCTCCTCTAGCTACCGACGATACTTTGGATCTTGACACGACTGGCGTGGAAGCTTCTGGAGATGTCAAAGTTATTGAGACTGAATCAGCATAGTCGCTCCTGATCGTGCAGGAATGAATGATACTCCTGCTGTAGAGAATAAGTACTCATCCGTTTAGTGTAAGCAATAAGATTGTCATTCTATTACCACTTCTACCCATATTTTTTAAATACAGACTAGAGTAGAAACTGTGTTTGTTTGTACGTATTACCACCTAGGACCACAAGATGAATAGTCCAAAGCACTGCGGTTCAAACCCAGCAGAATACGCGAGGTCAGGCTTTTGGCCGTCCTTTGCAGGCAAATAGAGTTGCATCCAAGTATATGTATGGGTGTCAATAGATTCCATGGAATACAGGCAAGGGTCGCACTAAAATGGAACCAGGAACAAAACCAAGCGTTGGTTGAAAGAATGGAATCCCTGGACCTTTGAATAGAATGAAATGAAAGCGGATAGGTTCCCCAAAATTGAGCGCTGGAGGTCTTGTTGTTTCCAACTCCCCCAATCTTCCGGATCTTCTTCTTTACTGTGACTCTGTTTATTGTCTAGTACAGTATCGTCCAGGACGCAAATGAATTGCACTCTGACGATGGGCAAAAGATTTCTATCGAAAAGTAGAATTCAGTGCCTTCTGGGATTTTCCTTTGACTGGATCATCATAACGCCAGAAGGATTGCCGTCATATCGTCTCGATATCCTTTTTGAACTTTTGGTGTAATCGTTTCAAAGACTTCTAGACCCTTGGCCAATGGATGAACACTTCCGCCTCCAGAATGCCCTTCAATTGGAAAGAAGCATTCACCAAATTGTTTGCCATAAAACTGTTTGCGGCGCACATCCCAGACCCCATCAGAAGCCGCCATGAGAAACGAGTTTGGCGGTAATTGGTTTAGGTGGACAACGTCCACCAAAGGTTCCGCAGTCACCCCGACCACTTTCCATTCCCAATCACCAATACTTCGCGACATGGCCAACATGATCGTATCTCTGGCTGCTACAGAATACACGACGACAACCGACTCGTTGCTATGTGGATTGACATGAATTTTCCCACCCAGTTTTTCAATCCGATCACGTTCGTCCGGTAAGAGCGCCTTGTCTTTGCGAGTGGCAAAGCGAATATCGACATCCTGTAGAGGTCCTGCAGTCGTTCGAATAGTGGTACCGTTGTTTGGCATTGAGAACACCATAGTTTGACTGTCGCCTACATTGGCAATGTACAATTTGGATCCCAATCGAAGGGTAACAGATCCCGTGGTTCCTCCAAGCAAGAAGTTGGGTGTCCCGTAAATGTCTACTTCCACAAAGGATTCTTTCAACATTTGAATGATGATTGCGTCTGGCACTTCATGGTCCTCAGACATGCGGAGGGCCTCCAATTTGCTGGCCAAAAGCTTTGGAAATTCGTGCAACACATGACTGGCAACTATGTGTCCTTGCACGCCGTGTCCGTCAAAGAGACATATCAATGTTCCGTTGATGACCACGTTCTTGGAAGATGACGAGATCATGAATGGATCGATTATTGAAGCCCGATCTTGATTTTCGTGGTGGGAGGCTCCCTGTTGTGTTACAATAAGCATATTTTCGTTGGCAAAGGGATAGTTTTGGTGCTTGTTTCGAACGATGGATGCCTTGAGGTAGGAGTACACCTCTGGGGTCAACTCGGCAGGATATATTGGGCAACCAAACTGTAGGCAATCTTCCTCTACCTCACTATCGTCACGGACGTTCATATACGAACCATCGCCTGCCTGCTTGAAATTTGCGTTCCTCTGGTTGCCAGCTGTAGTATTTCTTGATTGAGTCACTTCCTCGAGAAGTACGACAATTGCAAATATCGCTAACGAAAGAACAAACAGGCTCGCTTTGGTTTTATGTCCTCTTCCATGATCCGGCCGAAGTCTCGGATGGACCATTCGGAAAGATGACCTACAGCAGCAGAAGTATGGTAGCAAGCAACCGTTCGTATCCAATGTTCAAGAATCTATCTGGCGCTTGCAGTAGTATACTGCTCGGATTTGCAATTCATGTTGACTCGTGACTGATGTCGTCTGATCTGAATCTTGTCAAAGCTATTTTTCTGGTCACGGTCCGTCACCGCCCGCCACCGCGCCAGTTCGGAACTAAGAAAGGCACTCGTGTCGAAAACGTTAGCTGTGTATCTGATCGCAACCACCATTGCGTTATCATCATTGGAGCGTTGGAAATACGGATACGTGTAGGTTTATATATAGGTACATCGAATCCATCCTATCATCGAGTTTCTGTTGAAAAGAAGCGTAGCATCGTGTTCTTCTTCCTTCCACAACGACAACTTCTTTGTTTCGTTCCACCATCATACTGTAAATTCACATTACTCTACATTAGATAATCAATAAAAGCAAATAGGCGAGTTCGCTAGAGAAAGTTGAAAAATGACAATGCAGCCCGAGTTTATGAAAGTGGAGTTTAATTCCAATGACTACCAAAGTGATGACGATGCGGTCGGGGAATTGCCATACATGAATGGTCATCAGCATGGCTTTGCCGATCACCCTGCCTCTCTACGCGGGGACGGTTACGGAGGTGGAGGCACCATCAAGTACTCTCCCCTAACAGCTCCAACTGCGTCGATACAATCGCATAATTACGAACCAGACGAAAGCGAGGTTTGGAGAGCCTATGTTTCACAAGTCCATTTTCTGAATCGAGGACAATGGTGGACTACGGGAAAAAAGAGAGCTCTCAAGCGGTGGATTTTGACGTTTTTGGTGGGTGTGATTCAAGCCTTTGTGGCTGCCATTTGTAATTTTTCGTCTCGTGCCCTGAGCAAATGGAAGTACGATTGGGTTTATGAATTGCTCAATCCACCAGCGGCTGCCTCTGCTGTTATGAATGTGGAGACCGATGATCTGACATTCATGGGAGATGAAACCGTGGGTGGAACGCAGGCAGATGCAGCATCGAAATCGGGAATCTCTGCGTTTTGGGCATTTTGCTTGACTCAAGTTATTTTTGCGGCAATTGCCTCCATTTTTGTTTGGATTGAACCAGTTTCCGGAGGATCTGGTATTCCTGAAATTAAGTGTTTCCTCAATGGAATCGATCTGCCACGCATTGTTCGAGTCAAGACATTGTTGTGCAAAGTGGTGGGAGTTACCTTTTCGGTGGCTGCGGGATTACCAGTCGGAAAAGAGGGACCCATGGTTCATAGTGGTTCCGTCGTCGCCGCTGGTATTTCGCAAGGAAAGACCAATTTTTGGGGTGTCGATACTTCCTTTTCCAAATTTTCGGATTTCCGCAATGACCGTGAAAAAAGAGATTTTGTCGCTTGCGGGGCTGCTGCCGGTGTTGCTTCCGCTTTTGGAGCTCCGATTGGTGGAGTCTTGTTCAGTTTGGAAGAGGGTGCTAGTTACTGGTCTACCAAGTTGACTTGGAGAGCATTCTTTTGTGCGATGACTACTATTTCAACTCTGTTTGCAATCAAGAATGTTGATGTCATGTGGGGTCAAGCAGATGTTGCAAAGCTCTTTTCCTTTGGGGAATTTACCCACATCTCGTAAGTATCAAGTGGGATGGCTGGTGGATGGTGACTGACTTTGGTCCAAATGTTTAACCTTCTTTCTTTTTTTCTTTCCTTCGTTTTCTCTCCTTCTTTTCGTGCAGTGGTGAAGCATCCAATTTTAGCATTTGGGAACTCCCAGTCTTTGCCATTATTGGATGTCTAGGTGGGCTCATTGGTGCAGTCTTTAATGCAGCCAATGAGCATTTGACAATCTGGAGGATGAAACATGTCAATCACTCCAAGAGCAGACGCATGATTGAAGTTTGTCTGGTCACGTTCCTTGTGTCTGTTGTCTCCTTTGTCATGCCTTTGGTTTGGGGCCGATGTACCGAGCTGCCAAAGGATATGCAAGACTGGACCAATCAGGAAAAGAGCTTGGTCGAAAATTTGATTCCATTCAACTGTGAACCAGGCAAGGAGTACAATGAGGTCGCAAGTTTAATCTTCACAGAGGCCGATATTGCCATCAAGCAGTTGTTCCACTTTCGCGAAGGAGGAAGCGAGGACAACTCTACCTTTTCTTCCGGTGCTTTGTTCTTGTTTTTCATTCCTTACATCACTCTTGCCACCATTGTCTATGGCATCGCTGTTCCAAGTGGACTCTTTGTGCCATCTCTCTTGGCTGGTGCGGCGTTTGGGCGATTGTGTGGCCACTTATTGCACAAGCTTGATCACACCAATGGAACTTTTGCTGATTCCGGAACCTATGCACTGATGGGAGCAGCAGCTGTTTTGGGTGGTATGGCCAGAATGACCATTTCATTGACTGTAATTCTTCTGGAAGCTACTGGGGATATGCAATACGTGTTACCACTGATGTTGGTACTCATGTCAGCAAGATTCACAGGCAATGTTTTCAACGAGGGTTTGTACGATATTCATATTCACCTCAAGAAGATTCCATTTTTGGAACCTGAAGTTCCACCAATTGCCGAACGTAATGAAATTGTTGCAGGTCAAGTCATGTCGACTGAAGTCAAATGTCTTCGTCCTGTGGAACGTGCAGGTGTCGTGTACGATTTGCTGAACAGCTGCAATCATGGTACCTTCCCAATAGTAGATACCGCAACTGGTGGAACACTCTATGGAACAGCAAGCCGATCTATGTTATGCACCCTACTAAAGCGAAGAGCTTTTGGGTCTCCAGACATTCTGGATGATTATGACAATGGAGAAAACTTGGGACCTCGTCGATTAAGTCCGTTGGTCCAGTGGGATACCATTGAGCGAGCATACCCTCGCTATCCCGAAATCGACGATGTTGACATGAGGGACTCGGATAGAAACTGTTGGTTGGACCTCAGACCATACGCAAATACTGCACCATACACAGTGAACGAAACAGCGTCAATCCAGCGTACTTATCGCTTATTCCGCACTTTGGGATTGCGGTTCCTCTGTGTCGTGAACTACAACAATCAAGTTGTGGGGATTATTACAAGAAAAGATCTTTTGCCAGCATCATTGTCGAACTCCTTGCTTCGTGGACGCAACGCTCATGTTATCGAGGACGAACATCACCTTGATTAAAAGCACATATGGATCACGAGTGTTTCGGCATTCCATTTCTTTAAAAAAAGCTCACAATACAACTAGCAAAACAATCGTATTTGATGTTATATACATACTCTTTCTATCCCCCCAGACGTCTTCCACCACGCCGAGCACGTATCCTGGAAGCAAAATTAGTAGCCACCTTCGAAGTCTTGGTTGCCGGAGCTTCCTTGCTGTAGAAGCTGGTAAAGTTTGGCCGGACACGGTGGGAAATGACAGCAGTTGTTGCCTCGCTTCCAGTATTCGGGCTCCTCACACCCCTTTGTTGCTTTGAGTAAGGTGATCTTTCAAGCCGACTTGAATCACGCGAGGAAGAAGCTGAATAGATTTTCCCTTGTGTGCTGGTTCGATCACTTGACTCGGTCTCTGTCATCAAAAATGGATCCGCACTCTCATCGTCGTCTGACGCATCCGTCAACGAAGTATGTTGCCGCAAACGAGACACATCCTCGTCGTCCAAGGAAGTGGTAGTCTCATTAACTGACCGAATACTTCTATTGTCGCTGAGGTACGACACCTCGTCGTCGTTGTTATAGCCATTTGACCCCGAGTAGTCAGACGATTTTGACGTATTATTCTGGAGAGAAACGGACTCTGGAACAGCATTTTCTTGCCCTCGCCTGGTTGGGTATGCATCATTCTGCAACACCCCCCTTGCATCGTATTTTACCGCAGGTTTCTTTCCATTTATTACATTACCAGCTGACCGATGATCAAAACCCTGTCCAGGTATCTTTCGAAAGTTTGTGGGGAGTTCTTGTCCATTTGGCAGGGGTTGAAGGGTATCTTCTGTCGGCGCACGTGTATTCGTCGAGTCGATACCTGGAGCATCTCTTGCATCGTGCGCATCCTTCTTTGCTCTAGCAAACATCCCAAGCGGGTTTCTGCTTTTGCTCCGCTCTAGTGATGATGACGATGATCGCGCATGATCTATTCCCAAGTTTGATTCTCCATTGTTTTCATTTACTGTTTGGTTCACTTCTGTGCCAGTATTAGTTTGCAAGCTCTCCAGACTTTCATCCGTCAGAGAGTCAATATTGGTGCTATTGTCATTTTGCCCTGCATCGAAATCATCTTCGAATGCTGTGTTCAAATACCCTTTTAATCTTTGAGTTCGAGTTTGACCTTTTCCTTGTGCTGTCGAGTGCATAGGAGAATCAGCCTTGGGACCAACGCTTCCACGACGTTTTGACGCCTTGAAGCTACGAAGAATCGCATACGACTTTTTCTTTGCTGGTGATTCGTATGATGGTTCAGAATCCCTGGCTCTCGAATTGTTACTGATAAAACTTTCGTAGTCGTCGCTCTGTTTGGCTCGCATTGCATCAGGCGATTCCACGCTTGATCTTCTACCAGTTGGAAGATTGGAACATGACTGTCTTCTGTACTCTGGAACTTCACCATCCTGTTCAATATTCCCCTCGTTGGCATCCAGTCCCTTTGGTACAAAACGGTCGTTTGGCTTCAAATACTGCATTCGATCGGATGACAATGAATTCTTCAACTCCATTTGCCCGACGGCCATCGCATGCGCGAGCCTTTCTCTTCGCTTCGTCATGCCCTGAATCAAATCATCGGCACTGTGCATGTTTTTGATCCCACCATACTGCGAATTAATATCTCTTCTATACAACTCTTCGCTCTGGTTGCGATCAATTACTGGATTATGAACCCTTCCCTCCAATGCTTCACTATTTTTGGACTCGTCCTCCTTTGGTGGAGTCGCGTAATCGACGTGCTCTCGATATTGTTCTCTTGTGGTTTCCTGCTCCTTGAGTCGCTTTTGCAAATCGTCCATTTTTACAACATTGTATGAAACGGATTTCTTTGACGAGTTCTCAAGCAAAAATCCGAATGACTCGACGACATCCTTGAAGAGATTCTCCAACTTGCTATCGCCTTGTTGAGTTTGAAGAAGTTTCAATGGCCCAACTACATCCCGAGACCTGTCGTGAAATACCTTCATTTGAGCGGGATAGTGCTGGTTGATATTCTCCTTGATGGCTTCCAAGGTCTTGATGAAACCTTCCCTTTCCTTCTGGAGCTTGTTGACCTGTCTTTCAGAGTGCGCAAGGGACTGATTTGACGCAAAAATTGCATTCTGGTTCTCCATTTCTGCTTGTTTGCGACAGGCTTCTAAGCTCTCGATTAGTTTCTTCTCGTGCTCAGTCGCCAGCCGCTGTTCTGTTTCTGCAATGGCTTGATTGACAGCCTGCTGCACATCGGCGCCTCGTTCGTTTCGAATTTTTTCAAATTCTGTTTCATAGGAATTGCGGAGAGCTCCAAGCCTTGCACTGACTTCCATTTCTTTTTTGGCACTCATAGTCTTGATTGCTTCTTCAATCTTTTGTCGAATGATTCCATTTGCCTGAGCTTTGACCTTTTCGAGCTGCGCTTTTAAATGTGCAATTTGCCTTCTCCCGGATTCCCCATATCTTGTAGCCTGTCGGCTTGCCTCGACAATGGCAGCATCTTTCTCTCGAATAATATTTTCGATTTCCTCTTGGTAAATCACCTTGAGTTCGGAAATCTTTTGTCGTGTTCTCTCTTCAAAAAGCTTCCTTTCTGACCTATACTCTTCCTCTTGTTGCTCAATTTCGGACATGAATTGTTCGTTGTTGTCCTTTAGAATTTCAACCTCTGTCCGTGCTTGATGTAGAACCTTTTGTAATTGTTTCGACTGTTCCGATGTAAGCGTCTGGTGCGCATCTTCTGACTGAACTCGTTTTGGAACTATGTCATACATTTCTGCGAGATAATCACGATCGCCAACAATATCGTCCCTGTTATCATCGTCCAAGGTGAGACTTTCAAGGGTAGCTTCCATCTGCTTCTCATAATCATCAAGCATAGCTGTTATTGTTTCCCCCTTTTCCGGCTTGTATTCGTTCTCAGCTTTGTTGGAAAAGTTCACTTGACCAACCATATTGTACGTGCCTTTAGATTTAGCATATGCATTCACAGATCCATAAGACCCAGACCCTCCGCCTTGATCCATTAGATAAGAGCTTTGACCACTTTGACGACGAGTATTTGAACCACGACGGTTGTGCTTGGATCCGTGCGGCCTTTCCCCTTCAAAGTCTTTAGACTCAGCCCCAAAAGCAGAATCCTCGTCCGCCATTGGTTTCATATTACGCATATAACTATGCTCGCTGGAATTTTCGGATTTGCTTCTTACAACACTTAGATAATCTGTGCCGTCATCGTCTGCTTCTGAATCTTGATAATCTTCATTAAAGGATTTCAATTTGTAGCGACCAACTTGTGTGGGAGTTCCTCTAGGTGTCTTGCCTTTATCTTGAAATCGTACACTGTGAGGAACCCCGATGCTGGAAACTTCTTGAGGAATGCCCCTGGGCGTATTAAGGCCAGCGAAAACGGAAGAGTCTTCGGAATTCTGTCTCTCTAGATGAACGGGAATAGTTCTGGAATGAGGTGTAGTATTAGACGGGACTCCGTATCCACTATTCCTCCTTTCCGTTCGCATTGATTGCGATGAAGCTGGAGCCATCGTGTCTTTTGTTAGTATACACTTGTCGGCTCTGTTCAGAAAGGGTGGTGACTGACGGAGATGTTGCTTGTTGTTTTGATCAAAACGAGGAGGATCGCCGAGCGTGAATTCTACACGTGCATAAGTACTATTCGAAAAAAAATACCGTTGCAATTCCACATTTTGTTAATTAAATTTAACCGTAACGTTCGTTGGGAGCATTCCGATCCAGTTTGATGGAGTTGTAGTAAAAACCTTGCAATGCTGTAAAATAAAGTAGGTATTATATTAATACACGTACCGCTATTCATAAATCCTCCTTGACATGACCTTTCTGCCCAAATGTAAAATACATAGTGGGAGACCGACTCTATTCAATAGCGGTTCAACTTTTATGAATGAGTCGACAACTCATGAAGATGCAGCTCCGTGTAGTTGAAATCAGGAGAGAATGCAAAGAATGAGCTTCAATTCTCTTTGAATGATGCTCAATGTAAATTTTTTAAAATGAAAGCTTCCATTTCCAATAGTCGTTAGTATCAACTCTATCATTTTATTGAACTCCACTAAGCATATGCCACAGCAAGATCCCTCCAGTCACACTGACATTCAATGAATCAACATCCTTTTCACTATCTTCCATTTCATCGTCAGCACTTGTGGAAACTCCAGAAGGAATGCGTACAAACTCTGTACATGCCTTCGCCACCATGGTTCGTAACCCGTATCCTTCAGACCCTAGGACAAGGATGGCTGGACGGTCATCTTCGCCACCAATTGCTGGCAAAGCTTGCAAGTCATACATAGGTGGTGGGTTTTCGTCTCTTGTTGATGGAACCGATGAGGAAGCACCAATGATCCTAAACCCATCTTCTGCCGCGTGCTGTAATGTCCTAGGCAAATTGTTGGTACTGTAGATGGTTTGAACCTCCAAAGCACCAGCACTTGCCGCGCTGACCACCGGTGTAGGAGGGGCCGAGTTCTTGCTACACACCATGACACCTAGCTTTTGTTGACCTCCCAAAAAATACGCTGAACGGATCAGTGCACCCAAGTTTTGCGGATCCACCACCTCATCCAACACTAGCCACAACTTGGGCTCGGTACTATCGCGCGGAGGATTGATTCTGGATTGTGATTCAAAGAAGAGCTTGCCGCATCTCAACACCATTCCCTGCAGGGAATGATACAAAATCAAAGGTGTAAGTTATCTTACATCTCCAAAGCGACATCGAAAGCGCATATACGTACTTGATGTGGACGATTGCCACTGAGAGTATTCAAGATACCCTTGTCGACACGAGCGACTGGAATCCCGTGTACTTCGGCAAGTTCCAGAGCCTGCTTTTCTTGTTCTGCTTTGGATCCTCTACGTTGCGTGAACTCTTTGTCTTGGACAAAGAGGTATGGGCGAAATTGAGCCTGTGGTGGAGGAGGAGTACGATTCTCTATTTCAACATCTTCTTCTTCTTCGCCGGTCCACAATTCTGATTTTTCTTGGCTAGTCGTCAGGTCTCTCCTTTCTGCCTTTAGTGCGTTCAAGACTGAGGATAGTCCATAAAGATGCACAAATCCAGCAGTTTCCAAGCCATTCATATTGATTGCTCGTTCTTTCTTTTGTTCTCTTGGATTATTCAAACCGAACCGTTGCCGGGTGTCTCTGTCATTGGATTGCCGATCACCTCTACCACCTCGACCTCGATAGCCATCGGAATCGCCTCTGCCACCTCTTCGATCACCTCGTCCGCGAAATTCATCTGAATCGCCTCTACCACCTCGTCTATCACCACCACGTCCTCGCCATCCATCGGAACCGCCTCTACCACCTCGTCCTCGACCTCCACGACTGTCTGTTCGTCTTCGAGGAGCTGAATTGCTTCGTCTAGGTGCCGATGATGTGTAGCTATCGACATCAAAATCGTCCCATCCACCACCACCAATATCCTCCTTGACATTTGCCGAAGAACCCCAACCATCGTCATCTCTGGGACGGTCTCCGCCTCGTCCTCTGTCGCCTCCTCTGTCACGACCAGGTGCCCCCCAGCTGTCACCTCCTGCTCTCTCACGACTAGGTTCCCCCCAACTGTCGCCATCGTCATCCCACGCATCCTTTTCTGCTGGCTGGCCCCGGATGCGCCTTCCTTGATCGTCGTCGTAGGAACTCATTTGACGTCGTCCTTGTTGGGAGGCAACTGTTGTTGCCCGTGCCGTATTCAATTGAAAGGCATTGGCAGTAAGCCTAATTCGAGCTGTACGACTGAGCAAGGCTATGAATCCCATGATCACTAATGACTTCATTCCAATAAGTATTGCTATGGCATTTAGGTACAGACAAATCTGTTCTTTTCATTGATTTGATGTGATGAGATGTGATGGTTTGATTGGCTTTGGCGCGCGAAGATGCGCAAGTCAATACCAGTAGGCAACGACTGACTCGACTCACTCCCTCACCCGACTGAGTCAGTCCCGCATTGGGAAAAATTCAAACGAAATCCAAAATGTTGACCTCTTTGGATGTCAAAAGCCAACATGGGCAGCGACAATGATACTATCACAAGACGACGGCATAATAATGTTGCCACAAATAATTCTACATACGTAGCGAGTGGAGGTGCTTGGAATAGTCCAGTGCGAAATCCAAAGGGGAAAAAGAAAAAAAAGAGGCGGAATTCAGATGATGACATTCCATTCGTGCAGTTATTTGCACAGGTTGGCATTACATTGCTGGCAGTTTCAATTGCGCTTTGGTTAGCGTATCAAGCGTTTTCCTCCTTTCGTCCACCGGCAAAAGATTCTGGAAGTCTGCAGTTTGAATTGGACGATGACGATGATTTTTCCAATCCAGAGACGCCTGAGGAACCCAAGAGTCTGACGGACGCATTGAAGAGTTTGATTTCCGATTCCGAACAAGAAAAACAAACAGAAGAACCAACATATCCTCCTCTTCCAACTTTCATGCTGTCAGAATCATCTAAATGGGATCCTTATGGTCTTGCCGAGACATTTTCTGGATCAGAAGATGCATTCTGGAAGGCATCCAAAGGTTTACGACAACTATTTGCAGATACCTATGGGGGAGAGAATCCAGCACGCATGTTGTTGGACAAAGGAATGACTACCTTTTTCGAGTCTATAGATGGAAAAGTACCAGAAGATATCGCCCACACGGCATGCCGATTTCAACGCGCTCAAAATGAAGATCGACCACTGCGTTTGGCCTTTGCTGGATACTCTGTGACTGCCGGTCGAGGCAATTACTTTCATCAATCCTTTCCATTCCAATTACAACGTACCTTAGAAAAGGTTGTGCGATTGGCAGGAGTCGAGCAAGGATTAGAAGTCCGAAATGCGGCTATTGGAGGTGCACCTGCCTTTCCCTATGCCTTTTGCTTTGAAAACTTTCTAGGCCCAAATCCAGATGTAATATCCTGGGATTATAGCATGAACGAAGCAGGAGGGGTGCCAGAAGGATTAGAGGCGTATGTGAGACATATGATTGCCACCTATACAAAAGACAACATGTCAGTACCAAAGCTCATTGTCAAGGACACCCACATGGCCCCAATGCGACGTCGTGTCTTGCACGAGTATGCCAACTTGGTACCAGATTCGGTTGTCCTGCACACCGATCCAGCCACCAAACCGTTTCTAGAGCGATACGAAGAATACCGACCCATTGGCTTTCAAGATTGGCGCAAGTTTGGAGCCCCTCATGGAGCACCCGGCCAAGCAGCCCATCATCCAGCCCTCAAGGAACACGAACTGTTGGGATGGATCTTGGCGATGCATTTCTTGACGGCATTGGAGTACAAAATGATGGCTGGATCAAATCTATCCTGCCTAACGGAAAAGACTCTTCCGAAACTACCACCTCCAGTGTCTGACAAACTCACCAACACCACCAACCCAATCTATGATCCTGTCTTGTTTGGTCACAAAGTGTCAGCCGACGAATGGAAAATCAATCCTATCCAGTGTGGAACCACCTTTCAACCCATTCTGAAAGGTGACCTCAGTGAATTGGTAGTCAATGGATCCATTGCCGAAGACTTGGACGCCTTATTGCCGAAATCCCAATATTACTACAACCAAGGCTGGGTACTGGACATGAGTGAAGGCATCAAGGCAGCCATGCGCAAACTGAGTACCTACGAAGATAATTTGGGATTCATTGATTCGAAAGAGGCCTACTATGGTCTCTTTGAATCACCACATTTGAATCTATTGCTTCCCTACAGTGGTCGTGGCAAAGGAGAAGGAGATGGAGAAGAAAAAGGCAATCTTCAACCTGGCCAAGAAGCAAACAATTGGTTTGAAAGTATAATCTTGTGCCAAGTCAATGAACAACGGGAGGACAACGAATGCGACTTTGGAAGGGATGTAGGAGTCTCGATTGGAGGGGTCAATGTCACTGATATTTCACCTTACATGATGGAAATGGGAGGGACTACCTACTTGGGCAAGAAGGTTTGTAGTCACATTCCTATTCCAAACGGTGCAGTCTTAACGAGTCACAATACGTTGGCGGGCAAGGCTGATTTGGAGTTGGATCAAATGGGGTTGCTAGTAGAAGTCTTTGTAACCAACAAGCACATTGTTCATGCAAAGCAGGCATGTTCCATATCACATGTCGTGTGGGAAGAAAAGCTAATATAGCCTTGATTCATTGTGTTCATACTATGTATTGTAATGTTTTTAGTATTTCAGTATCTTTTGTACATTACACAGTATTAATACACCCTTTGGAGTGGTCTCGTGGGGTCCTTTTGCCTCGGTTCAAGTTCAATCACAACTTTCTCCGATGGCAGAGATCATTTGGCCAAAGATCGCTTATTCCCAACATTGTGTGGGCAGAAGCATTTGGAGAAATATTTCCCTCCAATCACATCATTGCCGTGACGACAGCCTTTCTCAAAACAGCCAAAGTTCCGATATTTTCGTTCGCCTTCAAGCTGGCAGATGCATCTGCCCATGGCACCTGCTGATGTTCGGGTTTTTCCACTTATTAATTCCAGTCCATCGAACATTTCTCCGCGTGGGTCTCCCTCGCTCGCGCGGTGTTGAAAAAAGAACACTGGCTTTCCGAACCCTTGTTGTCAAGATCGAGAGAAAGAATGAAGAATGCCATCACACAATTACACAAACATATAACCCAATCAATACATCCCACCAAACATCATTGCCACCATCAATATGAAATCAGACGACACTACCTGCTCCTCCTCCTCATCATCATCACCCTCTGTCAACAGTCTCTATGGCTCCTATAGCGATCACTTTCCCATTCACTTCGACTCGATTGTATTGAATGATGAGGTGACGGCCAAGGTTCTTCGCAATGCCCAAAAACGAATGAACAAGTCAAGCATTCTCCCGTATTACGACAGTCTGCTGGCTACTTCCGAAGACATTGGAGAAATTGCCCACCACGAAGTTGTTCTGGACCGAATGCTCGGCCATGGCTCCTTTTCCTCCGTCTTTGCCATCAAGAAAATCCGTGGCCGGAAGGCTCACAAATACGACGCTGAATCCTTGGTAGTCAAAGTCCTCCGCCCCAAACTATCCTTGAAACCATCATTAATGGCTGCCTGTGCGGCTGACATTGTCATGGAAGGCATGCTGCTATCAACACTCAGTCATAAAAATATCATTTCCATTAAGGCCACTTCTCCCATGGGAATTTGTTCCTTTGCCAATGGAAGACACGACGCTTACTTTTTGGTCATGGAAAAGTTGGAGGAAACACTGGAAGATCGCATCCAAAGGTGGCAAAGCCAAAAACACAAGACATTGTTTCATCACAAGCTAAAGGATCATCTCATGTTGCAAGAGCAAATTCAAGTTTTGACCCAATTGGGCGATGCGATTCAACATTTGCACAGCCAACGAATTCTCTACCGAGATGCCAAGCCCGCCAATATTGGGTTTGACAAAGACGGCGTTCTCAAAATCTTTGACTTTGATGTCGCCAAGATCCTTCCCGATTCCACGGATCCAAATGAGATGTTCCAATTGACCAAACGAACTGGATCTCCTCGGTACATGGCACCTGAAATTGCCAAGGGCGAGCCATACAATCTCAAGGCGGATGTCTACTCCTATTCCTTGATTTGCCACGAAGTCATGACCCTGAAGAAACCTTTTGGAACCATTGCTTCGGCCAAGCACGATCAAGCCGTCTTTTACGATGGAGTCCGACCCGAGGTGCTAAAATCGTGGCCGCGCGGATTTGTCAACTTGTTGAAGCGATCTTGGTCGACCGATGTCGTTGGACGACCCACGATGGAAGAGGCCATTAAGATTCTGCAAACGGAGTTCACCATTATGCTCACCATCAAGACTCCAAGCCGCAAGGTGTTTAACATCCGGCGTCCCAAGACCGCTCCCATTTTTGTCGCATAAGAATGCAAAGCATCCACGCTTTCACTGTTGTTATTGTTGTTGTAGACTACAACTGTTGTTAACATTAATTTTTGAACCATTATACATGCCTATATAAAGTACCGGTAGCAAAAGCAGAGCAATAGTATTTCACCTGCTCATGGCCATCTAGATCCGAACACATCAAATTTCAAATTGTTCGATGCAGGGTGGCAAGCAGGTCTTCTAAGGAAAAAAATCCTTAGACGCCCTTTTCGATGTCGTTTGGTGGATGCCTTTTGGTGGTAGATTAGTCAAAATTGACCCCATCACGAGATTCTCCTGCAAAGAAATATCATGCTAGGTATTCCAATACTGTACTTGTTCTAGTAATGCTGATCTACTTCAACAATCAGATTGCACGTTTTCATACTACTTAATATCATCTCTATTGATCATCTCTCTAAAATTGATCTTACACAAAGTTGGGTTTTGCTTGTTCGGGTGGCGTTGAATTTGTTCCTTTCGCAATCGCTACATTGGTCTCGGTGACATTTCCATTCTCGTCCCGTTGATAAGTCACTGATTGGGTTTGTTGCGGCTGCCGGCCATCTACATGGGGTGATGGTAATACCAAAGCGGCAATCCCAGCTAATATCCACAAGGCCACTGCTGCAATGCTCAGATGGTATCCCATATAACCCTGGCACTCACGGGATGATGGGAAAGTATTCAGCAACTCTGGATTGTACTCCTCATAATATTGAAGAACAGGATTGTCTTTGCATATACTCGACTGCATCACTACCAGAGTCAATCCTTGAAAGGCGCCACATAACAGAAAGATGCCACCCATTGCCCGCCATCGAGAGGTCGTCACGTTGCAGCAGGGCCCAGCACACGCCAAAAACAAGGCGAGGCCACCAATTACAGGAGTCAGGATTGCAAATGCCATAACAAACCTCGTAGTGGCATCCGTGTCGTAATCAAAGCCGGCCGCCACCAAACCCTGATAGGGGTGACACACCTGTTCCGACGACAGTGGATCAGATGCTCTCGCTGAGATACTATCATTTTCATTGGTTCGAAAGGTCCACATGCCGGCGTAGATAACCAACGGATCACCGCCATCTTGATTGTTTTCTTGGATAAATTGTACCGTTTCGCAATAGAGGTTTCCTGCTGTCCCAAAAATGGCAGCCAAGAAGGCTAGTATTCCCGGTATGTAAAGTTTGAGGAGGCTGAGGAGCAGCAGCAAAGAAAGCAATGAGAGTCTTTGTAAGCAAGCAACAGGTATACATCATGGCTGTTGAACAAGTAATGATGAAACCTTCAAGCAGTGATTCAATTGTAGGTTTGCTTCCCATGACAAATATTTCATCTTCGTTCATTACATGTCATGTTTTGGTTGCTTCACAAACTTCAACTCACTCTTTGTATGATTTTCCCTCCGACATTTTGATATTCTCGCACGTTCAATCTATTCTTTGACTCGATAATGAAGCAAGGAATCAATCAATCAATCAGCTACAGTACTGCTTGTTGTTACTGGTGAGGTTGTTTGAGGCTCGTTTTAAACAAGAATGAATCGTATCGTACTTTGATCGGACCAGTACTGTACCTCAACATGAGGTGTTCCTTTTGCATCTTGGAGGCGTTTCGCTCATTTGTCGTGTCAAAAACGAACCCCAAAAGTCGACTGATTCGACTTTTTGAGTCACAAGAGATGATGTCACGAATAGTCCGTCAGTCGTATGGAAACAAGACCTCAACCCCATACCGGTACAGTAGTCGTCATCCGTTTGAGAATAATGGTTTGAGGTTGTTGCCATAAACACCCTTGCAATCTACATACCACTGTACTTCCTCGTCTATTGGTCTTGGTCGTTCTTCTTTTTCCCAGAATGTTCTCAAAGCTAGTTGGAAGGACAGCACTCTCTGCTGGAGTGGCATCATTGGCAGCTGTTGCAGCATCGTCGTCGTCGCCACTTGCGTCATTGTCATCTACTACTACCCAATGCGAGGACGCAAATACTCCTACTACTACTACTACTACTTCTACTTCTACTACTACTCCGGTTGGACCTCCCAGCATTACTCAAAAACGAATTTTCAAATCCCTCCGCAAAGAGACCACTCTTCGACACGCCGTGGACAAGGAAGAGAAACCCTCCGAAGCCCAGTCCTTGTATCCCATTCGACGCTCCAACACGCGCCGTGAATTGTCCAAACTCCGGTCCCAAGAAAAAGAAATCTTACGGAGATGGGAACTCGACGAAGACGGATGGCGAGAATTGCCGGCCCGTGCTTGGCCAGCCTATCAACCCAAACCGGAAGAGTTGGAGGGTATTGAATCTCAATTCAATGATTTGGGATGTGAAGATCAAGATGGAAGCAATACCTTTTGTCAAGATTTGCTCTTTCACATTTCCACCACATTAGTCTTTTACAATGTGAATGCGGAAAAAGGATTTGCTCAATATGAAAAATTGGCCAACGAAGGACATGTCGACTCCATGGTCGCTTGTGGTATCATGTTGGTGGAAGGCTTTGGAATCAAACCAGATCCTTCCAAAGGAATTGAATGGTTGCGCAAGGCCATTTTGAAAGGTTCGACACAAGGGTGTTACGAATTGGGAACTTGTTTGTACACGGGTATTGATGAAGTCTTGGAGGAAGATCCTGAGGGTGCCTTTGCCTTGTTTGAAAAGGCGGCTTTGAAGGATCATACCGGTGCACTTTACATGGTGGCTGATTGTTTGATTGAAGGAGAAGGAACCGAGAAGAGTGTGGGCAAAGCAGTACCTCTATTCTACAAGGCAGCGGAGCGTGGGCATCGATACTCACGACAAAGGATCCGGGAACTCTTGGCGCGAAAGGAGTATCAATGAGGGAGGGAGGATTGAAAAAGGCGGAGTGACAGGAAACCAACCAACTGTAATTTTAACAAATAGAAAGTGAGACAAACAATGTCATGTGGCTGCCAGTATAGTGTCAGAATGATTGTGATACGCTATTCTACCATTTGCTCCGTTGTACATACAATACATGTACCGGTACAGCATAAGATGAGTGCCACAACTGGTACAGGTACCTTGTACCTTGTACAATAAGTGTTTCTGTTCACTTTTCCTTCAACTGTCAAATGGAGCAGGGAGAAAAGGAAGAAGCTTTCAATTCCACGTAAAAATTGCTACCAGTCTCACGTAGAGAGTCATTCCATGGTACTGGAAAAGGCTTTAACGTCAGTTGCACCACAACAAAAACCATTGGAAGCAAATCGGTCATCCAACAACTATCCGATTCCCATTGGTTGCAATCACTGAGTCTTTCCTCAAAATCATAACACCATGAGCAACAATATCAGTGGTGGAGGCCGTGGCCGCAATATGATGTCCTCAGTGGACTTTTACCGCCGAGTCCCCAAGGATTTGACCGAGGTACGAAGCTCTCGCAATAAAAGTGTTGCCAATGATGCCGTCTGTACGCCGATTTCTGTAGAAATTGTACCAGAGGACGAGTTTTCCCTGTCGCACCTTTCTCACTAAATGTGACAACATGATGAACCTTTTTCTGACCATATCTTTCCCTTCTTCTTCTTTTGAATCCTTGAATCGCTCACTCATTGACTATGCTTCACCACCATTGCATTGCTTTTACTGTCACATTACCATTGCAACATCAAAAAACAACAACCATACAAACTAACATCAAACGTGAATGAAAATGTTCATTTGTTCAGGCCACAACTCTCGGAGCCGCCATGTCTCTCTGCGCCATTGCCATTATGGCCATTTTGTTTTTGAGTGAAACTGCCGCCTTTGCTCGGACACGAATCGTTACTTCCATCAGTCTGGATGAGAATACAGCCCCACAGATACGACTGAACTTTAATATAACCATGATGGATTTGCACTGCGATTATGTGAGCGTGGATGTCTGGGACGCGCTGGGGACCAACCGCCAAAACGTGACGAAAAATGTGGAGAAGTGGCAAATTACCGAATCGGGAGAGCGACAATACAGTGGGCGTAATCGTGAACAACGAGAAGTGACACATGAGGAACATGATCGTACCTTGGAGGAAATGCACGCCGAAGATGGAGTGCACGCTCTGGAACTTACCGAACAAAATTTCAACCAGTTTCTGGCTGAAAATGAAATGGCATTTGTGGATCTCTTCGCTCCATGGTGTGTATGGTGCCAAAGATTGGCGCCAACTTGGGAAAAGTTTGCACAAGAAGTGAAGAAGTTGAAGATGCCAGTCGGTGTCGGAAAGGTGGATTGTATGGCACAAGCTAATTTATGTCGGGCCCAAAAGGTCATGGCCTTTCCGACCATTCGTTGGTACCACCTTGGAAAACCCATTAGTCCCGAGTACAAAATGGACCGAACAGTGCAGGCTTTGGTCGGATTTTCGAAGCGAAAACTGGAAATGGACGAAAAGTACAAGGAATGGGAAGACAAGGCGGTCGACACATCGGACGAGGAAAAGAATGAAAAGCGAAAACTCTTTCAAGCTCACCGTCCCGAGCATCCTGGTTGTCAAGTCAGTGGATTCCTCATGGTGAACAGAGTTCCCGGTAACTTTCACATTGAGGCCAAATCCAAGAACCACAACTTGAACTCGGCCATGACCAACTTGACGCACATTGTCAACCACTTGAGTTTCGGAGATCCCATGGATCGACAATCGCGCCGCACCAAGAGAATATTGAAACAAGTTCCAGAAGAGCATCGTCAATTTTCTCCCATGGATGGATCACCCTATTATACCAAGGACTTTCATCAGGCCCACCACCATTACATCAAGGTGGTTTCGACACACTTGAACATGGGAAATTCCAAATCCAATCAGCTCATTACTTATCAATTCTTGGAGCAATCGCAAATTGTCTATTACGAAACGAACAATGTCCCAGAAGCCCGATTTTCCTACGATCTGAGTCCCATGAGTGTAGTGGTCGAAAAGGAGGGACGCAAGTGGTACGACTACTTGACCAGTTTATGCGCTATCATTGGAGGAACCTTTACGACTTTGGGATTGATCGATGCTGTCCTGTACAAGGTTCTCAAACCAAAAAAGTTATAGAAAATCTCTTTTTTTCTTTCTTTTGCAAAACTACAATATATATATTTTTTAATAGTCCTTTGTACTTGCTTCAATGCATGATATCAAAATACAGTACATGTTTGAAATCTCAGAAATTTGTCGAGGTTGACCAATGGGATTGGAATTTCGATTTTTTTCGTCTCCCACCGCCAGCCAGCCGCGACCTTTTTTCCATCTTCCAAAGCAAGAACAAAGGAATAGATATAATATATATATTGACCACGTACTGTAGGTTCCGCAGAGGAGGAGGATAAGGACGACAGAACCAGTTCGAATCCCTTCATAGCTGGCTTCTTGTTTGTTCACAACAGCCTCTAGCGGAAAACTACACAAGAAGGATCAATTGCAAGGTTATCTGCAAAAAGCTGGCTCTCATCTTGACTGGCATAAAACCAAAAAGTTATTAATCATTCGAAACCAGTGACGAACAAATCAAAGCACAATCTACATACAAATGTCCGGTGAATATTATTCCGATGGCGGAACTGGAACGGCTGAAACCGAGTCCAGCTCGCCAGGTTGCTCCTTGAGCGAACGACTTCGACCCAAGATTCGAAAGGCTCCGGATTTGGAAGGACTGGCGGTGTTTACCTGGGGACGAGGAGAGGATGGACAATTGGGGTTGGGTGATACTAGTGATCAAGATGAACCAACCTATGTGGACGCCTTGAGAGGAGTGGGCGTCCGGCAGATTGCTTGCGGGAGTGGACATACTGTAGTATTGTCTACGGAAGGAGAAGTGTTTACATGGGGTGAGTTGGTTGAAAGCAGTGGAATGGGCCAAATAATCGTCTCAGAAAAATTGGAAACTTCACTGTTTGCAACATGCAACTAATTTCTAATAAACTCCATTGCCTTTGCTCTTATTTCAGGACGAGGTGACGATGGACGACTCGGACATGGAGATAATGGTTGGAAATATGTGCCTCGCATCACGCAGAGCCTTGCAGGACAGGTAGTGACACAGGTGACTTGTGGCAGTTATCATACGGCAGCTGTTTCAGGAAATGGAGACTTGTTTACTTGGGGAGGTGGCATGTATGGAAAGTTGGGTCATGGAAATGAAATGGGGCATTCGACACCCAAACGAGTGGAAGCGCTGGCCGGTCTCCCAGTTTCACAGATTGCGTGTGGGTCCCGACACACTGTAGCTGTTGTTTCCAATGGCGCACTGTACTCATGGGGAGATAAAGAGGTGAGAATGATCCGTTTTGCATGTAGAAGTGAACCTTGCGTTGCTAACTTTACTCTTCCTGTTCTTTAAAAACGATAGAATGGAGTTGCTGGACATGGAGACACCGAAGGACATCAGTACACACCCAAATTGGTCGAACGTTTGGCTGGAAAGACAATCGTTCAGCTCTCAGCTTGCGGCTTCCATACTTGCTGTTTGGACAACTCATCCGAAGTGTACTCTTGGGGTGAGGGCAAATTTGGAAGACTTGGTCATGGTACCGAACGTAACTGCCATACGCCTCGACTGATTGAAGCACTTTTGGGCAAGAGTCCAAGGCAAGTGTCCTGCGGAGGATTTCACACTGCCGTTTGCACTGAAGATGGAGCTCTATATACATTTGGTGGTGGAGAGTAAGTTGTCTTTTATCCTGCAGGAGAAAGTAAATTACTCCTAGGCTCGCTCTCACACTCATCCTTTTTTCGTTTCAGACATGGACAATTGGGTCACAACGATCGTGTCAACAAGTTAACACCCACTCTAGTGGAAGCCCTCAGTGACAAGTTTGTGTCCCAAATCACATGCGGCTGGTCTCACAGCGTCGCATTGACCTCACAGGGAAGAGTCTACTGTTGGGGCAACGGTGATCATGGTAAATTAGGACATGGGTCGGGCCGAAAAGTCTCTGTCCCTAATTTGGTGGACAAGTTGAAGGATTATCGAGTGGTTCGTGTGGCATCGTACAATGAACATACGTCAGCATTGGTAGAACCCTTTGATCACACCAATGGCTTGGGTGGCGGGGTCAATGCAGTTCCAGTCACAACTACGTATTCGTCTCAGATGAGAGCCTTGGTGGACGATGAAGAGTATTCCGATATCACTTTTTTGGTGGAAGGCCAAACAGTCCACGCGCACCGTGCCATTTTGGCGCAACGCTGTGACCATTTTGCAGCCATGTTTCGCAGTGGCATGAAGGAAGCATGCGAAAGACTTGTTCCTATTCCAGATATTTCCCGACGAGCATTTTTGATGTTGTTGGAGTACCTTTACACAGATGCAGTCAAGGTGGACGTGGAACATGCGATCGAGCTGTATATTGCCTCGGATATGTATCAGCTGGACAGGCTTCGCGACATGTGTTGCACTGTGGTCAAGCGCAACTTGAATGCAGAGAATGCTGGACCGCTTTTGCAAAGTGCCAGCGAGAATCATTGTCAAATCCTTCGTGACGTTTGCATGTCCTATGTAGTGGAGAACTTTGATATCGTGAGCAAGACAGATGGCATTAAGCAAGTTAGCCATTCTTTGCTCTTGGAAATTCTTTCACAAAGATAACGAAAACACCTTCCTACAGCATGTATAGTCAATAGTAATAATAGTACACGTCAGTTTGTTAATAGATTGATCCGACTTTCACATTTTAACCTCAATTTGATAATGAAAGTGCTGGCCAGATAAAGCTCATCTTCGCGACAAGTTGCTCTTGGCCTTGAGCTCCGATCGCAGTCTTTGCAGCTTCTCAATGTACTCGTTGGAAACCTTGGTCACATTCAAAGCCTTCTCCAGTGCTCGCTTGACAGCCTTTGTCGCTCCCTTCCAATCATTCAACTTTTCATACATCAATAGCTGTTTTCCAAGAGTTTCATAGCACTCGGCATTGAATGTTTCATAGTGCAAGAGTTGAGCATTCAACATATCAGTATAAGAAAACAGTGCTTGGTTGTAAGACTTGCATTTGGAAAGTGAATATCCCAAATTGTCCAACGAGGCAATGACCTTGGGGTGTTTCCCCCCTAGAATTCCGGCTTGAAGATCCAGAGCTTCCGTGAACCGAGCAATAGCCAGTTCAAAATTCTTGTGCTGCAATTCGATACTGCCAAGATTGCAAATGATATCGGCAATTTCCATCAAGCAACTATCCTTGCCATTCCCACTAGTACACGCCAATACATGTTGATACATTTCCAAGGCATCTTCCAGAGTCGCTTGCGCCGCAAAGACTTCCTCCTGTTCAAAGTAGAGACCCGCCAATCGACGCAACAGTTGCGCCAAAATCTGATAGTTAGCCCAACAGTTTTCCATCATGGCCTTGTTTCGGGCCATTCGAATGGCATATCGTAGCTGTTGAAATGTTTCTCGTGATTGGTCCGAGCGAGGTCTTGCGTTGTTCTCTTGATAGCTTGGCTCTTGCACATGGCCACCGCTAGTAGTTGTTGGATTCAAGTTTTGGCGACAAGCATCATCGCTGCCATTATACTTTTGTTCTTCCCCACTATTGACATATTGATTGGACGAGAGACAGACCGAATGATCTCCTGCATCCCAGCTCTGCGCCCTTCGATGAGACTTTTGGGTAGGCAATTGCCATTGAAAGTGTTGTGATGGACCCGATAATTCAGGCGAAAAGGAATGACGCGTTAGCAAGACACGACATGTAGACATGTGCGAGTCCTCCTTCTTCTCTTCCTCCTCGTTCACATCAAACCGCCAAATAGAAGGCTTTGATTTTCGAGTAGAATCCCTCTTTCTTCGTTCCTTTGATCGAGAAGACCTAAGAGATAATGGTCGAGGCGGAATGGGAGATCTTGCTTGGTTGGTTGCTCCAGTTGATCTTTCTTGGAGCACCTTGCGATCCTTCTTTCGTGGCATCGTTCGTCCAGGATTGGCAGTGGCAACCGAGTCTGGCGATTTCGGCGGAAAAGGCGAGGATCGTTTCTGGTGGTAGCTACTATTTTCATTCGCATGGACGACATTGGAATGGCCAAAGTTCATCAATACAGACATGGCTCACAATTTCTGCTGTTGTTGCGATGTGGTAGGTCCTTTTTTTAATGTATGGAATCCCAACAATGTTGTGTTCCTCAACGAGAACAGGGCGGCTGTACTGTGTACTGTGCATCAATCGGAATTGCAGGGTGGAGAAGATTGATTCATTCGTCCTGCCTTGCCGTCTCCGATCGTTGCTACTCACAATTCCATACACAAGCGCACAGTTTGAATCTTCCCCCTCCTTTCCTACCTACTTTCTTGCGGGACCGCACACGTACATGTATTAATAGTCCGTTGGATGAATGTTGGTGGGAAGCGTTCCGTGTGTGTGTGTTGGTTTTCGAGTTTTGGTGGAAACGTTGACAATAATGCAGTGATGACGTCATGAGGCGCTAAAGTAGGCTCTAACGGTTGAAAAGAAAAAGGAGCACACACCTCTTCGGCTCCTTCTTTCTGTCAGTCTTGTTTATTCGAACATTCTTCTTCTGACATCTGGCACTTGATCGACACGGCCAACAAAGAGGGGATAGAGTTGCACACGTACGGTATTAATAGTTCCAAACGAATCCTCTGCACTTCAGCACCAACATCACACTGCCTTACTATCACAATGGGAGGTGAAAATAGTAATAGTAATAGTAATAGTAATGCCACTGCTGATCCAACGGCGGAAGCATCATCGAACACAACAACAACAACAGCAACAAGAACAACAACAAGAACAACAACAACACAGCCAACAAATTCCGACAAAACCGAGCCAGCAGTCATCTCGGAAGGCAACGGTGAAAGGGAAGTGGTTGCTACCATGGTATCTTCTACTACTACTTCGAAACCGCCCGAACCTGTCTTTGAAGAGCTGGAAGATCCTGAAATGATGGACGCGGAAATCGAACAGGAGATTCTGAATGAGGTTGAATTCGTGGACCAAAATGACAACTTTGATGACGAATTTGACGCGCAAGAACGACCGCAATCATCAAATAATCCATTGTCGTATTCACTGGCCACGTCGCCCAACACTCCCCTGTGGGCCAAGATATTCTTGCCCATTTTGTGTTTGTCCTGTCATGCTATTTTCTATTATGGTCAGACGGCGGCCATGTGGAAGTTACGAACCTTTGCGGAGATTGATGCCTGGGCAAATGCCACAGATGTACGTATGATGATGATGACGATGATGACGATGATGACGATGATGATACTGTATAATGAAATTGAGGGAATGAAATCTTTTGGAAAGCTTGGTGATGGTGATGCAACTGGAACGTGCCTCCTTACTTTTCTTATCTACAGTAGTGTTACTCACATTTGCATACTCCTTTTATCATGTTACAGTTCACCTCCCGCAAAGCTTTTGACACGGTGGGGTTGCCACACGAAATGAACTTTAAAATTAGCGAAGACAAGGACGTCGAAACCTTTACCTACTATTATGCGATCGATCACTTGTGGGTGGCCAAGGGATTGCCTGGAAAGACTTTGCCACGGGCGGCTGCTATTTTGTTGGTGATATTTTCGGGATTTTGGCCCCACATCAAGTTGCTCTTGTTGAATGTGACATGGTTTTGTGGCAAGTATCCCACCCGGACCAAGCATTTGCAATGGCTAAGCACGTTGGGAAAATGGTCCCTGGCGGATGTCTTGGTAGTTTGTGTCATGGTGGGCGTCTTGCATTTGGATTGGATTGTTGTTCCACAAGATATCAAAGAGGGCGTCATTACGGACTTGCCTCAGATTATTGAAGTGACCAAGAGTCTTTATGATCATCGACAACTTTGTGACAAGTTACTCAAACTACAATGTGGACATGAAAAGAACCTCATCAAGAAAACCAAATGTCATGGTATGTATAGTACAGTAGAGTACAGTACAGTACAATACAGTACAGTACAATGCAGTACAACACAGCACTCCTACGATGAAAGCGAAAATGAATGGTCCCGATGCTCCTTCTCACACATGTCATTCTTCAATACCTGTTGTCTCTATTCATAGCTTGTTGGACGTTGGTGGATGAAGCTTACTCTCGCCCTGAATGGGCTCGAACTACCGGAGCAACAATCTTGAAGGGAGTGAAAGTGAATGGTGGTGGAATTGCGACATTGCGAGTGGTGGGAATGAAGGGAATCTATGCCTTTAGTGCCGCAGTCATTCTATCGATTTTGCTATCCTTTGTCATCGATGTCTTTGATCACAAGGCCAAATCACAAGGCTTGAAGGATCCGCTATTGCTTGTTGCAGAGGGTCACCGTAGAGGGCAACGAGAACGCCATGACTTGGCGTTGTCCGAAGAAGATGCCTTGGATGAACCACTTCTCAATAACTCGACGGAACCAGAGCCATTGGAAGTTGATCTTGGAGACTTTGAAGCGTACCGACCACCTCGGAATATCCAAGATGCGGTATTTGCCTTGGTATTTTTCCTTCTCACTAGTTTGACTTCCATTCTTATTTTCTACGGCGTGGATGTCGATACCATGGAGCGACAAGTCAAGGGTGCTGGCCCCATGATGTTACATGATATTTTGGGTGTTGATTGGAATACAAACTACTCATTGAAATCACTCATGTGGACCACTGGTGCGGCAGGTTCTTGGGACTATCTGCTAATGGGTACCTTTGCTTTGTTCATTGTATTGGGACCGACGGTTCGCGCTGGACTGTTGGAAACCGTCACCCTTTTCTATCAATGTCACCGCCCAGTGTCCGTTCTTTCCACTCTCATCAAGTTTGTTGGTCCCTTTTGCGCTTGGGAAGTCTTTGCGATTGCTATCGTCATGACCCAATTGCTCATGCCAATGATCACCAACACGATCATTGACAACCCAGCTTGTGCGAGCATTTCCGACGACGGATCCTGTCTCCAAGTGGAATTCAATATTTTGCCATACCCCTTCAGTGCCATTGTTGCTGGTTGGATCCTGCTCTGTAGCATGTCCAATATGGTGATAAACCGTGCTGCAAATGCCGAAGATGCCACCGCTTGGATGCGCTTGACATCGGCAATGGAAACACAAGAGTCGCCTGGTGATTACCATCTAGTCCAAGATACTGAAGGAGATGGAAATGAACCCATGCAGGAAGGGCAAGTGGAACAAGTTGCTCGCATTGTTCAGGTCTAATTGAACCTCTTTCAAGACCTCGCAACTGTTAATTTGCGAGTTCCATTTTTTAAACTTATTCCATATATTAGATAAACGAGAAGCTACAATTATTCGAGTCTTTTGTGGATAGGTAGATTGAGTCAATAGAGCCCCGTGTATCAAACTTGCAAGTCGTCATCTCTGCAGTCTTGCGTCTATCTCTGGGAGTCGAATGTCATGTGGACCGTATCCTACCGGTAGTACCTGGCCTATGCTAGTTCTATTGGCAGGTTTCAATAGCATCCTCGTCATCGTATTTTCGATCTCTGATTCATTCGTATATTTTTATGGTGTCCAAAGCAGTGCGAGATGGCATTTTTCCGTGGTGGTCGCGTTCAGGGTACGTTTTCTACTACATATTTCCATTCGAAAGAAACAGAACGCTGCAGAAATTCGAAGAAAACTAAAAGAAATACGTAGTCAATCGTGAACCTATCCAAAACACCCTTTCGTCTTGGCTCACAATTTCTGATTTCGACCTGAAAACAACAAACACAAGAAACCATGAAGATCATCGCACCAACAATCCTTGCTCTAGCTTCTGCTCCTGCTGCTACAAATGCATGGAGTACGATCTACTTCCCAGTTCCATCTGCCAACACCATGATGCGACGTAACCGTGCCTTGGCCAACCAGTTCGTCCAAGAGACACAGCTCGCTTCTCCTCGCTACGAGCTCATCGACAATGAAGACAAGTTTCAACTATCTGTGGATGTTCCAGGAGTCAAGATGGAAGACATTGATGTGAGCTTGGAAGATGGACATTTGACCGTTAGCGGGCATCGTTTGTCTTCGAGCGACAACTCTCGCTTCGCTTCCAAGTTTTCCCAAACCTTTTCTTTGGATCCAGCGGTGGATGTGGACCAATTTAGTGCCAGCTTGGACAACGGGGTCCTAGTCGTGGCGGCACCAAAGGACATGAAGAGAATCGAGGAGAACATTAAGAAGATTCCAGTAATGCAAGGAAGAAGCGAGGCGGCGATCGAAGATACTGCGGAGGTTGAGGAGACATCTCCTCTAGCTGCCGAGGATACTTTGTTGGATCTTGACACGACTGGCGTGGAAGCATCAAGTGGCGACAAGGTCCTTGAGACTGAATCAGCGTAGTCTTCGAAGCTACAATCCTACATTCCTGAATGTGATGGAATGGTGCTCTGGATGACGAAATAAAACATAGATTAAGAACCAACTAATTACCGTACTTCCTTGACTGTTTGGAATAAAAAAAGTAAAATAGTTTTCGATGATTTGTCGTGAATGAACCGCTTTGGTGGCACGGTACACGTACATACACAATGAACACGTCATCGTGAGAAGCTTGGTGGCGGAGTCACGTAAAATTCTCTTCACACGATCTCTTCGCCGGTCGGCAATTCAAACAAGACCACAACTTTTCCAGAGTGGGCAGTTGAAAACGAATAACTGTGCCTTCCATTTCAGTTCTTGCTTTGGAAAACATGAGACCGAAAGAAGCGAGACAATACATTGAAAGCTTTTTACAGCAGTGGCGGCCTGTATTTGGCTGTGGCGATGTGGATGATGCAGAGTCGTCGACATCGGATTTGGTACTTCGGAAGAACAGTGGAAATAATCCCAGACGTAAAACCACCAAGAAGAATACCCAAAAATGGCTACGTCAGGTTTCAAACAAGTTAATGGAGCAAACTAAAATTGAAAGAAACAACACAGACTCGACCAGTGACTCGCACAGTGCTGAACCCAGTATTCCAAGCACCATCGAGACAAGTACAAAAATTCAAAGTCTTTCCCAGGCGAACCTGATCAATGATTCTCAAATCAACGAACCTATTCCAGCTGCCGTTGAAACTACAAGTATTGGTAGTCTTACGAACACCGACGTGACAGGAGACTCCCAATTCGAAGAGACGATGATTCGATCTCCCGTCAAGCCTACACAACGTGCATGCAGTTTCGAAAATAACGGCTTGCCAAGAAGTCAGATCCAAAGCGATGAACCTGCACTAGCTACCATTGAAAACACTCGCCGTGTTCAAAGTCTTCCAAATGCTTCCACTCATAACAATAGGCCGTTACGACGCCAGAAACGCAATCCCGAAAGAGAAGCGTTTTTCAAAGTAAGAGTCTACGATCTTGGTTACAGTGGTGATGATGACATCCTAGCTCTGTCTACAATTGGTGGCGACACTCAACAAGCCGACGATAACAAGGGTTGGCCAAATGATTTCTACAAGCCCAAGAATTAGGCTCCTGCTCCGATGACAATAGTGACGATGGCGGCAAGTCGTTGCTTCTAGTGTATGTTACATGAGTCAGAATCAATCCAAGATTGTAGGTTTCCTTGAAACGCTTCCGGCATGAGTGAATGTTGCCGCTCAGTCTAATTTTTCTCAGATACTGTATGTTCCGTGGTGTACGCGTACGGATAGCTTGGTGAATGATCGGAAGGTTGGGCGCAGGTCGTTGTTGCGCCAAGCAAACCAGGAGGGCAGATGAAGCTTTGCAAGAACTTGGAGTGCCAGTTGAATGAATGAATTAATCGCCTGGGATTCTTTAGAAGAAAAGGGAGGAGTTTGCCTTTGTTACTAGGCTGTGATGCATTCTTGGCCGTAAAGGAATAGCTGTTGTTTTTGGAGTGCGACCTATCTAGACCTATCTAGATCGATCGCAAAAGCGCGCACGATCTTAGTTGTAGAATTTGAATAGTTTAGACCACCGAATTGAATTACCACAAGTGGGTGAATTCAATCTCAGTCGATAAACTGTGCATCATTGCCTCGGCGCATCGACAACAACTTTTGACGGTCGAAGGCCGTTCGGCCTTTGTCCGTCTGTAACACAATGTAGTCAAAGAGATCGAACAGTGTGCCTGCGGTCTACATACTCGTACACGTACGTTGGAAAACACGTACACATAAAATTGTCGAATTAGCACAGGCACCAAAATGAAAATACGACAAGATGCATTGCACCAGCGCACCAACAATAACGGTGGATATGGCCGCATCGTTTCTTTGTTCATTGGTTATCGAGTGACGAGTGACGGTAGCGCATCACCTAGAGGAAACAATGGGGAAGAAGAGTAGAAAGAAAAGCTGCAATAGTGCCGCTACTACTTCTGGCAATGCAGATTTGTCATCTTCAGTGGAATCGGCTATCCAAAATCTTGTAGCAGAAACAACGCCGCAGCAGGGCTGGGCTTCTGAACTCAAGGCCGCCGAGAAAGCATACAAGAGGAAACCAAATGATGTTGATGTAATCTTACGGCTTCTGAAATGCTTGCTTGTCATGAGACACTGGGAAAAAGGCACCCAAGTTACAAAAGACGTTAGGACTTTTGTTGTGAAAAATGAAAACACGACCGACGATAAGAAACGCAAGTTCCTGGAGCTGAGCCAGCAACTCCAACAAATAAAACCTCGAAGGCCCATGTCAAACGACGATAAAGATTTTTGTCGGCAGGTGTTTGGCGGGACCTCGCCTGACAATTGCTTGCATCCGCAAGATTCATTTTGCAACCTAGGTCCACTTCATTATGCAGCATTGAGTGGTGAGGTAGAGTACTTTGAGCGCCTTGTGGCACTTGGGGCATCGATTGACTATCCACCCTTGCCTATCGAAAAAGTGCGACTTCAGCTATCTCCACAGGATCTGAGAAATAAAACAGTTGCACCTAAATCTTGGACCGCTCTGCTCCTCGTATGTTCAACTTTGGCAATGGGCGCACGTGTCCCTCTGAGGCACTTGAAGAAACAACTAGAAAATCATGTCGAGATTGCGATTCAATTGGTAAAACTTGGAGCCGATACATCTGCAGTGCTTGGCGCTGATGAAGAGCAACTCCACCAGTCGATATTCAGTCCTTACCGACAACTTGGAGTACTTGGGAAAACTGCGTTCGAATTGGCAAAGATGTCGAAAAGGAAGGAACTTGTTGATGCAATGATAGAATTCCAGAATCAAGACCTACTAAAGGAAAAGGTACAATGTCGATGTGGGTCAAGACTTCCCTTGAAAACGTGTCATGGGTGTGATTTTGACGAAGAAAGGCATCTTATGAGAGAGGATGATTGCGGTCGTTTGTATTTTCGCTATTCGCCGTTGGCGCCATGTCCTTGCAACCAAACAAAGAAAACACACTACGATTGCTGCTGGGACGGAGCCACAATGCGCTTCAACAACGACCGTACAGCCGAACTATTTGGACATCACAAGATTCACAATACAACGGAAACAAGCCTCATGTTCAATGACCTAATGAAGAGAAAACTAGGCATTGAAGATGATGGTCCTGATTTGAGTGGCGTGCTCGTGGGAACTGGTGACATGAGTTCCGAAGTGACGACGAAACTTGCAGACAGATTTCGAACTGAAGCGGGGGCAGCTAAATTCCACAATGTATTCAACATGCTCCCGAAAAATCGCAGGTTCGATCCTCAGGTCTACGCCGGCTGCTTGGAACGAATCTCCAATTGCTTCTTCTGGCGAGATGACCATTGGAAAATTGATAAACCAGAGCTCTTGGTGCGAGTGAAAGAATGGAATCAAGCTTTGGAGCAGTACTGTGATGATGAAGGATTGACATCGCAGCAGCGCGAAAACGTTATTCGTCTGCACAAAGCTAGCCCCCTTGCCCCTTGTGGTAATCCTGGTTGCAGTCTAGTCGAAACAAAAGTTAAAGAGTTCCAGCGATGTGGTAGATGCAGAACGATAAGCTATTGCTCTAGAAACTGCCAAGGAAAGCACTGGAAAGCTGGTCACAAAAAGGAATGCTTCATTTGAGGACACGAATGCATGGAATTAGAAATGGGTCTGATCAAAAAGTGCGCGTTGCCATTCATTTGAATGAAAGCATGCTACACCGGTCATCTTTTGCATAGCCCAGTATCGACGCACCAGGTATCTCCATTCCGAGTCTAGACTGAAATGAAAGTTTTGCCTTGGAAGAAGGTCTATTTGCTGTTCGGTGACCAAATCATAGTCTAATAGTTTCATCTACTTTAAACATTGTCCTTCACAAATCGTACAAGGGAGAGTAGGCATGTCAAATGTCTCTCTCTGCCGCCCATGTTCAATCGGGTAGTGATAAGAGTTGCAGGCTCTCCCTTGGCTGCATGTTGGCAGCACCAGGAAGTCCAATACTTCTGCTTCGTTTATTTGATTCGCTGGACGTTTTCTTCTTACGGAAAATTCTAAATCTCTTCTTCTTTTTCTTTTTGGTCGTTGGACTTACTATCGGACTTCCTATCGGAATAGAATCAACCTCATTCGTCGGAGTCAAGAAAGCTGATAATTCGTCTCCAACCTTTTCTTCTACGTGGTCGTTGGCGATGATATCGTGGATGTTGGTATAGAATGTTTTTGAGTTTTCTTCCTCGTGATCCAACGTGCTCAGCCCAGATGGTTCTGACCATTCTCTAGTCTCGGCAATTGAAGTAAGCTTTGTTCTTTTCATTGTTTGTTTTACGAATCTGGAGAGGACATTCTCCTTCGTGAATGTTTTGGCCATCTTCATGTCCTCTGCATACTCGATCTCTCCCGCAACCGCCTCTATAGCTTGCCCATCCTCACCTTCACGAAGCCACATCAGGTCATTGGAGATGGCTTTGTTGTCCGCAACGCGTTTTGCAGCAGCACGGCAGCACCGCACAATGTTATTGTTGCCATATCCAGCATAAAAGCGGGGATAGAAATCAATGTGGGCCCGCAGTAGCTGGTTTGCCTTGCGTGGCCTAGTTTTACTAACCTCCCGCAGCCAATTGTGGTCATCCCCGAACATGAATGCATGATTCTTTCGGATAGAAAAGTCGTCGACGAGGGGAAGGACGCCAATTCCTTCCGCCTGTAAAAAGAAGAGAATTCTAGAATTAGATTCCATGCAAGACGATTAACAAGCAGCGCAATCTTGTTGCCATTACCTCTTGTATAAAAAGCTTGAGCTGCATAATTTCATGGTAGAAATCCAGCTGCGGGTTTTTTGTGCCTTGATACTCTGCCTCCTGCGTCATCATGAGGCGCATTACGGTCCGCTTGAACATCTTGGGAATTGGTTTGAGGAGAAAGTTGTCTACCATAACCTAGAGCGGCCAAAGCAAGAAAAGTCATCATTATTTGGGTCAGTCGAGGGGAAACCATCAAGCAGTATATAAACTCACATCCTTCATCCAAACGGAAAATGGTAGATATCTCAATCTCGGAGTCACAGTAATGTCTTGCGAATAATTCATACAACTTGGCGCTAAACTTCCTGGTAGTGGCAGTTCTTCACCTTGGTACCGTGCACAAAGCCGATTCCATCGGCTAATGAATTCAATAGCGGTAGGATGGGTATCGGATACTGGTGTATTTTCCAACATGATTTTGACCATTCCTTCTGGCAGTTTCTTCCGACTGATGAGCGAATACAGATGACCTAAACCTATTGCAGTATTGTAGTCTCTTGATAAGCCCGACAACATGTGATTGTGAAGGGCTTCCCACATTTTCGAGCAGTACTTAGGATCCCAACCACTTATCAATGGATGACCGAATGTTTGCATCATGGCCATCTCAACTTCCATCACCGAAACCAATTCGTTCACACGAACTAGACGCTCCTTGATTCCCAGATTCTTGATCAATGCAATTAGTGCATGTCGACAATAAGGGATGGCAAGCATACTGAATGGATAATCAAACGCGTCGATCCCATAGCCTTCTTCGTGTGTTGGGCACGGTTTGCCGGTAGTAACTTCATGAATCTCTCTAGCTGCCTTGCACATTTTCTCAAGGTTGAACTTTTCACATAGGTGCACATTTCCTAGCCGCACCAGATTTGTCGCGGTGAGCGTACTACAAGCATGTCCCACCTGTGCTCCAACGGTGCACATGGCAGCCCACACACCATCAGCCCCGTTAGCCATGCAAGCTAGAGTAGACGCTTCAGCCATTCCAAAGTATTTGTGAACATGTACCAAGAATTTACCATCGTGGTGCCCAACTTTGCCCATAGTGTACTTGATCATTCGAGTAAATTTTCCAACCTCGTCGGGCATTAGCCAGCAGGTTGGATCTTCCATACCATATGCAAAAGGCCGTTGCTCAGGAGGGAGACTGGATAATTTGTATATCGTGAACATGGCCTTTTGGAGTCCGCCATTCCCAACAGAATTTTTCCACATTGGAAAATCCGTAAAATTGATCATGCACCTGGCAGTTGCCATGTCTCCATTGTCGTCTTTATGTTTGGGCAAGTTGTGTTTGCACCATTGCATCAAGAACTGCAACCGTTCGATATTGTCAAATTTATCGTGTGGAAAAGCCTCATATACAATCTCTACTTCAATAATAGCATTGGAAATGCCATATCCAGCCATCATGAGCAATCCCATGGGAATACGACCGCTCTTGTGCTCGCTCTCCTTTAAGACAGCTTCTGGGTTTCTGCCAGCGAAGGCTCCTTCTGGTGGAAAGTCCCTAAAAGCCTTTTCGAAAAGTTGTAAATCATCTTTGGAATACGTCAAGAGAGGTTCCTTCCATGGTACCATGAAATCTTCGTTCCCAGGAATGGCCTTCTTGTTATCCAAATTGTTTACAAATTTCATGTAAGAACGAACGACGGGGGGCTCATCGATCGGGGTAAAGTCATACAAAAACGAAAAGCCCCAAGTGCGGTCGAAGCTCTTCCCCAACGATCTCCATTTGGCGGCTGTTTGCGAATCGACCGAGATTTTGCTACCAAAGGCTCCCAAAATGACTTCTTCCAGGCCACTTTCGGCAATTGAATCTAAAATTTTGTGTTTCGAATCTAATGTGTGTCCTCGTGTGGCCCCGACAGTCGTTTCCCTCAAGGAATTGTCGAGAACAAAGAAGTCGCGGACTTCACACAAACTTTCTCTGCCCAATGGTCGGACTGCCGCTGGATTCTTCAACCAGATATCGCTCATTTTCTTTTCGGCAGTATCAAATTCGTCAATCATATTGTCATAGACCAGTTGAAAGTCTTTTTCCTCTGGCGGCGCCTCGTATTGCAATTTATTGACACGAAAGGTCCAGTCCCCAGTTCTCGTGGAAAGTGACAAAAGACGTTGAAGCTCTTGATACAATCGAACTCCAGCCTGCTGCTCTTCCACCGTCAGTTCGGATTCGTTTTCATAGGATTTTAGTAAACTGGTGCAATGCTTCAAGGAAGCCACCAGTTTGGATTGCGTCAGAAGCTTCCTCGCCATACTGTGGCGTGGTGGTTGACGCTAGTTTTATCTCGGAGAAAAAAATGGCAAAAGTATTCTTTCAGGAGGATATGTGTCCGCTGCGTGATAAGTTGAGTGAGTTTGGGAGCCTCGCAACTGTGATCATTTTGACTTTGCTCTGTGCAGTTTTCGTGGCAACGATACAAGGCGGAGAACTGTAGTCATGTTTTTAAATGTTTAATTTTTCCTATCCACCTCTTGGAATTTGAATACCGCAAAATATGCCACCATTAATTGGAATACCACCAGCGAAGTTACTTTAAAAAATAATTTTAAAAGGCTCTCGTCCAAGAACATACTTTTATGGCGGAGTTGACATCTCTTTTATATAATATACGGCATGCACTATTTCATGGTCCACGTACACTTACCGTACATACTGTAAGGAATCATTTCTTGACTCCTCCTCTTGTCCACCAAACTCCATAATATGTACAGTCTTGAGGATCAGAAGCTACCTAGATACCAAGGTCTCTCAAAGATCTACATTACAATTGAGGCAGGAGACTCCCGGTTTAGTCAAAGAGGTCATACATCAGTCTGCCCACCCATGCGTGCGATTCCGCGTGCGTTTCGTGACGCGTTGCAGAAGAAAGATCTCAAACATGAAACGACGAAGGACCATCCAACGAGAGGATAGGTACAAAGGATCCATTCCAGTTGTTGCAACCAAGAATGAATCGCGACAACGGCACACCAAAGCCAACAAGTTGAATACCTTACTCTGTCGCGCCATGTCAAGTCCTACACTTCCATCCGAAATGACTTATTCGCCAAGAAACCAAGCGAGTTTTGTGGTAGCCTTCCTCTCGACAATACTGTATTTGGTGTTGCTGATTGCTGGCGCCAGAGAAGTTTGGACGTATCCTGTCGTTATCGGAGGAATGATCTGCTGGATACTCTTGGAAGATGAACCAAACAGCTTGACTACTAAAAGAAGGTCACCAGTCATCAGTCGGTTGTATCAGTGCCTGACGTGTAGCCAACGACAATCCCGAGCCACGATGTTTCACAAGGACATCCATCACCGACTAGTCAAAACGACGTGGATATTTATTGTGGTTCCTTGTGTTACATTTTTTGCCATCCGTGCCATCAAGCATATTGGCAGTGCCCACAAGAAGAAGGCCAATGACTTCGGTTTTTTAGCAGTAGTGGCCATGAGTTACTTTCTGATACCAGTCTCAAGACAATCCGTCATTGTGGAAGCATTGGGAATTGGAAGTGCCCATGCCACTCGATTACACGTTTGGGCCGGAGTCCTTGCACTGTTTGGGGGCCTTACCCATGGTCTGTATTACTGTTGGCTGTGGTTCCTTCACGAAAACAAGAGTCTGGAGGAAATTGTTCCTTTTCCCAGCGACACATGCTGGACGTGGGACTATGGTTCCTCTTGTCACAAGAAATTCGTCAACTTGCTTGGCTTCCTATGTGGAACTGCATTCTTAATACTGGGAGCCACCAGTCTTTGGGTTGTGCGCCGACGATTTTTTCGGGTCTTCTACTTTTGCCACATTGGATCCTCCTTCATTCTCATGTTTGCGTTGGTTATGCATTACAACAAAATGATCTTGTACCTTGCACCAAGTTTGATCTACTACTTGGCATCGAATGTGCCTCAATGTGTGGAATGGATATCAAAGTGGATAAATGGTGGTAACGCGATTGCCAGCTTTATCGAGATCCCGGATTCTGGTGGCTGTGTGGAGCTTTCGCTTCGAATGCCGGATCAAACATCATCCAGCTTGTGTGGAAGATATATTCGTTTGGCAGTACCTTCCATCTCAGCAATAAGTCATCCGTTTAGTTCCTTTGTACATGTTGGCTATCCGGGAGAATTGAAGGTCATATTTCGTTCTCATGGGCCTTTTACCAAAACGTTATCAAAGAAGTTGTCTAATGCTTCGAGCGTCGATTCGATATCTTATCCTAGCGTTGTAGTGAATGGTGTGCGATCAGGAACGAACCAATGGAAACATGCAATACAGCAGGACACTCTCGTTATTTTCGCGGGTGGCGTCGGGATTGTGACCTACATTTCATTGCTCTCGTTCATGGCGTCCTTGTCCAAATCGCACGATGAGCTGGAAAACGCGGAGGAAACATGCAGAGCGATTCACAAACGAAGGAATGTGTGCGTGCACTGGGCTTGTCGTGACGAAGGTCTGATCGATTACGTTGAGGAAAAGTACATTGATCCATTACAGGAGTTTTTCAGAGCTAGAACTTCGAACATCGAAATCAAGCTGGTAATTCATCACACATCGATCGCTCCACGAGAAGCAATGGTTGGGCAAAAAGGCAAATTTGGAGCTTCCGAAAGCGACTTCGCAAAATCTCAATTGCCTGTTGCATCATCCTTTGAAAGTGGTGATAGTATACCACGCAATTTTACTGCTGGAATCCCGTTTGGGCTGATTGGAATGGGAGGTATTGCTATCATTGCCTACTGCTATGAGAACATCCAAGAGAAACACGTTGCGGAGACAAGGATGATAGCAATTGTTGCAGCAATTCTTTGGTCGATTGCTGTGGCAACAGTTGTTTTTGTTGCCAATAGGCTTTCGACCTGTGTCCCATCGAAGGGCCTGTACTCAAAATTGAATAAAAACGCTGAAATTGAATGTACAGAGCTCGGGAAATCGCAATCAGACAAAAATTCCCGACCTGAAATTGCAGGTTTAGACAGAAGTGATGAGCTGGCTGACAGTGAAGAATCAGGCGAAAAATCGTGGATGACAGTGTTGCACAAGGAAGAACGTCCTGATCTGAAGGTTGCTATCCAGGAGGCTGCCGAAGATTCAATCGATGGAATTCAAAACCTAAGTGTCGGTGTATTTGTATGTGGCCCAACCTCATTGATCGATGCGGTCAGAACAACTGCTAACTCATTGAATGAAGGAAGAAACAGTGACTCAAAGATTGCGGTTGACGTCTATGACGAGATTTTTGAACTATAATTTCTGCGTCATTTTCACCAGAGCGAGGGATTAGAAGTAAGCTAATATAACAAGATGAATGGATAGGCGTCATGGATGATGATCAGAACAAGTCGGCTGCTACTCACTGTATCATTGTTAGCGCTCATCAGTCCGGATAAGACAACTATAGCCAAGAATGAAACCATTGCTATTGGATGGACAACTTTAACATTCTAATAATTTTACAAACATGTATTTTAATCGTAGGAGGACGCATAGTGGTGCTCCCAAGTGCCCGTTTCAGGATGATCAGCTGTTTAATGAAGCTCAGTTGGCTTGTCTTCTTCCTCATACATGGTTGGTGAGAAAACAGGTTGTCCACGCTTTTCCTTGTTTCGCTTGAAGCACAAAGCCAAAAGTGCAAGTCCAAAAAGGCCTCCGAACGTGGCTCCAAAAATAACTGCGAGTGTGGTATCTTCTTCCTTGATCACACCCCCGGTAGATGCATCGGTGCATGGCTCATATCCGTCGTAGTAGCTGGAGGTAGCGGTGTTCCAAAGTCCTCCGACATCAGCACAAGTGATTCCAAGATTAGCGTAAACAGATTCAAATGCTCTCTTAACAGCCATGTGATCGGTATTGGAGGCGCCGACCTTCATGTTTTCATAAATAGTCTTGGCCGCGTCTTGATTGGCGGCGTGAATGCGAGGAAGAACTGCGGCAGCAAAAGCAGCTCCCTCGGCTTCCGCCTTCTCGCCTTCGTTCAGGACACCAACCTTGTATGCATAACGCAAAGTTCCTTGGATCATTGGGATGTACATCAATTCGGTGACAAGCTTGGTAGTCTTTCGGGCAGCTGGACAGTTTCCAGTTTGGAGCTGGAATTTTCCGAGCGAGAACAAGTCAAAGAGTTCGTAGTTGAGGTTGGCAGTTCCATCAAGCTCTCCAGACTCGAGGCCGCAGGTCTTGAAGTCAGCACAACGCTTATCGGCGAGTTGGTGAAGAAGCTTTCCATCAGGTGTAAGACCGTCCTTTCCTTCGATAGATCCAGTATAGAAGCAAACTCCCTCGTCCCAGGCATGGACAGGATCATCGTTGCAGTCCATGCATCCACGCTTGCAGTCATCCAAAGCATCTTCGAATTCCCGGATCACGTACATGAAAATGTTCAAGTAAGCGGTTCCCTTCTTCACGGCTTCGACGCGACCATCAAAGCCGTATTTGGAAAAGTCAGCATTTCCATTCTTGAAGGTGGTGGACCCCCCATCAAGCGCAGCGTTGACCCATTCGTCGGCATAGTCGTCAGCGCCATAATAGTTGTAGAAGTAAGTGAAGTCAGTGTAAGGGCATCCTGGGCAATCCAAGCGCATCTTTTGACCAGCTTCGGTGGAGAATCCAGCGATGGTGCGACCATTCTTGTTATCAGAAGCAATGTTGTAAGTGTAAGCATATTGAGTTCCAGAAATATCGAAATCTCCTTCCGCAGCAAAGCATCCCTCAGTGTTGATGCTTTCGACGAGGCTGCCGACTTGGCATGCAACGTAGCTAGCTTGGATGTCTGTGGTTGCGTATTGGACCCAAATCTCCTTTGCTCCAGCATCGTAGGAATTGTATGCCTTTCCAGCAATTTCAATGCCATCGGTACTTTTTCCGGTGATTCTGGCTCCCTTGGCGAGAGGACCGACAAGGGCTGGTGTCAAGGTAACTCTTGCGTAAGATTTGGAGTTACCGCCGTTGTTGTAAACAGCCTTCGCAGATGAGAAAGCTTCATTGGTCTTCTTGGCGAGAAGAGTCTCGATTTCGGCTTGATCTCTGTCAATGGCGCAGTGGTCGGTCACCTAAAGAAAGAGTGTGATGGTCAGAACACGTTGCAAGAAATTGACGGCAACGACGATGACCAACATCGTCGTCGTTGTCGTTGATGGATTGTCAAGCTTACCTGACTTCCTGGAGCATATCCAGCAACCTTCTCGAACGAGAGGCGACGGCGAAGCGAGAGTGTGGACTCGGCAGTTGCCAAAGATAGAGCAGAAAGGGCAAAGACAGAAGTTCTCATCATGTACAGCAAGAATTATATGTTGTGCCAACAAAATCCGATGGCTGTGCCAAGAAAGAAAGATCTGCGGAAAGGATTACGTGCAGATCGCGTGTCGCTTGGATGTTCTGGCCATCAAATCTCGTAAAAGCGCGTGCTAAACATGAGAATTGGATGAAAAATTGATGGGATCCCTCCACGTGGAGGCTATGGGCTAGCAATTGCACGGGCCTCTGAAATTTTATTAATTTATCAAAGAAGTCATGATGTCACCTTTTCGTTGCGGTATCTCGCTCTCCCCTTGGAGTCTTATTTTATTCCATTTATTCATTCAGTGTGTCAGCGTTCAACTGGCGGGTGAGTGATGTGTGTCAGTGAGCGTTTCATCGTCCGTCCATCGTCCATGGGTCACGATTTGCTTGAGTGCCAATGCAAAAAGAACAAGGCCAAATTCTTTCAATTAAGGTCGTGAAAGGGAACGGTAATGTTCTCTTTCCATTAAAATTTCCGAATACTGTACAGTAGTTGTACTCACGAGAAATTGACGCTGACTTTTCACCAAAAACACACGCGGAGCGGCGTTTCTTTGTGCCCTGAAGCAAGGCTTTTGAGCACTCATTAACTTCCTCATCTCAATCTGCTTGGCGTACCCTGTTGCTGTTCCAATCCAAACAAAATATCATTACTATAGAAGATGAATCGCCCTCCCATAGTCCAGCAAGAAGGAACTACAAAAAAGGGTGAGGGTCTTGCTCAACTTGCTGCAATTGCAGATGTGGTTTCACGTCGAAGTACCGATGTGGTAGTCCCAGCTGGATCTGATCGAGTTGTTGAGAACCCTGCTGCTCCACCGATGAAGAGATCCATCGATAGTGGGGATGAAAACTCGGAACCTTTGAAGAAGAGGTTACGAGAAGAAGAGCCAGACACCGATGCAAACGGAAAGGTGATCCAATTTCGTCAGGTAAGCTCTTTCTAAGCTTTAGTTCGTTCGTGTGGGAGGAAGTAATGAAAACTATTGTTTCAACCAAACACAACCTAACCACTGCCTTTTCTTATTTTACTCTCGTATTACAATAGTACCAAGCCGAGATTTGGAGTGAAAAGTTTGAAGACTTGATTGAATTTCGCAAGATGTTTGGGCACTGTCATGTTCCACACTACTATCAACAGAATGCACCTTTGGCCCAGTGGGTCAAGCGACAAAGATACCAGTACAAATTGAAGGTAGACGGAAAACGCTCGACCTTGAGTGATGAACGTATCCGATTGCTAAATAAGATTGGTTTCATCTGGAATTCGCATGATGCCGTTTGGGAGGAAAGGTGGAATGAACTTGCAATATACAAACGACTTCACGGAGATTGTGTTGTACCTAGCAACTACGAAAAGAATCCCCAACTAGCAGTTTGGGTCAAACGTCAAAGACGTCAATATAAATTTTGGAACGAAAACAACCCTACCAGCATGACCAAAGAGCGTATTGACAAGTTGGAAAAGCTTGGCTTTGCATGGGACTGCCGGAAGAAGGACATTGGATCATTTCCAGAAAAGCGTGTGAATGATGAACCGCAAAATGTTGTCAGACCACCTTCCAATAATATCAATCTTTTTGGTCAACCTGTTGTTGGAATTCCAGCAAGTCTTCCATCGGGATACCCCAAATGCGAGTTTCTCTCCTTTAGCCGCAAGTTTCACTATGTTGGAAAAAAGTGAGAAGGCAGCACTGCCATTTTTTGTACTGTATTGTAGCCAACATTTTTCATATCTAAAGCATAGCAACTACTAATGTACTAGTCTATACCAAGTCACTTGTTGTTCTATAATGTAATTCATCTTCATCTCACTGCTTCAACTTTATCACTACTTTTCGTACCTGCTATGCTTTAGGTACCGGTACTTCATTCCACTATCGTATATCGATTCGCACGAACGTTCCAGCACCTACCTGAACCCGGAGAAATTCGACAAATTTGGCTCTTTTATCCGTTTATGGAAACTTCGTGATGTTCAAACAACTATTCAGGATGTTGAACATGAAAGTGAGGAAAACGCTTTCTCGGACAATTCTGCGGAGCCAAAATATTTTATCCGGTTTGATCTGATCGATCATCTGATCTTTTTTTCAACGAGCTGAAATAGCTTTGCATACAGCATGAGGTACATACGTCATTTGACATTGGGAGATTCCGAGAAGAGGAAAGGGATCAAATTCTTGGTAACGGCATTTTCAAAAACACAGGCGTATTGACAATTGACCATGGGAGGAGGGTCCATCGCGAAAGATCACCCCTTGGAATATCTCGGGGCTAGTGCGCTTTCTGCAACAATAAACTATCCACTGTGGCGGGCCAGTGCGATAGGTCAAAGTGGCTTTTCTGTTGCCAGGACTGGTATATTGGCCAATGTTCCTCCTTCAGTATCACCGTACATTCATGCCTTTGCCCCTCCCTATAAAGGCATGGGTGCCGTCATATTAGGAATGACTTGGGCAAGAGCTGCGATTTTCTGGGGATCGGATCGTGGCCGAGACTATCTGAAACAACAAGAAATAGTCAGTGATGGATGGGCAACAATCCTGCCTCCACTGGTCGTCAGCACGCTGGTGCAATGCGTCAACATGCCCATTGTCCGAGCCAGTATTACTCTTCAAAATCCTGAATGCAGCCTGCCTACAACGAACGCAGCGCTGAAGCACATTTATCAAAACCATGGAATCGCCGGTCTATGGCACGGTACCTCTGCGGGTATACTAAAGTCTGTGCCGAAATACTGCACTGCTATTTTGGTTAAGGATTACATGGAACATGCTCTACCAAAAGCAGATCCGTCGTCTCCCAATTACGACCGTGATCGGCTTCTTCGTTCGGCCGCCAAGTCTGCTACCGCTGGAGTCGCGGGGGCATTGTTGACAAATCCCCTAGATGTATTGAGGAATGAGATGTTTAAAACAAACAAGTCGCTCTTCGAAACTATCAAGCTACTACGTGCTGAAACGGGTTACAAGTTTATGACACGAGGTTTGGGCAAGAACATGATAGCGGTTGCGATACCAGTGGGCTGTACTATCTTTTTTACAGATGCTTTTATTCAATTCACGACGTCGTCGAGCCAGTAACGGTAGTCCCCAATTTTTGCTCCTGTTCCAACAGCAATTTTCTGTGATATGCTTCGCCCGTGAGGAGCTTATCTGCGCCACCTACGGCTTTCAAGAATGGGTCGTCCTCATCATCATCAGCATTGCTGTTTCCTACATGACCATCCTCTTCGATTCGACCCAAAGGATTATCACTGCTCTCCTGCAGAGGTCCTCCGTCTTCCGAGGGATCATCCGAATGAGATGAGCTTTTAGAAGAATTAGCTTTCTCCTCTTTGAGTAGCTGTCGTTCCAATGCTTTCCTTTCTCGTAGTTTCATTCGAGTCAAAGATGCGATTATTTCTTCGTCATCTTCATCCTCTTCATTCTCATCTGGGAGAGCAATCTCTTTTACACACATGGCACATGCCCGACACGTTGGTCTCGTTTCCTCTCGTTCTTCTTCGGGCAAGGTTGCCAAGTGTTCTTCAATTATTTCTTTGGCTTTGTCCGAGGTCTTGGTGCAGGATGCGCATATTGTATGGTAAGCAGCTTTCACATTTCGCTTGGGACAACCATTGCACTTTCCTGGTTGCGTTCGAGGCTTGTACTTGCGATATTGCTTGCGCCATTCGATTTTATCGTGACATCGACGACAGACATGCTCGTTCGGAAAATTCATAATTTTGTCCGTCTTTTTGCTCTTTGGGTTATGCTTGAAGGCGAATGTGTTTTGATGCTTTGGGGCATGGCCCTTTTTCTTCGTTTTCTGATTGTGGATGTTAGTTTGTGGCATGATGCTACAGTACTGCCTTGTCTTCGCTGTTTTGCTGAAGAATGAACGGAGACTTGATCGTATTGAAATGGGAAAAAAGAAAAAGCATCAGTCTTGGAGTTTTGTTGGTGACGCACGATCGTCGCGCGCGAAAATACGACTCGCCCGAACAACACTCTTAGTCAGAAACAACACCGATAGTTTCACTTTATCACAACCCTCACCTGTGTAACAGTTCTGTGTTCTCGGGTTTTTGCCATCACCTCTGTCGTCATTGCAAGCATATCATAAGAGAGATAATATGGTCAAGGGTCGTCAAGGTCTTTATTTGGAGGCGTGGAAGTTCTCTGTCTATCTCGCTATCCCAATCGTAGCTTCTGTGTACTATAGCGACCCAGAAACCCAGCGATACTGGGCCGACTACTGGTAAGTGACATTGGAAAGTAGCAATAGATCACCACAAAGGACCAAGAAGATGAACGAAAGTAAAACCTCGTTCTAATTTCATTTCGCGAATTCTGTGGTCCTCATTATTTCTCAAACTTACAGGCAATACATCAAATATCCTGAAAATCCCAACACGAACGTGAAGGAAAAGATTCAGGAGCTAGCAAAGGAAAAGGAGCAAACTAGACAACAAAGGATGGCCTATAAAGAGCAATTGCGGAGTTTGCAAGAAGCGGCAAATCGCACTCAAACATATTCCGAGGAAACTTCGAATGATGCCTCGTGGTGGAGAAGGGCTGGCAGATGGATCGGCGGCGGATCAACGGAGCAATAAGCACATTTTTAATGTAGACAGTGAATGTTGGCAACCGGTTCATTGCTTCGAATTCTGCAGTGGGCAGTTATTCTAGCTAGTTAATATAATATATAATACATCAGTCTAAAATTTGAAGCTGCAAATCATCGGAAATGGCGAGTTGCAATTGAATATCTCCGACATCGTTCTCCGCGAATCCTGTCACTAAAATGTGGTAAAGTTCTCCAGCCGTGGCGTTCCAAGATACAAGACTGCGACGCCCGCAAACTTGCTCATAGTCATCGTTCGAAGCAATACAATTCAAGGAGTCGCAGGATCCCGAGAACACTTGAAGCACTGTGTCAAAGTTACTGGTGCCTTGATTACAGAGCGACGCAATGAGTAGGGAGTCCTCTTGAACCATCCCCGAATACCAGACTCCTGGTGATTGTCTAGTGCCCTCACCAATATCACACTGACTACTCCCATCAAATCTAGCGCCAACAGTAGTACCGTTCACCAACGAAGGGAAGGATACGATTTGCGCTGTAGTACAAAAGTCATTCTCCACTTCAATGCCACCTTCCTCAATGGTCAAATTGAATCTACCAGCAGCATCGTCAGCCTCGCTACCATGGACTACCACGTAGTATGTCTCGCCAAGCACAGAAGGCCAATAAGAAAGAGATCGCACACCGTCACAGCTAACCGACGTGTAGTCGACACACGTCAACGACTCGCAACTTCCAGTGAGGATGGACACACCAGACAAGTAATTGGTCCCATGGTTGCAAGTAGATGCCGTTAGATTGCGGCCTGTTCCGTCCACGGTGAAAAAAACAGATGGTGATGATATGACAGAGGCAACGTCGCCACATTGCGTCAAGTCACCAGAGGTTGCATTCAGCGTGGAACCCAAAACAGACCCTCCAACTGGAATGGGAATGGCACGACCGCAGGTGTCTGGTCCTTCGAGTATGGTCTCACTTATCTGCAAACGGAAATCACTCGGTTCGGACGTCTGAACGAACAAATAATACTCGACATTTGCATCGGAGAGCCACTGACTGATGGTTGCTTTGCTCTCAGCGTCACAAAACTCGGTAAAGTCGACGCACTCCAAATCATCACAACCATTGGACTTGGAAGCGAAAACTGAGACCTGGGCTTTTGCCCCTCGGCCAGACACGCAGGTTGTTTCGACATCAAACTCCACAGAAGTAGAAACTAGATTGCTTCCAGCTCTCCCAACAACGTACCATATCCCACTGGAGTCGCCGGAGCCGATAATCTTGGGACATTGGATTGGGACAACACGACAGCTATTGGCTGTGGTTCCAAAGACTTCTGTACCATCAATGCGAATGGGAACCGACTCTTCACACACGACGTTACTTGGCGTTGTAACGATTTCCAAGAGAAAGTCTCCAGTAGAATCTGGTTTGACACCATTCAAGGCAAGGTGATAATCGGCACCGAGGTCTGCCCTCCACACTACATCCTCGGTACGCCCTGACCATGGATCATCGCTTTTGGATGAACTCGAAACACAACTTAGATCACTACAAATCCCCGAATAAACGGAGAGCTGAACCGCGTATTCCACGCTTACAGGATCATCGGTGCTAGCACGGGCACATTTGTACGCTCCGTCACCCTCGATCTGATACCATGAAGCAGGAGAAATGGAAGAATTTCCATCGCAAGTAGTGGAGCTTTCGTCGAGCGATTGATTTCTGGTGGATCCAAATACTGGACTATCAGCCGTTTCAATGGCATCTGCAGCCTTGCAGTTTTCATGGTTGGTCAATTTGTCAATAGATAACGAAAACCGACCAAGTGACGCCCGGAAACCTCGAACTAGGACAAAATAACGCTTGCCTTCTTCGGCTAGCCATCCAACAGCGCCATGGTTGTCACAGAGCTGATCCCCACCACCGATACAAATGAGATTGTCACATGAACCCTCAAAAACCAGAACCTGGGTGTCCATCTGAGGATCCAAGTTGGAAGTGTCACAGGTACTCGCACTAATACGTTCTCCATTTCCCTCCAAATAGTACCACAGGCCAAATCCGTCGTCGGCTTCGATCTGACAACCAACGACATCCGTCTCTTCAAATGCTAGAATAACACCTTCAATTGACCCGCCCGTAAAATTCGTCACTGGTCCAAAGGCATCCCTGCAAATGTTGTTGATGGGAACAATGGGGGCATCATCGCCACTTCTAGTCAAAACCACTGATAAAACAATTACAAGTATCAAGAAAGAAAGAGTCAAAAAAACGATACACTGTCTTCGTCTGGTCCTGAGATTTGCCTCCTCATCGTCATCCTCGATTATAGTAGCTTCTCCAATTACAGCCCCGCTGATGAACTGCTGTTGGACTTCGGCCTCCGCTTCCCTACGCACTCGTTGCTTTTGTTCTTCAGAAACCAAGGTATGCTCGTCGGTAACCAATTGTGCCGAAAGCTCTCTGTGAAGTTGTCGATCCGAGGCTTGTTCTCGATTACGGGACGCCGATCCGCCGCTCATTTCTCTCATACCTACCTCTTCATAAGGGGTTGGAAGTGGAGGTGCAGCAGACGGTTGTACCGATCCTCTTGCCGTCTTTCTCGTGACTCGTAAATCGTCCGAAGCGGTACTCGTTACGCTACCAGCGACCGAAGGGGTTACCGAATTTCTCATAATTTTTCGCTGCACCCGTGAATCGTCGGTGCTTGATTCTGTTACAGAAGATCTGCCGTTAGTAGAAACAGACGAACGGCCAGAGGATGCAGTGGAAGCTTGAGCTGATTTTCTAGCGATTCGCGGATCTTCCGATTGTCCTCTTTCCATTACGGATCCTGGGGCAACCGCAACCGACTTGGAACCAGTTTGACGAGAAGACGTTGCCGAAACTTGAACAGCTCCTGGTTGTTGCTTGTTGTCGTCCTTAGTCTTGTTTGTCGAGGTAGAGTGCCGTTCCATCTTTCGAGACTCACGATCAGTATTACCACCATCCCGAACGAGCACAGCACCTGGTGCGATTGCAGGTTGATGAGAGAGCCGGGCTCGATCCTTGGCATCGCGTTCCGAATTTTGTCTTGTTGGTGCTTTTGGAATATTGTCAAACTTGTTGCTATTGGATGCATTCAGCTCTTTATCATCGGCTTCTTCCTCTTCACTTTTGTTCGAGTCAATGTCTGATGCTGCTGCTTCTTCCTTTGATTGGTTCGCTTCGTCCGCCATGTTGGTATGCTCCTTGTTGTGGTAGAGTCATTGAAGAGTGAACCATTGCTTGATTTTGGGGTTAGTTCCCCGATCTTTCGATTACGCAACCACAATCGATAAGTGGAAAAACGGTACTCAGTACCTACAATCTGCAATGCTACAGTAGAATACTACTGTACGGTACCGCATTGAGGTCCTACAGTAATGATCAGTATCGCTCGAAACGACAAGGCGAGATAGTGCAAGAGCAAAAGAGTTTACCAAGGGGGCTAAGAGACTTGGTGCCCTAGTATTCAGCATGTGCATAATGAAACGCAAGATGCAAAGACGGCACGCCTTATGATGAATTTGCCACAACAAAGTTGAAGGCCATTGAGTCAAATCTACCATTCCTAGTACTAGGTAGACAGCATAACAATTGAGGATAATAATAAATGCTTCAGACATAGATAGCACTAGTGTTGAACACGACAGGCCCAGGGTTCGTCCGACGGAGATGAAATGTGTTCAGCTTAAATCCCTTGGTAGCAAAAGATAAATCAGCCAAGAATGATCTTCTTCATAACGTCAATTCCATATCTCGATGGGGCACTCCACCCGCCGCCATGTATTCTTCTCCTGGAACCAATCCAAAGCCCATACTTTCATAGAATTTTAGAGCGTGGGTCTGGGCCCCCAATTGCGCCTTGTTTCCTGTCCCCAGTATCCGTCTTAGTTCCTGAATAGAGTGTTCCATAATTTTCCGTCCAATGCCTTTTCGCCGATGGGAATTCAGCACGCAGACGCGGCCAATCTTCCCCGTCTTGGTATCCTCCGACACTACCAATCGTGCCGCCCCACACGGTTGACCTTGATAGGTTGCCAAAATGTGCAAGGCAGTCTCATCGTACGAGTCCATTTCAATTTCAATTGGAACATTTTGTTCTTGAATAAAAACTTGATTGCGCATGGCGTAGCATTTCTCAATGTCTGTTTCAGCTGCCGTCAAAGATCGGACTTGGATGTTCTCGTCGTTGGATGCTGCTGCAGCAGAACTCTCATCTTGACCCGCTTTCGACGACTGCATCGGTAGCGGCAATGTGGATGGTGGAGTTGACGTTGACGTTAACTTTGAAGATAAAGGAACAAGATTTAGCGACCTGACGACAGGAACGAACAGTAGTGACAATATTAATACCGGTAGGAGGGTGAATCTGCACATCTTTGGTTCTTCGGTTTTGGAGACGCAAAACGACGAAAATGCAGTAAAAGCTGTTCTAGCTCCATTCTTTTAGCTCCTACTGGACTGTACGACGTTTTTTAGACGGGTCGTGTGGTCGTGCGAACATTATGTGCATCACTTACCCAAGCAAGATTGAAGATCTTCTCATGCATTCATCCATTCGTTCATCAACTAACTCAGAACTCAAGAGTAACTCCAGCAATACTGTATGTCGCAACCTTTTCTAGCCATGGCGGGCAAAGACCAACCCAAGGAAATCAAAGAAATAATGAAGAATGCCAAGGGGGATCGAAGGTCAACTGGCGTTGTTAGAGCTTCGAATCGAACCGCCGAACGTAAACCTCGTCATCAACTACGCAAGAAGGGACAGATGGTAAATGGCGACAATTTTGATTTCAGTCAAGGTAGCAGCTCCTCGTTTGACGATGCCGAAGAAACATCATCACCCCTGCCCGGAGCGGTACGGGTCGTTCAAGGTGGGCAATTACTTCCATTGAATAAAGATGATGATGAGGATGAGGATGATAAATGGAACGAACGAAGTGGAAGCATCCATACTCTCCCAACTGCAGTACCGCAGACCGCCGATTTATCCAACGAAGAAGCCCTTCAAATCCGTACGGAGGCGGAACGAGAAGCTGCCAAACAGTTTTTGGCCAATATTGCAACTGCAGAAGAGCAAACAGACGACGACAAGGAGGGTGAAGACAAGAAGTCAAACAAGAACAGGTTGGGAATGTATGCTTTGGTATTTGTCGTAGTGGTCGTGGGGGTGGCCGTATTGAGTGTGACTTTAACATCCAAGAAAGATACAGAGGACCAAAATATACGGATAACCCCACCTCCACCGGTAACGTTGGCACCGACCGTCTTTGTGAATACAACACTTTCTAGTGATTTTTGTGACGAGGCATTGGAACTCGAGATGGATAGCTTTGTCATTGGAACTACAGCTGATGCTACTCTTGATGACAATGTTGCTGCCTGTGGAGAAATTAGACGCAACGGTATTGGGACTTGGTACTACATGGAAGGTGTTGGAAAACGAATCAGTCTATCGACTTGCAATGGAACTAGTTTTGATACGCAAATATCCGTCTTTTCGGGGTCCAGCTGCGATGGAGGCTTAAAGTGTGTGGCTGGAAATGATCAACGGACCAATTGTGGCAGGGATGGAAGTCAACTCATCTTCAATTCGGAAGAGGGTGTCCGGTACTATATCATGGTTCACGGGATTCGGTCGTCGACGGGAGTCTTTACATTGACTGCCAAGGGAATGCACGACAACGAGTCGTGTGATACTGCCAACCGCATTGAAGACTTTGGAAGTGACGAGCTAGACCAAGTGACCTATTATGGTTCGACAGTTTTCTCCAAGGTGATTCCACAGAACCTCCCCGAATGTGGTCCCACCAGTTCCCCTGGACCAGGATCCTGGTATGTTTTCACGGCGAAGGACACTCGTTTCATTCAGGTTCGAGTCGATGATTTTGATGCCAACTTGATTTCGGTGTACGAAGGTGCAAACTGTGAATCTTTGACTTGTGTGGACACCAGTGAAGGGATTTCCATGTTCACCACCACCAAGGATGCAGACTATTATGTGTTTGTCCACGGAAAAGCAGAACAAGTTGGAGGCTTTGCTCTGACTATCACAGATGGAGGCCTATTACGCCCGGATGACGACGCTGCGAATGGAGAACCGAACTATACATGTGAAACGGCGGAAGATCTCAGTGATGGCTTGTATATGGACTTGTTTGCACGGCGAACCGGCTCCACCGTAAATGGTGTCGTCGCGACTGTTCCAAGTTGCGGCAACCTCGTGTTGAGTGATTCGAACGGTGTTTGGTACTCCTTCACCGGGGCATACAGAAGATTCCTGGTGTCCACCTGCGACACCGAGAGTGGATTCGACACTCGTCTATCTGTATTCACGGGTAGCTGTTCGCAACTACGATGTGTTGGTGGAGGAGATAATGGATGTGGCGATCACAGCTCGGTTTACTTTGGTGGTCAGTTTGGTGTGGAATATTTTGTGTTGGTTCATGGTACGGATAAAAAGGTGGGCGACTTCAACCTGACGGTCATTGAAGAAGCAATAGTCGAAGAATATGTTCCTATGCCTGGACCGGACGACCCAGATGCTCCAGGACCAACACCGCTTGATCCTTGTGACATGGCGGTCCACGTACCTCTGGACGGCGTGGCTCAGCTTGGGACGATACAGACAGCTCAAGTACAAGACGTGGGGTTGTGTACTGGCACGGATCTAGCTGCACCTTCTGTTTACTATTCCGTTCGAGGGACTGGAAATACGATGGTAGCATCTACTTGCAATGCGCTGGTACAAGACTTTGCTGCTGCTGGTGTTCAAGTTTATGGCGGAGAATGCGGCAACTTCTCGTGTATTGACGATATCACTATTGTACCGTGTGGGGCACAAATGTCGGCCATCTGGAAGTCTGAATTCAACCGAACATACCATATTCAGGTATATGCGTCTGGCGGGGGTAGCTTTTCGCTTAATGTGGAGGACACGGACGACAACTATGTCTGCGAAAATGCCTCTCCTGATTTGGAGATTGGTTCAACTATTCTTGGATCAACACTGGCATCAAGTCTGCTATATGACAACGCCTATTCGAATGCTGCTCCCAAGATCGGTGCTTGGTATCAAATTACTACTGACGTTGATGCTGAGCTTGCGCTTTCTACCTGCTCCATCATCACGAGTTTTAACAGCAGAATTTCAATATTTGGCGACTGTGAAAGCAACTTGAGCCTTGTCTCTACTTCTAGTTCAACGTGCGGAGATGGCAGTGCTCTTTCGTGGACTACTACTGCGGGAAAGACATATTTTGTTCAAGTCGCAGGAAATGGAGCAAAAGAGAGCGGGAACTTCGCTTTAACACTTGGACCTGCAAACAACTTTTGTGAATCAGCTCAAGATATTCAATTCAATGGAATGCTAGTTTCGGGGTCTACACGTAATGCAACAATCGACTCCGGGAAGCTGTCGTGTTTTGATTCCCAAGTCACAGTTGACGGGCCATCAGTATGGTACAAAGTAACTGGATCTGGCAGCTTGCTTCAAGCATCCACTTGCTCGGCAATCACAAACTTCGATGCGACAGTATCAGTTTTTGAAGGACAATGTGGTGCATTGTCTTGCATTGCTGCAGATAGTGATGGCTGTGAGTCACAGAGTTCGGCTAAGTGGTTCGCAGAAGCGGGAATGGAATACCATGTTCTTGTGCATGGTTTCGAAAGTGGCGATTTCACTCTCGTTGTTGATGAAGTGGGGAATTCCGCATGCTCCAATTCACTCTCAGTGGAAACAGATGGTTCGGTCACTGTATTGAAACCGACTTTGAACTCTACCTATTTCGATCCCTGTACATCGAAGTATGTAGAATCACAGCTGTCTTGGTTTGATGTCAAGGGGACTGGGAACCAAATCACTGTGGACGCATGCAATGGTGGATCCGGGAATCAGCTGGTATCAGTCTACGGGTCATCATGCAGCTCACTGCAATGTGAGGATAGTACCCTCGCAGCGAGTTGCAGTGTGACATTCGATTCTGTGTTTTATCGGGAATATCAAGTGGTCGTATCTGAGAAGCAAGGAAATTCCGTTCAACTATCGGTGAACTCTACCAACTATGCCTGCATAGACGCGTTTGGTCCTCTTCGAATTGGCGAAAGTGTTCTCGGTTCAACAGAAGCCGCACCAGTGGTTGCTGCTCAAAGCTGTGGGAACCTGTCGTCCAGAGGTTCCGGTGTGTGGTATTACTTCATTGGCGATGGCAAAACAGTGACCGCCTTTACTTGTAGTGATCAAACCGACTTTGACACCCAGATCACAGTATTTTCTGGCAATGATTGTGGTAGTCCTAATCTGACTTGCATAGGCGCCAGAGATGACAACTGTGGTTTGCAAACTTGGATGTCAATTCCAACGGTAGTAGGTGTGAGGTACAATGTATTGATCTCCGGCAAGGGTGAAAGCCGCGGTAATTTTGTACTCCGTTTGAATTAAATAAAATCAATATTAGATATAAAAAATAGACAATTTGTATGTAGTATTAATGGTATACGTGTACAGGAAACTCAGGACTCAGATCTCTGTTTGCGTTTGGTGGTAACTGTAGGTTTCGATATTGCAATCGACTGGTTCGATTGTTTAGGCCATTGATGGCACGCTGACGCACATCCAATTTCAGGCCATTTTCGAACCGAGTTCATCAATGTTCCGATAATCTTTGCCACCACATCTCCTCTCCCATATATATGTTGCAACAACATATGATACATCAAGTGAAACAAGTTCCAGACACAACAGACAATGAAGATCAATGCCAACTTCAAAGCCATGGCGGCAATGAACTTTGATGCCACGAAGTACATTTCATCTCCGTCTTACGGTGTCAATAGATTCATGTTGGACCGTATTGGTTCAGAAAAGGCCAGAGCTACAACGATCGTCGAGTACAAACCCGACTCCTCCTTTCCTGAGCATGAGCACGTGGGTGGTGAAGAGTTTCTAGTCCTGACTGGAACTTTCAAGGACAAGTTTGGTGAATTCCCAGCTGGTACCTACGTTCGGAATCCAATTGGTAGTAAGCACGCTCCGTGGGTCGATGACGATGGGTGCACAATTTTCGTCAAGCTTCTTCAAATGGCAGAAACAGGAGAGGGAACCAAATCGCTGCACGTGGAATGCTCCAAGGAAAAGAGTTCAAAGATTTCTGATGGCTCGTCTGCATTGGAAATGTATTATAACGAAGCGACTGGCGAGAGAGTGCAAATGTTCTGGTTGGAGCCCAAGGCAGAATTTTCGATTGATGAATACTGTTCGCTTGGAGAGGAGCTTTTTGTGTACGATGGATCACTTGAAGTTGGGGATGGTGAAGAATATAAAAAATGGGGTTGGTTGCGATTCCCTGCCGTCTCCGACGCTGACGAGAAGCGAAAAACTTTGAAGGCAGGTAGCCAAGGTGCACAAGTCTTCAGAAAAACAGGGCACCTCACCGAGAAAGCTCTTTCTATGGAAAAGATTCAAATAAAGGAAGAGGATTAAACAATAGTGTAGTACCTTCTGGCAATTTGACGATACGTCTTCAATTCAAAATCCACCCAAATACACTAGAGGTGAAAATCGCCGTGCTTCACATCCGCCAAAAATAGCCCATGCGCAGGTGCCATAGTTGGTGCTTTCCGTCTATCTTTTTGTTCCAAGAGCCCCTTGATGTCTCCAGGGTCGATTTTACCTGTGCCAACTTGAGCCAAACAGCCTACCATGTTCCGAACTTGCCGATACAAGAATGAATTTCCTACAATCCGTATCGATACAAGCTGAGGAATGGGATAGTCGCTATCTAATCCATCTTGACCTGTCCACAGTCCTTGATCGCCGCCCAATATGTTCCAAGGCCCATAGGGCTGGGAGTGGACCTTGATCGACTTCATTGTCACAACTGGCGATTTTCGTATACATTTAGATGCGCGAAAGCTAGAGAAATCGTGCGTTCCTTCCATGGATAGGGCCGCTTCTTGCATTGCTTCATAGTTCATGGATCGAGAACGGATTCGCCAACTCCTATCCCATTCGAAAGGTACACTCCAGTTTCCGTCTTGACTCGGATAGCACAAAAGACGATACACGTAGGTTCGCTCTGTCGCACTAAATCTTGCATTCCAGTCCACAGTGGGTGGTTGTGAAGTATCCTGCTTGGAATATGGATTGTCCATGAAATCTGGAGCCTGCTTGACCGACAATATTTTGAGTTCGTCATTGGCAGAGTATCGAGCCCAATAGGAATCAGAAAAGTACGTATAGTTCGCAGGAACTTTGCTTCGTTGTCGTTTTCTTTTTTGGAAGTGTTGATCACGGTCCCAAGAACTTACTTGCCGGCCGAGATGATAATTCAGTCCCCGTCGCAATCGTCGTTCCATTTCCTCTTGCGTTTTTATCGCACTCGAATTCGAATGTAGAATGTCCACATGAAAGGTATTCTTCAGAGCATGAACACCACGATCGGTACGTGAGCTCACTTGAATGTTTTCGTAATCTGCAGACGACCCCAAGAAATCCTCCAAGGCTTCTCGGATCCGGCCCTCCACTGAACGATAGCCTCTCAAGTCTGTACCATGCTGATTTATTTGGTCTTCTTGGTTTCCTTGATAAACAAAACCTAAGAACGATGAGCCATGATACTGACAAGAAATGGCATAGCGGACAAACCCAGAACTTCGACGAAGTGACATGAGGACTTGTGATATCTGGAGAAAAATGGGTCTGTGTGGTTGATGTTGATGGTGGTTGGTTGCAAGTTTGTGATAGAAGCAGTCGACCGAGTCAACTATAGAAGCTGCCTTACTTTTAATTAATCTGCGCATATTACAACAGAGTGACAATCAATGTATGATGTTCCAAGCACTTCAACATTCAGGAACTTCTTATGGTAGGGCTAAGCACTACTGTAACTGCGGACTTTTATTTGTTAACTGAATGTATCATCAACACCAGAGTCTGCCGTTCCCATATTCCATCTATTTTCAATTTGTTCCATTTGTTCCATTCCTTTAGCATGCCATCGATCTTAAGTAAACCATTGGTAGCTATTCCATTAGCTTTTTTATTATATATTAAGAGCTTTCTGCTGCAGCGGTTTCGGCAACAGCATCTCGGCGAGCCTTTGCTTGATCCGAGTAATAGCGGCAGCTCTTGAACGAGCTTCCAGAACCTCCTGCACGTCCCTTAAAGTAAGAGTTGGTACAAGTGAAGCTGTTGAAAGCATATGGGCGTCCCTCGTCTTGCAAATAGTAAGATTGGGTATAGGTATTTGGACGGTCGTATTCATCGACTAGCTTCTGCGAATTAATAGAAGCTCTGCGAACAAGAGTATCAAATGAATGAATCGATGTTTTTTGAGGCGAGAAAGAGAACCAGGAAAATTGTAGGGAGCAGTAGAAACAAGCCAAATAGTTGGTGAGGAAACTTGTCGCTTCGTTGAATGAATGAGGAACTTCCTATCCCAAGACAAGTGATAACTTACTCGGCAACACGTTCGGCCAATCGACCAATTCGAGACGCTTCAGACTCTTGCATGCCTCTGAAAAAATTTGTGATGGGCATTGTAGCGGTTTTGTTGTGTAGAAGATGAGTGCTGTATTAGCTGTTTGCTTTGAAATTGGTCGATCGAAAAGAGTCCGTTGTTGTTGAACAATTCTCAATGTCTATTGCCAACTAACAACAACAGCAGTCGCAGTGATGCGACAAACCGTACGCATTTTAAACTACCAAGCTCTACGTAGGGTCTGTTTGCACAACGGAATCAGGAATCTCACTTTCAACCTTTGTGGCGCCACCAAAACCGATTTCCACATCCACCAAAATCAAAATCTGCAACATTGATCTCAAAGAAATACGAGGTTATTGAATCCGACAACTCTACAGCTTCAGAAGAAAGGAAAGGTTATACTGCAAACCAAACAGCAACAACAGAAAAAAAGAATCAGCTGAAACCACATTGTCAGTTCCATTGCATTCAACCAGTCCGCTCATCCCGTAGATCGACAAATTCCAATTCACAGCAGCCACCACCACAATGCAAAATGATGAGATGATATGGCAGGTGATCAATCACCAATTTTGTTCCTACAAGGCAATCATTGGCAAGGCAAAGTCTGATAAGACAACCTTCTGCTCACATCCCTACTCTGTCACTGGACTCTGTAATCGTACCAGTTGTCCATTGGCCAATTCCTTGTATGCCACCTTGCGAGAAGAAAATGGCAAAGTCTTTCTCTGCATGAAGACGGTGGAGAGAGCACACTCACCGAAAAACTTGTGGGAAAAAGTCCTATTGAGCCGGAATTACTCGAAAGCACTAGCACAAATTGACGAACATTTGCAATTCTTCCCCAAAGTTCTTGTGCATAGAAACAAGCAACGACTGACCAAAATTCACCAATACCTGTTGCGCATGCGCAAACTGAAGCTGAAGGAGCTATCAGGCCGCAAGGCCAAGATTGTGCAGGCACCAACCCGAAAGGTTGCTCAACGAGAAGCCCGACGAGAACAAAAGGCGTTGGTGGCTGCCAAGATTACCCAGAAGGTCGAACAAGAATTGGTCGACCGATTGGCCAAGGGAACCTATGGGGACTTGTACAATTTCCCTGAGACAGCATACAATAAGGCACTCGAACAAAGAGAGGGAGAAGAAGAGGAAGAAGAAGAAACTGAGAGCGAAAGCGAAGAAGAGGAAAGCATCACCGAGTACGTTGAAGATTTGGAATCCGAAGAAGAAGAAATGGAAGAGGATATGGAGGATATGGAATACATGGGAGACGGTAAATGGGGCAAGAACATGGATGACTCTGACGATAGTGATGGAGACGACGATGATGACGATGACGAATCCAATGATGAATCTCCACGAAAACGACGAAAGAAGAAGTCACCAAGGAAAGGATCACGGGTGGAGATTGAATACGAAGAAGAGAATGAGGATGAAGAAGAGAGATTACAAGAAGCTGGCATGGCTTGGTAAAAAAGAAACTCAAAAATTAGTAGCACATACCAATAGAGATGTAATTGTTCGTTTCATGGCTACAAGAAGCTGGCATGGCTTGGTAAAAAAGAAACTCAAAAATTAGTAGCACATACCAATAGAGATGTAATTGTTCGTTTCATGGCTACACTGTACCGGTACTACTCTACAGCGCCGGAGCCCTGCTTCATTCGAGAAATGGACGTCATTCGTGACGTATGTGACGTAACGATTTAGCATCGATTGTTTGATTGATTCGTTCGATTCTTCAAAGATGCTTCTCTCGTCTCATTCATTTCCAACCTCAAGATCATTAGTAGTAGTGTATTATCCATCCATCCATCCATCCATCCATCCATCCATCATGACAGAAGCATTGGAAGCCAGAGTAAAGGCATTGGAACAAAAGCGATATGGATGTCCCAAGGGTGTGGAAGTAGACGAGTCAATTCGCCGCGCCCGAGAACACGTTGAACGTCTGCAGCTGTACTCTAGCAATTGGAAATGGGTCCCTGAAAAATACTACGATTGGTCTTTGGAACAACGTGCCAAGATCCTCAAGGCCAAAAGCACACACATGCTTTGCAAGAGTCTATTATTGGAAAACAAAAAAGTGACTGACGAAACTGCTGATCTCAAGACCAATCCTAAATTCTTGATGGTCATGATTCAATACGAAACTACCTTGGATGTGAAAAAGTTGACAACATCCTTGCGAAAACTCCGTCCTGTTGCGGATCGGTTGGACGAATCCCAATTTGACTTGCGTGTGGCATCTCCTGAAGACAATGATCGCATTACTGGTTACAAATTCAATAGTGTGACTCCCTTTGGCCTAAAGGAAAAAGTAATGATGGTGATGAGCAGTGAAATTGTTCCCTATGGCTACTTTTGGATGGGAGGTGGCCATGTGCACTTGAAATTGGGCATGTCGGTCGACGACTTTCAAAAATTGGGCAATGTTCACGTTATGGATCTGAGCGTTCCTCGTAGTAGTACCGATCAAGCCCAATAATAGTCGACACTAGGACCTAACACAACAACAATAGAAAGAAATCTAAATACGGTAATCACTTGGGCATGCAATATAGCAATAGGAGATGAATGACTAATATTGTATTATTTGACTAAATCTCATTGCTCATCATCCATTCTTCGATTTCAGATGAAAGATTTACTCGGCAAGAGCCTTGGTCAGTTGTTCCTCGCTATCGAGCAACTTGACAAAGGCCTCGGAATCCAAGAAATTGTCGAATTCAGGAGTTCCAATGGCTGGAATTCCAGCACCAGTGTCTGCCCCGCTGCTGACAACAACTGGCTTTTCCTCTTCCTTCGTTCCGCTCATGGCACTCTTCATTTTGAATATCAAGAAAAGACCTGTGTATCCTCCCATAATGGCCAAAGCAACTGAAAAATATTTTAAAAAAATATCAGCAACATGACAAGAAACAAATGGTCAGAAAATCCATTTTTTTCAGTTTCCTTTTGGCAACAAACATCGTATCGGCATCATCACGTACGTTGATGATCTCCGGGGAACACTCCTCGGACGACCTTATCAATTCCTTCCCATTCCTTGGCTGGACCGCCAGCCATAGTGCGTCTTTGGACTTGAGAGCTGATGACTCCGCCGACTCTGCGACGAGCCGCTGCTGCTGCTAGAGGAAGAACCATTTTCACTTTAACAACTATTGGTTTGGTGTTGTTGATCGGCACAACTAACAGCCAAAGCCCATTCTCCATTGGCGAGATTCCGTCTAACTTCCGTCCAGTACCACAGCCACGTAAGGTTGTACAGCAATGTCTTGCATGCGTCATGCGTCATCTCAGATTTGGACAGTTCGACTGCACAATCTTTCGACTCCTTCGACTGCATGGTCTGTGGATAGTCAATTGGAGGGAGCCCAAAATCAAATGACAGCAATTGTTACAATAAGTCATTGGCGGTGCAAGATTGACAACAAGATATCCAATCCTATTCCTGCAGTGTACACAACCGCAACACGCCAAGACAACCATGCCTTCTTCTAAACGGGATCCCTTTCCCATGTCATCCACAGCTGCAAAGGCCCTGGAAGCTTCGGTCGATGGCAAAGCCACCAAGAAGTCGTGGTCCAACATGAAGACAGAGTCCAAGGAGAGTGCTCCCTCGGCAGAAGATGTCGAATTGGACGATGCTTCCAACAGCCTGGTACGAAGTAAATCCAAGGGTTCTACTTCAGAAGATGACAATTTGTACGATCGAGCGGATGGAGACGACGAAGAGGAACTAGAGGATTCCTACTATGATGTACCACTTAGCGAATTGAGAGGTTCCTACAAGGATCGGATATTGGGATCGTCCAAACGATGGTTGCTCAAGGTCTACAAACGATTATATGGGGATAAACTGCCACCTTCGGAAATGATTCGCACAATGTACCTAGCAACAACTCTATTCTTTATGATTGGTGGCTATTGGTTGCTCCGATCACTTAAGGATAGTGTACTGATGGCATTGTGTGGATACAAGGCTATTCCAAAGGCAAAGATGCTGTCTGTCTTTGTAGTCTTGGGTGTTGTCTCCATTTACAATCACTTGCTGGATTCGAGCCTTGCCAAACATCAGCTATTTTACATTTTTGGTACCTTTTACTTCGGAGTCTTTACTGTGATTGCAATTTTGTTGATGGACGATGAAATCGGATTGGGAAACAAGTATCAGAGCGAAAGTAGGATTCTAGGTTGGGTCAGCTACTGCGCAATTGAATCCTTTGGATCTGTCATGGTATCCCTCTTTTGGTCCTTTGCCAATTCCAATATTTCCTTGGAAACTGCCAAATCGAGTTATGGAGTCATGGTAGCAACAGCTCAATTGGGATCGATTCTGGGACCCACTGTGGTCCATCAATATGCTGAATCGTGGGGACTGGCAAAGTGTTACCTATTGGGAGCTTGTTCCATGCTCTTCTTGCAGTTTACCATGTACGCTTACGTCAAAACTTATGGAACAGCCGAACAGCGAGCGAAAGAAGAAGAAGATCCAACCAACCCTGCTCCCGCGAAAAAGAAGAACCAGGCCGGTATTTTGGAAGGGTTGGTTTTGTTTTGGAAATTCAATTATGTGAAGGGAATCTTTGCAATCAGTTGTCTATTCATGGTAGAAGTTACCATTGTGGATTTCACGCTCAAAGTTTTGGCACAGGAGTTCTTTTCTGAAGAATATCCTTGCGAGATGTCCAACCCAGATTGCTACAACCAAGAAACGGGAGAATTTGGTCTCACCGAAGAAGCTACTAACGCGATTGCATCATTCATGGGGCTCTTTGGTGTGGCGACAAACAGTTTGAGTTTTGTCTTTAGTCTCCTGGGAACATCTGCGATTATTCGGTATCTGGGTTTGAGATTGACTTTGCTACTTTTCCCATCGCTGTGCTTGTTGGTCATTATCATCGTGCGACTACGTCCTACCCTGTATGTCGTCTTCTTTGCCATGATCATGCTCAAGGCTAATAGTTACGCCCTGAACAATCCAACAAAGGAAATGCTCTATCAACCAACAAGTTCTGCGGTCCGGTACAAGGCCAAATCGTGGATCGATATCTTTGGTGCAAGAGGTTCCAAGGCTTTGGGTAGTCTGGTGACGAATGCGTTCTCGTATTCGGCAGATGTGCTGGTGGCCAATGGAAGTTTGGTAGGCATAGCTGTAGCATCCTTCTTGATTTGGAATGCACGTTTCATGGGGAAACGATTTGACGAGTACTCGGAATCGGGATTCATTGTTGGCGACGATGACAATCCAGAGAACCAAAGCTTGGAAATGGCAGTCAATCAGGCCGATATGGAAGAGACAAGCTGTGCCATTGAAGAAAATGACGATAGCGATAGTGACGAAGGTGATGATGACGACGATGATGACGATGCAAAGTTTCCAGCTTTTGAAGATGCCCAAGGAGATGATGACAAAGATGCAGATATTACCGACGAGGACATCTTGGCTGCATTTACTGTAACGGACGATGGCGAGGGAGGAAAGATCGAAACTGCCCACGTATAATAAAGGCGGATCAAACTAATGTAGACTATTACCCAATTTAATTTCACAACTATGATATTTATCATTATATAAGATTAACTATCCCATTTCTTCTTGTCGTATCCCAAGGTCAATGCAGCCTCTTTTTGAGCTTGCGTGAGCTCGTCATAGTCCAAGTCACTTGTCGCTGGTTCTTTATCGTTGTTCCACATCTTTCCCGTGTACCCTAGCAGCGTGGCGGCCTCCTTCACTTGCGGAGGCAGCTTGCTCCAAGAGAGATCGTCATAGTTCGGTAATGGAGTTTCTGACCATTTTTCTTCGTTCAAGTAAAGAACGTTTGCCGCGGAGCGTTCATCTGGAGTAAGCTCGTTCCATCGCTTGAAACGCGTTGGAGGTTCTTTGTCGTTGTTCCACATCTTTGGAGTGTATCCCAACACCTGAGCTGCCTCTTGAACCTCGGATGGCAATTTCCTCCATGTCAAGTCATCGTATTTTGGTGGTCCTCTTTTTTCAGCGTCGCTATCCCATTTTGCCTCGTCATAGCCCAGCTCTTTCGCAGCGCTCTGCTGCTCTGAAATCAAATCTTTCCAGTTCTTGTGGAAAACAAGCGGGGTGCTGTCCGTTTCCCACATTCTGCCAGTGTACCCAAGAGTCTTTGCAGCTGCTTGGACGTTATGTGGCAACTCGCCCCAATCTATACCTTGGTACGGATGAGACACTGGTTCAGGCGTAGGATCAGACAATGCCTTGGTCACTGGCTTCTCTGCAGAGTGATTCGTAGACTTTCCATCACCGTCCCAAGATTTCTGGTCGTACCCGAGCTTCCTGGCAGCAATTTTCTCATCCATTGTAAGCTCCTTCCAATCCTTGTCGCATGTTCGTGGTTCCTTGCTTCCGTCCCACATGACCTTCGTGTAGCCGAGAGCAGTGGCGGCCTTTTGTACTCCAGCTGGCAGCTCATTCCAATCCATGTCATCGTAGAGCGAGGATGCAGTTGGAACTGGACTCCTAGAGGCTGAATTTGTGACTGGACTCTTGGAGATGCTTTTTGAGTTGCCATTGGCGCTGTCATCAGATTGATCATCGCCGTCCCATTTTATTTGGTCGTATCCAAGCTTGAGCGCGGCCTCTTGCTCCTCTGACTTGAGTTCAACCCAATCCTTGTTCGACGAAGCGGGTTCCTTGTCAGTATCCCACATGCGTTTTGTGTAACCAAGAACTTTGGCAGCCTCTTGGATCGCGAGAGGTAGCTCGTCCCAATCGTAGTCATCGTAACCTGTAGAGCTTGAACGATTCTCTTCCTCAGTGACCCCACTTTGATCGCTATCCCACTTTCTTCGGTTGAAACCAAGTTTACGGGCTGCTTCTTGCTCCTCCAAGGTGAGCTCCTCCCAGTCTTTGTTCGAACTTGCTGGTTCTGCATCAGCATCCCACATCTGACCGGTGTACCCCAAGACCGTGGCAGCCTCCTGGATTTTCAGTGGCAGATCATCCCAATCGTACTAATGAAACGAACAGGAGTGTCAGCAAAATAGAGAGCGAAGAAAGGCAAAACACTCAACAGACGTACCTCATCATAATTCATGTTTCCTCCGTTTTGTTCTACGACCTTGTCAGAAAGTTTCGTCCAATCAGAAGTGAATAGAATGTAGATAATGGCCACACATCCAAGGGTGTATCCCAAAACCAGTGGTCCCACCATACCCATCAAGTTGTAGTCGTAAACAAAGACAAGAATAGCAGCCATGGGAATCACAAGGATCCAACTTGTAACGAACTCGACCACGGTGGCCAATCGAACACGGCCTTGGGCGCCAAGAATGTTCCAACAAACCATACCCACCGACATCAGAATTTGACCAAAGCCAATAAGAGGCAAAGCTTCAAAGATCATGTGCTGCAAGGTCGGATCGGGAGTGAGCCATTCTGGCAAATGACCCGACATCAAAAAGAGGATAGCTGTACCATAGACCGAAATAACAATAGCAAGATACATTCCCTTGTATGCGGAAGCCTTAGCCTCCGTCATCTCTCCTGCTCCCATTCGGAAACCCACGCGAACTTCAACAGCATCCGCAAGACCCTCTGATTTGAAAGAGGAAGGAAAAGGTTGATTGAGACATTTGATCATAAAGCGATCCATTCCAAAACCAGATGGTGTGGCGACTTGAACTGCTACTTACCAACAATGTATTCAAAGGTATCCCAAAGGAAACCAAGAACACCCCATGCAGCAACTTCAGCAGGACCCATGTGCGCGGCAAACAAGGTCATGACCTCCCACTACGATCACGCAAGAAAGAAAATTCAGAAAGAATGTGCGGTGAGAAAGATGGAGATCTATCACTTTGCAAGAGTGATTTCGCAGAGGCATAGAGTTCTACTTACTTCACCATAGGTCAACATATAGGAGAGACCCAGTGGAATAGCAGTCGTAATCATGTTCTTGACAGCTCTCTTGTCGTTGAGTCCCCATGTGAGGGCAATGCCCTCCCAATAGTCATCCAACCAACCCAAGTATAGCACAACAGAAATGATGCTAATCATAATGAGGAAACTTGCCAAGGCTTGGATGATTCCAACCAGAACCAGATCCTTAATGCCCATCGTCGCCATGACAATAACCGCACAGGTCTCAACAGCATTGGCAAAGAGGTCCATAAACATGGCAAACTTTTCATGGTCTGTAAACTCCAAAAACGCATCAAGGACTTCGCCAGCTCCTTCAAAAAAGCCCATTGCCAACAAAGGATAGGCATACCCTTGGGCCAGTCTTGCCGTTTCTTCGTCAAAACCAAGCCATATGACGGCAGGTTCCGTGTAGAAACTCCAAATGAGGAGCCCCGGAATGTTGCATAGGGTGTAGAAAATCAAACTAAGTTGCATGTACCGTCCCACAAGCAAATCGTTTCTGGCACCGTCAGCCTGGGGTCCCAAGACTCCAACGGCTAAAGTTGAAAAAGGAGGCAATGAAATGGACAGCAAAGGGGAAAAAACGAGTTGAGAATGTATCGAATCAAAACAGTGGGACCAACACTAGATTCCTTCCTCTTGTGCATTTCAATGCTCACCTTCAATGAAACCATACGTAAAGACGTCTGTGAATTCGGTAAGAATAACAACCGTAACGTAGGCATTCGCTTCCCTCAAACCGATAAAGTGCGAAATAATGCCAAAATTGACAATCTGTGCAAATCCTTCTGTAGCACCACTAATCGAGTAGGGAATCCACAAGGAAACAATTTTTTTCATTTCCTTGTCCCAGGTAGAACAATCGACTAGACGCTCACCCAAAGACATCTCTCTATCGTGATGATTAAGAGCTCCGGCATTGTTGCCTGTGATCTTGCCTGGTGCATCGACTGCATCGTTGACACTCACATCATCCAACGAGCCTAGATAGGAGTTCGCATCCCCCATTGATTGCCCACCAGCATTCTTGTTGTCTCCAGTCTCCTTAGCATTGACATTCTTGGGACTAATAACACGGCGACCCCGGCGTTTGCGATTTTGTTGACGGTGAAAGAGTCCCTTGTGGACACGTTGGTCCAAGACACTAGAGACAATCGAAACCGCACTGGAGGCAACCGACATTCCACCAATACTCTTATCATCGTCGTCCTGTTCACTGGTCTTCTTCATTTCAACGCCAAAATCAGATGGAACCAAGGCTCGAGTTTCCAATTCGGTGGCAAATCGCTTTCTACGATGGGCCCAGCACAGCATAAAGGGAAGCAACGAGTTGATTGCAAGGCAAATAATGATGATGTAATACGTCCAATCCCACCCTGGTTGATAGGCAGTAGGAACATAGTTGGAAAAGTCTACATCCTCCACGTAAATGTCATCATCATCATCATCATTTTCCCAGACAGCCGCATCCGTCAAGTTGGTAAGAGTACTCATAATGGTGCTTGCTTCAATCTCAAAAATCTCGGATCAAATGGAGTTCTCTTGAGCTTCGTTGATTCGTTCGTTCGTGTTTTCAGCTCTTGTTGTTGTGTGATGTGATGCTACTAACTAACTAACAATGGATGAAGGAATCTAATTGTTTTCTCCTTGTTGCTCCTGTATGTTCCTGCTTTAGTGATTGTTGGTAGCAAGGAGTGCGTTGGTTTGAAGCTCGTTTGGAAGATGGCCACACGAGAAGACCTCGGTTTGACTGGGGAGAGTGAGATTACAAAAGCCTCCGTTGAAACGACGCGCCAGCCCTCCAACGAGCGCCCTAGCACGTGTCCAACTTCGAATCTGAATCTAATACACTATATATAATATACACAATCTAACTTTTTGCCTAGACTATCTTTCTACCAGTGCTCCAAAACAATTGCAGATGTGATAGAAGCTTAAATTGCACTGGCTATTACTAGTAGGTTCTTAACAGGAGGAGCAAGCAAGCAAGAAACTTTACAATAAATGTCCGAGTATCTTTTTAATAATTTTCTTCTTACTTTCAAAAACTGTAGTATCTCTATTTCAAACAATCTTAATCAATTAGTTTGAAGGGCTTTTGGATACACCAGCAGGGTAAAGTAGTTTACAGTCGATTGATGCTCTTTGCTTTTGGTTGGATCAGAGTAGTTTGAAAAATCTGTGTCGAAGGACAGACCATGACGACACGAACCGTGATTTTTTCAATAATGATCAACTTCATCCATCAAATCTCGAAACAACCACCAACTTAGCAACAAATCCTCACCGTCACAAAGTGCCACCAATTTTCCTTTTGCGAGTATAGCAGTGGCACAACCCAACCAATCCACCATCACTATTTTTTCATAGCGTATCCCCAGGATCGTTCTTTATCTCAACAAAGCTACTGAAACGAGACGCTTTCTTCACTCCATCAATTTCGAAACTTCTTCTCTACACTCGATGCGCGTTGCAAAAGGGCGATATTTCGCCAGATTCCTTCTCGGTTGGCGTAATCTTATTATTACTATGACGCTGCTCAATTCAATAATGATGGTCATGAAACCAGTGAGGGCATTCTCCTCGGCTCCTGCCCTCTGCTACTCTCGTCAGCAGTCGTTTGCACAAACTAGTAGGGGTCGGCAATCATGGAGAAGATCTCAGTTGATGACTCGGCTATGGGATAGTTCCAACCAAGAACAACAACAATCACGCCCCTTATCCAACCAAGAGTTGGTCGAACGACGATTGGCAGTCAATCAGGCCAAAAGGGAGTCACGACAACGAAGCGTTCAAGAACGGCTCGATCGCAACATGAAATTCAAACGACTCTTGCACAACGACAGTACGACGAATTCAGATCAAGAAAGTCCCTTTGTGGTTCCCCCGCTATATGCTGTCAAGATCTGGGTCGATATCGATCTACGACAGGAAATGAGATTGAGTGGACGAGAAAAACGTGGTCGAGTCTTTTTGGAATCTGGATCAAAAGGTGTTCAAACCATTAGTGGGTTGCACCAAGAGTTGTATGGTTTCTTTTCCGCTCTGAGAAAGAACACTTTCTTGTTGTCAGCTAGTGTACCACCCATCACTGCCGATGGTAAAGTCGAGTCATTGCCGCCCAAGGAGGGAGAAGCGTGGACCATTGAAACTGACGACGATGTGATTGCAACTTTTCAAAAGGCAGATGAATTCTTTCACGAGTCGGCGGTAAAATTGCAACGACCTTGCATTCAAATCAATGTCCTCAAGAATCCCAATGCACCACCCCCGCCTCCACCTCCCGCATATCTCGAGGGAATGGCAGATCCGAAGCAATCGGAAACCATGACTATGCTTTCCTTCTACGCCTTCCCGCCGCAAGGGATCGAAGATCCTGAAGCCTTTGCTTTTGACATTAAGAAAAAGTGGAAACCATTCGGAGCTTTGGGCCGGGTATACGTTGCCCATGAGGGTGTCAACGCTCAAATGAGTGTTCCGACCAACGTCTTGGATAACTTTATGGCATGTTGCAAGATTGTTCCCGAACTAGGAGAGCACATGGAAAATGGCATCAACATTGATCCTCAACCATTGACCATGGAGGAGTTTCAATCTGCAGGTACTCCCGTCAATCAGAAACCTGCTCCTCCATTTCGCAACCTTCATGTTCGTGTCCGATCGCAAATTGTAGCGGATGGATTGGACAAGTCTCTGGATTGGCAGTCGGCCGGATACGACATGCCACCCATGGAATGGCATCAAAAGATCAAGGAAGCCCGCGAAACCAAGGATACTGGAGACGACACATCCAGCCCCATCGTTTTGGATTGTCGCAACGACTACGAAACAGAAGTTGGGATCTTTGAAGGAGCCGAACCTTTGGGAACCGAAAATTTTCGTGATAGCTGGGATGTTCTAAAAGATCGTTTGAAGGACGCACCGAAAGATGCTCCCATCATGACCTACTGTACAGGAGGGATCCGTTGCGTCAAAGTGGGAGCCTACTTGACCCAAGAAATGGGTTTCACCAATGTTTCTCGTCTGGCAGGAGGGATCATTGCATATGATCGCACCTTGACGGAGAAGACTGAAGACGAAGAATCCATGTTCAAGGGCACAAACTTTGTATTTGATGGAAGAATGGGAAGAGAGATTACGGATGACACTCTTGGAACATGTGCCACCTGTGGCACCAAAACGAACCTTGTCAGCAACTGCCACAATGAAAACTGCCACAAGCGAATGATCCAATGCGCGGACTGTAGAACAAATTATCATGGGACATGCTCTCATGCTTGCAAGACCATTGTTATCAAGGGACAAGCAAAGACGGAAGAAGGATCAACTTTCTCAGAAACTGCCTCTGAAACATCATCCAAGACATTTGAATCAATTGATGATTATTCCGTTGGACATTCGACTCCAGCTCCGTCCGTTTACGCAGAGATGGAGCACAACACTCGCGCACACATGCCAACTGGTGCGCATATGGTATCTGGAGCAACACAAGGAAGGATCTTGGCACAACTTGCGTCCATGACACGAGAGGGCCGCATTCTTGAGCTCGGCACATTCACTGGATATGCAACTGTATGCTTCTTGGAAGGTGCTCGAAATGTCGGACAAATCACTGGCGTGGCGAATGGAAATATTCATTCAGGCCCCTATGTCATGTCATTGGAGCGAGACGTTCGTGCATTCAACATTGCAGCCGCTCACGTTCAAGCTGTCGGCGAAAAGGGTTTGGGGGTCGAGGCCGCGGAACTCGTGTGCGCCATTCGTAATCAAGAAGTTCCAAGTGTGGATGGCGATTTCGTTTCATCCTCACTAGATGGCATCGCTGGATGTGACCTTTTAAGGGTAACAGATGCTCTCGCAACTGTGGAAGAGATCGCAAGTGGCAACGGCAGCCTCAATCCGGCTCCATTTGATTTGGTATTTGTAGATGCCGACAAGACAAGACTGTGAGTACTTTGTCGATTGATTCATTCATTCTGCATTTGTATTCGATTTACTAATGCTTTTCTATCTCCAGGTTGGACTACGTCGACGCATGTCTATCCAATGATCGACTTCTAAACAAAGGAGGTTTCATTGTAGTAGACAATGTGCTCTGGAAGGGATTGGTAGTGGAAGCAAGCAACGGCTCATTTTCATCCGTAGCAGACTCCCCAGATGATGATAAGAATCTGGTAAAGAAGAATCGGAGAGCAAGAAAGCTTGCGAATCAAATGCACGACTTTAACTCTTGCATTGTTAAAGACGATCGGGTCGAAGTTGTGCTATTCCCTGTGCGCGATGGACTCAGCGTTATTCGAAAGAAATAGACTACCTGACTCAGGTAGTCTACAATTCGAAGTCGATTCTAAAGCAGAAAGTCCTGAGAAAGAAAAAAAGGATGTAACATACAATGTGAATTCTATTATGAAGCTTGACAATATTCATGCCCACGGTTAATGGCTAATAGCAACGAGCGTTGCGCCTGGGAGGAGGAGGAATCGGAGGCGGACAATGATGATGATGTGGATGGTGGTGATGCATATGTGGACGATTTTCTCGGTGATTTACCCGATGGTGATGTTCCCGCACCGCTTCCGTCAAGCAATGCATCAACTTCTTGAAATTCTCTTTGGATCTTTCAATCAAGTTGTGCCTGTAGATAAAGTCCAGTGTGACTGCATAGCAATGGGAAACAAAATATCCCACCTTTTCTTGTATCTTGTGTTCCTGGTCCGCTTGCTGCACTCGATCCAAGGTGCGGGCGGCAGCTTCCTTGCTCTTGTCCACAAGGTGATGGCGGTTATTTACTTGTTGAAACTTTTCCTTTGCCACAAGGGAAACTTCCCCGAGTGCTCGTGCACAGTCTCCCACTGCTCCCTCTTGTTTCGAATAGTGATGAGAACCCACACCCAAGACTAACGAAAGGAAGGGCCCTCCCAAAAACATGCCCATCACCGCTCCACCAGCAGCGGCAGCTTTGGGAATGTTTGGCTGGGACGAAGATTGTTCTTGAGCTAGTTCTTGAGATGCTTCTTGTGTGTTTAGAGAAGAAGTAGCGCCATCACTGGACTCTCGGGTCTGTAGGGAAATGTCAATCACGGGTGGAGCCTCGTAGACAGCTTGTGCACTGCCACCATCGGAGGGACTCGTGACGGACAGAGTCTCTACCATTGGTACGACGATTGGATCGTTAGATAGCTCATTGTCAAATGTGACGATTGAAGCATTGGCAAAAGGAATGTCGTCCTCGCCATCGTATACCGAAGCTCGCAATTCGACCATTGTTGTGATCGTCGTGTCTGTGTTTTGAATCCGGTTTTGTGGGACGTTTCAGAAGGCTCTCTTAATATTTTTTAGATGAAAGATATCACCTGACAATTGCTACCCAGACTGACTCGTACGATAGAGAATAATGGTGTCAGTGCCCTGAAACATTAGCATTATCGAAGAGATATCTCCAACTTACATTTACAACGTGGCGATTTTTTGATGTCGAAGATGTGGTCCAAGTCTTTCAAAGAACAGCTTTGCGAAAGTCCATGTAGTCGAACACGATTCAGGTGTCTGTCTTGGTCAGTGCGAACACAATTGAAGTCATCCTCAATGCCGCACGCCAGCCGAAGGTTCGAAACTCCGCGAATATTTTTTTCGACGTCGTCATGCTGCAAATTCCGGTTCGTTTACTCCTGGAAGCTACAGCATCATGTAGACTGTAGACCGTAGAACAAGATACAAAGGTAGATAATGCATTATCTATTGATCCATCGAGAGGACTGGCATAGCTTTGACTTCTTCTACCTTCACAGTAGACTCCTCTTCGCTCGAAGACGATATGGTAGATAGCATGAAAATCCAAAAGAAGGAAATTGAAGCGACGAAAACCACCCGATAGTGTGGTGGAATCACACCAAACGTTATCATATTTGCAGGAAACCATATTGACCAGTAGCGTGCCAACAATCCTTTTGTAGTGACATCTTCTACATAATTTTCCAAACCAACTTTAAGAGTGTCCAAACCCAGAGGTTCTTCCGATGAAAAGGCTGTCTTGAATGCATAGGCAATTGGGAGACAAAGAAGCGGGGCAAACAATAGGTTGTCTACCAGAACTTCTTTTCCAACCAGCGCCAGAGACTCGTCGGTTCCGAACCAAGATGGGTAAATGACATTGAAAATAAAATTTTGTGCCATTCCTTGATAGATGCCACCGTAGAATAGGAAACCCAAATTCCTCGAAATGTTAACGTTATTGTTGGCTTCATTGTTACCACTAGAAGATACTTCGGAACTGGGAGCCTTCTCGTTTCCCATTTCTTGTGTCTGAGCAATCATGTCAGCAGCACTGGCTTTGAAACTGCAGGTCAAGAATGCGGCCAAGTATGGTTGCGTTTGGAAAAAGGAGTTGACGGTAGACATGATGGGAGCATGCGTTGTTCCTACAGCCTCCATGACTTCAAAAGAGTGTAGGGGCCCAACTCTGGATCGTTTTAGACTTGGATGACTGCTCGTTTTCGTTGGACCTGTAAATGCTGATGATGGCTCCTGAAGAAGGAGCGATCCGTTCAGGCAGAGGGCCAAAGTTTTTCTTGCGGATACCATGGTTGGATTTGAGTTATTACTCTTCCTATCGTTTGGAATGAAAGTTTACTGAAGTGACCAGTTGACTCTGATTGCACTTGCAGCGGAACCTTTCGAATTTATGATTTGTTCTTCCTACAGTATGACAATTTGTGTGATGTGGCGAAGGTGCTTTGAGAGTTGAGCGAATAAGGACCTCTCAAACTGCTTCGAGCTCAACTGAAGAAAGAAATGAATGAATCGAACGATTCATTCATTCATTCGCAACGTTGATCAATCCGACTCATTTACTGTCATTTATTCTTCGCATTACTCTAACTGTTCTCGGGATGCTTCCGTTGGCTCCGGTGCATCGGGCTTAAGTGCAATAATCATCTAAAGTACAATGAGCACAGGAAAGCCTATTCTTAGGGGCAATCACAGCTCCACCAAAACCTTCTATGTCAGAAGAAGAACTGAAAGATCCAGAAAATACGACATCCCACCAGTCTGTAAAGAAAAACGACATAAAAGTCTGCAAAACCGTGTATCCAAAATCCAAACCGAGTGCAAAACGCGAAAACTCATATATTCAACACAAAACCCAATAGATTTGGATTTGCATCATGAAGTTTGCAGCGTCCATCATCACGCCGATGGCTGGGCAGAAAAGTTAAAAGATTTAGACTGGACGCATGTCGGCACACACAGCCAGTGGCGGAGAAGAGGGGGCACAGACAAACATGATCATCTTTCCCGAAGAGGGAGTGTACATTGTGGTCTTGACAAATAAATCTGACAATCTGGGGGATGCCCTACGATATCGAGAGTATTTGCATGGAGAAGCCAACAGGGTCTAAAACAAGAACATCGCATACGTGTGACTGACTCGATGTTCCGTCATATTCATGTATTATCTTCTCGTGACGAACTCTCTCAGACACTACACTTGCTGGTTTGAAAGCTACTTACCCGTAACGTATACGAATATACAAAGGTAGCTAATGCATTATCTATTGATCCATCGAGAGGACTGGCATAGCTTTGACTTCTTCTCCCTTCGCAGCAGACTCCTCTTCGCTTGAAGACAATATGGAAGAAAGCATGAAAATCCAGACGAAGGAAACTGAAGCGACGAAAACCACCCGATAGTGTGGTGGAATCACACCAAACGTTATCATATTTGCAGGAAACCATATTGTCCAGTAGCGTGCTAACAGTCCTTTCGTAGTGACATCTTGCACATACTTCTCCAAACCAACCTTGAAAGTGTCCAAACCCAGAGGTTCTTCCGATGAAAAGGCTGTCTTGAATGCATAGGCAATTGGGAGACAAAGAAGCGGGGCAAACAACAGGTTCTCCACCAAGACCTCCTTTCCAATCAGTGCCAGAGGCTCGTCGGTTCCGAACCAAGATGGGTAAATGACATTGTAAATAAAGTTTTGTGCCATTCCTTGATAGATGCCACCATAGAATAGGAAACCCAAATTCCTCGAAATGTTAACGTTATTGTTGGCTTCATTATTACCACTAGAAGATACTTCGGAACTGGGAGCCTTCTCGTTTCCCATTTCTTGTGTCTGAGCAATCATGTCAGCAGCACTGGCTTTGAAACTGCAGGTCAAGAATGCTGCCAGGTACGGTTGCGTTTGGAAAAAGGAGTTGACGGTAGACATGATGGGAGCATGCGTTGTTCCTACAGCCTCCATGACTTCAAACGAACGAAGAGGCCCAACTCTGGATCGTTTTAGACTTGGATGATTGCTCGTTTTCGTTGGAGCTGAAAATGCCGATGATGACTGAAGGAGGAGCGATCCGTTCAGGCAGAGGGCCAAAGTTTTTCTTGCGGACACCATAGTTGGATTTGAATTCTGTTTCTATCGTTTGGAAAGAGGCGTACCTACAGTACAGTATTGAAATGAGCCGTTGATCGAATAGATACCTTTCGATTTTTAGTGCTGTATGCTGTATGTTCTCTTGTCATGTCGTGATGGCGAAGTTGATGGGTGGAGTGAATATGAAGGACCTCGTAAGAAACGAGAACTCTCGCAATGCTAGAAAGAATCGAATGATTCGTAATATTGATCAATCCGACCATCGGTATCTCTTTCCAAGAAGTTTCAATGATGTCAACCTCCCATCAGCAGCGACAATAACAAACAGATATGGGAAGGGACATTGTTCTAGCCTTGGACATTGGAAGTAGCAGTGTCCGTTGCTCGGCGTATAACTTATCATCAAATCATGGAAGTATTGAAAAGATCCAATCGTCAGTGAGAACTGTTTCCTGTGTCAGGCCAAACTCGGGAAAGATCCAATGGTATCATGACAACGACACGTTGCTAGACATTATCGATCATTGTGTAGACGAGACGATAGACTACTTGAGACAAGATAAAGTGAAATTCAAAGTATCTGCTGTGGGATTCTCTTCCTTTGTCATGAACTTGATTGGGGTGGACTCAGACGGTAACTTTGTGGACGAAGAAGCAACAATGAGTTATGCTTGCAATACTGTCGACGTGGCCAAGGAATGCAAAGCCATGAAAGATGAGCTGAGAGAAGATGGAACTGCTAATTTGTATCAAGAGACGGGTGCTCCCATTCATAGTTCATATGCCATCGGTCAATTGAGAGCCATATATCAATCCTCCGAGAAGTACGTTAGTCGAATACAACAATGGCAAACCATTCCGAGTCTCTGCTTAGGACGATGGACGGGGGGAAATTCTCTCCCGATCTCTTTTTCTGAAGCGAGCTGGACCGGGTTATTGAATTTCAAAACTTGTCAATACGCCGAGACAGCATTGTCGCTGCTCCCATCGATTTGTCGAAATTCACTGCCAGAGCTCGGAGATGTGTCAAATCCTTATAGCACTGGCCTTCCAGAATATGTGGATAGTGATGGCAAACGCAAAGACAATGCAGCCTTTAAAAAGTGGCCAGAATTACGCCAGACGTCATTCTTTCTGGGCATTGGTGATGGAGCTTGCGCCAATGTTGGTTCCAAGGCAGTATCGGAATCTCGGATTGCTGTGACAATTGGGACTTCGGCTGCAGCTCGCATTTGTTTGCCCCTGTCAGTCGGAGCTGATTCCAATTTCCAAGTTCCTCAAGGCCTCTTTTGCTATCGAATCAATCAGAATCATGTCTTGGTGGGCGGTGCGTTGACAGATGGAGGGTCCGTGGTGGAATGGGCTCAACAACTATTGAATTTATCGGATGAAGACTCATTTCTGGCCTGTATGAAGGAAGTTGACACTTTGTCGAAGCAGGATTACGAGGATTCGTCATTATCTTCAAATATGTGCATGATTCCCTTTCTCAGCGGCGAACGAGCTACTGGCTTTCGAGGGGGAGCGACTGGATCCATGATTGGTCTAACACGGGAAACTACCGCAGCCCATTTCTTCAAAGCCTGCCTCGAGGGCGTCACCCTTCGATTACGCGCTGTCCTGAAACTCTTGGTCGATGCTCGTCATGATCAGAACCAAAGTTTGCCAACCGTTGTGGTGAGCGGAAAAGCCTTGGAGGTGAATGAGCTTTGGCGCCAAATGATTTCCGATAGCTCTGGGTTGGAATTGGTGCTAGATTCGGACACATTCGAGGGAACTAGTCGGGGAGTAGTGCGAATCCTAAGCCATGCTCTGAAAGCAGAATGCGAGTCCCAGCTCCTTGTGGAAGAGGCCATACACCCCAAAACTATCAACCGACCAAGAGCGTCTGCGTCGAAATATTTCAACCAGGCTGCGCAAAGGCACGACGAGTTTTTGAATGCAGTGTCTCCAATCTACACCCGCAATGACTCTTGATAAAACGACTAGTGTTTCCCTTATACCTCTCAATTTGATATACAGTAGCCTTTCTTTTATTTTATTTTCACACAAAACGGTTGTCGCCCTAATTTACAATTATCACAGGACAAATCAGGTGCCTCCCTCTATATAAATAGACTCCAGCTGATTTCAACACTCTCTATGTCGTCTTCTTATCTTTTCTCTATTGTTAAAATATATCTTAGCTAATCTATTGGTACAGGATTTCAAGTCGCCAGAGTAATGGTCTCCAGTCAAATTTACATGAGCAAAGCAGGTTCCAATTTGCCTTCTTCGGCTGCTTGTTGTAGCTTCTTCAATGCAGCATGACACAGCCGGCGGCCATATTCAGCCGACACTTTCATGTGCTTGCCAACCTCGCTAAAGCTCATGGCTTCGCCCCATTTTCCCTTCGTGACCATTTTTTCTCGGGCAGCGGGCGTTTGGCAAAACAATTCTTCTTCCATTTCGGCCAGATAGCGGTTGGCTTTTTGTTTGGGACTTTCGTTGGAGGTAGACTTGACCAAGCCGTATCGCCAACTGATGGCTTCCATTTCCTTGGGTCGCAAGTATTTTGACAGAGTGGACTTGAGTTGATCCACTTGAATATTGGACATTTCTTGTTCTTCCTCTTCTCTGAGGGTGAAAACGTCCGAGGCCATTTGCTTGCCCTTTTGCATGTAGCATTCGAAGGATGTGTATCCTCCACCCAATCGGCGCATGCGGACATTCATGGCATCTTCAAAGTTCTTGACGGAAAGGCCAGCCTCTTCAGCGAGTTGCTTGGCAGAATTGGCTTCTCGCCAGCTGTCGTTGGTCAGATCAATACCAATTCGTCGGGCTGCCTTTTCAATATTTTTGACGGATTGCGTTACATGGACTGGGACACGGAGCATGTCGTCTCGTTCGGCAATGCATCGGAGGACAGAAGCACGGATCCAGTAGACGGCGTAGGTGGAAAAGCGACCCCCAATTTCTGGGTTCCAGCGATCCACGGCTCGGGCCAAACCGATGGATCCCTCTTGCACCAAATCTTCTCTGGACAATGAATTCAGGTGCCTTCGTTGCCCGACAATTTGTTTGATGCTGTAGTGGACCAATCCAATGTTTCGAGTGACGAGGAGGTCTCGTGCCTGTTGGCCATCAAGAATGGCGCTTTCATAAGCATCGAGGTCTTCACCGTATCCAGCAGCTCGAGAGCGTTCCAATAGAAGTGGTTTGTTGAGGCCAGCGGATCGCATCGTCATGTCAGATTCAATCTTGGTGATTCGTCGCATTTCGACGGCCTGACGAAGGAGCTCTTTTTCTTCTTCCAAGCTAAGTCGATTGGTTTCAGAAGGACTTGATAATTCCGCTTGTGCCATTCCATTTACTGAAGATCGAGCAAATATAGTTGTCTGAGATGTGGTTCTGACTCTCTTCATGGTAGTGTGCAGTTGGAGAGCAGTCGTTGATGGACTTGAGGAGAAAGTAGTGAATCCTATCGCCGGAGAAGCCAATAATGACAGGCACACAGCATTCAGCAGGGCTGCTCGCTTGGAGTTTGATCTGTAGTTGGAAACCATTTTGTCAAGCTGCAATTCTAGTGATATTTGTCGTTGTATGTCTACAAAGGTGTATCAAACACCAGAACTTTTGGAGCTCTCTGACGTGATGGGCAAGTCAGTGGTCATTTCCAGCGACACTTTTGAGGCCTATTTGGAAGTTCCGCTGACTCACTTTCTTGTCAGTTGCACGTAACAAATTTGGTACGGCTGACGTCAAACCACACTTCGGGCAGCACCCTCTGGTCGAAGTAATCGATTATCGAATTTTGAAACCAAGAGAACTGCTACTGTACCTGGTAACGGTAGTAAAATAGAACCGAAGAAGATTTTTTTCTAAACAAGCTGTCGTTCTTGCTCCAAGTCATCGGCCAGTTTTGAAGATCCAATAGAGCGGATAAGCTTTTCGATGTTTTCGGTATACATTGAACCTGACATTCGTTTGGATTCTGCTGCTTCCAATTGGTCTGCTCTCAGAACATTTATCGTCGCATGTGGTGTCCGTCGCTGCCATGCACCTCCAGCAGCAATGTCATCAGTTGTCAAGTCTTTCGAATCGGAGTGTTCTAGATACCACTTCTGTAACCGTGGTAAAGAGTGCATGTGCCCGAATCCTGGCCATGATTTGCCGTCTGGAGTGGCATATTGCGGGTGGAAGCATACTACGCCAATCTGTTCCTGCGCTTGTGCAGCAACTACTGAAGCTTCTAACATTGCAAAGATTGGTCCCGCCCAAAAATCAAAATCATCGTCAAAGGCTGGTGCTGCCAGCAAGATACTGCTCACGCCAGTCTTTCCACTTGGCCCAGCCTTTATCATCTCGTCGATTGCTTTCCATGTGTCTGCGAAAAGGTGGAAAGCATCCTCCGCAAAAGATGCATGGTACGCAATTGTTCCGACTGGGACCCCGACATCACTCAAACCGTGTCCACTTTTGGTAGCGCTTTTGGTAAAGGGGCAAATGCCCTGTTCCACCAAAATACGTTTCACCCAAGCTCGAGTTCGAGCATTCAAAACATCTGCACTATCCGTATTGGTTGTCGGCCCTAAATTGTCCTCCAAATCATCTTCAAGTGTACCTAGCAACTCTATTCGTACTGCCGGCACGGAAACACCAGACGATTCGCTGGTGAGGAGTGAGGCTCTTAGAAGGGAGTCGTCGCCGTCACTCATCCACTGGACTATCTCAACCCAGTTTTGAACAAGCTGTAAATTAGCTTCAGGTAATGCAACAATCTCGGAACTAAGTACTCGTGCATTTGAAATCATTTGGGAGGAACGATGCCAAAGTAACGACATGGCAGAGACACCTTCCACCTCAGAATCCCAATGGATCTCTTCGCCTTGAGTCAACATTCCTTCGAGTTTGGACCGCTGAACAGAGTTCGATATGACTTGAAATGGAGAGGAAAACCAAGAATGTTTTGAATGCTCTTTCAGTCGCGATAAGTCGATTTTGTAGCGGGGAAATGCCTTGGAAAATGGGCATTCAGATGTTTTGGAAACAAAATCATCTTTAGTCATCCGTATTCTGTTAAATCTCGCTCCATTTTTGCAGTTTTGCACCCAAAGCGACAGCACTGGATTTGTTTGAAGAGAAAATATCAGCACTGCCGCAAGGAATGTAATCATGTGGGCGTGGGAGCTTTGTTCAAAAGATAGATGTTGTTGGTTGGTGGATCTGTCCAAGTTATTTTCGTAGTCTATCGACTAATTCGAATGCGATCCAAAAATTCCACCACCCATCACTTTTCACTTTTACACAACGCGAAGTCTGTCAAACGACATGAAGATGTTGCTGCTGTTTGTTTTTCTACTAACCTGGATTCTGAACACCAACGCTCTCTCTATTTCCACTAGAATATCGAAGAAAGCGCTGTTGGCCGATCTCCAAAAGAGCTATACTCCCGAATCAATCATAGACAATGTTGGAAAACATGTCTCAGTTGACATCGACCCAGAAGGCAGTGTCGCGAGCCTAGTCCTTGTTCGGTTGTCCAAGCAACTGATTGCACTTGACAATAATGGAGACCCATACAAAGACTCTTTCGACGCTGGTACCCTTGGGAAAATCGTACAGTCCTTTGCATCTTCAAACTGGAACTCGTCAGCTCAAGCCAGAGAAGCAGCTACCGAAGGAACCAAAGCGTCAGCTGTCCTATCGAAGCTTTTATCACTCCAGTCTTCAAACTTATGGGAGCCGCTACTGAAGAAATGGAAAGACACCGATGCTGGCGAATTTGAGCCGCATCAGATATCTGGGATTGCGTGGTCGTTCGATGTTCTATCTAATGACTATAATCTACCAATACAATTTCAAGAGGCTTTCGATAACCTCGGGCTCCCATTTCGGATTCGAGCAAATATGTGTGGAGATTTTGATGGCTTGACGGTTTTCAACCTAGTAGATCAGGTCAACTTTCGAACGGAAGAGATTCGAACCAAGTCCAACAAAACCGTCCGAGAAAGACGACAAACTGCTTGGGAAGGGGACGACCATGTCGCTCCCTTTGCTTATTCTGGGAAAAATATGGATAGGGATGATTGGTCACCGCTGGTAAAAACTGTTCGTGATCATCTCAACAAACAAACAGGTCAATACTACGATGGCTGTTTATTGAATTTGTATCCTGATGGTGGCTCGGGGATGAGGTATCATATCGACCCTGATCAGGGTACTCTCTGGGCTTTTGAAACAGCTGTTGTTAGCGTGGGATGTGAGTCAATTTGTCTCAGCACTTGTGTCTTTGTTGGGTTTGGAATCTCATCGCTTCACATTTTAATGTCGTTCTTGCTGAGCAGGTACTCGGCGTTTTGCTTTTCGAGAGATCCCATCTAGCGGTAGCTCCTCCAATGCAAAGCCACATGTGTTTGTCTTGTTTCAAGGAGATGTGACGGAAATGTTTGCGGATTGCCAAACTCGTTTTCAGCACACTGTGAGAACGGCAGAATCCAAAAACGAGAATGCTCCACGAGCCAGTCTGGTCTTTAAGAGAACTTTATAGTGATCTTCTTCTGAGGAGACATTCTGTGAATCATACTCTCTGGTTTACTCTTATGTGTCCACCTTTTTCGGTCCGATTAGGCTATGATCAATCCGAGCTACAGTACTACGATATACTCACTATCATACGATATATACTCACTATCATCCGATTCAAGCACTTTTGACCAATTCGACCAAACCTGAAAAAACAACGACAAACTTGCATATCGCAGTACAACACCATCATATCATATATGAGAAGTGCACGTTTCATCAAAACGAGGCCAAACTTCCCGATGAACATTTCCAAATCATTTCACAAACCCTGGTACGCGAGGAAAGAGGCAATTGCTTTGCTGTTGATCGCTTTACCCGTGTGCTACTTCCTCAATTTCATGGAGTACGAGGATCCCTTCTCCGTTCCTTTTTGTGAGCCCGATGGAACTTGCCACGAGAAACCTGACAAGCCTTCGCCAAGAACTGTCTACAGTTCCTGGACCAAAGAACAATATGACTTATGGTGGAAGTACAATGCGGAACTGAACAAAAGCGCGAAAGAGTACACCAAAAAGCGAAAAATGTCAAAGAAGAACAAACCGTCTTTGGTTCTGCTGGGAGATAGCATCACTGAGAGTTGGCTGGGAACTGGTCTAGGGTTCGAAAAAGAGAGGAGCAAAGGCATACCAGAGGTTCTGGAGGAAAAGTTTCAAAATTTTGATCCTGTTGTATTGGCCATAAGCGGAGACCAAACACAACATTTGTTGTATAGAATACAAAATGGACAGTTTCCATCTGTAGATGACGATGATGCTGTTTTTGTTGTAATGATTGGAACGAACAATTTAGGGAGTGGGGAGCTACCAGGGCCAACGTCGCAGGGTATTATAGCGGTCGCTGATTATATTCTCAAGTCTATAAAGGGTCGACTTTTGCTGTTTCATGTTTTGCCACGAGGAGACGGCAGGTTGGTTTTACCAAGGCTTTGTCCTCCACGGTGCGACTCTTCTGGTGAACCCTTCAAGTCGTTTGCTCCTGCCGTGGACAAGTTGAATGAAGGGGTCGGTAAAGGAGTTGAAAGCTTTAAGGAAAAGTATGGTTCGGATCGACTTCGATGGATGGATTGCAGTGCAAGTTTTATTGCCACCGACGGAGACGACGAGGTTGATTCATCTCTTATGCCGGATCTATTACATCCAAACGCGGCCGGGCACAAGATCATGGCCGATTGCATTCTACAGGAAATAGAGTCACTAAACTAGAAAATGGCTCGACAAAATGAGTTGCAAAAGGTCAAACTACATGGTAATTATGTTTCGGATAGTATTTAGTCGTTCTACTTTTCTCGTGGTTCAAGTTTGAGGGTACACAATTGCAGTCGCATAGCAGAAAGGGGGGTGTGATACGAGCAGATACCCGTGGAAGTTGGTTCCAATTACGATCAAACTCGAAATCATCAGGCATATTCATGCTTGCAAAGCAGCAATATGGTTGGATGGAGACGGCGGATATACACGGAAACTGGTTCCGAAGATAATCAATGCTCGGTTTAAAGCTTGATTACCCGCTCTTGTTTCCAGGAGCATTCTTCTTTCCGCGGCGATTTCCTGCAAAGTTCTTGCGGATTCCACTTTTTGCACCAGCGCCTTTCTTGCGAACAACCTTTTTCTTTGGATTGTTTTTGTTGTTGACTTTGTTTTTGCCCTTTGGAGCTGCGGCTGGTTTATCTGACTTCTGCTCGACTTCCCCGTCTTCTTCTTCTTCTTCTCCCTCTTCCTCATCGGTCATTGCTTCTCCTTCTCCCTCAGCCTCTCCCTCTTCGCTTTGATCAGGTTCAGTGTCCCCTTCAACTTCGCCTTCACCCTCACTCGGTTCTGCACCTGGCTCGGCACCTGACTCGGCACTCGGCTCGGTCTTCAATTCTTCAGAGCCTTCTGCTGGATGATATTTTTCAAAAGTTGCCAAAGCACGTTTTTGGACTTCCTCACGAACGAGTTTTTTGAAGTTTTCAATCCCTGGCCAGAGTGGGAGTTCAGTCTTGCGAATTGCTAGGACACATCTCCTGACAAAGGTTTCTTTGCTATCGCCTTCCTCCATTGGCTCAAGAGACATTGCCTCGGCAAATTCTTTCAAGGCTTTAGTCCCAGCTTCTTTGTAAGCATTCACTTGTGATTCATGCAAAGCATCCAATTTTTTCTGTATTTTGTTTTATTCGATGTTCATGTTTGTGTGAGGTGCTGATTCTGATACTTACACGACTCTACACCGACGTTAGCAATAGGAATAGCAGGCCGTTAGAAAGCTGAGAGATTAGCCCAATTGCACCGCTCAAGTTCCGATACAGCAAACAAACTTACTCATGATGAAGCCCATTTTCAATTACTCGTTCCACCGCAACGTACCGAAACAAATATATTATCGCTTCCCTCGAGGACTTTTGTGGCTGCGGCTTTCGACGCTGTCAAGTCTTCCCATGTCAAATATGTCCCATTATTATGCTTTTTCAATAGAGGGCCAAGATAGGCCTCTAATGCATCATGTAGTAACGTCATTTATTCA